CGTATGTCATCAACCTCTGCATAACTAGTTTTTTTCCGCCATCGCCAGCTGTTAGAAGTGCAACACTGTGGCGCTCCCACTCGGTCCCAGCACCGCCTTTCCTCAGCTTTGGTGTGCCTTCCGTCTTGTGATGTCCCAGCCCATTATGGTGATGCTCATCCGCGCTGCCCATGGCTATTATGGAAATGCAATCCCGGTTTCGCCGCAAGCGCCTCTCGAATTTCATCGACGCTCTTGTCAGCCCATCCAGCGCTTGACAAGTGACTAAGAGGATACAGCAGTTCATTTTCTTCCCTCCCCACAACCTCCTCCCACTTTGGCGCTGGCTGTGACATGATGATGTCCACGTCCTTGCGAATCTGCTCACAGAATGCGTCGAGTGGGAGATCGTTGACGTCGTCACCGAATGGGTTTTCGATTTCTCGTCCGATGAGTGCGATGCCGAGGATAATGTATGCAGCAAATACACTCGCGGGTATCGTAACCCAGCCTAGGAGCTTGTACAGCTGGAACGGAAGAAGCAGAATGTAAACCCAGGTAATCTGACTGATCGCAATTGAGTAGGCAATTGGTAGCGGAGTATTGAGGATGCGATCGGTACCGGTGAGGACGTCGTTCATGGTAGTCAAAGCGTTGAGAGATTGCGTCTGGTAGATGGATACCTTGAACGTACCATTATCGTAGATATGCTTCATGTACGAAGACAGATGGGAGAGAATCTCAAGCGGAAGATTGCCTAGCGGAACCCGCGACTTCTTGACAAGTTTGCGCGGATTCGACTCAGCCATGGGGACACCTAGGAACTGGCCCGCTGTCTTGAAGACATTTGGCTTCTTCCTCTGATCCGGTACATCAGCAGCCTTTGCATACGTATGCAGATGGCCGACCATGTGCTTCAGGTCGTCGTAGTGCATGTATGGTTCAAACCGCAATTTGTGTTTCACCGAGACAGCGTATGCAGAGATGAGATTCAAGCAGCTGATCTTTGCCAGTAAATCTTTCTTTCCAAGCGAGGGGTCGGAGTGTCGCTCATCAACGTGGATCCAGATCAAGCGCGCGAGATTCTGCGATGCAAGAGTGAGCTGCGCCCAGTATTTGCGCCCTTCGTTGTAGCGCTCATAAGCGGTAGAGCTGCGGAATGATAGCGCGAGACCGACAACGAAACCGAGGACCGTGAGGAGAAGTTGGTTAATGCCGACTGTGCAGTGTTAATATCTGTAATACCGACGAGAAAATGGGAACGAACGGTCATGAACGAATTTGGAGATGCAGGTTATTGCCGTAGACCAGCCTGCAACAACGAGAAGAGGCAGTATCATTTCTGGCGTGATAGAGCCATGGAGACGCAGGAAAATGGGCCATTTGGAATGGTGGTCGAGGTCGCGAGGGCCAATCTTGACAAGTTAGTATGACGTTGAATTTGGAAATGCGTCGTGCCCCCGGAGTGCAGACATACAAAGTAGTCATCGAGATCTTTATCAGTATCTTCTCTCTTTATCTCAGGCCTGATGGTCTTGGAGCCATTCGAGCCATTCGTTGACTTCTCTGCCATGTTGATGTTGTAGCGGCCGCAAAGCGTCAACTTTTCCGTGTCACGCAAAAATATAGTTGCCCAGGTGGGAGGTCAGCCGCTCTACATATGACGAGCCGCTGTCGCGTGCACGCCCCTGACGCATTCACATCTCTGCCTTGTAGCGCCCGACATCCAGATTTTGCGTTTGACACGTCGGCTTGGCAGTCTTGTTTAAACGCTTCGATTTGCTACAAGGGGAAGGGCGCAAGATACGCGACTCCAATCCCGTATCGTCGCGTAAATGGCACTGACTGATTGCGGGCACTGCCCGTCTTGGCATTGTTAATGTACGGCCCTTTTTTGGTAGGACGACTCGTAGGCGATGTGCTGGCGCGACGCCGGATTGCGTTCGACAGCGCGACAATTCAGCGGCGTCCTTCAGGAGCGATTGAAGGTGTGTACTACCTGATGGTCCAATCATCACATGTGTCGTGATAGCCTTGTCCAGATGCACTCTGTTGCGTCAATCGAAGGGGTTGATGTGTGTCAAGCAAGCGCTTCGGGGCCACCGTGTCGAAGAAATTGGATGCGCGGGATGGTGAACTCCAAAATCCAGCAGCCCTGTCCTGAGGTCGGTCGAGATCTTGGGCTATAGCTTGGCGGTCTTGATCGCACCTTGACTTTGCTTGCGCCCTGTGCTCAGGCTTTGCACACAATCTTGGTGGTTGAAGTTGGACAGCAATGTCAAAAGGGGTTTGTCCTTGATTGCCAAGACGCTACCCCACAGCGTCACCTTTGGCTCCTTCCATAATCTCACATCCATCTACAGCAAGTTTTGGGTATATGCCTTCATTGTCTTTCTACATTTCTTTGAGTTCTGGGTTGATTGATGACTGTTTTGCGAGATGGGTGTATAGAGTCGCACCCGCGCGCACCAAAAGCAAGCAGACATACGGGCGGCAGGTGCCCATGAGGATGGCTCAAGCTGATGGTGAATTACTACATGGTCTGACAGGTCGTTGTCGCACCAAGCAGGTGCCATCAACACAGGTTGCACGCGCATTATAGCATGTGCCGATCGCTACCATACCTGCAAATGCAGAGTTCATATAGATCGCTACTATTGGTCTACACAAAGCGAAGAGCTCTTAATCTCTTAATGCCAGCTTTCAATCTGCATACTGTTTACATTTCGTAAAGAACGATCACATCTGAAATCCGTCGACATGATTTACTCGGCCTTCTTCTTGGTTGCTATATCTTGGTTTGCTCATGGTACGATTGACGGCAACATCATTCCAAACGTGACGAGGTCTATGAGCCATCAGAGAAATCCGACAGATAAGAAGCGCTGGGTTCTTGGATATTCAATGCGCTCTTCAGTTGCTGCGTGGAATATGCTAACATTAAAGAATGCTTTCTTCTTGCAAATCAACAAATTTCTGCGCATTCAAGCAGTGTTCAATCAGTTGACCAGTGCCGAGAATCTCGGAATAGAAGCAAGGTCGAAACATCTCAACTCCAAGTGCAAAGCAATGCTATTTCGCGAACCGTGAAAACCATATGAGAGCTCCTTCGCAGACTGAAGCTATGAAAACCCAGCCGACGGACCCCCAGCATGGCGCTGGACGGCGGTGTTCACCACGATATTCCCCGGTCCGTGCGACAAAACTTGGATGAAATGACATCCGAGTTTGAATGGCTGTTACATGAAGTCTCCGTGTTGAATGATATGCTCAAATCGATAACTGACGCAAATGAAGCCATGTATCACGGCCTGTAAGTGTCTACCGGACACTCTTCACAAGCTTCACAGTAAGTATTGCAGGCCTGAAGTTAATGGTTAGAACCGAGGGAATCTAAACTATCTCTCCGACTTTTCAGGGGACATTGCACAACGCTACAAACCATACGTGGACGTCAATTGGGCTTTGCTTATAAGTAATACTCGGTGGCTACCGTCCTGGCTTAATTTACACCGCATCACCCCAATGTTTGAGTCCTAAGGCTATCTGCAAAATAATCGCAAAGTGAACAAGATCGCTTAGATTTAGATCATAGGGTGGAGCTGGTTCAACGAAATGCTATTCACTACTGGAATATTCGCATCATCGGGGCGGCTTTTTAGAAGAATTTGGCCTGAAGCTGTCTACATGCGCAGGACTGTAAGTATTTATGGAAAGCCTAATGTAAACCTAAAGACGCTCTCGCGATACTCTGCTTCATCTTAATAATACCCAAAGTGATCAATACGTTAGCAGTGCACGTACGGGCACGTCATACAGCAGTCTCCGAAAATGCTCCTCTAGCAAACATCATCATGAGCATAGTATTTACTGGAATAAATGAATTCCCGTCTATTCTCAACGCATCCAATCCACACTCTAAGTGCAAATCGTCTTCGCCGCATTCCCCGTCAGAGTCCACTTAGTCTTATTCGCCGTGCAAGGCGACTCCCTGACCGTCGTCCCATCGATCCTCGCCGTGATCGCAATATCCCTCGAATTCGCGAACTCGCTACGGGAGGCGAGTCTGACCTCACCGCCGCCGTTGATCGTGCCTCCCTTGATGTTGATGTTGTAGCAGTTCTCCAGCAAAATCGCATTCCCGCCATTATTCGCCAGATCAATGCTGCCAATCTCTGCGCCGCCAGATTCCGACACGCAGAAGATTCCACGGCCACCGCCGCGCGACTTGACACGGTTGATTTTGATGTTGGTGGCGTAGCCGTTGTTGACTTTGCCGGCTTGGTTAGCAAAGCGGAGCGTGGCATAACCGTTTCCTGTAGCGACGTTTTCGCCGTCAATGGTGCCGATATTGGCGTTTGTGACTTTCTGGAGGAGAAGACCACATTCGCCGACGTTGCGGGCGATGACGGAGCCGATTTCGAGGCGGTCGATATTCCAGGTCTCGACGCAGTGGGAGCCGGTGCGTTTGCAGTTGATTGTTCCCATTTTCACGTTGGAGTTAGGATTCTTGTCTCGTTCAAAGCGAATAGCTAGTCCAGCTGTTAAGTCGAAGGTGATGTCGCCCAGGGTGAGGCCAGTGGTTCCAAAAAAGCGCATTCCGAAGTACACACTACCAGTCATGGTAAGGTATGGGATCTTGACATTGGCTGCATCTGTAACTTCAATGGCACCTCTTCCACTCTTTACAGCGGCGTTGATTGTTCCGCATCCTTCGAACGTTTTACCGGCTTGGATGGTGATGGTACCAGCGCCGATGGAACCCGATGCAATCACGGACACACGCTGACCAGTCGAAATAGAGTCGACGGCGCGCTGAATGGCAGTAAGGTAGTCGCCGGTGTAGACAGTGCTGCTGCCCTTCTTGGCGACGAAAGAACTGCCCGAGCCCTGGTCGTGGTCAGCTTTGAGGTCATGATGCTGGTTCTCAACTACGATAACAAGTGATACAGGGATATTCAACAGGCTGGAGCTATATACAGTGCCATCAAGGTTTGATTTTGACGAAAAACTGCTGCGTATAGCTTTAGGCTATCGAATGAGCTGCCATGCTTGTCGCTCTCCGTCGTAGTTGAGAGCCTGTATTAGCCTAACATCAACGTACCGTAACAGTAGCATCAGGCGTCCCCGATCCGCACTGGGCAACGACAGCAGAAACCAGCGCGAGCGCCGTAGCCAGGCTAGAGATGTGAACCATAATGAACTTGAGTGAAAGGCCTTTTGCGACAGCCTTACAATCTGCACATAGCAAAGAAAGCAACAGTACTTAAACCAAACATTCAGTACAAGGTTCCCTAGCGCCATTGCACAAATTACTCCTCTCCCCCCAAGACGCACATCCAAGCCCTCGAAATGAAGCCAGTGCGCGCGGTCCCCACCAATGGGGTAATGCACATCTTTATTTTCTAGCAGCTGGGATGTTGGATCGAGAAAATCGTCACGGAGTAATATAACTTGTTTGACATTATCCAAGACGATCTTGAGAGTACGACAACTTCTTTACCTGCCTGTTACATTTTATGTGCTCTTCGCTTTGAATTGGCAGCCATGTGTAGCACAAGAGTCTTTTCGTAGCGACGTTGTTTCCTGGTGTTAGTCTGAACTATATTGCGCCATGGCACTAATGTTTCATGGGCCTTCGGAGTTCAGCGCCCAGCTTAGGGAACAGATCGACCGTTTGCGATATCTAGGAACATGTGCACTGCCAACTGGTCGCGTGAAACACGTTGCATGGCTGGGGTGGTACTGATGCAGAAGGTAGGAATAGTCTTCGATGGCATGCCTTATGCATACCCCAGATTTGCACGGGAAGTAGACTGCTTGATGGGGAAATGTGCCGCTGCGGTGGTGCTGGTTCGGGGGAACTGTGCCCGATCGGCACGTGGATGTTTTCAGTCGAATAGTGTCAGAGCTTGTACATTCGTGCGCGTGCTTTGCAAACACTGGAATACTGCGAGGTATGCTATTACAAGGATGCGTAAGCCTATGTTGGAAGGAGTATCCTCATGCTATTGCCTCCACCTGCGCCAGCGTGGTTACCTTTGGCACTGGGGTTGTTTACTGCCCCGTTGGGCTTAGCGTATTACTATATAGCCTGAGATCCCTCGGATCTCACCCAATACACTTGTTACTCAACTTTCATACTTCAACAGCCTATATCGATTCGCATCATCATCAGCATCCCAACTTGCTGCAAAAGAAACCTGAAAATATACGGCTTCACCAATCTGCATACTATAAGGACAGCTACGTTCGACAGAGCGGGCATGAACTGTTGCGACGCCTGGTGACGAATGCGCTGCCAAGTCCGCCCAGCGATGTGGTTTACTTCTAACATACCGAGGTGGAGTAAATGTGTCCGCGAATGGTATGCATTTGCACCTTGGCGGTGTTCGAATCTCTGGGCTGAGGACTGGTCGGTAGCATGGTGGACTTGAACGCGTATAGCGATCCTGCGCATGTTACAGAGTGTATGGCGATGCATTATTGTCGGACTTGAGATCGATTAATATCGTTCACGGTTACTGGGGCCTATGCGCGCTAGGCACTGCAGATCAAGGGTGCAAGCTCCGCTATCAACAATGCACACACAGTGACGCGAGGAGCAGATGTGTTGGGAGAATATCATGAATTCGGTGAAGCTCGTGTCTAGAGTGAGTGTATCGTCCAGGTCCATGTCCAAAACTCCATTCACGAAAGTTTGAACCCAACCCAAGAAACCCAAGAAAAGAGTCAAGATTGTCATACGGCGATAGGTGGTGAGCCAGAAAACATGTCATCATCATCGGAGAAGAAAGAAGCCACTTCTTGCGTCGAGATTCCGAAATCGCTAAAGGCACCAACCGTAGTATGCCGGATAGGTGGGTTGGGACCGGCTGCTGGTCGTGCCGCCACCGCACATCGTCGCTTTATCTGGTTTTTCGACGAAGAGAGCGTTGTGCGTGCTTTCCTCTTGAACAGGCCTGGACGGTCAGACACAGAGTCTGGTCGTTGCGATGGTGAGATGTCTTCGCGTCGGAGTACAGGTACGATGGGTTGCTGGGGCAGTGGCTTTGTCTTGCGCGACAGTACAATACCACTTCTTCGTGATGGCGGCGCTGCATGGGTGGTGCCCCCAGCACTCTGGGCAGGAGGCAGGCGGCTGAACGATGGCTTCGTCACTGTGGGCAAGGATGTAGTTCTGACCAAGCCACGGGTCGGAGTTGGAGCTGTGAAATTTGCGGGAGCTGAACCAGGGGTGTCGTCGAGGTCATCAATAGAGAAATCGAAGTCTTGCGTAGAGAGTGGTGGAAGGCTTTCCGTTATGGAAGGTGGTTGAATGGACGGCACGGGCGCCTGTGACAACTCGCGCGCAATCTGAGTGCCACTATCAAGGAAGTCGTCCCAACAATCACCCAGTGATGGTATCGGAGACAGTACTGGCTCCTGATTCGGCTTGGGCTGCGAGATATCAGATAGGGACTTGTTGGAAGCTGGCAAAGCTGGAAGCTTGAACGTTGGGTTCGTGTTGACCTGTGGCCTGGCCGTTGGTATACAGATGCTTGCTTTCTTAGACAAGCTGGAAGAACGCATATGTCCTGGCACCGTGGGTAGCTTAAAGCCTGACGAGGGCGTGTCGAGGGGAAGATTTCGGTATGTATAGTCGGTAGAGACGCGGACGGGAAACTGCAAACGCTGGAACGTGTACTGACTTTCGTTTCTATACTTGGCAGGGAAAGGGACCCGAGTAAGCAGTGCTTTGGTGCCTTCGAGCTGGCCGTCTAACACGACACACTCTAAGCGCTCGTTCTCGGCGCGGAGGATACGGAGGTGTTGGCTCTTGGAGAGCTGACTGCTCGTGTTGAGGTCCCGCAGAAGACTGACAACACTGCCCACTTTGACTCGCAGCCGATGGGGTGGTAGGCCAACAGAGTTGAGCTTATGGAGGAGACCAGGCGTAGGGTCCCATTCCGGCAGCCTCAGCGAAACGTCCTGCGAGAGCAGTTCGATAAGCGGCTCCGGCAGCTGGTCCAAGATATTCTCAATGGCTTTGTTTATAGGACCGTGCAGACGTGCAAAGTCGGCATCGTCTTTGGTCGGCGTCGGATGGGGCGGGGCAGGAGGTGGTGGGGGTGGGGGCGCGAGTGAGGGTTGTGGGTGCTGCACGTGTGCGGGAGGCTGTTCAAGAGGGTCAGACATCAGGAGGTCATGGGCCTCGAGCAGCGTGTCGTCATCCAGGTCATCGTCGACAAACTGCTCCAGTAGCGTCGCCTCAACGGTTGGCAGGTCGGGGCCAATGTCGGCGTCTTGGTCATCGTCATCGTCGTCCCACGGCTCCTTCTCCACCGTCTGCGCAATAGCCTCAAGCGTTCGGGTGAGATTCCAGATTCCGCCGGCGCTGTTCGTCGTCCTTGCGCCGCTTCACGCCTAAGAAGGCCTCCATGCCGTTCTTTAACTGCGCCTGTGTGTGGCTGTAACCGATCAGCTGTGTCGCCAGCCCCACCCCCATTTGCTTGCGGGCAGCTTTCTCCTTGTCCTCGCGCTCTTCGCGCTTCTTCTTGGCGGCTTTGCGATTCTTTTCAGCGTCGCGCAGGCGGGCTGCGCGCACATCCAGCTCGTGGCCGCGTTCGAGCTGCTTCATCTGTCGCTCGGGCAGACGCGGTCCATTCTGTTTGTGCTGCTTCTTCACTTCGCTAGTCGTCTGCGCGATTCGAAGCGGGGTTGGCGGCATGTCGGGCGTCGCATCGCCTCACTTCCGAGTTGGGGCGTGTGCTGGTGAAGGTAAATCGGTAGCATGGGGGTGGCGTGGCCATGTTCGCTTCCAGGGAACTTGCGCTAGCGCGAACCAAACACGCCATCACGTGCGAGCCGCAAGCATCCTGCCCGGGTGCCCCTTCAACCTCGCAATCACTCTCTGCCAGTCGACAAACTTCAATAAGTGAAGAAACTCCGCCCTATCATCTCACCAAAAATATCGCCTCGAGTGCATGCTACTGCATGTCGTCAACTACGAGGGAGAGTGAACAATGGCATCCCATGGCCTGAAGTTATACACAGTGCTATTGGTTTTCGAATCTGACGGAAAGGCCCCATGTATAGCGTCAGATCATCAGATGGGCTGCCTTCTTTTGCACTCTGGTCGCTTTTTGTCGTAGTTGAGAGCCTATAGCACGATTCGGACCAAAAGCGGAAATACACGAGTGCAAATTCCTGCGCCCTCTCCGCAAGCGCATCATGGAAGATGAAAGCCGATGCTCTGCAGCCGCCATTTCGACCCACCCATAGCTCCGCTTTTCTCGGCATGTATGAAGCAGTCCGTAGACATTCTCATCCGTTTAACAGCATCTCACAACCATCATGGCATTTTCTTTAAGAGGCGTGGCTTACATTACAGGTGCCGGCTCTGGTGAGTTCCATGCTTCCCATCGAACACATACGAGCTCGAGTGGCTCACATGACAAGGCATTGGACAGTACACGGCCTACTCGATGGCAAGGCAGGGCGTCCGCTCGTTCGCCCTCCTTGATCGTAACCCTGTCACAAACACGATCAGCGAGCTCAAGAAGATCGCACCAGACATCTCGGTCAAGGAGTTCGAGCTTGATGTGACCAACGAGAGAGCCATCGATGACAGCATAGAGAAGACAGTCAAAGAGTTCGGCCGCCTCGACTATGCAGTCAACAATGCTGGCATCGGTGGCGTCATCAAAACTTCCGACCAAATCCCCAAGGACGACTTCGAAAAGGTTCTTGCCGTCAACACAACTGCCGTGTGGCAATGCCAGCGCGCTCAAATCCGCCAAATGCTCAAGCAAGAGAAAATCACCGACTCTTATCGGTCATACCGCGGATCTATTGTCAACGTGGCCTCCATGTATGGCCTTGTGGCACCTCCATCCAATGTTCCGGCTACCGCATATGCGACTAGCAAACATGCTGTGATCGGTCTCACCAAGTCAGACGCTTTGGCCTTTGCTCACAAGGGCATCAGGATCAATGCCATTGCACCAGGATATGTCATGACTCCGCTCGTGCAGCAGACTATGGGTCAAGGCGACATGATGGAGACGGAGCGGAAGAAGGTGCCTGTCCACAGATACTCAGAGATGGAAGAGATCGGCGATTGCGTTGCCTTCCTACATACAGACGCAGCGAGTTACATGGTCGGTGCAACCCTTGTCGCTGATGGAGGGTATACGATAGTCTAGCCGGCAGAACAATATCACTCTCGCCAATACGCGTTTGCCTCATTCTCAGCTTTGCTTCAATGACCAAAGATGGCGTCGACTAACCCATTGGTCCAGACCTTCACTACTTAGCGCTCTCGGTTGTCGATTGTCGCTTGGAAGAGGGTTGAGTACAATGCTCTCGCGCTTCACTCAACCGCTGATGGTCCAGAGTTATTTGGCCCGGTCCACGTGCCACCGTAACGACTTAGCTTGCCCGGCTTGTCGTTTGTCATGCGACTCGGATATGCTTAGCCCATGCTGCCGGGAAAGACCGACCCCTCTAAATGTGCAGCATTTACAGTAGCGCGGAACCCCGGATTTTGATGCCCCACAAGATCTGACTCGCAACGATAAAGAGAGTCAGAAGTTTGGAGAGAGTGGCTGATTCATGACTCTCAAAGATCAAAATGTTGGGGTTGTACGCGCAAGTGATGAGCTTTAAAGACGTGCGGAACTCTTCGCACGATTAAGTTTGTACTCGCGATCGACTCCTCAATCTTGAACCTTCCTCATCCGATCGAATCGTCTCTTCAATCAATACCGCGCGCGCAATGGCAGACTTTCTTGTTCCGTCGTCAGCATCTCCAGAGACAGATGCCCAACATCGGCTTAGGGGCCCCATCCATGCACAGCGACATGTTCGCGTAATCTGCATTGGAGCTGGTGCTTCTGGTCTTCTCATGGCATACAAGCTGCAAAAGCATTTTACAAACTACAGCCTTCAAGTTTATGAGAAGAACTCAGAAGTATCAGGAACGTGGTTTGAAAACCGTTATCCTGGGTAAGTCTGGTCAAGATACCCGAAGAATCCTTTGACAGGGTGGATGCGATGCATTCCCACGCCATTTGCCGAACAAGCGAATACTGACCCCTCACCCAGGTGCGCATGCGACGTCCCATCACATAACTACACATGGTCCTTCGAGCCCAAACTTGACTGGTCAGCTGTGTACGCTAGCTCGAAAGAAATCTTCGCATACTTCAACGATTTTGCGCGAAAGTACGGTCTGCACAAATATGTCAAGACGCGGCATCAAGTCGGCGGCGCAATTTGGAACAAATCAAAGGGCGGTTATGACGTGCAAATCAAGGATCTGGAAAGTGGTCAGATCGTGAATGATCATTGCGATATTCTTGTCAACGCGGGAGGCATTTTGAACAACTGGCAATGGCCCGCAATTCCAGGTATTGACAAGTACAAAGGCACACTGCTGCACACTGCAAATTGGGACGACAGTATCGACCTGACCGGTCGTAACGTAGGCTTGATTGGCAATGGGTAAGTGGCACGACTCGAATGCATTATCACTACTAACCATCTTACAGCTCATCTGGTATCCAAGTTCTTCCCACAATCCAGCCTTACGTGAAGAAAGTCACGACTTTCATCCGCGAACCGACGTGGGTCTCACCAGTGCAAGGCCTCGAGCAACACATCTTCTCAGAGCACGAGAAATACGAGTTTGCCACCAAGCCTGGTGCATTGAGCGAATACCGAAGGAACATCGAGCGCGGTTTGAATGGTCAATTTGGCATCTTCCTGAAAGACAGCAACGTCAACAGCGAGACTGAAGCATACTTTCGCCAGCAAATGACTGAGAAGCTGCGCAACCCTTACCTTGAGGAGAAGCTGATACCGAACTGGCATGTTGGTTGCCGGCGTCTTACACCTGGTGTTGGCTACTTAGAAGCTCTCGGCAAAGACAACGTTGAGACTGTATACGGAGAAATCAACGAGATCACCGAGCGGGGCTGCCGCTGCGACAACGGGCAAGAATACCCTGTAGACGTTCTCATCTGCGCCACTGGCTTCAACACTTCCTTCAAACCGCGCTTCCCGGTCGTAAATGCTGAAGGCAAAAACCTACAAGACGTCTGGGGCAAAGAGCCTCGCTCCTACCTTGGCCTTGCTGCCGCCGACTTCCCTAACTATCTCATTTTCCTCGGGCCTAACTGTCCAATTGGCAACGGACCGGTCTTGAGTGCGATTGAATGCCAGGCAGATTACATGTGCAAACTCATCGACCGCTTCCAAACACACAACATCTCAAGCTTCGCGCCAAAAGCCGAGGCGGTCGATGACTTCCTCGCCTACAAGGACGAATACATGAAGCGCACCGTGTGGCACGACCCATGTCGCTCATGGTACAAGAGCCTGGGCGCTGATGGCCCAGTGACTGCGCTGTGGCCTGGATCGACACTGCACTACATCGAGGCGCTCATGGAATTGCGACTTGAAGACTGGGAAGTCACATATGCTGGCAATCGCTTCGCGTGGCTGGGCAACGGGTACAGTCAGACCGAGATTGATCCCACTGCAGATTGGGCATTCTATATCCGCGAACGCGATGACGACGAGCCAATCTCTAGATTGAGGAAGCTGCAGCTTTTGAATAAGAGTGGAACAGTCGCGCCCAGTGCTGGTGTCAACTTCACTGGCGCGGTCAATGAGAGTTCGGGGCAGGCGAAGCTGTAAATCCATATATTGAGGGAGGATATTTTGTCTGCGCTCCTGGATCAATTTAGCCGGTCTGTCTGTGTCTAGCGTTTTGCATCTGTATTTGCTCAGCGAGTCTTGCATTGTGGAGGATCAGTCTGTCCTGAAAATCACATCTTTCTTCTTCACCACACGTTCACGCACCACCCATGTGCACGCATCCATTCCCACCTTCGTTTACCAAAACTGCACTCCTCGATGACAAGAATAGCTGACGCATACTCATATCCCAAACGAATGAAACAGAAACAAAGTTTCGCGCTAGTGCGGTTCGGCTCTCCACTTCGCGGCCCCTCGAAACATCCGACCACTCCAGCGCGACACGTCCAATTCTACGTCAAACATTCACGACACGGCCAATGAGTTGCGCTTAAGTATCTGGAGAGCCGCGCGGGTCGGGTACAGATCCAATGATCATGTCAGCATTCTGCACGATACGCCCTTCGATGCTGTGATGATGAGATGGAGGGCAGGTGCAGCGGTGAAAAACGGCCCAAGATACCACGACAGCAACGCTTTGTCCATCCACAACATGAACTAATTTGAACAAGACCAGTTCCCGAATCGCATCAGCTAAGCCACGCTCGGCTGCCTCAGACTATCCCATGGTACCAAACCGGCAAACCTCAGGGTCTCCAGCGCACGGCCGTTACTACTCGCAGCGAGTCGTTTCGGTGGCTTCTATATCGATTGCCTTGCTCATGGATGATCGTCGGTGTAGCACCAACAAGTGCTGCCCGTATGAGTTTGGGGCTGGGGTAGGGCGTGTAACAACCAATGTCTTGACGTTTGATGCGTGCTTGAGGATGCGCCTTCGGGTCTGAGTGAGCATAGACGGGTAGGCATATAAGATGGAAGATAGTCACCATTAACATCATCACCACCATCAGCAAACAAACAATTCAAGCTTCCAAATACCATATTCAACGCAACACATCTTCAGCACCTTCTCCACAATGCCTACCTCCCACATCTCCACCCCCCTCAACGGCGTCCCCGCCGCCACTGTTATCGCCGCTCTTCACAACCACGACCTAATGATCAAAACCCTCTGTCCAGCACTCATAAGCTACCACTTCGAGTCCGGCGACAAGGCCACATCAGCGACATACTCCATCACCGACCGCAAGCCCATCGGCCAGGTAAGCACACTCACCCTTTCTCCTTCCCCCTTCGATCCCCCTTTGATAAAACAATGTAATAATCCCACTTCCAGACAACATATAAGCTAGCCCTCACGAACGTCTCCTCCGGCGTCGATTCCCTTGTCAACGCCAAGCCGCCTGTCGGCGTCCTCACTATTTCGGGCAAGTGGCGCGTTGAAGGCGGACAGTTGAGTGAGGAAGTGGATATCGATGCGAATTTCATGATGAAGAAGGTGGCGAAGTTGAACGTGGAGAAGACGCATCCGGAACAGCATGTTAAGCTGTTGGAGGCTGCGCTGGCTTAGATGTAGAGTGTGGAAAGGGAGGAAGAGGGGGGGAGTCGTAATTGAGTTAGCATGTGTGCATGAGATGGAGTTTTGATTAGAGTGTGCCGCTGGGATTGTGTAGTGTTCATGTTCAATGATTGATTGTTTTACAAGCTAGTTTCCAGCATGATCTCAATACCAGGCAGCGGCGCAATTCGTGCCTGCTCTACACGTACACGACGACATGAGCTAATAGACCTTGGAGGTATAATTAGTATAAGGTTAGAGGAGCCTGTAGGTTTGCACAGCTACAAGATCCTCTACTTAATTCTGTACATGTGTTTGAGTATATACCGGCTAGCTCTTCACCTTTTCTGGTGCGCAGGAATTTGGCCGACGCCTGAAGCTAACGCCTTGTCTGCATGCCAACTCCAACTCCTTTCGCTATATCTCATAAAACCAACCAGAACTCCTCACTCATAAATCAAACTTGTCCCCATTATTTCCAAACGCATCTCCACTAAACGCACTCTGCGGCGGAAATCCATCCAAATCACTCCCCACGCCCATCCCCGTCGACCATTCCTTCCCCATACCCCACTCCCCTTCACCCAAACTCATAAAATCCAGATTAGTCATACCATCTACGCCACCCGTCTCGCCATCGAATGCGCCGATTTCCGGAAAGTGTACGTTAGCAAGCTGACTTATAGAGTCGTTTGCGTCGAATTCAGCGCCCATCCACGCCCCGCTATGTCGGGGATTTGAACTTGATAGTGTAGTGCTAGGCGTAGACAGTGCGTGGGAGAGGTCAGGTGTTTCGTTCAGGGCTGGCCACGACGCGCCGACTTCAGAGCGTGGAGTGATCATGATGTACCCATCTAGTCGATCCGTGTTGTCTTCGAAGCGCGGCGGTGGAGGCGCCTTGATGTTGAATCCATGGTGGTCAATGGGCATGCTCAGTGTGGTGCTAATACTACTAGTCCTTGGCTTCCTCAAACTTGTACTAGTGCCTGCTCTGGGTCGGCCAGTTTGGCGCTTCTTCCAGACTGTGTTCATGTTTTCGCATTCGTCCATGTCGATTGTAGAACCGCGGCGGGCAGGCACGAGGGCGGATTTGGGCTTGTACAGACGGGACTGATTGGGCTCGGAGCCGCCGCGTAATTCGACCATTACGGCGCGGAGCACGACGGACATGCGTTCTGCCGGTTGGTAGGTGTGGGCCATGTCGGAAAGGGCGGCGGATAGACACTCTAGGTATTGCATGTTGTTGTTGCGGTCGTTCGCGTCTTTGATGAATGCAAGGGCAGCCACCAAGGCGGTTGCTGCAGTGCCCTGTTTGAATATCAGTACCTAGAATGCCGCCATAAAAGTTCAATACATACCGCATGCTGCATACCAGTCACAAAGATCTGCCTTGTGTCGAATCGTTGTCGATGTTGCCAGTAGATCCTGGCGACTCTAATAGCATGCTTCGTGCACACCGTTCGACTGAGTGCCGAGAAGTGGTCATCAGGTCCACTCTGATCACTATTTGCGCTTTGATCTTCATACAAAGCGAACGGTCTATGTAACAAGATCAAGCTAGCGTGATATTGCTGGTGTAATAAGAAGAAGGAGAAGGGCGCCGTGGCAATGTTATTCGGCGTCCATCGCAATTGCTCAGGCAGTCGAGCGTACCAACTGCTAAACTCGCGGTCCAGAGCTGCCATGCGCATGTACTGGTTGCGATCAATTGCTGATTCAGGGTTCTTCGAGTGTGGGTCCATGTTCTCGGTGATCTTGCCGGCAAGCTCCATGAGATCAATGAGCGCTTCGTAAATAGTGGTCTCCATGCTCTTTCCTGCGCCTGCAGGTCGGCAAGCCCCAAGACGTTCAAACTGCTTGGACAGATGATATATCTCGAGATCAGAAGACTTCATGCTTGTTGGTCGACCAAGGAAGAGTGCCCAATATCTGCCAGATTGTATTAGCAAGCTGAAGACTATTGCAATCCGATCGGAACATACTTGTCGTAGATTACACACGCCCAGAGAGTCATTTGGCGAATCTCAATCTCGCGCTCTGGTAAGCCCGAGAGTCTCGTGTCCAGGTGTAGTCTACACGTGTGTTAATCATTGATATGTTCGATATGGATCAAGCGCAAGCTTACCCTATGTCAAATGCAAGTCTTACAGCCATGCCTCCGTACATCCATCCAAGATTATCACGGCCGACTCCACACTCTAGATCGCCGAGAAGCAGCAACGCCACAACTGAAGGGATACCACCCGGCCTCTCCAACTCATGGTCAAGCATGTACTTTGCTTCTCGATGCAGAGTACTCTCCATCTGTGGCAGCGCGATTTTCCTGATATCCGGTCGGTTCTTCTCCGCAAATCTGAAGCCCATTGCCAACACGCAGACGTGCAAGAACCCAGAGTAAAATTGCGTGCGACCCATTTCCCGGTCTTCGTTGAACGCCTCGTGATGCAAAACGTGAATGACAGGATTATAGCACTGCCAGAAAAGATCCATCAGGTAATCGTACGTCTCCAGAGGCAGCGATCGAATGATCTTGTCAGCACGACGCGCTTGCTCGGACTGTTCTTGTGCAGAGTCCATGGGATTGCCGATTTCGGAATGAACGTGGCAGTTTGTAGTAGGACCAAAGTAACGTAAGCGGCCACTGAGTTGGTCGAAGCTGAGATGGCCGCGTGTTGAAAGCAGTCTGTTAACCATACCATCTTTCTTGGGCGGCGGGAGTATAGACGGCGAGCTTGCACTTTCTGCATCTCCCAACGGGCTTTCGTTTTGCTCTAGTGGATCGAGGTCTTGATAAATATAGTCGTCTTGTGGCGAGGGCTGGCTTCCAGGACTTGATTGTTCGTGCTGTACGTTCTGGGAGTTTGCCGCTCTGCGATTCGGTGAATCATCTTCATTTTGCTGATTGCCGTGGCGTGTTTTGGGAGGGTGGTTTGCTGGTGGTGGTTCTTGACCCTGGTCTTTGAGCATGGTCTCCAAAAGAGCTACGCGTTCAGTTAGAGAGCACATGTATGCTCTCGATATAGGTCTAGAAGGTGTTAGCTACATAGCTGTTTGTTCTTGCGTAGCCATACCGTCGCCTTTCATCGTCATTCTTGATAACACAATCAACGCCTGATCTTTTGCATTGCGTGCATTCCTTGTCTCCTGGAGGCACGACACAGCGTATGCGCCGATCTCTACACGAGGCGCATGCTACTGAAGCCCTGTGGCGTGGTTTTGATGACTTCTCCTTTGTCGAACTTTTGTCAGCTGATGTTGAGTCTGGTTTCCCATCTGCTGATAGCAGAGTGGCATCTTGCACGTCCTTTTGTTGGTCTTTTGTGTTGGCCATCGTTCTTTGCGTCAAGTCTGTAGTCGCCGTTTGGCGTTGTATCCTTCAACGATGGAAGCACTTCACCCTACCGTGTACTTGGGATTTACAGGGAAATTGCGGGGAAAGGATTGATTTCAGCAACAGGTGGCAAACATGCGACTAAAGTCAGGTAAGGGTTCGAACGATAGCCCCTCGAACCAGTACCAGCTCTAGCTCTGACACTTGAGCATGCAAAGCCGCTAGTCGCTAGGGAAGAATGGGCGCAGACTCGTGGAGGGTGGGGCCCCCGCGTTCCATGGCTGTTAGACACAAAGAAGCGGCTCGGATGACTCGTTTCGTATCTCTCTTCGCTAACAACGTTGTCATAAGTTAGGCCTAACTATCGTCTTTGCCTGATGTGCCTGGAAGGCCAATCGAATGCTTTAGCACGCCAGCTAACTGGCCCAACTGCGGCACCGATCGGTGGATAATGCCCTGCAGAGCCATGCAAGCTAATCCTGCTCGCTAGGTTGGAGACCAAGTGAATGGATCATCAATCTTATGGGCTCGCTGTAAGATGCCGTGCTTGGTCGTGTATGCCGTAAGAAACGAGAGATATGCAACTTCTTGGAGCAGGCTTAGAAAGCTACATCCGAGCAGTACGAAGCGATGCCGTGGCCGTCGTCTCGAGCGCAACAGGTCACTAGGGCAGTGCGGAGGTCACAGGGGAGTTTGGCGGAGAAAATCTGGGGCAACTATGGACGCCTTAGTCTCAAATAACCAGTACATCCGAACAGCCGTGGCGTCCTCAATCCCAAGGTTCTGGGGACGTGTCGAGTCGTGTGGACTGGGGAACGGTACGGGTACGATGTCGTGCGAAGAGGGGTCGAGCGCTAGTCTGGTCGATCGTGCTGTGATTGGCTGTCCTCAAGCTGACGAACGACGCCTCCTGTTGTTCCAGCTTGTGCAACAAGAGGACGGAATTTTGCCGCAAAATAAAAAAACAATACGCACACTTAGAGACGACATGGTACTTGCTTCAAAATAAGTACGAACGTGGATAGTGCTTGAAGGTATCCAGCTATGTATATCACACGCAAAATGACTAACGACAACAAAGATACGTTGTGGGAAGCCTGATCGCCTATGCACAGGTCGATGCGACCATGCACAATCCCCACAGAATTACGTCGCTCTACCGCATGGCTGAACTATTCGACATCCCAATCGTGATCCGAGTTCCGGATGTATGGGCTCAAACCCAATACGTCCTTTGAAGCAGTCGCCTTCACATCACCATTACCCAGGAACGCGAACCTGTTCTTATAGCGGTATGTGTAGTCGTAGTCTTCCCATCGCGGTGTCTTGATCGATTTGAGGAAATGAATCGTCTGTGCAAAGGAGCGAGTCAGCATGGTATTGGCAGTGATGCGGGGTTCTCCGCAAAGGGTCTCCCGAGCGTGCTTTCATCCGATAGGGCAAGAGCCTGCTCGTGCAGCGCCGTGAGAATGGGCATGACTTACCGCGCCAGGCCACAGGTAAATCCTGTTCTTGGTATAGCCATCCTTGAACCAACTGCGGCATTCTTCTTGCCACACTGTCGTCTTGTGATACTCATCAAAGTGAGCGTAGATCTCGTCAAGCGCGTCTTGTTTGACAGCCATGGCCTTGATGCCCTCAGTCTGCATCTTCTTCATACACTTGATGGAATACTCGATTGTGGTTTCAATCGACGGCAGAAGGGTGCCGTTGCTCCAAGTTGCACCCGGACCAACAATTGTGTAATAATTCGGGAATCTTGGCGCCGAAACACCCATGTAAAGGTTGGGTCCAGAGGTCCAATCCTCCTTAATCGACTTGCCTTCGCCGTTTCGCACGATGAAAGCGGGCTGAAAGGCGACCTGGAAGCCAGTTGCACAGACAATAGCGTCCAACTTGTGGACCTGCCCGTCGGCAGTCTCAATGCCCTCAGGAACGACACGCTTGATGCCACTGAAGACTGGGGTTACGTTGTCCTGGACTAGCGCTTCAAGGAACCCATCACCTGGGGAAATCCTTCGGCAGCCCACCGACCACTTGGGTATGATGAACTTTTTCAGATCCTCGTGGCCAGGGCCCATGCGGCGGTGCATCTCCTTTGTAATGACATCTCGGAACTGGTTTGACAAGTCAGAGTTTTGCTGATACATGCCGAATAGGCTGTTGATCTCTGCCTCTATCTTCTTCCGGAATTCCAAATGGTATTCTGGGTCGTCTTTGAATTTTTGCTTGTCGGCTTCGGTGAAATCATACTGACGTTGGCCTGGGTCCACGTCCTGGCCCTTTTGCAGATTGTCGGTAAGCGCACCAGCACCGAATGGAGGTGATATCCACGTGGGACTTCGCATGTAAACTTCCACCTCCTTACATATCTTTTGAAGCTGTGGAGTGATCTGAACGCTTGTTGAGCCGACGCCAATAATTCCAGCCTTGATGCCGTTGAAGTTGACGCCATGATCCCAGCAGGCTGAATGCAAAAGCGGGCCTTTGAAATCGTGGATACCTTCAATATCAGGCCACTTCCAGTTGTTCAAGATTCCTGTGCCGTTCACGAAGACGTGTGCCCAGTCTTTTCGCATAGAACCAGTCTTTGGGTTGACGATTGTGAAGCTCCAGCAACCCTCCTCGTTGTTCCAGTTGGCTTCGGTGATTTTGCTGTTCAGCTGCATATACTTCTTACTTCCTAGGTTCAGTCAGTCAGTCATTAGTCACCATATTCCATCGCTTCCGGACTTACCATGCCTTTCCGCAAAGCCCTCGAAGTACCCCTGAATTTCCTTGCCAGACGCGAAGAATTGTGACCAGTCAGGCTTCGGATCCCATGTGAAGTTGTAGTCGTGTGAAGGGATATCGCAAGCAACACCAGGGTATGTGTTCTCGTACCATGTTCCACCAAATTGCGGGTTCTTTTCAAATAGTGTGAGCTCCCAAGACCCTGGTTCGAGCATCTTTTCCATCTTGTAAGCTAGGCATAGTCCCGACGCGCCTGCACCAGCACAGGCAACCCGCAGCTTGGTTGGCTTTGAGTGGTACTGATTCAGGATTTTGTAAGGACCTTCGACATGCGATGGTGGGTAGTCGTAGTTGTGACCAAATCCGTTTACGCCGTTGAGCCCATTGGGCATTTCGAATGCTCCCATGTTGAGGACTGGCAGTATTGCTGTTGCGCAACAATACAACACAAGCCCACTGATAAGTTAATGTCTCGTAGTTCTTGGAGGGTAGCTAGATGCGAACAAATGAGGTTTACGAGGAAGAATGCGTTTAACAATGCGGTAGGAGAGATAGGGCGGAGGTTACCACACCATCATAGCGCGACGATCAGATATCTCTGGTGTCTTTAACCGTTCCTCGGGAGCTTCATACGACTATTTGACAAGTCGCACCACCAGCGTACTTCCTCGTGCTCCGGTTGGTGCATGGCTCGCGGGACACGTTAGGCCTTTTCTTGTTGGTAACTCTTCCGATACGACTCATGTGAATGCAAGCTGCGGTTAGGTTGCTTTTCGACAGGCCCAGAGCGTAAGCTTACCCCATGTTTGTGCGGCGGCGAGGTGTTGTGGTGGAGGCCTCGGAAAAGCTGACGCGGGGCTGTTGCCACCAACGCGAACGATCGCACGCGACTCAAGGCTACCATGATAGCCACAACGAGTAGCGCCAGAGAGCGTCTTCGAAGATAAACACTTGCAAAGGGTGGGACTTTTAGAGAAATGGAAGATTCTCTAAAAGGTATCAGTGTACTCTGCAAAAGCTCGATTAGAAAACATTAGCCGTGTAAGGGAAATGGCCAGAGCCTGAGTAAATCTCTCCAATCATCACCATATTAGAAGTGCTTGTTATAAAGTACTAACAAACCTACAGCTTCGCCTTGAACCCTTCATTCATCTTCTCTGCATCCCGCTTTGCCCAGTCCTTGATCACCTTCCTCATGATCTTCCCACTTTGCAGCTTTGGCACCTCGTCTACGAATACAATGCCACCCACCAGTTGCTTATGCTTGGCAACCTTAATTTTCATGTGCGCATGAATGTCCTCTTCGGTAGTCTTGCCCTTGAAATCATCTTTCAAAGCCACATAGGCCCTTGGCCATTCCTGCCCATCAAGTGTGATACCGACAGCCGCAGCGTCGGCAATAGGATCGAATTCTAGTAATACAGCTTCGAGCTCTGCTGGTGCGACTTGAAGCGCATTGACTTTGATGAGCTCCTAGAGTGAATAGTCAGTACATTGTAACGGCTGGCAGGGTATGGAAAGCTCTCACCTTCTTTCGGTCAACGATCCAAAACCAGCCGTTCTTCACGATGGCCACATCTCCGGACTTCAGCCAGCCATCAGACGTTATCGACTCTTTCGTCGCGGCTGGGTTTCTCCAGTATCCTAGACATATATTTGGACCCCGTACATGAAGCTCACCCGGTTGGCCGTCGGGTACCTCCTTGCCGTCGTCGTCGAGTAGCATACATTCGCAATTTGGATCCAACTGCCCAACACTTCCAGAGCTACAATGTGTCAGAGATCATATGAGTGAATGCCAGACAGATCTTGGGACATACTCATCAACAGTGCCCCCAGGAACATGTATTGCCCCGCATGTAACCTCAGTCATGCCCCAGCCTTGGACAATCTCGCAATCCAACTTCCTGCTAATTTCGTTCTGGAGCTCTTTGGACAGTGGTGCTGCACCACACAAAATATCGGTGACGCTGCTTAAGTCGTACTTTGCGGTCTCTGGTCTTTTGCTGAGCATGACCATGATGGGCGGCGCAATTTGAAGGTGAGTAACCTTCTGATCCTGGATCGTGCGTAGGAATGGCTCATATTCGAACTTTTTCATGATATAGACCGGAATCTGTAGTTTCTGCGCCATAGCGATGGTGTAAAGCTATATTCAAATTAGCTGACCTGTTTTTAACGTTTCATGGACTTTGACTCACCTGCCCGTATGCATGATACAGTGGCAGAAAGCCTATCCATGTCTCTCGTGGTCGTGTATCTGCTTTCCATGGTTTGTTAAGATAGCGCATGAATATTGTTTGATCAAGGTTAGCGATGATGTTGTGGTGGCTGACCTCGACACCTTTGGGCATCCCAGTAGTTCCTGACGAGAAATTGACTGTTGCTGTCGTGGTCACCGCTTCCTTCGCCGATAATACCGGAAACGAATATGCGTCTCCCTCGGCCTCGGAAGGTAAGAAACTTCGCCAGTCCTGACAGCCTTCGTAGGGCGCATTGAGCTCATCAGAGAACATGAAGACGCGACCGGTTGGAAGACCAGCTCCTTTCGCTGCTGCCAATGCAGTTGTGGCCAGTGATGGATGTGCAAGAATGAATTGTGCTTCTGTATTGGTGACTTGATGTATCATCTCTGAACCAGGTGAGTTTTCTGACATGTTCATTAGCAGTTGATATGAACATACCGGACACTGTGTAAGCAGGATTTGCACCGCTGAAGATGCGTTTCGATCCAACGATTCCTAAATATGCAACTGGAACAAAGATGTGGTTTGGCGTGAGAATCATAACCACCTCCCCAGGCTTGCTTCCTATACGATCTAAGCCTAGGGCGAGCCGCTTGGTCCATTGCAGAAGGGTCCGCGGCGTAAGGGTGGTGATTGATATCTGCCGAGTCGATCCACAAGGGGCGTGTCTGAAGGCTGTACTACCTCTCGGAAACAGGTAATCGAGCAAGTTACATTTTGGCATGTCCAGCGCAGGGAAGGGCGAAGAGAACGGCATGGCTGTGGAAGTACTCAATCAGGTAGTAGAAGATAAGGAAGGAGACCTCCGGCGGCAGCAACACAGGAAACCATCATGAAAGGTATCTTATAACAAGTTTTGGAAAATTGGGGTTAGTCCTACTAACAGCCGTGCTACATCCGGCGCGACGAGACATTTCGCGGGGGCGCACAGACGTTTGCTGCTGGGTTCCGAGGATATCGGTCGACCTCAGCCGCCCAGCCTGTAGATACCTGCAATACCCAGGATTTCGTTGGAAATGGACTACAACGATTTCCTGCTTGGGTCGAGTCTAACACTTTTGCGTATATTTGCAGGAGATTGACCAGCATGTCTGAACTCAAGAACTTTGAACGCATGTTCCGCCTCGACGGCAAGGTCGCACTAATTACTGGAGGTGAGCTTCGAAACGCGTGGGAAGCGGCGCAAAACTGATGTATGGCGTCAGGGTCAAGAGGTCTTGGTCTCCATACAGCGACGGCATTTCTCCTAGCAGGCGCGAAGAAAGTTTTCATATCGGCGCGCAAGAATGGCGGACCTGAGGGCATCGACCAGGCTGTGGAGAAACTGAACAAGCTGCCCGTGTCTGGTGAGGCGGTGGGCATTGCAGCCAATGTCGCTGACACGGCTGACATTGCGCGCCTGGTGAAGAAGGTGCAGGAGACGGACGCGACATTGGACATTCTGGTGTGCAACGCGGGGGCAACCTGGGGAGGAGCCTTCGACAGCCATCCAGACTCGGCGAGCCAGAAGGTGTTGGACTTGAACGTGAGGGGTGTCTTCAACCTCGCGCGATTGTGAGTGTGAAGGAATTGAAGCGACGTGAGCAATACTAACGAAGCACGTACAGATTCGTGCCGCTGCTGGAAAAGGCAGGCACGCGACAAGACCCGTCGCGCATCATCATCGTCTCATCAACGGCAGGCACCACGGTGCCTCATGTTGGCGAACACGGCACCATAATGTACAGTGTCTCCAAGGCCGCCGCCCATCATCTATCGCGTCAGCTCGCTGTCGAACTCGGACCGCGCAATATTACCACAAACACAGTTGCCCCTGGCTTCTTCCCCTCCAAGCTGGCCAATGGATTGATTGAGCTGCTAGGTGGCCAGCAAGAATTGGAGGATTGGAATCCGCGGAAACGACTGGGCGAGGCCGAGGACATTGCAGGCGTCATGATATACCTTGCGAGCCCTGCTGGTGCCTACGTGAATGGCGAGGACATAGCCGTTGATGGTGGTGTCAGGTATGCAGCAGGCAGACAGTCGAAGCTGTAGTTGCAACTTTGTTCTTGCAAATTCTGAATTACTGCATTACAATTACTAAACGTCAACGTTCCCTCCCCATGGAGTGTGTTCGCCTTTAGTCTTGGTCTTTTCGATCCTTTCCAGCTGCACTGCCATGGATGTAGCCTTCATCATCGTCTTCATGTTCTCGTCACAGTACTCTGCGCCATCCCGGATGTACATGTTCTTGCCATTGATTTCCACGGCCAGTCCCCAGTTGTCTTTGGCCTGAACCTTTCGTCCCTTGCTGTCCTCAAAATCTTCACCATCCACCAGCTTGACCACAGTATGCCACTACTGTCTCCATGGGCGTGAAGAAACTCTCTGGGAACGACTTCCATTCCTCCGTGCTCAAAAGTCCGGTCTGAACCGTCCCTGGGCAGGTCGCAAACGTCCTGACACCAGCGTGGTGGTATGCGACAGTGATGGCGCGATTGAAGTGTATCACTGCGGCCTTGCTGCCCGAGTACATGGGACAAAACTCCGATGGGTAGAGTCCTCCGCAGCTGGCAGTCATGACAAGGACCGGGTCACTAGTCTCTTTGCCATGCTTGGCTAGCGATTTGCGGAAGTAGTGAAGCGCAAGCCACGATGTGTTAATCACCGCTTTGTAGTTGATATCGACCACGAGGCTGTTAGGCGGGGGCGGAGGCGCGTCAAGAGGATGTTCTTCATAAAAGTCTAGGGCAAGTTAACGGACGCTCGTCTGCGGCTCCTGCATGATATTTACGCACTATCTCTCTCGACAATGCCAGCATTTGCAAAGACAAAGTCGAAGCGGCCAGATGATGACCATGCTGATTCGAATGCTGATGTCAAAGACGCGTAGTCGGTCACATTCGTCTGATGCGAGTACGCATTCTTCACGAGAGACGTGGCTTTCTTGAGAGCTTCGGCATTGAGATCCACGAGGTGAAGATCCCAGTCTTCGTTACTTCGAGAGGCGAGGCTTTGTGCAACAGCAAGGCCCATTCCGCTGGCACCGCCGGTAATGAAGGCCACTTTCTTGACCATGTCGAAATTTGATGGGTGGGGCCGGGTTCGTCGTCTCACAACCAAGACAGCAATCTCAATAGAGGATCTGTCAGACAGTTGCCCTAACTATAGAGATCAAATAACAGGTTTCGTTCTTTAGAGCAAGGAGGGGTCCTGCTCCACACACGCACACACACACGTGGTACCCAGGTACGCTGGATAGACTGCCGAGTCGGTGTTTTGCTCGGTACCTTGCCCTGCGGACACCAATCGCTTCTTCTTCCAGGCGGCCCAGTCTGAGAGCGAATGGGCTCGGTCTTTCTCCATCGCCGAAGACGGATTGACATTGTACCTTCAAAGGACTTAGAGAAACATGGGTCCAGATTTTCAATGGTTTGTGGTATGAGGCCTGCTCCGAACGCGTGTGTGATCCTCGGAACGAGCGATTCATGTACCCCGCATTTCGACATTCACCTGTGTCAGCCCTCTTGTACCAAGCGCGATCGGCGACACGGAAAACAAACTGCGAGCATGCTCCTGCTCATCCGGACACCACATTTCTCGTCTTGCAGCCACGCTGCAGCGCCAGCATGGACGGATGTTCCACCTCCTGGCAATGCCTAGATCGAAGTGGGTCAGAGAACCTGTTTTTCATCGGATTTGGGGTCTCTGTTCTGCTTGACAGGTGAGCCTGCTTACGAACACGTCTAGCAGTGCCACGAAAGCTCTATTGGCTGTTCATATACCCCTCTTGACATCCCATTACTGGAAGTGAATCTTTATCTTTCATACTTCAATCATTTTGTTCTCAAACTGTGTTGAGATAAGCTACTATGGGTCTTCAATACTCCCAAAAGAACTTGCCTAAGCAGCTCTTTATCAACAACGAATACGTTGACTCCAAGAATTCCAAGAAGCTTACTCTGTACAATCCAAAGGACGGGTCGCTGGTTTCTAATGACGTTCCTCTAGCTGGTGAGCAGGATGTAGATGCCGCTGTCGAAGCAGCCGAGAAAGCATTCCCAGCATGGAAGAAGATGGGTGCTACACAACGCCGCAACATCCTACTAAAATTTGCCGATCTGATTGAGAAGCATGCAAACGAGATTGCACAACTGTCTAGAATCTCATTGGGTGCACCGGCTTCCTTCGGAGCCTTCGAGGGCGGGCTCTGCGCAGAAGTACGTCTGAGAATCACTCTCCATGAATGCCCCAATCCTGTGCTGACCAGTCGCGGCAGACCTTCAGGTACAATGCCGGTTTCATCGACAAGTTTGGCGGCGAGTCGTGGCCACAGGAAGACGGTTTCCTCAAAATTGTACGCAACGAACCCCTCGGTGTCACCGCTGGTATCGTACCGTGGAATGGGCCCATTGGCACCATTGGTCTTAAAGCAGGGCCTGCTCTTGCGACTGGTAACTGCTTCATCCTCAAGCCCTCAGAGAAGACGCCTTTCTCGTCGCTGGCACTCGGCACTCTTATCAAGGAAGCTGGCTTCCCACCTGGTGTATTCCAAGTCTTGTCCGGAGATGGTAGCACGGGAGCTCTGCTTGCAAGTCACATGCGAATTCGCAAGGTCTCCTTCACTGGAAGGTAAGTTCCTGTTTGGTGTGTGATTTCGTGCATGAGACGTTGCTGACTTCGCATTCAGCATCGCAACAGGCAAAAAGATCCAAGAAATGGCAGCAAAGTCGAACCTCAAACGCGTCACACTCGAACTTGGCGGCAAGTCGCCTGCTGTTGTTTTCGATGACTGCAACCTCGAGAACGCAGTGACTTGGACCGCGAACGCCATCACCGCCAACACCGGCCAGGTCTGCTTCGCCGCATCGCGCGTCTACGTACAAGAAGGCATCTACGAAAAGTTCATCGAGAGGTACAAGGAGGCCATGAAGAACAAAGCAAAGGAGATCGGTGATCCAGAAGCCGAAGGCACAAACATGGGACCTCTCGTGGACGAGGCGCAATTCAAGCGTGTCCAAGGCTTTATCGAGCGCGGCCAACAAGGACAAGGCACTCTCGCCGTCGGTGGCAAGCGCGTCGGGGACAAAGGCTTCTACATCGAACCCACAGTCTTCACAGACGTTGACCCTAAATCTGAGATCCATTGCGAGGAGATCTTTGGCCCTGTATCGGTCGTCAAGTCGTTCAAGACAGAAGAGGAGATCATCGAGCTATCGAACAACACCAACTTTGGTCTCATGGCTGGCGTCTTCACACAGGACATCAACAAGGCGTTGCGAGTGGCGAGTGACTTTGATTCTGGAATGGTTGGTATTAATTGCGTCAGTTTGATGTTCACTGTCACGCCGTTTGGTGGAAGCAAAGAGAGTGGTTTGGGCAGGGAGTGCGGTATTCATGCGTTGAGGGCATTCACTGAACCTAAGACTATCATGATCAACATGACTTACTAGTCTTAAATAGTGCTAGTAATTCACTTTACCTTTTACAATCTTCGCCGATTGCAACAATTGAGCAGGGCATTGCACTATGTCACTGACTGCTAAAACACGCCCACGTGTTGATATTATGTGAGGGGGTAATGCCGGTCCTGAACAACAAGATAAGGGGGAAAGGGTCTTGCGAATGAACTGGTAAGCTGAAGCTATGCATGGTGTCTTTGGAAAACAAATGCTACAGTAATATCCTGGGTACAGCTTGAAGCTATCGGACAGGCTGCTAGATGTGGCGAATTGGTCACTTTACGTCACAGTTGACAATAAGTAACGTTATATATTTCGACCTGCTGTTTACTTTCAATGATTCCTTGTCAACGCTCCTTCGTGGTGATATCTTTTATGGAATGATCTTAGCCTTCCGCATCCTATCAAACACACCTCCCCAAGCCCTTTTTGTCCCTCTCTCTTCGTCAAATCCAGTGCTGTACATCTTGTTCATGTCATACTGCCTATCAAAGTCAAACTGTGTCATAAGGAAGTACTCAAAGCCTGGAAACACCCGCTCACTATCTGCATGGCCCGTCTGCAAGCCGTGCTGTTTTTCCAAGCCATGCCACACATCAATGTGATCTTTGATAAATTTGCGCATCTCTGGTGGGTTCGGCGTTGGGCCCGTACCTTCCAAGCCAAAGAGGGAACATAGGGTCGGCCATTTGGCAGACCAACTCGAAGGGGTTTTTTCGTCTGCGACGTTGTACCCACCGCCTTTCTCTGTGTTCTTGTCGAGCGACAAATGAATGGTTTGCCGAGCAATCATGTCACTGCTCGAATCTTGACTCAACGCCTTCCAACTTTTCTCTGTCCCTGGAAACGGACACTGACTACCCTTTCCATGGACTTCTCGCCACAGCGATAGATAGATGCCCATGGAAGAACCGAGTGAATAAAAATTCTGGTTCGGCACGAAGCCAATGATGATGTCGGGTCGAGTGTCACACCAACTCCACTTTCTTTCTTTGGCAAGGTCGGCGATGAAGTCGAGCTGGGGGTGGTAGAACAGCATTTCTCCCCAACGGCCTTCGAGACGGCCTTGAGACTCCTTGTGTGGTGTTTTAAGATGTGGTTGCGAGTAGCCTTGAACGGTGGCGAGTAGGTGACACCCATCTGAATTACAGTCAAGCTCTACCAGTATCTCTGGAAAAAGTATACGTACACATTTTCGCACCAGTCTGCAGCACTACGAATTCCAAGTTCAGGCACAGCTTATCCACGGCTAGCAGCGTCTTCTTCCACATCTCCACTGCCTCTTCTAGTTCCTTTTGTATGTCTGTGCCAGCCTTGTATGCCAGATAGTAAACGTGGGTAACTTCTTTGATGTTAGGTATCTTGCTTTGCAGCTCCGTTTCGAGATCTTTTTGTGAGCCGGCCAGCAAATCGATACCAGAGACGATGTTCAGTCGCGGATCATTCGGCCACTGAGACTGCTCTTGCGATAACGGGCGGTTTGTGAGTGCGTGAGCACACTTCCATGTGCCTGATTTGGGGTAGTCTTGCAAGATCTCGTTGATGAAAGACCAACCCGTCACGCCTGAGGCACCAAAGACGAGTGCAGATTTCGACATGGTGCTTGTGGAAGTAAAAACGGGTTTAACTTTTCGCAAAAGATGCAATTACAGCAACATGTTCAGGGACATGCATATGTCATCTGATGTTCCTCGGTGTACAGCGTTCTAGGATGGCGCCACTGCTGCATATCCTCAAACATGCCTTATCCCCACACCCTAGGCCTATACTTCTCCAGCAGCGGCAAAGCGTGTTCGAAAGAGGTTTATTCGACGCGTGATGAGATGGCAGCTGCGGCATCTACATGCAGCCGAGCGGGCCTGAAGCCGTCCGGAAAAGCCTTCCCGACCTGTGAGGCACCTACCAACTGCCCCGCGCATGCGCGAAACAGTAATTACACATGTGTAGATCAGCTAGCGACTGTATTCTTCGATACATGCTGTTGTTAGTGTCGTGCTGGCCTGTTTATCTGGGCACATGGAAAGAAGTGGTTGAGGCCAGTGGTTGTGACGTCATTTGCACTAATCGGCGTGCAGTGAGGAGACACGATGAAAGCGAAATCTGTGAAGACACATGATCCCGGAACACAATTGGATCCCACGAATCGTAACAACGCATTGAATTGTTCACAGTGTCTGAACTCATGAGATGGCTTCAAGAGTACCTTATCTGGATTTTGACACAGTCCACACCCGCAATGTCACATTTCCTGGGCACTCCAATCAATCGGAGCATAACCCAGAATTTTGGGCATTGGGTATGAGGCTATATATTTGGACATGCAATAGGCTTAACATTAGAATCCCTGTCCACATCAAGAAGCGTGTTCCATTACGACCTCCATCCGCCGTGCCTAGCATGCCATCAATGAAACTCGTTCTTCTCTGCATAGATATCATTCTCTAGGAAGATCTCGACCTTATTCGTCATCTTGGGTGTTATGTCTTCACAGTACAAGATGCAGAGCAGCCCAATGATACCAAAGCTCAATGAGCTGAGTGCAACAATCTTGAGTCCATGTGCATAGCTCCATTGGAACGCGAGAGAGGCAGCGCCGACTGCTTCTGGTGTTGTTCCTGGTACCTGAGCGATGGCTGCTGAACCAAGAGGAAATGCTGCCAGCAGAGACTGGGCGTTCTCTGGAGACATTCCCGCAGCAATGGCTGCAGCTGGAACGGTTATCGCAGCACGAGCTGACTGAGTGTTTGCCAGGATGGTGGTATAGATAGCTTGAGCAAGCGAACCTCCTGCGTATCGCGCCATTCCTGCCAGACCTCCGCTGAAGCCAAGATCCGTTTGAGGCACGCCAAGTTGTGTGAAGGCAATCGACTCATATTGTGCCCACCCGAAGAAGCCTGATGTGTGTCAGCGGAGAGTGTCGCAACGACTCGCAGTAATACTATGACTTACTCGCATTGATGCAACAAAAAGCGATCATCATGGGCTGGTTGAAAGGAGTAACAAGGCCCATCAGTGCTCCGAATAGGACCATGCCAAACCAAGTTCCGGCCAGATTCCACTTCCAGTGACCAATCGCGTTTCCAAACGCCATCAAACAGAGTGATCCGAAGACGAGACCGACGTTCGGAGGTAGAGTTAGCAGTAGCTCTGTGCTACGCGATACACCAGGACCAATGTAAAATACATTGACCATAGTAGGCCAGATGATGTTAACGCTGTAATAAAACATCGTTACAATAAATGCAACGATGAATGGCGCAGTGAATTCTCTTCCCTTGTGGCTTCGAAAGAGATGTGGCGGGCAAAGCTTGAACCGAGTGTTGGACAGGGTTTCCCACACGCCAAATGCAGCGATGAGGACGAATCCGACGACCATGGGGGCGATCACAGTAACGTCTGAGCTTGGCTTGTATGTCGTACTGATGATTCCAACTAGTGCGAGGACTATGCCAGGAACGATGAGTGCTGTGCCGACATAGTCCAATCCCTTGTATGCTTCGTGCCATGGAACACCTTTGGGGTGCTTGGGCGGCTTGTAGAAGGCAAAAATACCGGCAAGGGAAAACAATTGAGCGATGAAACCGGCCCAGTACACATACCTCCAGGCACCTACATCGATGGCGTACTGTTAGGAATTAGCAAATGTGCGGCGGTGATTGATCAAATATATACATACCCTACCAACAATGGGACCGATGATCACGATAAGGAACACAAAGCCATCCGAGAGACAAATTCCGATATGTCGGAACTTGTTGGGTAGAAGCTCTTGTTATATTTAGCAGCATTGTATGACGTTTCATGAAGACAGTCTCACCAGGGATACTGCACATAGCCATTTGTGCGAAGCCTGCTCCAAATCCAGTAATCGCCAGACCAGCAGTGAAATGATCTGCACCCTTTGCTGTCGCGGTGATGATGAAACCAACGCAGCAGCATGCATTGCCGAACAACAGAAACAATCGGCGTCCAAATAGATCCGAATTTGCCCCAGCCAGCAAGAAGCCGATGGCATTGGCTGTCGTGTATGCTGGTACGAACCACGCACTTGCGGTAGGCAATCCGAATTGTATTGCTAGCTTCGCCATCATAGCTGCTGTCGTAGGGACTGGCCAGAAGGAGAGGCCAAATGTCGAAGATAGGATGAAGATGACAAACCAGGTCTTCAAGGTGATGGTGACTGTTTCTCCATCCTCGTTCTGTAGCGGTTGCTTGGTCTGGCTGGATGTATCGTAAAGTTGTTCGATACGATCAGTCTCCGGCTTCTCGACGGACGAACGGCCACCACGTATGATTTTGGGCACTGCCATAGCGACGAAAAAAAGTTTGTAGGTAAGATATACGACAGTTTGGAGGGGCTCAAAACAACCTCTAGTTCCAGCGACTGGTAGAGTCGAGATATCTTATTGTAAATATGCAAGTGCTATCTTAGCACTACTTCCTTGAGCTTCTCCACTCCCTGGTCACCAGACTGTCGAGACTCAGCTTTGTTTTGTCGCCATTTTGGGTATATCCAGTGAGAATACGCGAGCACTCAGCTGCAATCTAGGGTGCATAGGCGCCTGGAAGTGGGTATCCGGGCAAATTGAGGGGATGTATATCGCGCTTACCACAAAAAGAGGCGTATGGAATAGTGGCGTCGATCGAAGTTTCGTGGGATGTACAAGTCCGGCCACTCGGACCAAGCATGCGTTGTGTGATTGGAGTGGAAGTACTTTCTGACTACTTTCTAGCTAGGATCAACTATAGGATCATCCGCATTCATGGATCTTAGTCTCATTATATTCTTCATTACTAGCTATGTCCATCTGATGCTAGTTACGCAAAATACCATCCGTAGCATCGCATTCAGGAATTGCTTTTCCAAATGCAATGAGATCATGCCTGGTGTGCCTAATCAGCTTTCGCTCTTCGTTCTCGATCACATGCCTTGGAGCTCACCCTGCCATGACTTTGATACCACTTTTCTTGTAGTCCATGAAGTGATCAGCATCTGGCATCAGCGCGGCGACATACTCTGGACTGCTCGCAAACTCAACCCAGTCATCCCAGCTTCTGACCCAGATCTGGCTACACGCGTCGTAGTCCAGTAGCTGTGAAGTTAGTTGATATTTTGAATATGCATGTATAGACAACTTCACCTCCATGCCCAGTTCCTGAACCTTCTTTTTCATCTCTGGTGACTGGTAGAGCTGGACATAGCGCTGGATTTTGACTGCGTGAAACTTTTCGCACGCAACAGTCAAGTCTGAATGAACATGATTGTAGTGCTTCTATAACCACAGCGATCAATGTTTAGCGTTCGCGTCATAAGCCTTGTATAGAAAAAACCTACTTGGAAGTGGTCATCGTCGACGCCTGGGAGTTTCTTGAAGTAGAACGACAGTTTGATACATGCTGAGAAGCATGCATTGTCAGAGTGTGATTTTCTTTTCGGACAGACCAGGAGCAACAAACGCTGATAATTCTCTTTCACGTCCCATTCAAACTGCTCGTTTGCAAACTGATGCTGCTTGGATATGAGCAAGACTATGCAATATTCCGGAAGAGTACCCACATCGACTTTGTGATGAACCATGATGTTAATTGTCGCTTGTAGTGAAAAGGCGTAGCTTTACAAAGAAGTCCGCTCAGTTGGCAAGTATTCTATACCTCACAATTTCTCCAGGACCGACTAATAAAACAGGCTGGAAACATATCACCGAGCCAGATACTGACCAAGGACATTGAGCGGGGCTCGGGTATAAAGTTTGAGGCCTCTCCACTAGTGATTGCACTATTGGGTCGAATTGTGAACTACCTATAGGCTATGGCACGGAGATTCGGCATCAGGGCACAAGAATTGCTTTGAGATCTGACAGTGTGGAATTGTGCACAGCACCATCATTCTCGAGATCAACCATCACAGTCTCGGCGCATTGCTATGATGGAATAGATACAGTGTATTGCTGCCGAACTGACAGTCTGAAATTACACATAGTATCGCTAGGCTTGAGATACGAGGGCGAGACCCTGTGTGTAGCTCAATTTGTTAAGCAGGTTGCCTGGTTGATCGCTTTCTGTCGTTTCTGATAAACAGTTAAACTGTAACTAACTTCTTAGACTTCCAAGGTCGATGCTCGCGGCGGTCTCTATCTCAATATTACATGCTACATACAACCACTAAGCATCGCAATGACATGGTAATCTCGGAACAATATTTACTTAATCCACATACCATAGATGGCCCCAAAGAGTGGCCAGGATGTGCGACGAGTACGCGCAAATCATGATGTCTTGCATTATTTGCGCCTCAGACGCAGGAGCGAGTTATTCCTCCTTGCCTTTGGTATGCCACTCCAAACTTCAGCTCTGCGACTGCTAAAATACGACAACCTGTCTTTTCTCCGCTTTTCCAGCTTCCATATCCGCAACCATTTGCGGCAAATCGTCGATCTTACGGAACACAACCTCAGGCTCAATGCTGTGCGGATGTCAGATTGCTGAACAGTGAAGAGGCTTCAAATCGACATACCCATGCTTCCCTGTGAAGTCTACAGCCTTCTTCATACGCTGTGGGATGCCTGTGCTATCGGCCTTGACACGATAGCGGCCAGTTGTCAAGTCGAAAGTGTTTATAAAGTCAAGGCCCTTAGGTGCGATCCCAATCACCATCAGCAATCCACCGGTTCGCAGGACTTCCGGTGCCCCAGCATACGCGGCATTTGACGCACTATAAACTGCAGCAGCGTGGCAACCTTTGCCTGTGAGCTTCTTGATCTCTTCTACATAATTCTTGTTCGTCATGCTGTTGAACACCGCATCTGCCCCGACTTTCTTTGCCATGGTCAACTGGTTTTCGTTTATGTCCAGTCCGATGGTCTTGATGCCCATCTGAGATAAATGAGCAAAAGATACCAAATTGTAGGAATAGACATATACTTACAGCCTTTGCGTATTGTATCGCGTACTGTCCCAATCCTCCACAGCCAATAATCGCTAACCAGTCGCCCTGCTTCACTTCACAACTGTCCACAGAATGAAACGCCGTGATACCTGCACAGAACAACGGAGCTGTTTTGGACATGTCTAGGTTTGTAGGTAACTTCACGGCATTCTGCCAGTCCACGACCGCATACTCTGCAAAGAAGCCGTCCACGACAAAACCTTGGAGTCTCTGATTACCCGTTTCACAACGCATGTTGTGTACCATGCAACCGTCACATTCGAAGCAGCAACCAATGAAGTAATTGAAGCCGATCGCATCACCGACGGCGAAACCCTTGTCTTGGATGTCCGCACCGACGGACTCAATGTAGCCGACGCCTTCATGTCCCAGCGTGACCGTATGGTCGGGTCGCATGTCGAAGAGGAGATCTGAGTGACATAGTGAAGCGGATTGGATTTTGACGAGAAATTGATTTGGTGCTTCTGACGGCTTCGGTACGTCGTTTATGACGACCTTTTTCTGCTTGCTACCAAAGAGCATCAGCTACGAGCAACATCAGCTTGAACGGTACTCACGGATCCCATTGTCCAGCCTTCATAATGCAACTATTTGTATTATTGTACGTAAACTTGTAATTTTGAGGACTATGGTGGCATGAATGCTTTATAAAGAGTAAGCTATGTACCGTTCACTTTGTGGTAGGAGACGACACGTTGTAATTCGCAGTATATAATGCAATTAAAGCCGACCCAACTGTTTCGATCGGCCTGCTAACATGCCCGCAGCTGTTTACACGGCTTTCGGAAAAGGATGACCGACATCCTGTGGTCCAGAGCAGGAGTTCGAGCTTGGAAGTGAACGCGCGGGGTTCGGCGGGCTGAGTTCTCCAGACCAAAAACCACTGCGAGCTATATGCTGCACACTTACGTCACGCGTTTCTAGTGGACCATCCGGATCCGGACTCACTTTATTGCAGTGGAGACGGTGAAGACATGGTCACAGGTGGATGTAAAATATTCGCAATGCCTAGTCCAGCTTCACGTGACGTACACAATGTTATCATAGGAATAGTGGTATCTGAATAATGAACATTATATGTTACGCCACCACGAATTGCACTCCCGACGCGAGGTTGGCATTGAACTCCTCGCGCGGTTTTTTCAATTTGGGTGATGGCCACGTCCAATGGTAGTGCGGGTATCCTTCATAGAAGTCGAACTTGGTGGCAACTCTGTCACTCGTTAGTGCTGGTTCGCACTCACAATATGCCTTCACGCACTTGGAATCATCAAGCTTTTGCTTGAATAATAACCCATCATCTCGGAGCGTATCCTGACCAGCAACAGCAAGATACACTTTCTTTAGCTCACCGATCCGAGAATGGAGCAGCGGCGAGGCGTGTGGATCAGTGGGCGGAGCGCCAAACGCGTCTATAAATGTCAATCTCCCACGCGTGTACTATGGCGTTCATCCATAGCTTACCCCAGAATGCTTCCATGGCGCTCGCTGTGTTGATGGTATGCTGATCGTGTTCCACGTACGACGTGTACTGTGATTTGAGAGACTCCGGTACGGCCTTGGGATGTACGGTCGCAGGTACGAGTGCAACCACACCGGCCAGCGAGCCACCCAGGCCTTCGTCAATGGCTTTGAGCGCGACACCGAGAGCTAGTCCTGCACCAGCGGAGACGCCTGAAGTAAACACCTTACTTTCGGCACACCCCAGTTCCTTTGCGTGCTGCAATGCCCATTGTAGTCCTTTCCAACAATCGTTGATGAGCCCAGGATGCTTGTTCTGCGGCGCAAGGCCGTACTCGATTGACACTACCACCACATTTCCACCTATCGAAATGCTTCGAGCGAATGCGTCGTCTCCGTCTATATCGCCCATGGCCCATCCACCACCATGAAAATATACGCCGATCGGACTGCCTCCGCTGTAGCCTTGAGGGGTGTATATGCGAACTTTAAGGCCATCGGTTATGGCCCTGTCTTCGGAGTCGACGCCGGGGTCGAGTGGAGGAAAGGAGTATTTGGAGACCATCAAGCCTACGATTTTTGTGAAGCCATCTTGACAAGAGGAGAGAGGTCCTTGGAGCAGCAGGCGTTCACCTAGTTCCTCTTCGAACTTCACAAAATCAGCCATTGTATCGCTCCGCATTTTATAACTGCTTACCTCAACCCACGGCTGTGCAAACCCTTCTGAAGCCATTGCACTCAAGCTTAAACAAGTAGTGGTTCGATCGCGAACAGAAGCTCATCTTCACTATTTGCTTTGTGAGCTTCCCACCAATCACGTCTGTATCGCACCGTCTGAACATGCGGAGCAGCTGGGCGCGTGTGTCGGCCGGAAGATGTCAGGGGTCTGAGCTCCAAGGCGAGCGCAGCTGCACGCGTAAAGATTTCCCGTCCTCCCCGCATACCTCGGCCTAGAACAATCAACACACCCCAAACAGTGTTGTATGTCGCGAGTCATGTCGTCGTTGTGCATGTCGTTGAGCTGGAGGTCGCATTTTGCGACTGGTCACTTCCCTCCATAACGACAATATCCACACAATGTCATCAAATCCCCAAGCAGACCCGAACCCAGCTTTTGCCCGGATCCCACCCTGGGTGAAGGCGAAACTGAGACCGATCGCGCTCGAAAAGATCCAGCAAGTCTACGATTGGGTGGAGAATGAGTGTATTCCCGCCGAGCGTATCTACAAGGCGCAGCTGGCCGCCAGTAAAACAAGATGGGAGACGCCAGCTATTATACACGATCTGAGGAAGAAGGCCAAGGCACAGGGCCTGTGGAATCTGTTCCTGCCAAATCACTTTGTCGAGAGCCCTGGCTTGACCAACCTGGAATACTCATGCTGTGCGGAGATCATGGGCAAGGTGTACTGGGCAGCCCAGGTGTGTATGCAGTTTCGTTTTCTAGAACCACAAGGCTGACCCGCGGAAGACGATGAACTGCCATGCTCCGGAGACTGGCAATATCGAGCTACTCGCCAAATACTGCACCCCGGAGCAGAAGAAGAAATGGCTACATCCCCTGATGAATGGCGACATGTCCTCAGCATACAGTATGACCGAACCAGACCGCGCATCTTCAGACGCCACGCAGGTCGGCATCAGCATGGAAATTACGGATGAAGAAGTGATCATTAATGGTCGCAAATTATATGGAAATTGCCAATACAACCCAGAGATGCAACTCTTCATCTTAATGGGTTGCTCGGATCCCAACAATCCAAACGCATGGAATCGTCACTCAACACTCGTTGTACCCGCAAATTCGCCTGGATTGAAGCAGGTCAGAAATCTTACCATCATGGGATATGACTGGGCACCAGAAGGCCATGGAGAATACATTTACGATAATGTACGTGTTCCTCGCGAAAACATTATCCTTGGGCCTGGCAGGGCGTTTGAGATTGCACAAGGACGGCTGGGCCCTGGTCGCATCCACCACTGCATGAGACTAATCGGCCAAGCTGAACGCGCTTATGATCTTGCGCTCGTGCGATGCATGGAGCCGCGCAAGAAGCCCCGTGGGAAATTCATTGGCGAGTTCGATAGCAACATCGAACGCATTGCAGACATGCGTATGACCATTGATGCAATGCGCCTCGTCGTCTTGAATGCTGCCGATACAATGGATCTTCAAGGGAACAAGGCAGGCAAGTATGCCATCGCACAGAGCAAGATTATGGTGCCCAACGCACTGATCAAGGTCATTGATGAAGCCATGCAAATCTATGGTGGTCAAGGCCTCACTCAACATACGCCTTTGCCTGAAATATGGACATACGCCCGTTTCGTTCGCGTTGCTGATGGCCCTGATTCTGCTCACAGGCACCAAGTCGGTCGCGAGCAGATGAAGACGGCGAAAGCGGCTCGAGAACGAGCAGCAAAGTACACGGAGAGGTACAAAGAACTGTGTCAGAAGTGGGGATTAGAGCCAGAAGAGTTCATGGGCATTGTATGATATTGTTCTTAATTGGATCCATTCTTGACCAACGCTCAACGGCTGCACGCAGCGAAGGCTTCGGCTCTTTCAAACTTGAAAGTTGTAGAACTCGGCAATTGAAGCAAGAGAGGTAACAAGCAGCATTGTTTAGAGCATATCCCAAGATACATCTACGTCTACGCAGATAGGCATATCGTCCGGTGTAATCGCGGGGCTGTTCCGATGCCGACCCACACCATGACGTATTCATCCTTATCCTCGTCGCTGTCAATCCATCATTCTCCATGACCGCTTTGTCGAAATGACTTTGAATAACGACGGATCCATTCAGCACTACGAGATCAACAATTTCAGGTTCCAAGATGGTACTGTGGTTTCGCGTGTGAAGGTGGCGTATCAGATCATCAACCCTACCAAGAGCAAAATCGCAGTCGTGCATACCTGTTTCCGCGGACGACTCAGTACGACCTTGAACTTCTCCAACGGTGTGCTCAAAGATCATAAGATCATTCTGGTTGCTTTGTTTGGCAATGGTGAATCTTCCAGCCCTTCGAATACTCCCGACTTCCCCGAAACCTTGGACTATCAGGACTGCGTAAAAGCTCAGCATATTCTTTTGACCCAAGAGCTGGGAGTAGACCACGTCGATGTTATGCTGGGCTTCTCCATGGGCGGTCAAATCACGTATCATTGGATTGTGACGCATACATCATTCGTCAGATATGCTGTCATCATATGTTCCTCCGCGAAGACGAGTCAACACAACTATCAATTCCTAGAGGGACCAAAAGCCGCGCTGGAAAGCGCTGTCGATGAATCACGCGGAAAGAGAGCGTTTGGCAAAGCATATTCTGCCTGGCTCACCAGCGCGGAATGGTTTGACGGAGCACTATACAAAGATATGGGCTTCAACACACTCTCAGCCTGGGATGAAGTTGCTACAGGGACTGGATATGATGACTGGGCAGGATCCGATCTTCTTTCGATGCTAGGCATGTGGCAGCGCGGTGATATCACTCGTTGCGTACAGGATGCGAACGGTGAGCTGGAAGCAGCACTGAAAAAGATTGACGCAAGGGTGCTGCTGATGCCATGTGAAACCGATCAGTACTTCCGTCCATATGTGAGCAAGAGAGAAGCGAATTTCTTGCAAAACGTTGAAGTGCAGGTTGTGCCCAGCATTTGGGGCCACATCGCAGGAGGTGGCGCGAATAAGAAGGATGTTGAATGGATGGATCAGAAGATCAGTGCGCTTCTTGATGCATAGAGAGTTGTACAGTAGCAGCAGGGAGTTGGGCGACAGAAGGTGGGCCGTTGTACGCAGATTACCCAGCCAATTACCACAACGATGCACGTATCTGTACTCGGATTAGAAACTTCCCCTCTCCCAGACAGGAATGCTGCTTGCGCTCTACCGATGAAAATTTTGCAGTCAAAATCGATTCCATAAACCACGCCCGTGTAGTCTCTATCCTTCATGAGATCCTAAACTATTCTGCGAGCAGCTGATAGTTGTCAGAGAAGGACATGGAGTTCCACAATAGCCTGCTGAGCATATCTACAATTATATCTGCGCCTATACTGGCTTCACTACTCTCTCGCATTTTCTATATGCAACGACTCCACCCACTTGCCAAATTTCACGGACCTTGGTATGCCATGTCCTTTTCGATAGTTGGCGCAATCATTTCTGTGAAGCCAAAAGAGCCGCAATTCTTTCTGAGCTTGGCTAAGAAGTATGGAAGTAGTTCCTGCAGATCTATGATCAACGATGTTGCTAACATTACGTTACAAGCTAATCAGTCAATTCGAGTATCGCCAACACTGTTGCTGTTCCCGCGTCCGTCTGCTTTGAAAGATATCTTCTGGGATCTACGGTGCAATCAAAAGGCTGTGCGGTACAATAGCCCTGCGTACGTTGTCTTTAGCTATGACCTACGCAAGTAGTTTGCGCTGATTTGAACTGATATCTAGATTGGGCCCACCTCATTTGTTCACGACAGTAGACGGTAACGAGCATCGTGCTCTTCGCAAGGGACTTTCATCCGCTCCTTGGGCTATAGATCCACTCAAGAACGCTTGGGAGTCTCGCTTCGATGATAAATTCAACCTCTTCGTAGCGAAGATGCGTGAGCATGCGGCAGCGAAACGCTCGATTTTTCTCTCTGACAAAGGGTCCGAGTTTGCCGCCGACATCATGAGTATGATTGCTTTCGGAGATCCATTTGGATTTGGGAGTGTTTGAAATTAGCGAGACGAGCGAAGCATCCTCACGCATTGGCGCAAGGGCTTAACCTTTTTCGGTGTTTGTTGGCGGTGGCGCTTTTTCCGAGAAAATATCCTCACATTTCCCTTGGTCGACCGATTCTGTCTACCGGAGTTCAGTTCTGGGTCAGGAATGGGTTGGCTGATGTCCGAAGTCAACCGCGCTGTTACGAAGCGTGTAGAGAATGCAGAGAAGTGCTTCAGTGGAGAGCCTGATTTCATGCGATAGTGAGTACTTGCACGACTCCATGGACCAAGTCCCTACCTATGGTAATGCTGAAGCAATGCAGCTGCCTGGAAGCCCGCTTCCCAGCTGGATCAAGCTTAACGACAACTCAAAAACGATCTCATGTGACTCTGTTGATCCAAGCTGGGGCTGACACCACAGCTACAGCTTTGGGCTCAATTCTCCGCTTCCTGATATGACTCCAACAGCTCTTGCACGCGTTCGTGCTGAGATGGCAGCGGCTGAAGAGGTAAAGCTCCTTTCATCACCGATTCAATCCGGAGACCAGAAAGCACTTGCCATACTTTGTTGCCACCATCAAGGAAGGTCTCCGCATGCATCCACCAGCTACCACTCTGTTCGCCAGGGTTGTGCCAAAAGAGGGGAAATGAATCGCTGGTCATTTTATACCTGGTGGCGCTAATGTTACGAGTTATGTATACACCGTGCAGCGTGACCGAGGGTTGTATGGAGAAGACACAGAAGGATTTAGACCAGAGCGCTGGCTCGCCGATCAGACAAGGGTCTTTGAATTGGAAGCGGCACAAGTCACGTTCGGCGTAGGCCCCTGTGTCTGTCTAGGGTAAAACATTGCTACGAAGGAAATGTAGAAATTATTGCCATAGGTAAGCTGAGCTAGTCACATTTGGCACGGGGACTAAGCTCGATTGTGCTAACCTTACAGATTGTGCGTCGCTTTGATATAGAGCTAGATTCGCCAAGGCAGTTTGCTGTTGACGGCGGTAGAGCCTACAGCATAGGCTTCTCAGGCACGCTCAGCGCGAGAGAGTAAATCTTACACTGGCGAGAGGACATGGCGTTTATACTGCAGTTGTATATCTACTTACTGATTACCTGTAACAGCATTAGTGCGCAGCTCAATCGCCCATCATAATGTTTTTCACCTTATTTGCCATTGCTTGAGCCATCATCCCCGATGTCTCCGCGCCACTCTTGAGCGTGCCACCGACACGCATAAAAGTCACCGCCTCGACCTTCAATCCCTTGCTTTCGATCAATTTCTGAGCATTGAACCCCCACCGGTCCTTGATGTCCTGCGATTCCTGGTTGCCGGCCATCGCAGCTACGTACGGCTTTTGCAGTTCGCGAAAGTCGTCATTTGTGATTTCAACACTACCGGGCGCACTCGCTAAGATGAACACGTAGCGATGGGGTCGGGAGTACACATAATTGGGAAGTGGAGACGGTGCGACGTATGGTGACAGACCAGAACCTTCGGAAACTGAAAGCGAACCGTCTGGTTTGGTAGAGACATTCGTGACGAGCCAGTGCCTGACTTGACCGAAATAGGTGTCATCGTTCATCATGAGATCCTGCGAATATTCTGTGAGCCTGAAGCGTCAATTGCGCTGGTGGTTGAACTTACTGGGTCAGACATGATGAGCACGAGATTGCTCAGTGGTTCAGATGGCTGCGTTTCGACAATGTCAGGTCATTGATTACGTTATTGTTAAGGAGTGACTACACGTACGGTAGGATTGAGATGTAAAGTCGGTTCAGGTTGCGTGTCCTCACGACCCAGCTCTTCGCCGGGCTTATCCAGCGTAGCACTGGGCCATTTCACCGTCAGATCGTAACTTAGATCCAGATTACCAGGAAGTACGTCCGTGATTACTTTGTGCTCAACCAGAGCTTGCTTCCTTTCTTGTGCGTTTGACATTGTGAAAAATCGATGATCTCTTGCTTAGGTCTTAGAATCGAGGCGGCGTGGTGGTAGAGTGTAGAATATCCTATGGTTAAGACTCAGGACATATGTCACCATTGATATCCACTACAGCAGTTTCATATCGTCATATTTTTTCCGTTGAATCCGAGACTTGCAATAATATTACAGACCTCAGGCCACAAGTGCAGCTGCAAGGTTTACGTGAATGACGTGCAGATGACATAATCGTCTATGAAGGCGATCATTCCTCAAATCGTCTCATATTTTGGTAAACTCGTATGATGCGCAATGCATCCTTGTCAATAACAGTATTGTCAAGTGGTTTCGCTAGCAGCCGTAGGGCGGTATTCCGGCGTCTTCTTCATTTCCAAGCACTTGCAGTCTGCATACCAGCTTCCTTTCCAGTCTGATACGTCCGGCTCAATGCATTATACAAAGCTTTCACTCTGTTTACTTCGGCCACCAAATTACTGCGCTGCTTCTCCTCTTTGATCTCCTCTATCACATCCAGCAATGACTTGGCAGTGAAGAACTTGTTCTTTCGATTGTACAGCGGCCTTTTTCTCATTTGGTCGTCCGTTTCCTCGCCTTGCACGCGGAAAACCTGTTCCAGGATGTCGATGTCGTATGGAATGGAGAACAGATCCCGACTGTCCTCATAAGTGAAGAGATAGTAAAATTCGGTGAAGCCTGACCACGTGATGCCACTCAGGCACAGACTACATGGCTCATGGGTGGCGAGGAAAATGCAGTCTCTACCTGGGTCCGGTCTTGTTGTTGAATCGGGATAGTCGATGGTGAAAAATTGCTGGATGCACGCGATCTCGCCATGAAAGAGGGGTGAAACACGCTCGTTGTTTGTGGCAACTGTTAGCGGCTTTACGTCATGTCTTGCGAGAATTGCGGCCCCGAACAGCTTGGAGCCTGATGAGACGCCTTTGCGTGTAAGTGGTATGATGAAATGCTCGATAGTCTTTAGAAGAGCTGAGACTATAGTCGCCGGTGACGACGTTTCCACATGTTCAGACATGACGAGAGTGTAGCGATGATACAATATTGGGTGACACGAGGGATGAGTCTCCGACGGGAATTTCGATATTGCGAGACTGGTGATAGGGAAAGGCATGACTATAACGCTAGATGCGTACTGATGATAAGGCGGCAGCTACCGATGGAGAACGGTACCTTCCGGTGCCCGGAAGCCAACCAGAGCAGCGATCTTGCCAAATGAAAGTCGAGAGGAACCTTTGCAAGAAACAGCCCATGGTGCTCCAGTAACCAATGCTAATCGAGAATGCGATAGCTGTCGTGCGAGCTTACCAACAAATGACACACACGGAACACATTTCGGTTGAAAGGCTCCTCTTGTAGTTTGCTTTAAGGCTGCAGTTATCACACCCCGTATTGCTTGTAACTTATAAAACCTTGAAAAGATGTTCAAAGATCACTGACTATTAACAAACAGCGCCATCTTCTTCATCGGCCTATTTGGGGTTTGACAGACGAAGTCGTCGGTCCCGTCGCAAGCTTCATCGATATCGCTTGCAGGTATGTATGTCCATTATTGCTACCTCCAAGATTTCCTCGCCGGCCGCAATGAAGCAGCCAATCTAGGAGCATATGCCTAGAGGTCATGATGGTCGTACAACGAAGCAGAAGTTGAGGTAGCACTTTTCTAGCCCCGCACTAAACGCATTTTGTTATCGATAGTGCCCCTCCAGATTGTGCGCTCGTCACTAATTCGTTTCACAACACCAAATTGTTGCTTACGTGCATATTTGTGCTTCAAATCCCAAACACAGTCGTCACTAAGCACACGGAATGAACTTGGCCTCTTTCATACTTGTTCTTTCCGAGCCATAGGCTGGACGAATTGGTCCACAAGGAATTGGCACAATCTTCGAAAAACACCCAACTTCTGCATCTCTACAGCGGCTTCTTAAGAGTAAAGCTTCAACTTTACCAAGTGCACCTGGTATAGCTTCATCAAGATGGCGCACCAAAATCACAGCAACACAATCTACCTCACCGAGCAGGATTCAAACCGCATCCGAGCCACAGCAAAGAACAGGATAAAAACCGCTTCAGAAGCAAAAGGCAATGGCAGACAACCGCGAGAAGCCACGCCGTCCATACAACAGGCGACCGGCGCCTCCCTGATGGCTGACATGGGCGGCGCACCAGATCCAGACATGACAGAAGCCCAAGGAGGCACGTTACCAGCCCTTACAATCGGCGCGCCATACCCGGCATGTACTCTGGATCTCGATGAGTTGGAAGAAATGGCGTTCACGGACCTCAAGATGGAGACTCATCATCGAGGAAAAAAGCTCGTCATTAAGCGTGCAAGTCCAGTCGTAGGGCTTGCGATCCGGTCGTGGTGCATGGTACAGGACGAAGAAGGCAAAGAGACGGAACGATTAGAGTTTGGATTGCACAAGTTGAGGCACGCTGAGGAAGTGTTGGAATTGACTAAGCAGTTCGTGATTAAGGAGCCGTATTATACGATGACGGATGAGGGTGAGGCTACTATTCGCATAGATCATCCCTCGGATCTGGTATCTATAATGGATGAGATTGCGGAAAGTGAGTTCAAGGATGCAGAAGCAGCGGAGAAGGCAGCTACGAAATGTAAGAATAAGGGCAATGCTGCGCTCAAAGAACAAGACCTACCAGAGGCGTATGCGAGATACTCCGAGGGCCTCAAAATTGCTACGGCGAACTCGATAGAAAGTTTGGCCAGGGACATTTCGCGGAATCGTGCATACGTCAGCTTGCTCCTCGGACAGCTAGATGGCGTGCTTGAGGACGCAAAAGCCTCACTAATTAACGAAGACGATCAGCGTTCAAAAGATCTCGATAGCAAAGCGTACTTCCGAGCTGGCAGCGCTGCATATTCTCTTGGACAATACGCCTTGGCCAAGAAATTATTTGAAGAACAACAAAAGCTCGCTCCTGGTGATAAGGACGCAAGGACATATCTAAAACGAATCACCGCTCGGGTTCGTGAGCAGGAGTCGGGCGGCTATGACTTCACTAAGATGCGCCTTAACCTGTCTCAAGCTCGCTCGCGCGTCGATGCCGCAACGTTCACTGGTAGTACCGAAGTCAAAGACAGCAAAAGCAAAGGCCGTGGTTTGTTCGCCACGCGCAATCTCGCTACCGGCGAGGTCATCATGTGCGAGAAGGCTTTTTGCGTCGTCTGGGGCTACGAGAGAGAAGCCATGACGGCCATGACCTACGACCTGCGGGACGACAGGATCCGCGTCTCGCCCATCGGTCTCAGTCGCGCGCTTGTGCAAAAGCTCATCAGCAACCCGTCTCAAATACCCGCCGTAATGGATCTATACGGCGACTGGGCGGGCTCTGACAGCAACGAAGAAGTCGTTGACGTTTTCCGCATACACGACATCATGTCGCGCAACGCGTTCGGCCCAGGGAATCAATTCGGAGAAGAGAACGCGAGAAATGCAAGTACTGGACTGTGGGTCTACGCGGCCTACATCAACCACTCCTGCATCCCCAACGCCACGAAGGAGTATATCGGGGATATGATGATCTTGAGAGCAACACGCGCCATTGCCGCAGGCGAAGAGATCTTCCACGCCTACGACGTGTCCAGCGACTACGACGCGCGTCAAGCCTCGCTCATGACAACATGGGGATTCAAATGCGCTTGCAAGTTGTGCGAAGCAGAGTCCAAAGACAGCGCGGAGGTGCGGGCCAAGAGGGAAGAATTGAGGGGCGAGGCGGACGGAATTGTGGCGAGGGAGCACTGGGCAAACGTGAAGCGGCTGACGATTGTCAAGGCGCAAAGAGTCGCGAGGGGCATCGAGGAGACTTATGATGCGAAGAGGTACGAAGGACTGCCAAAGTTGGCGGGAAGGAATGTACAAGAGTGGCTGTCAAAGGCGACTCCACGGAAGTGAGGGCTGGAAATAGATTTAAAAGTTACAAAATACCTTGACCTTGCATCCATGCAAGTTCTTTCGAATGTGCTTGTATGTATCGACCGGTAAAGAAGTCTAGGCATGGCGCCCACACAATAGTAAGCACAGCAAGGCGAAGCCCATGTAAGCACTCTAGCTGGGGGTTTGTGGATTTGGAGCTGGCCAGTTCGATACAGCACGACGGGGAATGCTACACCGCACGTAAAGATTGATGGCACTAGGTGCTGCAATAATTCGTGTGGGCGTTGTTTTTAGATCTCGTATTATAGACCAGGGACCATAGTATATACGAGCCTGAATGGACTTGGTAGTTGGTTAGAACGTTATCAGATACTAAAGGCCCCGAAGCTACACAGCTTTCAGCTTCGCAGTGCTCTGGAACCACTCGGGGCTTAGTTGCAATGCGAACAGATTGTTGCAACCCCTTGTGGTGGTAGTTCGAGATCAGATGCGCGTCTGTTGTTCGGTCGCGTTCCGTGCTAAGGATTAGTGAGGGTATAAAAGTAGAGCGGCGGCACGCACCTTTCTCTTCCAGGCACCATGTCAGTGCCGAGATCCCTGCTCCCGCGTTGTCACGCACGCTTGGGGTAACGCTACGACGATTTTAGATAGGGCTGAATGTGTACTATTTCGCTTCGAGTCTTGGAGGGCCTCGGCTGGAAGAAAGACAAGAGGTGGTGGGCGCGATTCTGAGATTCGAGGTCATGGAGATGAACAAGCAAGCAGCTTATGTGAAGATATTGTGATACGACAGGCCACACGTCATGGGATCGCCATGTTAAGATTGGGCCCGCTGTGGAGCAAGGAAGGAACGGCCGTTGTTAGTGTTGAGCTTGAGGCTCTAGGAAAGAAAGTGGGGAAAGAGACCCTTTCTCGTGTCCAAATCAGGCATTGGCAGACTGAAGTGCAGCAAGATGAGGACAAGGAGAGGGAAGTGCGTGCAAAATGCACGCTGCCTGCGTATGCTGAAACGGCCGCGACGGCGCAACCCACTGAATATACTCGGCGTGGTCACCGCACAGGTAATTGGGCGGTTTTGGCGTGTGGGGTTATGGCGCGGTTGGGCTGGCTCGGTGGACGTGCAATTTACCAAGACGATAGCTAGACGGTATCCGCGTGTGCCCAGCATCTGCGTGCGTTTCTGTGAAGGGCGTCTGACACTGACTGACAGACAGAAGACAGGTCCGGTTTCGTGGTGTTGCGCTGCAGCAGTGGTTACTTCCCCTCGTCTCAAACGATAAGCTTCTCAGGCTAGCCTTGACACTAGCATTCTGGGCACCTCCCTTGAATTATACATAGCGATACTCCACAGCGGCGCTGTCGTACACACATCCGCCGGTGTCGTGGCCTATATTTTCTTCCACACGCTCCAGGTACTGCCGCTGCTCTGCTTGCTGGGAACAGGGCATTGGGCGTCTACATTACGCTGTTTCATGTGCCAGCAGCCGGTCAGAGAAGCCGCGCCGACACGTTGACAACACGGGGGTCGCCATTGACGCCTCGAACCAGGCACGCGAGCACTCTCCCCACTCGACATTGGGTGCAGAGCTCCCCCAAACTTCTCCTCCTCCCCCACCCAGCGCGGGCAACAGTATGGTCGACGCGCGGGAAGCGGCACAGGAAGCCGCAAATAAGATCATGTCGAAGAGCAGCCGCTGGCGGACCAAGATATTCGCAAAGGACGACGCCAAACATCCCGAACCGAAGCCCACCAAGAGCCAAAACGACGACGACGTCAACGCCTTCCTTCGCCCGTCAACAGAGAAGGCGCTGCAGCAACAGGACGCTGCGGCTGCCTTCCTCGCGAGCGCCCGCCCCCGCATAGACGTTGCGCGCGCCCAGCGATGGCCCGGCGCCCAGGACATCATCAACAGCGCCGCCGCGGGGGGGAAGAGCCCAGGGCCCGGCGGCCTGAGGACCAGCACGCGCAAGAAGGGGCTCTCGGTGAGCTTCGCGCGTGCCGTGCCAGAAATCATCGGGCATGGGGGCGACGAGTGCGAGGAGCCGTCCGCTGAGGTCTCCAGGCGCAAGAAAGCGACCAGTGCCGCCAATGCGAGCACGCTCGCGCCGCAGAAGCCGCAGGACGATGCACATCTGAGCACCAGCATTGGAAGGACGCCTTCGCAGACAGAGCAGCGCAACAGCCTCACACGCACCCTGACGTCGCATGGCGAACGGTCGCCCCCGCTGGACCGGAAGCTGGAGATGGGCCACATCAACAGCCATGCGCACGCCTCCCCGCCGCCACCGCAGCGCGTGGGCCAGATGGGACTGGGTGAGCGCCCGCGGGCACTGGCACGAGCGCCCACGGGCTTCGACTCGATGCAGATAGACACCGACCCCCACCGACCCAGCAGCACCAGTCACGAATCCGACTATTCCCAGGACTCCGACAACGTCTCCCCGGTCCTGGCCCGCAAGATTTCGAACCCGGCTCCCACAATACAGGAAGAGGAGGACGACTTCAGGCCGAAGCCCATCTCCCGCACACAGACTGGATTCTCAAGCTACGAAAATGCATCCAGCAGTGCACCCGTACCAGCCATGCCCCCAATGCCCACCTTACCACGGCTGCCTGGGTCTCAGCCTTTGAGTCAAGACGATGAGTCTCCTGTGGACAGCAAGGCCATGTTGGTGGACCGCTACCTGCAAAATGAGCCCTCGCGATCGGACTCGTTCACTGCGCGGGTCAAGCAAAGAATGAGAGCCGAGGAGGGGAAAACGCTGCACGAAGGCGCGCATACCGGATCAAGCCGAGACTCAGATTCGTCCATGCAATCAGAACGCTTCCAAGTCGGAACGCCCCCCATCGAATTACCGTGCATCTCCCCTCTCTGGGCGGTCGCCACCGCAATCACATCCAGCCATGCCGCTATCCCCATCTCGACTCGAACCCGATGACCCTTTCCGATCGAGAGCTCGTGGTCCTTCTCCAGCACGCAGAGGGCCGCCTCCTGGATCATTCCCCACGGATGCGGACGGTCGGCCAGATTCATCCAGCTCTTCGCAGTACTCCATACCACAATCTCTCTCACAAACGCATGGTTCTCCGACGTCAAGAGCAGAACCGTTTCCGCCAACAGCAAACGGGAACATCCAGCGAACTCCGTCACTCGTGGAGAAGACGCCATATTCTGCTGTTAGCCAAGGCCCGATTGTTCCTCCGCCACAGTTCGCGCCAGGCACCACCTACCAAGCCCTTCCGCCGCCACAAACGGATCAGGGACCAGCATACCAAGCACTACCTCCCCCGCAGCCACAGGCTGCATCCCAAATGCATCCACCGCCTGTCGCTCCTCCCAGCACACATCTTCCCATGCGTCCTCGGCAGGACACACATCAACAGTCGCAAGCGCCATTAGGTCGGTCGGATACTAAGACGCTGGGGGAAGGCGGCATTCAACGATTTTGCAGATCGTGTAACACATATGAAGGGCATCTTTGCACTGACTGCACAACTTGGAGGGGCACTTTACGAGCGCACGCCCATGCAATGGCTTCGAGTGGCTACCTGGTGGTTCCTAAGAGGCCGCGCTGGTATGGAAAGTATGATCAGAAGCCGCCCTAGAAACGCAGAGTCGCAGCCCGAACGTCTTACGCAGGCACATGTGGATCTGGCCAAGGTACTTTGGATCACTACAGAAGTTCTCCCGAACCACCCAAAACTGCAGCAATACGGAGGCAGCGGACAGGATGCGAAGGCCGATGCCGCGCGGGCAGCAGGAGACAGTGTCAGTGCGGAGGCCCTTGAAATTCAGTCTGCCATTGTTCACTACATGAAGCTACTCGTGGGATCGATGAAGAAGCACCAAAGTATGCCTCCTACGCAAGCACTGATCCAAGGACAGGATCAATCCATCTGGGCCGAGTATCCACGTTTTGCTGCAGACGCGGCAAGCGTGTTGCAAGCAGGTATACCTAGATCAGGCAACGGGGGGAGGAATGGTGCAGCACAGTCCACGTTCAGCTTGTCCCAGTATATACCCCTCGCCGACTCAAAAAATGACTTTTGCTATTTCAGAATGTTCGTCAAGGCTTCCATGTCTACAGACGATCCGAATTCAGATCGAGTACCAATGACCGCAGTCATGTCAATCCTGCGCCCGAAGGACCAATACCAAGTCAAGCTCTCTATCTGCAGCCAGAGCGAGCTGATGAACATTGTTCTCGGACCAGGGGTTGATGGTGGGCCAACATGGGACGATGTTAGTTGGAAGAAACAGTCAAACTCGATCTCGATCCGCTTAAGACATGGATTCACCCTGACTATGGAGCTCAGTGAGGGCGATTGGCGCAGTTTGTATTCGATTGTGGATCACACAAACCGTGTTCAGACAGACCTCCGAGAAAAGGCTGACGAAAGGCCGGCTTGCAGGCTGCAGCTACGCGAAGCTATTTACAAAGACCCTACAAATGCAGGGGCATTTCCACAAGATCGAGTGCAGGGTTGTAAGCTGTTGGTCTTTGAGAAGATTGAGCGCAGCAGCGAAGGTACTGGTAAAAGGAAACTGCACCGTGGGTACAGGATGGCATTGGCAACACACCAGCAACACAAACAAGTCAGCCTCGTCAATCATGAGATCGGTACTAACCAAGCGCCTGTGAACTTCGAGTACATAACAGAGACGGACAATGCGCCGGCGATGAGGTTGTACTTCCGTGAAGAGGGACCAGACAAGAAGCCACGCATTTGTACGGTGCATCTTATCTTCCAAGAGGGCAAGGATCGCAATGAACTGTTCGGGACATTGACAGCAATGAACGTTGCCCGAGGTGAGATGACGTTCGCCCAAGTACCCCTCAAGTCTTTGCATATTGAAAGCGCAGACCAAGCTGAGGGGTTCAGTCAAAAAGGCAGTCGAGTCTTGGAGAAGCTGCAGTGGCAGGAAGCAAAGATTGTGAATCAAGATGCGGAAGCGAATGGGCTAGAAGCTGCGCCAACTGTAATGAGCGAAAGCTTGAGGATTGTATGTCGGCATAGCGCTGGCATAATTGCTGACCGCATGAACCTGGGTATGTCTCGCACTTGTGGTCCTAGGCTGGACCTGCTAACATAACTAGGCCCTGGTGAACTACTCATTCGCCTTCCTATTGACGGAGCTCCCGAACTCACTCTGCTGCGCAACGCACAGCAAGACTTGACACTTGCGATTGATGGTAGCCGGACAGAGCGCGGCATTCCTGAAGACTTGGGCGAGCTCCTGAAGACACTTGCGGCTGCTTCTACGATTCGAAAGTTGACCTTCAACTCGTTCAAAGATTTGCATACCTTCCAGTATGCTGTCACTGGGTTTGACGTGAAATTTGATGGGTATGTTGCTTTCTTGGTTTATATCGGGCCCCGTGGACTGACATGTTGCAGTATCGCCTCTAGCTTCTCCATCTCCCGTCGCCGCATGGTTGTGCCCATCTATAAGCAATGGACGGCCAACACGATCCGTATTCAGGTCGTCGAGCAAGACAACATCCTTCAGCTCCTGGCATTCTTCGAAGATTTCTCGCATGCTGATGCCATGAACTTCCAACTCCGAGTCACAGACACTTTTGAGAAGACGGACAAGGGCGGAAAGTTTGGCCTTAAGCTCGTTGACGCCAAATTTGCTCTTCCTGTTGAGGAACGACGAGGAGAGGGAAAGATGCAGAAAGAAGAAGGTCGACTGAGTGGTTGGGCTGGCACCAAGCGCAAGTTTGTGTGTTTGGACGAGATCGAGTATCCGGGCGAACACGATGACATACTTATCCAATTCGATTCAGCAGAGAGTAAGTTTGTTGGTGGCGCATTGTTGAGAGCAAAGCTAACCGCAGCACAGCACGTGACGTCTTTGCCGCTGCCCTACCGGCAGCCACAGTGAAGAGGAAGTTTACGGTCAGCAGGAAGATCTAATCAGCATGGAACTTGATAGGACAAGACTATAGTTGCATTTCCTTTGTATCATGGGCATAGTACCGGCGGCGATACCGGGCTTGGGTTGGAGGCGTACAGGGCGCATGTTGTGCATTTTGGAGATATCACTAGCGGGTATGTGAAGGCGCCCAGGGCAAGCCCTCACACTAGCATACATTCATCTGCGCATGGGGTTGAGCTGGACAACAGGTATAGTGGCCTGCGCAAGGCGCAGCGGCGATGTATAGAGATAGACAATAGGACATGTGCGGTTGTGTCGAGCATCTGACAAGGCATATCATGTCTCTCCGAGTAATCTCTCTATGCAGTCCGAAAGTCACGACGCAGAGGTACGTCCTCGGCGGGCACATGACCTCAGGCTCCTGTGGGCGCCCGCGGTCATCACAGTTGCACTGCATGCTAAAGAGGGGGTCTTCCTCGTGTTGCGGCAATGGAAGCACACTCAGACGGGGACGTAGGCTAGCGTGGGTGGATCGAAATGATGTGGGCGGCGGGCACGACTGGACGGGATTCCCGTGCCTACCCTTGACGAATGAGATCATCACACCTGGAAGCCGGACGGTGACGAGAACTGTTCAGCATTTTGGGTCTCTAGGCTAGCTTTTGTGTGGTATTGGTATCTAGCATTGCTCGACTGTTCCTGCGCCTTGGACACAGCGCCGGTCGGTCCAGTTGTGTGCGTTGATAGCAATCTAGCGCTGCAGCTCGTTGCGCCTCAGCACATGCCCAGCCCGAAGCGACCAGCTCCTTTCGCACCAGCCAGCCAGCCAGCCAGCCAGCCAGCCCCCCCATTGACACACTTCACAAAGGCCATACCCGGACGCTGAAGGCATCTTTTGCGACAGCGGGAAATATTCCAACACATCGCCAGCTCGACTCCTTCGCCCCGTACCGGCCCGCTGACGCGCGAACGACATTCTTGGCGCGCCGGACTCCAACCTTGAAAGGCTACCTACCTGCGTCACCACCTCCACCCCGTCCAGCGCCGCTTGGGAAGCTACCGCGGACCCGTACCGGCGCCCACAAACCCATCGACGACGCCCTACCACTGTCGCATGAAAGCAGGCCCTCGTCCTCTTGCACCGTCGGGCCATGGCTTCATCGTGAGGCGACATCAGGGCCTCTCTTGCCGCACAGTATTCGACAACGACCCGATTGGCCTAGTCACTGTCCAGTCTCCCGCACGACGCATGCTCCAAAGCGGCCGCCGGCGAAGATGACGACTGGAGTGCTGCCGGAGGCCTATGCGCTGCTCGAAGCACACTTCACCGCTCCTCCCACGCTCCGCCACAGCGATAAACTCTCTCGACGCAGCGACGAGCACCGCAGCTACTCGTCCACAGCGGCGCCGCTGCTTGTCCACGACACCCTACGAGCCGATGACGAGACCGAGTCGGTCTTCAGTAGCCGGCAGCCCACACCGCTGGAACCCCCAGCCGCCGTGAATGGTGCAGAATCTGGCCTGCCGCCCACGCCGCCGACCATGTCGCAGGACGGACAGTCCACGCACGACCCGGAGCCCATGCCGCATGCCGACAGCGTAGTGAGCTCGCTGATGTCGAAGAAGTCGTCGCTCAGCACGCCCGTCAATGCGCGCAGCCCCCCCACGCCCGACCCCAGCCCACCACGAACTGCGAGCACGAATCCCGCACCCGAACGCCCCCACCTGTTCACCTACCCGTCATCGAGAGCCGAATCATTCACAACAGCACGCGAAGAGGTGTCGTCTGAGCCGAGTCGCAGCAGATCCACCACACCCGCCGACCACGGACTGAGCACCGCACCCGCCGACTTCAGACTGAGCACCGTAGAGGAAGACCGAGGACTGGGGCTGGCCTTTGAGCTCGACGAGAACGACGTTACACCAACAGACACAGTGCAGCCCACGTATCCGTACCCAGATGAGGCGGACACAACGGTCGGTGCTGAGGAGGACAAGGGAACCCCGGCAGAGGAGAAGGTGCCAGATCGGGAATGGAACACAGACCTGATGCGAAATGTCACGATCCGCAGGAAACGAACACCGAAATCCTCGCCCGACAAGCATCGCGATCCTCCCGTTGAGATTGTCGAGACGGCATCGCCTTCTCCATCGCCTTCACCTTCACCCAGCCCCAGACCCCGACGCACCTCTGGCTTGCGCGAACGCGTCCGCGAGAGCACGAACGGCCCTGTGACGCCGTCCATCGAGAACTTTGCGCAGTCGATCGGTTGGCCAAGTGACGACACGGTCGCGCCAGAAGTGAGGGAAAGCGAGGAGAGCAACAAGCGCAACTCGACTTCGTCGATGGCTTCCACGAGAGTCGAAGCCAGCATCATCGTCACGCCACCGCGACGGAAGCAGACGCTGCGACACTCGGGGAGGAACATGGCACTCAGAGATGGCTCGCCGACGCCGGAGCGCGGCACTCGACGGCGCTCGAACCGCGACTCGTCGCAAAACGACGATGTGCCTCTCCATCGCCTGGTCCATAAGAAGTTCAACCTCGCCGACCGCTCGAACCGTTTCAGCACCGATTCTACTACCTTGGGCACCGAGCGTTGCACCTCGTCCCCGCTGTCGTTTCGCTCGCGCATTATCGACAGCTCTGCTTCTACGCTCGCCCACCAAGAGTCTTTGCGCAATGTGCTGCAGCCCGCCGCCGATATACTGAGCCGTGCAAGCTCTGTTCGATATCACAATTCCGAGCAGACCTACCACAGCTCTGTACGTTATCACAATTCCGAGCAGACTTACAACAGGCGCATTGGATCTGCGCCAGAAACTACTCGCAAGTCCGCGCTGTCTTCTGCGCCCCGAAACTATGCGCGCCAAGCACCAGTTACGAGCAGCCCTCGTCGTGACCCCATCGTTACCTTCCAGACACCACCTGTCGAGCAGTCCCCAACACAGTCATCAGCCCCGTCTATGTCGTCACCAAGGTCCCTGAAGAGGCGGCAACGCTCGAATGTAGCTGGCGCAAGAAACAATGTTGATCTGGACAGAGCGACATCTGCTTTCCCTCGCGATGAGGTGGGTGAGTCAGCTGAGCAGGATGTATTTCTGGGTGCTAGTGCACCTGTAGAGGAGGTACGCCCCTCCTCTGCGATGCTACAACGGGTACAGAGACTGCTCGCTGAGCGTGATGTGCCGGAGAACGAAGCTGTCTCAGATGTGAAAGAGCCCCCGATGTCGCCAGAGCGGCCGGCCTCGCCATCACAGGAGTACGAATTCTCGCCACCAGTCAAAAGGGGCCCGCGGTCATTACGCCGACCATCTGGCGAGCACAGACGCAGCTCACTGAGCGAAGACCAGGCTTCCATATCTCCAGAGGTCATGATCCGGCCCAGTCTGGATCGTCGTTCAACGGAGGACATGGTCCGGCCCAGTCTGGATTGGCGAAGGCCATCTGAAGACCATGGTAGAGTTAGCTTTGATCGTTCGACTGCTCGCACCGAGGAGCATGGCAGTGCGCGCCACTTGTTCGCCTCTACCACGCCATTCTCGCAGATATCTGACACCCCGTACGAAGTCAGCGAGGCAACCGCTGTCAGCATATTTCCTCACAACAATCACTCCTTGCTGGTTGTGCAACAGGGATCACGTGTTGGTTCAATGACCCCAGAGCCCCGCCAGTTGATTGATGGTGGCCATCTGTCGCCTGAGGATTATTATGATGTTCGATCCTCGCCAACGCCGCCATTCGTGGACGCAAGCGAAGAACACATTGACGACACCGGACACCAGAGTCAGCCCACGTTGACATTCGAGCCGTCGACTCCGCCGATGCAGATAGATTTGCCTCAACCAGGTGGCGTTGACTCGCCTCTGAAGAATCCACGGCCGCCGCCAGAGCCTCCGCAGATCATGTTCATTCCGCCAACACCTGCGGAAGAGCTCGAGAAGGAGCTCGTGCCTGGTCCTCCGAAGCGTTCCGATTCGCATCCTCAACGACGTCTTTCCTTAGTTCAACGAGCGCGGCGTTACTCGGATAATCTTCTACCAACTTTGTTGTCTCGCGCGACGAACAATCGAAGTCGATATGCTAGCGACTCGCACGGAACTCACCGTAACCCAGAGGTGCCGTCCGTGAATGATGAGGAAAATGGCGCTCTTCACCCCTTCTGGAGACCAAGAGGGTTCTGGGATGGTTTCGAGGATGACAGTGAATCTGAGAGTGAAGACGAACTTCACCCAGGTGGGGATACGAGCGATGTCGAGACACTGCCTGATCCACCTAGACGAGCAAACACTCTCAGCAAACGTCTGACAAGCGGCTTCCGTGGTTCAGGGGGGTTCCTCATTGGAAATACGCTCGGTATCGAGCGCCGCGGCACTAACAAACGACGCCATCACATCACCTTACCTCCAAACTTTTCTCGTACACCACGAACACCAACGCCTCCTAAAGTCCTTCAGCGACCGACCATGCCTTTGGGCGCGCACGGGGGCGGCGGCATTATCAAGCGCGAATCAGTGGATAGGAGAAGATCCTCGCCCAGCCTGCGCTCTGACTCTGAATCACCACAACGAAGAGCATCGTGGCGACAAGGAAAAAGTCTTCCGGGGCTTAAAAAATATCAAGTCCAGTACATCGGCTTGTCCGGGGTAAAAGACAAAATTAAAGACCGCAGGCAGGAGAAGCGGAGAGAAAAGATCAGGCAGAGTATTGGGACGAGATACTACGTTCCCAATGCCTCTGGTACCACATAAATCAGCAGGCAGGATGAATTGATGAGCTGAAAGCCATCAGCTCGCCGAGCTGGACCATATAGGAAATCTTCCATCAGGATGTTGGGGCGCTACGGGTTTGCATTTGCTGTATACCACCTTTCTTCGTTTTTGTTTGGACATGCACCACGGTTTACCTTTGGGATGAGTTTACGATCTGGAATCTTTATATATGTACATTATTATCCTAGTAGAGCATGCCATGCATGCTTGTAGCATAGAACGGGTCTGGTTGTCAATACGAAGTCATGAGTTATTCAAGTCTCTTCTCTACCTTGATAGTCTGATGCGCAGCCGATTCGGCTCGTTCCCGCCTACTCGATTCAGAGCTGACGTCACATACCTCTTCCTCTCCGTCCCGTTCGGGTAACTAATTCCCCAAGCATACATACCTACATACATACATTACCGTCCAACATACCAAGTCTCCTCTTCCCCTTTCCTATCCAAATCAAAACTCGTCCACAATGCCCATCGAATCCAAAACCTACATCCTCCCGCCAACTCCTCGCATCCCCAACTCCCCACACCCCCTCATCCACTACCCAGGATTACTCACAGACTTGGTAAAAGATGCATCTTTCACCCCCACCCAAATCTTCGACCTCTTCCTCTCGCACGGCTGGCAAACACAATGGATCGCGCGCTACGGCCCGGACATCCAATCACACTACCACTCGACCACGCACGAATGCATGGCCGTAATATCCGGCGGCAGCGCAACCATACGCTTCGGGGTCGCTGATCAACCGGACTGGAAGCACGGATTACTGGGGATTGGCGAACGGGGCGCGGGGGAGGAAGGGGGCTTAGATATCAACGCGAATGTAGGCGATGTGTTCATCATCCCCGCGGGTGTGAGTCACAAGTGTTTCGCACCGAGTCCAAATAAGCGGCCGTTGGAGTTTCGCCAGCCCGAGGATGTTGAGAGGGGGAAAGCGAGGGAGGCGTTGGATGAGGAGGGTGTGGCGCGGCATAGAGCGTTTTTTGGGGGGGTAGGCGTCGAAGGCGAGTTTATGATGATGGGCGCGTATCCAAAGGGTGGGGTTTGGGATTTTAAGGTTGGGGGGGAGCATGAGGGCAGGGAGAGGGGGGTTTGGGATGTTCCTGTGCCTGCAGAAGATCCAGTTTTGGGAGGGAGTAAGGAGGGGTTGAGAGGGTTGTGGAATTGTTGAGATGCGGTGGAGGGCAGTGGATTGCTTCAATTCTGGTGGCTGTCCATATACGAACATATTACATTTTAGCTTTTTTTGCAAGTTGGTCTTGAGGGCGATGTGTGTCTGAATGCCGGAAGTGTATACCATTTCTCCACTTGATAACTAAGTCTTATGCCTATTGATGGTGTCTGTGTGCCGAAGAACATGATCTGAATCCTGAGTAGGACACATGAATTTTGTGCCAGCAAGCCTATCCTGTGCTCCATGATGCCAGACAACAACGCTATGTGTACCGGGAGAGCAATACAAGCTCTTGTTTTGCTCGAGACTTTGCAGCCACAACAAAAGGTCAGATCACCAATCTGATCAATAGCAACGGGAGAGAAGATAATCCTCGACCTTTCTAGTCATTTAAACTTGTTCTATGATAGCTCTCGTACGCTGAAAAGTAGCGTGTTTAACACGAAAGTTTCAGTGTTCCTCAACTTTCAGTAACCTCCCCGAAATTGTGCCTTCCCGAGGTCGGTGCGGGGCTCGGATAGCGCCCCGAAGACTAGTCGGTGGCTATTTCTTCCTAAGATGGAAGGCCACAGGAGCTCCAACCACCGACTTTAAACGCCATGACAGAGGATGACGTCCCTCAAGGAAACACGACTTCGGACGCCCCAGAAGCAGTCCGGACGAAGAGATCTCGAACAGGCTGCTTGACGTGTCGCACTCGACGACGCAAATGTACGTGATGGGATGATGCCTTTTTTCCGAAGACGCTTCTGTATAGTGCGTTATTCCAAGGGCTTAAATTCTAATTGAGTGATCCAATGAAGCCACCCAATCCTTTAAACTTGTTTCCAGGCGATTTAGCTGCAATGAAATATTGCATTTACAATTCTCTCGTTCGCTATCTAACATCGACCAGGTGACGAGACCAGGCCGACGTGCCAGAATTGTGTAGCAAAGGGGCTCGAATGTCGTTATGCTGCCTTGTATCAGATTCTTGGGAAGAATAATTATACCCCGATGGTGGAGGGCCCGGCAAGGTATGCAAGTGTGCAGGTAGGCTGAAAGACTTCCTTACTCCTCAACACGATCAAATCTCCCATTACATGAACAGGTTTGTGCGAGGTCAGATATGGATAGCATATCAACTCATGAAGCCCCAAGTTCTTCTGGCCGGGACACTGTACGATCCAGTGTAGGTGCGAAATTGGCAGTGTCTGATTCCTAGATATAAACATGTCAAATTTTAGGTTACGGCTGTGCTCATAGGCTGACTGTATCAGTTCGTTTCCGACGGTGATGAGGTGTTCAACGTCGCAAATGCCGGGGGAATGACTGATGCGGATAGGGAAAATGGAAGGCCGATTGCTGCAAACTCTCCAATTAGAAACGCGGCACTTTGCCAGGGACCAAGTTTGCAGGACATGACAAACTTCACTCCGTCTCCAAACAGCTACCAGTCCGCTTTGCACGGGCTGTTGACCTTGGGGTCTAGAGCTACAGCAGGTGATCACGCTGTGGCTATGAGGCATCAAACAGGTCCCCTATCGGAGTCGACGGTGCACGACTTTGCCGTTGAGCCAGCATTTGTTGATGTTGATCATGATGTGGATAGTATGGCTACAAACAACATGTGGCACTCAGAAAGCCAATTTCAGGTCGATGCTTGCACCACGATCCCCACAGAGAGGGCCGAGCTACGTGTGTTCGGCCACATCGTGCCCACAACAAGAGCGAGCAGAGAATTGAGTATCCAAAACACTCTGACTACAATCATTGACACAGCGTACCTTGAACAGCCAAGCCGAGCATCACTGGAAGACGATATGACCCTGCTGAAGATTTACCGCTATCAGATAGCACCTTGGGTGAGCGCGTCATGAAAGTGAAATTTTGGATATGGCTTACATGCTATAGCTCGACATATTCGACAGAGACCAGAGTTTTGGCGTTCAGGTAGCGGTTCTTTCTACAGAATCAGAGACACTACGCAATGACATACTATCCCTTGCCAGAGCAACGCGCGCTGAAGATCGGGCAGCTCCTGTGCATATGTCTTACGTCGACCATGCGGATTTCGGACCAAGAGACTACCTTCGACTAGCAGTGTCGGACGTATTTAGTCTCCTCAAACATGCCATGATCGATCTGGAGGACTTCTGGGATGCGGAGGCGGAGAAGCAAAACGGATTGAAAATGCTTGAAGCGCTATTGCCAAAAATCGACGAGCTACCGTCTCTTGCGGAGCACGTCTACTGGTTGATGGTACGGCTTGGTATGCGGTATCCTAAAGTAGCATATTCCTCAACTGACGTGTAAGTAGAGCTTAGTTGTGTGCTCATGAATGCAACCTGCATCCGACTGCCTCTGCCTTTTCTCGCACAGGGCCGACTGAATTTGGAAAATGGTGGGTCCATGACCCAACGTACGCAAGATGGCATTGCTTTGTGTGTGGATGCAGTCATGTTCTCCCAGGGAGACGATGATCGATGGCTTCAAAAGCGCTATGGACTGAACCGAGTGGATACCTGGAAGGCTCTCGTCCAAGGCTTCAGTGCGTGGTTTCTGAAACGCCCAGATGAGCTCCTTCCCATCATTGAGCTGTATCCAAAGGACGGTATTCAAGCTGACAACGATTTTCCGATTATCGCTTTCACTAGCGGTGGTGCACTCCTTGCAAACCAACTCTATCACTGCGGAATGCTGCTGTTGCTGAGAAATAAGCCTCGTTTCGTGGGGGAGCTAAATCGAAGCTCTCCTTCAATGTCAACGTTGTGGCATGTTCATCGCATTTGCGGCATCGCAATTCACAACGACAGTCCAGCCACGTGGGACCCGTGCCTAGTAGCCTCGCTACTAGTCGCAGCTCAGATTGTGACTCATAGAAGTCAGCAAACGGCTATAATTAATGCTTTAGATAAAGCACAAAGGCTAACCGGCTGGAACGTGTCGCGCCATATCGAGGATTTGCGGAATGAGTGGCGGCTCGCTGATGGCTGGTAGAGGTAATCCGAGCCTTTGCAGAGCCTCTCAAGCTTGCATACATCGCTGTATTGTAGGAGAGTGCACGATAAAGACACATCTCTTGATGAGATTTCGTTTGATATTCAGCCCTCAACAGGCACTTTATAGCCCCAGGTTCGCTCGAGATCGCGAATACGCCACGTAGCCGTCCAACCAGTCAAAGCTTCAATACGGCGTATGGTCTTCACAACCAAGACTTGCTCCGAGGAATGGCTCAAATGACGCCCTGCAATCCAGAGAGGTTGGATGGCGTTGTTCAAACAACCTTCATGTGGGTTCGTTACCGAGATACCACAGATGCGCTTCACGTGCCACATTAGGGAAGCTTCAGGAGATTTGGCAAGGGCGGGTTTGGATCTGGCGGTGAGGAGGAGAACCGATGATGTATGGTATAGTTGATTTGAGGAGATCGCAGCCCAATGTGCGAAGAGAATCTTTGGGAATGGTGCTGCATTATACGTGTCGACAGGCAACAATTCTTTAGGCCGACCTAAGGCCCATTCGGAAAGTTGGCCCCATAGCTGATTCCAGCGATGGTGGAATTGTTTCTCATCACACCCATTGTCGGTGCCCAATTCCACGTACTTGTTACGGTCTGAAATGAGTTCGCAGGTCTTTGCGCAGAGATAGACTGCATAATTGGCGTACATGTCTGGTGACGAATGGCTCCGAAACAAGCTCTCAGCGTCGTCTTCAGCAACATCGGATGGGAGCCATTGAGCGGGCTTCAACAATGTGCTTTGCGTACCATCAGAGATCAGAGCTCCACAAACGTCTGCGTGGGTCAGTTATTATCGACTGTAGATCAGATTCCCTTGCGGACTTACCCATTCGTGCGTAACACCAAAAGACAGGTTGCAATACATCGTCGCTAAACCCATTTACACTGAAGGCATCAAAGATAGCGGCGCAGCCTTCAAGATGGTGCCGCCAATCCTGCGCACTAGCTGAAAACATCTCGAGACAGCATAAAATCACACAAGCCGCTATAACGTGCGTATCTCGAGCCGATAGGAGAGGGGTCAACAGTCGTATTGCCTCCTGATAGAGTTCCAGACTGTCGAAGGATGATTGCATTTTTACTTTACGCTCAAGCTGACGTGCCCCTATGGCCAGAATGGCATAGAATAAAGGGGGTGAGTCCTTGGCTAGAGTAGGAAGCTGGAGGCCGAAGGTACGCTTACAGTCAAACATGTCGAGCTGGCAGTATCTATCAGCTCAACATCTTGCTCATCGCTTTCATGGACCTACCCAGGGCGCGACTTGCGACAAATAGTTCTTCAAGTACTGCACTCGCCTGCCTTGAGGCAACACCTGTTTGATGTCGAATGCTCCATTTGATTCATCGGCATCCTCAGGAGTCGCTGCGCGAGTAGGAGCGACCGACCGTGCAGTAGTAAACAGCAAGGAACGCAGAGCTTCTTGAGAGGCAAGGTAGTCCGGATCGTGCGCAAATTCGTCGAAAGGCCAACTGGATGCGGTGGCTGGCGAATGGAAAGGGTCTATATTCTCAAAACCAAAGTTTTCTATAACCACTGGAGCCGGACCGCATGCATTCTGTTCGATGCGGCGTTTCTTTGCTGGCGGTCCGTCTGTCATAGATGGAGAGCGATGTGGTAGATGATGCATTGCAAGGTAAGCGAAGACATGCGGGTGGGTGGAGAACCCTAGACACCTCTTCGATTAGCCGATATCATGTGATCTGGGTATTGGCTGCAACTCCGAGGCTCGTGATCACCATCACTAATATATTCCTACTTGTATGAAAAGCTTAAGGCCTTGCGCGATGATGTAGGCAGATAAGTAAATAGAGATAAAATAGCACGGTAAGTTTTGACACTTTTCGAGGCTGAATACCCTGGCTGTACCCAGGTTACCCACAATCTTCTTGGCTCATCCAGCATGAAGTTTTTCCTTTTGGCCAGAAGTAATATTCAATTAAAGCTACACGTTAAATTGCCTTTCATTCCGTTCAAGTGTTTGCGAACTGTTCTCAAAGATCGACAAACTCACCCTTCAGTAACGGATCCTCCCGTACCTGCTGCAGATAACTCTCGACCTTGGCTGTGAGTGCAGGAACGTCAAACCCAAAGTACTTGTAAGCGGCTTTGCCTGGCAGACTGTGACCAAATCGCCTCATACAAGCTCCCGCATCTGCCCACCTTTCCCATCCATTCGGGCTGAAAGGCTCAATAACAACGGCGGGTATTCCTTCATGACGACGGAGTGTGTCGCGCTTGTACATTGTGGATTGGGCTTCAAACAAGCGTTGACATGGGAAGCTGATAACACGTGCTTTGATGTTCTTGGACTTCAGCTCCTTGGCCGTGTCAACCGCGTGACACAGCTCAGCACCAACTCCGATCAGCGTGATGTCGGCATCGTCGACCTCCTCCAGAACGTACGCGCCCTTTGCTACCAAGTCTCGACGCGTTTGCTTGAGCTGTGGTAGCGTATGTCTCGATGTTGAAATAATGCTCGGTGTGTTTTTGGCCTCTATTGCTGTAATCCACGCTCCAGCCGTTTCTTCGCTGTCGGCTGGTCGTATATACAGCAAGTTGGGCATAGCGCGGTAGAGGTTAGCTAACTCGATCGGCTGATGTGTTGGACCATCTTCGCCCATGCCAATGGAGTCATGTGTTGCAGCATGAATGACCTGCAGCTGTTGCAACGCACCCATTCGGACTGCTGGAGCTGCATAAAGATAGAACATGAAGAAAGAGGAAGTGACGGGAATGAACGAGTTAGGTGCGAATGCAGCAAGTCCATTGCTGATTGCCGCCATTGCGTGTTCTCGGACGCCATAGTGGATGTACCGGCCACTGTAGTTGCCTGTGATGCCGCAAGTGGTCTTCAAATCAGGCTATTCACGGTCAGTAAAACAATATAAAGCAGGCAAACTGTGGAGCCTTACATGCTGGAAGTCGACTTTGTCTTTCCATGCCATATTTACTGACGGTGTCAGGTCCGCTGTGCCAACTACAAAGCTCTTTACTTTTTCTGCGATGGGGTTTATGACCAATCCGGAAGCCTTCCTTGTCGCTGTGGGTGTTTCAGGGAATGAGCTTGGGATTAGATCTTTCCAAGTCTCGGGCAGGCGACCTTCGATGCGTTGCCGGAACTCCGCGCCTAAATCCGGGTGTTTGGTCTCGTACTTTTTGACCAACTCTTCCCACGACCGCACGAGTTCTTGACCTTTGGCGGGCAGATCCTCGAAGAAAGTTCGAACTTCATCGCTTACAGTGAAATGCTCCTCTGGATTGAAATCATAAGCTTTCTTCATCTTTGCCACGTCTTCCGCTCCAAGAGCGACTCCGTGTGCAACAGCATCGCCTGCAACGGCAGAGCCCAAGCCGATGATGGTTTTCACATTGATAAAGGTAGGTTTATCGACTGAGGCACGCGCCTGATTCAAAGCTGCGACAAGTCCCTCAATGTCAAAGCATCCGTCTTCGATATCGATCACCTCCCAACCACACGCACGCATCTTTGTGTTAACATCTTCAGTGTTTGTGAGATCAACACTACCGTCACAGGTGATCTGATTGTTGTCGTAGATTACTGTGAGGTTGTTCAGTTTCAAATGTCCCGCAAAAGAGATTGCTTCCAAAGCGACTCCTTCTTGCAAACATGCGTCTCCAATCATGCACCAGGTATGATTCGAGACGACCTCAAACCCCGGTTTGTTGTAGTTAGCCTGGAGGCTCTTTGTTGCTATGGCCAGTCCAACGGCATTTGCGACACCTTGTCCGAGTGGGCCCGTCGTAACTTCGATGCCCTCGTGTTCAATCTCAGGATGACCTGGGCATAGTGCATCTACGCGCTCGGAGTGGTATGACTTGAGCTGATCAAATGTCATATCTTTGTATCCGGTAAGATGGAGGAAAGTGTATTGAAAGAGGCAAGTATGCCCTTTGCTCATTAGCGGCGAACTGGGTATCCGGAGATGACCACGACAGACTCACCATTTGAAAGGACGAATCTATCGCGGTTGAAGTACGTGGGAGTATGCGGTGCATATTTCATCACGTACTTCCAGAGTGCAACTCCAATGGCCGCCATACCAATCGCACCGCTAGAACGATTTTAGCTTAACTCGTGGACATGATGGAGCTCCGTACCCAGGGTGGCCGCCATTGAATTGTTGGCAAAGGTCTGCGATCAACAGTCTGAAGGTCTTCAAGACATGATCTTGCTCTTTTGAAAGTTTCTGCACCGATGATTTCTCTAGTCTTTCCTCTTCCTGCAGTGCTTTGGTCACATTATTGCCGTATTCGGTCGATCCATTGACGGCTGGGGAATTCTGAGAGAGATGCATTGTGGTGTACTTTGTGCCACTCCAAGGCTTTGGCTTTGATGATGCGGTCAAAGTCGGAAAGGTTTTCGAGGACTATAAATGCGATGATTTAGCGGTTGCCACTCTCGCAGCTATTTCATCGGAGCTGCATCAAGAGGACTACTATGTATTACCGACCGCGATGCGTCGGGCTGCCAGGTTAGGAAATCCGTTCGGGTAGCAAGCTGTGACGGCTATGTTAGGCGCGCTTGCTTATTGGCCCTGTCGAGCTGATGACTTCCCAATGCAGTAGCCGTAGGCACTGCTTACTGTTTACAACCATCGTCTCATGGCCACTTACCCCCGCATCTGCATCATCGTCTCGAACACGCGTTCGGAGATTCACTTTGCCATCGCGGAACACAGTCCGTAGGCTCTGCGCAAGGATCTTATACGCTATAGTAAATGCAAATCAATCGCCTCTGTTTGCCTGTTCCTCTAACTGCCACCCAAATGTTTGTGCTATGTCTCCTGCAATTGTCCTAGATTCCGCCGCGACCGACGCGGTGCATGCTAAATCATCATTCCAGAGCACGAACAATATGCAACGGCAGATTATTTCCACGCCACTTGCGAATCCATCATTGATGGTCACAGCCGACCATAATCTAAAACAAGAAGAAGCGCCTGTCTATGCCCCGGGGAAAGGAGAAGTTTTACTGCACATCAAAGCTACTGGTGTTTGCGGGTACAACGATCCATCGATCAGGAAAATCCCATGCTAATTGTGGGCGGAATAGGTCTGATATCCACTTCTGGAAACGCGGTAGAATAGGATCGCTTGTAGTTGAAGGTGACTGCATTCTAGGCCATGAAGCAGCTGGTGTAGTTTTGGAATGTGGTGAAGGGGTCATAAGCCTGAAGCCTGGTTCGTCGTCTCATTGTTACTTTCCTTGGATCACGTAATATGAACTCCAAAGTATCGCTAACCAGCTTTACAGGTGACCGAGTGGCAGTTGAGCCGGGCGTTCCTTGCGAGACATGCTTTCTTTGTATGGACGGCCGCTACAACCTCTGCGAAGATGTGAAGTTCTCAGGAGTTTATCCCGATGCGGGCACGATCCAAAGATATAAGACCCATCCTGCACGCTGGTGCCATATCCTCCCTTCTAATGTCTCTTACTCCGAAGGCGCACTCCTCGAACCATTATCAGTTGTCATGCACGGTATCAAATCGGCTGGACTCAGCTTAGGGAGAGGGGCAGTCATTTGCGGTGCTGGCCCAATTGGACTCATTGCTTTGGCTGCAGCCCGTGCAAGTGGAGCGCATCCACTTGTCATTACAGACTTGGAGCCAAACAGACTGGCTTTCGCGAAGACTTTCGTTCCAACGGCAATCACGTACCAAGTTGATCCCAACTTGGACGCACAAAGCAATGCCAAGAACATCCGGGCATTGTTTGAATTCGATAGCATTGGTGAATACGGAGCACCGAACACAGTACTCGAATGCACTGGAGTCGAAAGCAGTGTGATCACTGCTGCGTATACCGTAAGAAGAGGAGGATGTGTAATGGTGATCGGTGTAGGAAGGGAGATTATGAACAATCTGCCATTCATGCATCTTTCACTCGGCGAAGTGAGTTTACTCCTCCCACGTCGTGGTTCTTGATCGACACGATCTAACGACCCGCACAGATTGACCTCAAATTTATCAACCGATACCGTGATACCTGGCCTGCTGGCTTGCAATGCTTAGCTGGTGGTATTCTAGATCTCAAGCCCCTTGTCAGCCACACATATCCACTCGAGAAAGCGGTGGATGCACTACACATATGTAGTGATCTGAGCAACGGAAGCATCAAAGTACAGATTGTCGATGAGCGTGATGATGTGCTATAGCGAGCGCATCATACATAGGAATGTAGCATATAACTTCGAACCCATCGGATTATACGAGCTCCTCGCTGGTAAACCGTCCGACAGTTCGTTCACCACTTCGGCACATATTCTGCCTTACACTAGGCATTGATCAAGATCTCATTGTCATATTATGTCTTTTGCTGGCTTCGTATCCATCGTCGAGCAATCCCACGATCGCAACATCAGAGGAGCCTGAGCCCGTTGTTTAGATGGTCGCCCGAGAATTATCCATGAGATTGACGAGTCACCATACTACACGACTCGCCTGGTGGCTCTGGTTTCCTCATCGGGCTGCCAAGATCACACGCTGACTCGCATGCGCATCAAGCTGTTGTCATGAACAGCACTCTTATGCGCTGCCAATGCACTTGACCTCCAGTCTGTGTTGTAGACATTTTACTATTGGTCTCTTGAACCCTAGTGCCCTGCACCATTCCCATGGGGAGCAAACCCGAACCACGGGGTGGCTCATGGCTAATTGAACACAAGGATTGAACAGTAAGCGAAAACACTTCCAAGGATCGTTTTCAATTGTATTGCATGACTTGCGTCGAGACTGGGGCCCCGCACGCATCCCATGCCATATCCAGACGTATATAATCTTCTTCACAAACGTTCAGATCTACAAGAACACAACTCTCAGTCCCAAGTCTTTAGCTTTCGCGGCTCTCTGTGACGCCATTGTAGTGGGCCAGGCTGGTGTAACGCATTTTCTCTCCTCACATCTGCCTACGACTTATACTCGACTGGGTCATCCGTCCACTTCACGCTAGCACCATGTCCAAACCGCAAAACGTGGAGGTGAACGAAAATATTTCCGATCCGATGCACCCAGCGCAAACATCCGAACTAGGCCATCTCGCAAATCAGGAAGACCATGAGGTGGGAAAGCTTGCATCATTTCGCAAGTATCCCTTTGCTTGCGCGTGGAGTGTATACATGGTCTGGGTGGTCTTGCTCGTGAGCTTCGAGAACCAGGCAGCAGGAAACATCATTGGCATACCAGAATTCCGGAAAGACTTTGGTCATGAGTTCACCGCCCCAGATGGAACCACTAGCTATGTAATTGATGCAAAGTGGCAGTCTGCATTCCAAGGCGCGCCTGTAGCCTCGTAAGTCAGGAGTAAGGATTTTGTGATTCACAGGTTGACTTGTACAGCGCAATCGTTGGTGCCCTTGGATGCGGTGCGCTTGCAGACTGGCTTGGCCGTCGACTGGTGGTAATGGTCTGCATAGCCTTGTCGTTCGTTGCTATCACCATGGAGTTTGTCGCCACAACGAATGAGCTTTTTTTTGGCGGAAAATTCCTGAACGGCTTCCTAACAGGCGCCTTGGCTTCGGTTACAGTCACTTACATTGGAGAAGTTGCTCCACTGAAACTTCGAGGAATGCTCACATGCCTAACTGCTCTGGCTTACACTCTTGGACCGCTTACCGTCGCGCTGATCGTCAACTCTACTGGCGTCTACACCAATCGATGGGCATATCGTGCAGTCTTCTGTGCTCAGTATGGCTTCGCTGCCGTCGCCGCATTGTTTGTGTGGTTCATGCCGGAATCACCTTGGTGGCTAGCGTCCAAAGACCGTCATAGTGACGCACTCCGGGCGCTGAGCGGTCTTGGTCACCGCGGTCAAGAAGGTGAGCGAAAGCTCGCACAAATTGTTACCACCTTAGAAGAAGTCAAGCGCGAAACTGAAGGCGTCACGTATCTCGAGTGCTTCCGAAAATCCAACTTACGCCGAACCATTATCTCGATCGTGCCACTCTCGATTCAGGCACTCAGCGGTATAGCTTTTGCGGCGTCATACAGTACCTACTACATGCAGCTTGCAGGTTTTAGTACGGCGGAATCGTTCAAATTACAGATCGTTCAACAAGTGATCTCCCTTGTTGGCAACGTCATGTCCTGGTATTTGGTCGATCGTGTCGGACGGCGCAACCTGACATTCTGGGGTCTTTTCGTACTGACGATCATCCTCTTCGTCATGGCTGGCCTTGCCACGGTTGGAAGCCCATCTGCGCTCAAGGGTGCCATTTCCATGATTTTGCTGTACTGCTGGTGGTACAATGTCACCATTGGAGCAACCGCTTACACGATTCTTTGTGAGACCAGCACATCTCGACTCCGAGTCAAGACGATTGCAATTGGCCTTGCTCTCCAGAATGCGCTCAACACCATGTGGTCCTTCGTGTTGCCTTATCTCTTCAACCCCGATAAGCTCAACTTGGGAGGCAAACTGGGGTTCATCTTTGGTGGTTTATCCGTGATCTGTATGGTTTATCTGTGGTTTTACCAACCAGAAACAGCAGGACGAACTTATGAAGAGCTCGATGAAATGTTCTCCCGGAAAGTCCCCGCCCGCCAATTCAAGACACATCGCACAGATGCTCAGGCGATGGGTGAAGCAGTCAAGGAGAAGAGTGCATACTAGAATTGATGAAGGCCCCGATTCTGGTATTTTCGTAGTATCTCTACTAATGCAAAAACAGCAGTAGAGGCAATGAAACAATTTTGCAGGGAATTTGACTGCGAGTGCTGATATACTAGAAGATTTGCTTTTATTAACCAGGCCCAGGGTGCGGAACAAGACGAAGACCGGGTGCTTGTACTCTCCTTCAAAGCGTACGCAAATGTAAACAACACGCGGTCATGATGTACCTAGGTACTTAGCGCGCTCTTTTGCTTATCGCACATCTATGAGGATCGGCAAATATGTGGATACCGCTCGACAGTATCGATTCATGGTCGAATGCGCCGGGGAAGGTCTCGCGTCGAAATGAAATGTTGACCTGATACAGTTGGTGCCTAGCTAGGTATACAACGAAGAACAGTTCGCAGAGATAGATCAGTGGCGCAATTAAACCACTAACATACCTACAAAGCTGACGCTGATATCCGCCAATTCCTGCGATTTAGATCCGCGGGACGATCAATCCGCCTCTCCGTGCAGAAGAGCCACAAACATCTGCATCAGCTGCGTGCCGTGGCGCCTCTAGATCCGCGGAGCTAACACTTCATTAGGCAGTCATGACCGTTGTACTACACGTACTAAAATCCTCAGATCTCGAGAAAAACTTCAATTTTGCCGTGGCCAGTGACATATAACCTTGTGTGGAATGCGGATCGTATATGCAGGGCGTTACCTGTCCTGCTGAAGCGAGGTCGCATCCGGCACGTTCTGGGCGTATGGAGTTAGTGGATAAAGTCCTTTTGGGCGTCTGGATATGATATGCTGACATTATAGTAGGTATAAATCAGACTGTACTGCTTGTTGCTTACTCCCTCGCGTTACGCGTACCAGGTAGCCGGTCTTGAAAATCCTTCGCCACCATGAAGATCGCAGTGATCGCCGCTGTCCTCAGCGTCTCCGCAGCTGCAGTGCCTTCCGAGAGGCGGCCAGGCTATAAGAGCGATGAATTATTAGTCACCGGGATGCAGAATCTCAGGGAATATTACTCGAAGAATCCTTATCCAACAACGACATGTACCTTGAAGAACGCAGCTGTCAGGAAAGAGTGGTGCGTACCTGTCTTCTCCCACCACACATACCATTTCTCCGCTGATGTGCGACTAGGAGTACTCTATCCCCGAAAGAAAAGAAAGACTACATCAACGCCGTTCAATGTCTTGCCCAAAAGCCAGCCAGAACTCCAAGCAGTATCGCTGCTGGCGCTAAGAACCGTTACGATGATTTTGTCGCGACCCACATCAATTCCACGCTCTTCATCCACGGAACCGGCAACTTTCTAACCTGGCATCGGTATTTCACGTGGGCGTATGAGCGAGCGCTCAAGGACGAGTGCGGCTACAAGGGAACGCAGCCGTACTACCAATGGGCATACTGGGCCGCCGATCCCGCAAAGTCCCCAGCACTCGATGGCTCTCAGACGTCGTTGGGTGGAGACGGCGCGTACATCGCTGGCAGAAATTCCACATGTGTGCCTTCGCCGGATCAATGCGGAGTGTCGATTCCACCGGGCCATGGCGGCGGGTGTGTAAAGAAAGGGCCATTTAAAGACTGGCAAGTCAACCTAGGCCCAGTTTCTCCAGTTCTGGCGGATATCAAGCCGAACCCCGAGTTCACTGGGCTTGGATATAATCCTCGCTGTTTGCGGAGAGATATTTCCAAACCTGCTAGTTCAGGCTGGACAAAAGACAGCGACATCGTCTCCCTGATCCAGTCGAACCCCGATTTTCTCTCCTTCAGCACGAGAATGCAGGGGGATTTCCCCAACGGCTTCCTCGGCGTGCATACAGGTACCCTATCCCTCACAATTTCCTTAACCCAACGCAACTAACCCTCCATCCTAGGCGGCCACTTCACCGTCGGCGGCGACCCAGGCGGTGATCTCTTCGCTTCCCCAGGTGACCCTTTTTTCTTTCTACATCACGCCATGATCGATAGGACGTACACCAACTGGCAGCATCTGGACCTGGCGAAGAGACAGTATGCGCTCGGTGGAACGATTACGCTCAACAACATGCCGCCGAGTCGGAACGCGGAGTTGAGCGATGAGATTGACTTGGGGTATGTGGGTGTGCCGGTAACGACTATCGGGAAGACGGCGAATACGTTGGCGGGGCCGTTTTGCTATGTTTATGCGTGATGTGGTTCTTTACGTTGGTAGAGCGCATGATACATGCAAGCTTGTACGTTCAATTGAAAGCCTGTACTTGCATTAAACAGAGTGGACCGACTTGTTTATAAAAAAACACACTGAAGGATACGCATAGGAATCGCGAGATGAGGTGCCATCATGAAGAGCAAATAAGCTCACCTTCAGACCATTTCGAGATCACAAGTGATCGAAAGCACGTGGACCCCTGAAGTTGACATGATTCCATTGACTAGACTGGTATAAAACAATAAACAAGAAAATAGTGTAGAAGAAGAGGAAAAGGAAGATTCATAGGAATGTAGTCCAGGGCCACAGGATATCCGCCACTTCTACCTTCCACCCCAAACACCCTATGCAAAACTATACCTGCTCCCGAGCGCAACACCGTCGACCCACTCATCCACTTGCTTCTCCCCACACAGACTCTCGCACCCGCTCATCCTCCTCAGTCTGCTAGCTTTCTAAGCCCCCGGAGTGACACTGCTCCTATCTCTACCTCGACTCAGCAGTTTCCTGCCAGTACTTTCCTTCTTTTCTGCTCTCGGGCTCGTACTCCCAACCATGCTCGCTGCATCCGCGTGCACAAAAGAGCTCTTGATGACCACCATGCCTTTACCGACACCCACATTTTTCTCGCCACCAGCGCCCTGGTCGTCGATAGTGAAAGTGCCTTCGCCAAGTTCCTCGTCGCGCCCGAATTTCTTATGGTCGACGACGGAGATCTTGAAGAACGCATCGGCTGTGCATGAGGCCTTGAAGGTTTCCTCTGAAGCGTCAAACGAGACATTACCAGTAGTCGTCTTGTGATGATCCGTCTTGTGTAGCTCCTTATTGCCAAGCTTAACGTGGACGCGAATGTTGGTGTTTGCTGGAAAGCCATCAGCGCTGACGATCGAGATATTAGCAGTGCCAGCCTCGCCGCCACCAGGAGCGCCACTGTCGTTGAAGCGGCTAGCGAAACTTTGTGCGCCCCAGCTTTTATGGCGGTGGTGGTTTGGTGAAGGCTGGGGGGCAGAGCCGTCGCCTTCGATCGATATGATGGGCGTATCTGCGGACGGCCGACCAGATGACGAGTCAGGCCGGTCAGAGCCATCTTCTTCGGTAGCGCCACGCGACTTCCTGCGCTTAAAGCCACGGCCGAGGAATGTGCCTGCGCGGACGACACCACCACCAACAAGAGCGGCACCTTTGCCGACTCCCTTGACAGGTGCACCGACAACTTTTCCTGGTAGGGCGAATGTCCCTGAGAATGTGCTTGAGCCTTGCCTTGAACGCACGACATAGTTGGGCTTGAAAAGCATGCGGAGACGAATGACACCCGACTTTCCGTCTAGCCCCAATGTAACCTCTTGAGGCGTAAAAGGTTCCAATATCTCCAGGTTGATGGTTGATTTACCCAAGAAGTCGGCCTTGTCTCCAAAGTCCCAGTCGTATACGTTCACGACGAAGTCAGCCGCGGTTCGGCTGCGCACTGGAACTTCAAAGTACTCGTTCCAAGCTGGGTGAAGGGTCTTCTTCTGCGTTTTGGTCTTGTACACCTCCTTATCGTTAAGCATGAACTTGCAATACGGGTCCGAGAAGCCGTTGCGGTCAGCTGCTGGGAGGTCTGCAGCATCGAGAATGTCAACACGGAGCGTGCCCTGGTTGTTGAAGGACTCGCTGGGATCCAGCCGCATTTTGACGGGAATATACTTGAGGCTGACGGTGATCTTGTTGTCATGACCATGCTTGTCCTTCAGAATCAATTGAGTCGGGGTGTACAAGCACCTTCGGAGCGTATCAACAGTGTTGCCTGTAAGCTTAGCAATAACATGATCCTCATCGCCATCGCCGTCTTTGTTGATGTGCTCAATAAGCCGAAGAGTGATTTTCGAGAAGTCAAGTTCGCGGATCATAACATCGCCCACTGTATGAAGTCAGCTATGCACTCAGGTGATACAGCAATATTCGTACCTTCGTTGAATGTCATGTTCCTGTTCTTGATTTTCGCAGTCGAGTAGCTAGCATATGCCATGTCATCCATAAGGACATCGACATACGCGCCAGTAGTCGAGAACTCGCCGTCAATAAGCTTGAAAACGAGTAGACCAGATTCTATCGGAGGTTAGCACATACTCAAAACGAGGATAAAAATACGGATGTAAAGCTGCAGGTCGGGGAGGACCAACTCAACCAGCGATATCGCTCCGCATCTCCACCTGATAGGCGCAGCTTACCATACTGCTGAATGTCGTCAACAGTGAGCTTTAGCTTCTCAACCGCCTTCTTTTCCGGTGTTGTCTCATCTTGGTGTTCTTCGTTACGCTCAAGCGCCTTGGCCAGATCGCCTTCACTAGTTTTATGCGAGCTTGCAGTCTTCATGGAGGAAATGGTTCCTGCCGTCTCCGATCGAGTGACGGCCGCTCCTGATGCAGTCGAGATAGTTCGAGAATGGCCCTTTGCTGCACTGCTTCCGTTGGAAGTGACTGACAAAGGACGGGAGGCGCCCTCTGGTGTGGTGGCCTTTTCCTTCTCCTCTTCGTCCTCTTCAGGATCCCAGGTTGGGTATGTAGGGTAGAATGAGCAGGTGTAATTCAGCTTGCCTTTCTCCGCAGCGTGTCCAGCCATTCGAAGAGGTCCGGCGATCGGCTGCTTCTGCTCGTATGCAACATACTCGCCGCTTTCGTCTTGCTTAACGAAATCACCAGCCAGAAGCTCGATGTGGCCAAGGGAGCGATCCTTACCCAGGTTCTCCTCATCCATGACTTCCAAGGTCAACTTCTCGCGAACAGTGTGAACTGGCACGTACACAACCTCGTCCCAGTCAGGGTTGAGATTGTTCTTGAAAGTGACCGTCCGACCCTTCTCGACGCCAGAGAGCAGAACGCGAACATATGGATCAGACTTGCCCAGCTTCTCCAGGTTGCGCAAGTCGCGAGCACTCTGGAAGTGAAGTCTCATCACTCCAATAGGAGTGAGGTAACCACCGGACGCCAAAGAACCCTTCAAAGCGACCGGCTTCCAGTCGAGCTTCATCTTCACTCGACCAGTATGCGCTCCGGCAAGATTGTACCACTCGTGACCCTTTGCCATGAGCTCTAGCATATCGTCGACAGCAATCTGGTATGTTCCCAGTATAGGATCCGCAGCAAGGTCACGGTCGTCCTTGATTACTAAACCAAGTTTCGCCTTCTTGCGATCGGTGATGAGCATCTCTTTGGTCGCGTCTGGCCCAGATTGGGCTGGTTTGTTCGCTTCATGACACGCGATTTGTGCACTTCACGACCGTTGAGAAGCAATACAGCGTAGGGACTGAGCTGACCGACTATGCTCTTGCTGCCGTCCATGTCTTTGGCTTGCTCAACGGTAAATTTGATGATGCCGGTACGTGACTCTGGTGGAGGCTCCTTGGTGCCGTCATCCAGGGTTGTGCCCTCAAGAACGGGGAAGAAGCGCACATCAGCTTGCAAAATGCCGCGTGGTCGCCCGCCAGACATGATCTCAATGTGCATGTTCTCATGGTCAGTGTCCTCCTCAAGCTGCTCCAGCGCAAATGTCGCAGTACCAAGCTCCTTATCCTTTCGGATATCGTTGTAGTCAAACAGGTTGATTGTCAAGGAGTCTTTCAAGGAAGTGACGATAATATTGACAGTCTCGTTCCAGCGAGGATTAGCATTCTCATGCACCGTCTTCGTCTTGGCCAGAACATTGCGGTTGTTAATCGACACAGTCGCATACGGATCGGGAGTGCCAGAAAATTTGTCGGGGTTCTTGAGACCCTGCGCGCCATGGAAGTGGACTTGAAGCACACCAATGGCCTGATCAACCGGGTTGCCTGCAAGCATCTTCGCAATTTCGATGGGGAAGACGTTGGGGTCGTACATCATGGGGCCGAGATTGGCGTGGATCTGCTCCTGAATGAACGACTCAAGACCGGGAATAAAGTTGATGTCGAATCCAAAGGTCTCACCGCCCAAAGGTTTGCATACGTAGTCGATGGTTGGGCGCTCCAGGAAGCACATCTCGACCTTTTCGATGTGCGGGAATGGCAACTGGAGCTTGAACTTGAGGCGCATCATGCCGGAGAAAGCCATGTCCTCGACAATGACATCCAAGCCCTTGCTGACCAAACCCTTGCCGATGCGGATCTCCAGCACCACCTTGGGATTAATCTTGTTCTTGATCTGCCTGGAGGTGAGATCAGCCGTGTCGTTTGGCGTGAAGCTGAACTTCCAGTCCATGAGCACAATGTCGTCCTGTGTCTTCGGGTACGTCTTCACATGCTCAAGTCGCGGTGGTTTCGTTCCAAGCACAAATGTTTTCATCTTCAAGCTGTCGAGGAAGGCTGGAGTCGAAGTCGACAGCACCTGGTCCACGGAGCCCACAATGGTGTCGCACAGCACGGGAGCATAGATTGGCCAAAACTTGACTAGGAAGCTGTTGATCCACTCCAGGCTCTCTGTGTCTGTTTCCAGCTTATTTTTGGCCATCTCACGGTTGAGGTCGTCGCGAGCATTGCGGCGCACGCGACGAATCGAGGTTCGGTAGTATGTGCCACACACGGCCATGATGATCATAACCCATCCCAGACCGCCGCCCAGGACACCTATGACCCAGGTGCTTAGACAGGCGAAGATGATGACACCCGTGTTGTGGTACCAGTCGCCATAGAACTTGTCTTCTATGCGGCCCTCGAGCCATGTCTGGTGGTCGAGCATTGTGCCGTCGTCCTGGTCCTTGTCCTCGGAGCCCAGGCCATGCCGAAGCGCGGGGGCCCATCCTACACGCCCCCCATCGCGCGTCCTCGTCGAGCTCTGGGCGCATGGCCATTCTCTTTCTCGCCATTCGCAGTTGGTGGGTCGATGGCGCTGGCCTTGGTGGGGGTAGGAAGATCGTATGGGAGGGGAGCGCCTGAATCGTCTGCATCAGAGACCAAGGCCGTGGCATTCTTGTTCCGCTCGTGGTGGAAGCCGGGCGGTACTCGTGCTCGTGCCTGGGGCGCGTTTTTCCTCTGGGCTGGCGTCGGGGTCGAACTGGAAAGCTGCGCTGCCGCCTTTGCGAGCTTCATCCACAGCTGTCTTTTCTGCTTGCTGCGCCGTGACACTCGAATCTGCGTCCCGGGCAGCCTCAAAGGCACCCTCTGACTTCAGCTCGTTGGCGCGTGCCTCGGTAGCCATGCTGGCAATAAGCAGCAGACGCCGACCCGCTGTGGTTTCGCGGCAAGATGATGGGAGTGCAATTGGGCGGTTTGCAACCCAGTTGGAGATCAGAAAGCGGAAATCACGTCGCAGTGAGAATGCTCAACAGATAAACACCGCCGAGCTCCAGGTCGCTATCGTGTGCAGCCACAAACCTGCTTCCGTTAGTCTAGCCGCATGCTACCATCTCCCGCAGATGGCTGGCACTGACCTCCCCACTCGCTCGATTCACCAATTGGGCGTCACCGGAGCTGCTGCTGCGTGCGGCTGAGCTGGTGAAATCTACAATTGGGCCCGCTAAGAGGATCAATGAAGGAACGAATGAATGAATGTACAAGTGGATGGGTGAGTGAATGGCTCTGCTGACAATGTTGAGGTTGTGGAGCTATTGATCGGCCACGATGCGCCGAAGAGAGAAGCTTTCCACCGTGCCGGTTCACCCTTGAGATTATGACGTGTTGCTCTCTCCCCCCCGGTCTGATCAGCCTGATCAGCCTGCACTGCCACCTCTCGTCTGAATTACAGTATTTGGTCCTCAGGGGTTCTCTGTCCAAACAAGCGAACCTCGACGAGACACTATCAAGAGCTAGCCGTAGCTCAACGGACGTGTCGTGTCCACAGATCCACGTCTTACTGCTCAAGCACGTGTCAGCATCGTCGGCACCACCGGGCATATCGCCGCACCATTAAGAGACACGCAATACTCAGACGTATGCTCGGCCACAATAATCAAGTTCGACGCAATTCAAGCTCCTCATGGGCTGACAACTGTCATCTCCCGCCCCATGCAAGCAAGCATCAGCTCTGCGGCCATCGATCGACGGGCTCGCTTCTGCAACATCCACGCGCGCTGGCGCCACATGTGTTACCCGGCCACACCACTGCGTGGTACATCAACCACCTTCACAGTGCACACGCCTGCGCATCCGAAACTTGTTTGAAAACTGCTCGTGCTATGTCTCAGACAATGCCGCTGTCTGCTGCGGTGACAATACTGGTCTTCATGACTACATCAAAATGGACATATGCACCCAGGTAAGAATTATATAGTAGTCAAAGGCAACTTGCACGGGTATCTAGAAAATTCTCAGAGCAAGTCGCGCCTGAGTGAATTGAGCTACACCATACCTCGCGCCACAAAAAATCCAGACCCATCCCCAGATTCTCCCGCGACCCACAAGTCCGCACTAGAAGCCCTAGGCATCAAACCTCTCCTCCGCGGACCCCTCAAAACTAGAATTCCTTCAACATTCGAACAAGTCTTCCCCCTACGCCCTCCCTGCTAAACTATTTAGTAAGGATCGCTTACAACTGGATATCTCCTGCCAGAGACACCGTCTTGCACTCCACCTTGAACATACCTGTGCATTCTGCGATCCCGATCTCTTTCCCTGCTGTGATCTCGCGACCGATCATAGTGCCCCCGGTCCTCCCAATCTGCATTCTTGCCTCGGTCTCGACCCGCATCTCGATCGTCCCAATCATCTTTCACGCGATCGTGACTCCGCGTTCGGGCTGTATCGCGTTCCCCTTGTCGTTCGCGGGGGTATGCTGCGTCTTCGGTCGATCGACGGCGGTGCCGGGAGCGATGGCTGCTGCCCGTCCCCATGTCGTAGGATATTGTCTCTCTGTCGCGGTCTCGATCTCGTTCGCGGTCGCGGTCACGATCACGATGGTGATCGCGAGAATATGGCGGGTCAGCCTCTCGTGGCGGACTGACAGGACCGGCCCACCTGAGATTCTGTGGAACAGGTCTGTAATTTGTTACCCGTGCAGGCATTGTGGGCCTTCTGTCATAATGATTCCGCGCCTCCATTTGCGCCACTTGAGTCGCAAACAAAGGCGACTTTGTTGGCCCATATACTGGTTGCGGGGATGTTGCTTTGGAAGACGACCGACTTCCCGGATACTGCGCGTGTGAACTGCGACGATCGCCTTCGTAGTAAGTGGGGAAGTAGTCGCGAGGCGGCGTGGGGTCTTGAGGCCTGCGTGGTGGCAGCTCTGGCGTCCGACGTGGCGAAGGTAGGTGCTCCTCGTCTGACTCCGAGTCTGTGTCTGGCAGCGAGTCGTCTCGTCGGGGTCTTCGAGGACGCTTGTGCACGCTATATCGTGATGACGGCGGGTTGGTTGCGGTTGGGGTCGCATCTTCGTCAGAATGGCTATCGCTGTCGTACCGCCCCGGTATGCTCTTTTTCCTGTTTTTGAAAGGGTTCAGCATGTGCCTTACTCTGGACGTGACTGCCTCGGCGCCGATGGGGTAGATTGCGTCTTGTTTGGATACATGGCGCATGAAGCCCGGTCGAGGTCGAGCTTTGCGGTACATGGGGTCTTCGAAGTACTTGAAAGCGCCATTGCGCTCGTCAGCAGAAGAACCATCTCCGTCGGTCGAGATTCGCGGGCCTGCTTCAGCAGCTATGTGTGCCCTGGCCGCCTCTTCTTCTGCTTCTCTCTTGAGTCTGGTAGCAACACCTTCGTACCAAGTCTCCATTGCGTCGTCTGGCTTGTCTGGAAAGCACTCTTTGGGCAGCACTTTGGGGAAGAGGCCGCCCGATGCTGGATCCACCACGTCGTACTTTTCCACCGCCCGCTGCAAGAAGGGCACATGCTCTTCTGGGCCCAATAGCAGTTGTATCGTCTGCCATGTCACGAAACCCTGCTTCTTGAGCGCAGGTATGCTTGGAGCAGAATAGCCGTCGTCAGTCGGGGCGGGTTGCAGGCTGTGGAATGCGCCGAGAGAGCGATAGATGAATGCGATCGAAGACGGCGGCGTGTCTTTGAAGAGGACGTCGTAGTTGCCGCCTATGTCGCGATACCAGGCTGCGATTTGCGACGGGGTGAGGTCTGGCGATTCGCTGGGTTCGAACTTGCGGCTCTACAGTGGCATGGTCAGCAATGGGGCCGCTGCCATAGCTATGCGCGCCTTGAACGTTCCACAACTTACAATCAGGTCTGCAATCCCCTTGAGCAGGCGGTCTAAGAGTGGTGTGCCGCATTTGTCTGGTTTGAATAGGTAGCCCCAGTACTCGTAAGCTTCACGGTGCGTCGCGTCTATGTTGGCAGCATGCTGCTCTTGATTCTGGTGCGCTTCTGAAGCCATATCATCGATTGGCGCCTACAGTCGAAGCGCTCCAGGCCGGGTCATATGCGTACGCTCGTGCAGACCAAGGGAGGTTGGGCGCTCGTGAAGCTGGGGCGTGGCACCGAGACCGAGATGCCCCGCGGATGGATGATCCTTGAAGTCGTGCAACGCGATATGCGGAACGCGATGGGCAGGGAGGAGCCGCTGCTTATGCATTTGTATTCAAGGCACGACGACGGCCTGTCTCAAGGCAAATGCATGCCAGACATGCGCCACGCAGCTGACTGGACGGCTGCGCCCTTACCACGCGCAGGAACCTGTTGACAGCGGATGCCTCTGGTTCGCGGCTCGGTGGCCTGTGATGGTTCTCGTGTCTGACATCACCGTTGGGCATGTGCAGGACCGCCCGAGTGGGCCGCAAGGCTGAGCACCCGGAAATTTATCAGGCAGCAATCGGAACAAGACACAGTTTGAGCAACATGTTGGGACAAATTTGATGCTGGGTATGTAGATTGATTTTGTCTATTACGGTTGCGAGGTGTCAGGAGCGTGCACCTTCTGACGCCTCCTAGTATCCTCGAGAATTATTTTCATCAGCTACTGTTAAATGCATGTATGTCATCCCTCATGATCGATCGCCCAAGGGAGATCTTTATCCTCGTATATCTACTCGAAACTGCAAAAACGCTATCGACACGCTTAGTGCTCGAGCAACCTCAGCGAACCCTGGACGACCACGTTCTCCAGAACGGAACCCGGGGGGATGTCGATCGTTGAGCCCTCGGTCGCAACAATGATGACAGTACCCTTGAGCGTAACACCGCGGCCGAGGTTAACCGGTCCGGTAATGGTAAGATGGTCAAGCTCGACAATCTTGGGGATGGAAGGAATGCGAGACTGGAAGCTCGACACCTTCTTGAAATCGCTGCCAAGCTTGATCAAGGGGGCAGGGCCGAAGCGGTTGGGATCAATCACCAGCTGGCCGTGCTGGAGGGTGTAGAGGTCAGACTTGACGAGCATGAGATCTGAGCAGGTCTTGACGGGCAAGAATCGCCGCCTGGGGACATTGACACCGTGTGCATTCTTGAAGTGCTTGATAGCGGCACCAACAGCCGTCTCGAGCTGCAGAACAGAGATATCGGCCTCGCCCTTCTTGTCGGCAGGGATGGACTTGCCATTGGGAATGATCTCCATGGCAAGCTCGTTGGCCTCGACGACGCGCTTGATAGCAGCTACGTCCATCCAGATGTTGTTGGTGTTGAAGTACTTGAACTTCTTGATCGACTTGAACTCGTTGACGTGCTCCTTGGGGACCTGAGCAATTTCAAGCAGACGGACGGAGCCCTCGTAGTCGATGATGGTACCACCCTTGACGTCAGCCTTGGTCTTGTCGGTCAGCTCCATAATGTACTCAGCCTTGGAGTCGACCATGTGCTGGAGGATACGGAGATCGACGACAGCACCCAAGTTATCAGCGTTGGACAAGAAAATAATCTCAATGCCACGCTCAAGGAGCTTGTCGAGCATGCCAGTGTTGTACAGCGACTCGAAAACGTCACCGTGACCCGGAGGGTACCAGTTGGCAATGTCTGAGGCGTTGTTCTTGGGCGCGGGCAGCAGCGAATCCTTGAGAATACGTGGGTAGCGCGACTGGTTGAAGGTGAGGATGTCGATGTTGTGTCCCTCGTACTTCTTGATGATGCTTGCCGTGTCGGTGTCGGTGTTGAACGAGTTCATCAGGACGAACGGCACGTTGACATCGTATGTGCGGTTGAGGTACTCAATCTGGCGTACTGACAAATCGAGGAAAGACATGCCATCGCGGACCTCGATGACCGACTTGGGGCCAACGCAGCCCATGGAGGTACCGAGACCACCGTTGAGCTTGACGACGGCCAACTTGTTTAGGTATTCGACGGCCTCGGAGTTGGCCAAGTCATCGTAGTTGACGACCTGCTCGGCCTTCGGGGGCGCGATGCGGTTCCAGTCAATGGCGGTGCCCTTGGCCTTGTCGTTAAGGTATCGTCGGAACAGGGCGAAGAAGTTGTCCATTTCCGTCTCGAAGTACTATGCGGGGTCAGCGTACGTTCGCGTGACGTACGTGCACTTTGCCATATCCGTCACTGGCGGCGAGAAGCTCATGCGAGTCTCGCCGAGAATCCATGAGATACAGCGGGGTGTGCTTGGGCATGAGGCTCACCTTCTTCTCGGCGGGGTCCTCGACCGTGTCGGCGAGCTTGTTGAGGGCATTTCGCATCTGCGAAGCTGCAACGTTGGTGGATGTGTTCTCGAAGGCCTACATGTTTGGGTGGTTAGCAGGCTGCTCATTTTCCGTCAAACAGCTTCTTGGAATGCGTTGCATTTCCTGAATCGGCGATGGAGAAGGTGCTAGCCGTGGGAGTGGGGCTGCGCGTGGAACAAAGGAGGCCATGCAGCTCTCAACAGCTGTTCGAGCAGAGCTTTGTAGAAGCATTCGCCAAAAGAATAATGCAACAAGCTGGTAAAGACCAGCATGCAGAAGAGAAGACTGCTGTTGCAATTGCAACACCGTATGAACAAGGGGCCTGCTTACCACGTGGGACTGCGACTTGCCGTGGTGGCGCTGCGAGTTGAAGCCGCCCTCATCCTTGCCAGCGGCAGAGGAAGGCTTGAGGTGCGACGGGATTGCGCGAGAGGCCATGATGTGTCTGTGTGGGGTAGAGGTAAAAGGTGAGGAGGAGGAGAGTAGAGCAGATCAGCGAGGACAGCGGTCTGGTCTTAAAGCAACAGGAGTCTCAGGGTCTGTGTTGGCGCGGTGTAGACGTGGGGCAAGAACGTGCCTCGAACCAGCAGGACGAACTGGGGTGACTGCAGTTTGTGCAAATGGCCTTGGATATGGCGTATTTTATACGCAGTGCCTATCTGCTAGCTGAAGGCCGTGGCAACGCTCGGTGATCAGTTCCTGCCCCGGCTTGGAGGTTCTCAACACATTGTGATGCTCGAATCAGTCCGCTGCTGCCGCGAATGTCTACCTAGGTACGTGACTGTTCCTCGTTGCCCTACTCGAACAAAAGGAAAACAGCCAGAACTCTATTCTTGCAGACCACGTCCATGTTTCATGCTGTGCCCTCACCGCATAGCCTTATCCAATCGTCGATTACTGCATGCTTGCCCATACTTACCCCACCATCCTGTTTGGTCTCCTACGCCCATGGCCCACAGTGTAGCTATCTCTGAGACTTTTCACACCCGTCCCGTGGCTACCCGAATCTGTGAACCTGCAATTGACTACGAGTACAACCGGCGGGCCCTCGACAGATTCACGATGCACAATTGTTGGGGTAAAATTTCAATGGGAGCTATGGCCTCCATGTTTTCAGCCCCTCGTCTGGCCCGCGCTAGCAGGGATCAGACGGCCTGTCTGGTTGCATGCTCGACTGCGGTGGCAGCACTTCGCTCAACAATTGCCCCAGACCGAAGACCATGGGCGAAAACCCGGAGTGTGGCAAATGGGAGATGCGGATCTGTAGTGCATGTGCATTCAAAGATAATTGCCTGGCCAGATGGACCCTGATTGCGCCGCTTCTCGGAGAAGGGCGGTGGACATTTGCACCAGTCGGCAACCTCTTCACTCCCGATCCTCGCTAGTCCCACGTGGGGTCGCCGCCTTCGAGTTCAGGTTCCTGTCCAGCAAGACCCGCCCGTCTCAACTGACATGCGATATGCGACATGCGACATGCGACATGCGCCTATCCCTACGCTACGTACACACACCCTTCGTATCAAGCCAAGCGCACTGGACGCGTTATCTCGACAGCGGGAGCGTCCGCAAACGGAACAGCAAGTGGCTTCTCGATTCTGAGCCTCAGGACTAGATCCTGGTCCTCAGCTTTTGTGAAGAAATGCTGCCTGAGCTGCTGGATTGTCCATTCGAGCATGCTCTCCAGGGTCTGAAATTCAGTAGCTGAAATTTGCTGCGTTTTGTCAGTGTCCATGTCTATGGTATCCATCTAGCGCGAACATACCGAGAACAAAAATGTCTCCAGTTCAGGGTAGTCGTCGGCTCGAGAACTAAAATCTGGCAGGCATTCGACCCACAGATTCACCACTACTGGCTGCTTCTGCAACCTTTCATTCGAGTTGACGCCAATGAGACAAGGGATCCGGACGTTTCGCAGATGCAGCACGCTTGACCGCACATTTGTGCCCTCCAGCGTCGAAGTGTGGTGACCAACCCCATCTCCGAACATGCCACCTTTGATGTAGTAGACACTTGTTTCAATAGCGTATATCGGCGTCGTACCCGCCATTCCCCTCACGGCATCCGCAACAATGGTCGAAAACATGGCTGTTGGCTCCCACCTTGAGCTCGCCGTCTGTAACCGCGCCTGGACAGCCTTGCTCAGAAGACCATAATGGATTGTGCTTTCATCAACTGTGTCTGTTGTCGAAGCCGAGGCGAACTTCTGGCTCAAGGTCACGATGACACTGATCAGTGCTCGTTGCGGTTTGTTACGGCCCCAAACATCTTTTCCAGCATTGACAGTAACCTCGAGGTTCTGTACCATAATCTTGTCGCAATGCTCGCTGAGAGCCAGCTGCGCATCCCATACTGACTGTCGGACGACTTGCGTCATGCTGTAGGCAGTGCCGGAGACAGAATTTCGGGGAAGATATTGATCGACGGGCAGGTATCCGGGCCAGGAACTTGAAGAAGCTATGGTTGTGGCGCAAACGATGTATTCAAGCCGTTGTCGACTCGAGGGAGCTGACTTGACTATGCAGTTTGACGATAAATACAAATTGCTTGGCAGACCTGGAGGTCTTAACTTCTTCGCGAGTCGGGGCTATGTTAAGCCCTTTGCGTGTCTACAAAAAGGCTATGGGAACTAAATTATCCAAGGTGGAGGTGCACTGGTATGACGCCCTTCCAGAAGCGCGCACGGACGCACGGACCCCGCGTGAGAGCCTCAGTCGAAGCTTCTAGCTCCATAGTAGCCAAAGTATTTCTGCAATCACAACTGCGGCCTACTCACTAACAAAGCTGCGACTACTGATCCAGATTTTCTTGTAATCAGCACATACTCACAGTCATGGCGGACGCACTAAAAGCGGAAGGCAACAAACTCTTTGCCGAGAAGAAGTTCACCGAGTCCATGTACGTTCCCCGCATGTGTATTCGGTGATGTATTTGCTAACAGCGCTACAGCGAGAAGTTCTCACAAGCTATCGAGCTTGACCCTTCGAATCACGTCCTATACTCGAATCGCTCTGGCGCATATGCCTCATTAAAGGACTGGGACAAGGCTCTGGCAGACGCGTCGAAGACAACTGAGCTGAAGCCCGACTGGGCCAAAGGATGGGGTCGCAAGGGAACTGCGCTACACGGCGAGGGCGATCTAGGTAGGGCAATTGTCTGGAAAAAATGAGGGACGCGACTGACACAGTACAGTCGGAGCAACAGAGGCCTTCGAGGAGGCCCTCAAACTTGACCCGAACAATGCACAGGCCAAGTCTGGACTCGATGCTGTAAAGCGCGCAGTGGAGGCCGAGGCGCGAGCTGATGGACTGGGTGGAGATCCTTCCGCAGGACTCGGTGGCATGTTCAACGACCCGAACATGATCCAGAAACTCGCCAACAACCCCAAGACGGCGTCGTACCTCGCAGACCCTGACTTCATGAACAAGCTCCAGCAGCTCAAGTCCAACCCGAATGCTGTTGGCTCGTACATGCAAGACCCGCGCTTCTTGCAGGTCATGAGCGTAATGTTGGGTATCGACATGCAGTTTGGCGGGCCTGGAGGAGCCGGGGAACAGGGCGGTGCTGCATCGCGGGACGTTGAGGAGGATGTTGAGATGCCGGATGCACGGCCTGCTCCGGAACAGCCCAAGAAGGCTCCCGAGCCAGAACCGGAGCCAGAACCGGAGGAGACCGAGGAAGACAAGGCTGCCAAGGAGGCAAAGATCAAAGCCGATGAGCTGAAGAAGAAGGGTACCGAGTTCTACAAGAAGCGACAATTTGACGAGGCCATCGAGAATTACACTTCAGCATGGGAGACACACAAGGATATTGCATACAAGACCAACGAAGGAGCTGCAAGGTTCGAAAAAGGTGACTATGAAGGCTGCATCAAGGCTTGCCAGGAAGCTGTCGATTATGGCCGCGAAGTCTACGCAGACTTCAAGATCGTTGCGAAGTAAGTTGTCTTTAACATGGATCGAGAGCCCTCGCTAAGACAGAATAGAGCATTTGCACGCATTGGTACCGCCTACGAGAAGCTCGGCGACCTCGCCAACGCCATTCTCTTCTACCAGAAAGCCCAGACCGAACACCGCACACCCGAAGTCCTCGCCAAGCTACGAGCAGCAGAAAAAGCAAAGATCATAAAGGAGAGAGAATCGTATATCAGCCCAGAGGAAGCAGAGAAGGCTCGTGAACTAGGCAATGCGAAGTTCAAGGAGTCAGACTGGCCTGCTGCGGTTGAAGCATACTCTGAAATGATCAAGCGTGCACCAGACGATCCTCGAGGATACTCAAACCGTGCCGCCTGTTTCATCAAGCTTCTTGAGTTCCCTTCCGCCGTTCAAGACTGCGATGAAGCCATCAAACGCGACCCCGACTTCATCCGAGCGTATCTGCGAAAAGCCCAGGCGTATTTCACCATGCGCGAATACAGCAAGTGTGCTGATGTATGCGCAGAAGCTGCTGCGCATGACAAGGATGGCAAGAACGCGAGGGAGATTCAACAACAGGAGACTAAGGCTCTTCAAGCACAGTATGCCGCGCGCGAGGGCGAGACGGAGCAGCAGACCATGGAGCGCATCCAGCGGGATCCGGAGGTAAGCACTCCATCACACTACTATAGACTCCAACTGCTTACACAGTTTCTAGATTGTCAGCATCCTACAAGACCCGATCATGAACAGCATCCTCCAACAGGCCAAGGAGGATCCAGCGGCGCTCCAGGAGCATCTCAAGAACCCAGACATCCGCTCTAAGGTGCAGAAGCTCGTGCACGCAGGTGTCATCCGCATGGGTCGATAGGTAGCATGAGTGTGCCGTTTATTAATTGTGTGGTACTAATGTCTGAACGGCATTCAGCATCTAGCAACGACATACTCAGAGGACGATTGTATGAGCGAAATGACTTCGATTTTCTCTGCATAGCGTTACGGTACTTCAAAATGGTATTCTACTTGTTCAAACTTTTGCCACTTGCACAATGCATTCGTTGATCGTGCTGCATAGAAGTTGAGCATATAGATGCAAATGCTTTTGAATACTCGCCGCATCTACATTTAAAACTCGTAATGCTGACTGGTGCGTACTATTTCTTCCGATCGGAGAGTGCGAAGCAGGAACTGTCTCATCGAGTGCACGGCCAATCACAATGTCGTCCCATCGGTGACATATCGCCAAGCCTGCAACGTTCAATGCTCCATGTGCCACCAGGACTTCCTCAACAACAAGCTTCTTAGCTTACTTCCTCAATCCACGGCTTTTAACATCGATTTAGACTCGAATAGCTATAGACTATAATCTTGATTGCCTCTCGAAATGTCAACCATCGCCTCACCCGCATCTACGTCATCTGATCACGGTTCTGACGATGCAAAGTCACGTCGCAAGTCTCGCGTATCGGCAGAACACACTCTTAACAGAGTACGCGAAAATCAGAGGCGCCATCGCGCTCGTCAAAGAGACCATGTCGCAACCCTGGAGGGGAAACTTGCTGAGACTGAGCAATTGCTGGCCGAGGCAAGGGCCGAGATAGTCTTGCTAAAAGCACAACAAGATGTCACAAACGCCATATGTCGCGAGAACCATATCGAACTACCAAATGACATCACATCTATCAAGACGTCAAGCGAGGACGCGGGGAATTCTACTAAGCCATCGGCGCCAGCCTCTGTAGTAATCGACAACGGCCAGCAATTCCCATACACAACGAACCCCGACCTATCCTTCCTGGACGACATCTCGTCTGCATTCATCATCGACATGAACAGCCTGCAGATACCAATGCCAGCGCCCCCAAAGGAAGAGCTAGACTCATTCAGCGGTCCACCACCCTGCTGTTCGGACACCGCAACTGTACCTCTCCCGGACGAACCCGTCGATCCAGAATGCTCGACTTGCAAGACGAAGCCACCACCTGATCCTTCCGAGAGCACCACACTGTGTGCGCAAGCCTTTATCCTAATATCACAGCAAAACTTTCGAAACTTGGACCCCGAGACTATCAGGATGTGGCTAGCCCAAGGCCTGAGACGGGCGCAGAGGGAAGGTGAGGGATGTCGAGTTGAGAATGGGGCGTTGATGAGACTACTGGACTACATCAGTGGTATTTGACGGCCAGGAATGCGAAAGAGGACATAACCTCCACATCCACTAGACAGTGTCACTACATACCATGCATGGCATGAGGACGGCAATCTACGTTATCGTACGCTTTTGTCAAGCGTTGCTTCGTATCAACCACAATCTCCGAGGCGTCCACCACCCATCTTTTTGCGGCTTCAATTACGGACTGCAGGATCGCTCTGCTTGACAACGCGACGACCTGGAGCAACGTCCGGCGGCATGTCGAACCATCCACTTCTTGCCTCAACCCTCTCATAAATAACATTGCAGTCGCTGCGGGACCGGCCACTGCCCCACAATGGACGAGACAGTTGTATGCAATCACGTCCACGATCGGTACACTGCTACTGCGCGTAGCAATGTCACAAACCGGGCCATTCAGAATGGCGGTATTAACCATGTCCCTACACACGAAGGCCAAATCGTATTAAAACGAGAAGTACTGTACTGTTGAGAGCGCATTGCACTTTTGGACATACTTACCACAATGGCTCTACTTGGAAAGATGAATATCAATGGCTCAGTTTACATTAACGGCATTGCTGTATTTAAATAGGAACAAGAGCACGGAGAAATTCTTGCTGTGCCGAGCAATCAGCCAAAGGTGCAGGTGGCATGGAGAAGAATCTCAGCAAGCATGGTTTATGATGCCTTGAGTCATGATTAGGGTTGTTTCAAATCATATGAACATTGCCGAATCACAGATTGCAGGTTCACAAAAGCTTGGGCTTTCACAACGCGATCACTCCTTGAGTATAGTTGTTGTGCAGAGTAAAGTCATTCTATTCTTCGATTCCCATCAAGGCCATCCATATCAACTGCAGCAGACACCACCAATACCTGTACAGTACTGGCGTCAATACTAGACCGTACATTATGTTTCCAGGCCATTGCCCTCTGGCAGACACCACCACTCTTCCTCCTACTACCCTGTCTCGTCGTATCTAAACCTTGTTACGATAGAACATCGCCGTCTCGCCAATGAACTGATATCCAATGGCACCCGAAACTTCACACAACTCCTCGCCATTGCTGCGCATAACACGCCAATCCATGTTACCCAGTCGAAGCACTTGGCCAGCATTCTGGACCTCGTCAAGCACAATGTGGTCCTGCTCCTCTAACTTGCGTCGTGCTTTCAGCACTTCTGACTGCTGCAGGTGGCGTAGCTCGCGGTTGTGGCGCGCGTCATCCAAGCGGTCTTGCCGATGAACGGCAGGGGATCGGATTGTTGGTCGGCACGAGCGACGTGTCGACGCACTGCGGTGAGTTGCTGCAGAGCCGTAAGCTGTGTGAGTTGAGGAACGAGCGAGGGTGTCGACGGGATTGCGTATGTCCGAGTCGTCGTCCGAGTCGTCATCTGCTTCGACACCGGGTGATCGAGTTGTTGGTTGTCGCGAGCGACGTGTTGACGCACTGCGATGAACTGGTGCAGAGCCGTGTGGAAGATCCTGTAGCGGTCCGCGCCAGGAAACAGCGGGGGTGTCGACATCCGAATCATCATCTGCTGCCGGATTGTGGTTGGAGTTGTGCCTACGAATGTTCGCATTAGAGACGGAAGCTGGGCGTGGGACATCTTGCTGAACATGGCCTTTGCAGCGAAAGACTGGAATCGGTCGTGCTGATCCAGAACGATGCTGCTGACGATCTGATCGAGTTGATTCACCAGACACTGTGCTGCCTGAGTCTGAGTCCTGGATCACAATACGATCATCTGCGTTGTTGGCAGGTACCTGGGCTCTAGCCACTCTAGCAACAGTGGTTTCATGTGCATTGGCAGGTACCCGTGCTCTAGGCACAGTATCTTGATCTACATTGTTGGCAGATGTTTGTGCTCCAACCACAGCATTGTCGCCATTGTGTGGCACGTCCACCACTTCGTCCACAGGTTCGATGTTCTCCTCCACATCTTGCATAGGCTGGTCGTTGCCCGCTGGGTGGTTGTCAAACCAGCGATCCTGGAGGTTCTCGTCCATAGCGTTGTAGAAAGCTAAGAAGAGCTTTGCCTTTGGCATCTGAGTCAGGTCTGCCCGCAGCAACGAAGACCACACGCGCTTCGCGACCTCGAACTCGAACCAATCCCACTCCATGCGCTCGTGCTCATGGCAGCAGCGCATACCTTCACACCCACCCCGCACCCACTCTGAACGCACTTCGGATATAATGCGAACCCAGTCCTCGTTATGACGCTGCATAAAAACGTATCGCTGCCTGCTGAAGTGCATATCGACGAGTTCCATCAAGTTGCTATAGATTCCGATGGAGAAACCGGCGGGATTGTACGTCCGAGCGTACTCTTCAGCTTGCCATTGAGCCTCTTTGTCCGGCTCCAGGAGATTCAACTTGCACAGTGACTCGCGGCAATTGGGGCAGCGGTTGCGGTTTGGGTTGATGCCGTTGATCCATTGGAAGATGCAGGTCTTGTGGAATAGATGCCCACAACGTACACGCCGTGGGCCGCCATGATGGCCATTGTGTTCATGAGCCCCAAATATGGATTCGGCGCAAATGCTGCAGTCCTTGTCTTCCATCTCATAGACGCGGGAGTTGGGGTCAATGTGGGAATTGCAATCCAAATCGTCTTTGAGCTCTTCCAAGGTAGGAAGTGGAAAGTTGGTAGCCATGATGGTTGTTGAAGCGGTGAATATGGTCGGGTGGGCTTGGGCTTGACGCTTTTCGGTGAGTGTAAGAAAGTTGAGGTTGTGGTGTGGAGAGGAAGGCCTGCTGATGGTGGGGAACGATGTTATAACTCGATGCCGTCGCGCCTACTAGATGAACGTCGTCTCCTTCGTAGTGAATAGGCAAAACCATGTCACCCAGCCTTGCAATGGAGATCCTACACAAGGCTACCACTGCGTAGTGCCTGTTACTGTTGTAGCGTATAGTGAAAGCAAAATCCCATCTTAGGTAGAACATTTCAGTAGTGAATAAAAAATGTAAACTCTCCAGGAGAATTGTTCTCGCTTCCAGGTACTTTATTAGCGGGCTGTCTAGAGGCGTCGTCTAGAAATATCCTGTTCAAAATCCACAACACCTCGACCCACTGCATCCTCGTAGCCTCATCACTTTTGCAGTCAAACCTGATTTTTAAGCTGTCCTCACAAGCCTGAACGCGTTCATCGCTCCGTGACCCTCATAACAACAACCGAATTCACAACTTTTGTCCACGGATGCACCTCCACTAATATCTCCAGTCCCGTCTCCCGCTCCAGCTCATTCGAGAGTTCCAGGACCTACCACACCTGTTAGTATAATCCACGCCTCCTATTTACAACAAGGCCTGACTCACAGGATACAGCACTTCCCTCAAGCCCTTGGCGCTTCTCGCCACCACCAACGTGCCGACCGTCAGCTTCTGCGCCAAGCTCTTCAAGATGCTGATTTTGCTTGCGGTGTCGCAGCCCACAAGCGCGGCCAAGAATACTACGTCGAAGTCTCCCCATTTAGTCTTGCTCTCTTGTGCTGTGATGTCTTCGCGCGAGAATGTCATGCGGTCGTAGCCGAGTTTTTGACACAGCGTTTTGCTGACTGAAAGGGCGGTGGCGTCGCGATCGATGTTGTGGACTGTTGAAGAGGGGTAGCGATCGAGTATACATAACGACGTCAAAGGTAACGGGCCAGATCCGATGAAGGCAATGTTTTTTGGTGGAAGGTTGTGGGAGAGATAGGCGGACAAAGTAGCCATTTCGAGGTTAGAAAGGTCGATGTAGTTCTGATGGTATGGAAACGATGCAAGCAAACTTTTTGGGTCGACTGTGAGGGAGTAAGTTTGACATGTTCTCGACTTATTTGGAAGACGTACGTGTTGGTTGTGCTTCCGCATCTTGGATAATGCGCCCTGCCCAGAACTTCTCCAACTCGCCTTCGGCAGCTGCGCATAGGGGCCGGAGCTCCTCATATAGTTCATTGGCACCGCGTATTGAGAAGAGAGTGCTGACAAAGTCTGCGCTTTGCGGTGTGATGCACAGTCCGACAAGCCGTGTTAGGAGTTCGTCGACTTGCCCTCCCGGAGCGAGATTTGGAAGTTTCAACAAGTCCGCGTAAATCTCTTGAATCTCGGCGAATAGTTTATGTGCGGACGAAGTTGTCGTGGTTGGCGTTCGGGGTGGTGTAATTGCATTTGTGGGGCCTGCCTCGTACTTCGATTTTGATGAACCCATGCTGACGCTTTCATTTGGGGTGTAAGTCGACATGTTGTATTTGTATATTTAGAGTAATAACCAAGGAATCGTTCGCTGTGCAGGTGCATGTTCGCAGATACATATACATATTCAACGCCTTTGGGCAAAGTATGCATAGCGCGGCAGCTAAACGCAAAGCTTAGTCTAATTGGAAACAAGTCATTGGCTGCTTCACACTGAGCACCATGATGGTTTCGTGGGGTGTGGATGTTGTGCAGGTAAGAGATTTCGTACAAACTGTAGAGGCTAGACTGAGTGAGGCAGGAGTGCATGGAGAAGGTACATGTGTTGCTGTACAACTCAGCGGCTAAGCGTCGTAGTAACGTGGAGAATGTGATCTGCGCCTAGCTAGGAAGTGGAAGGTCGCGGCTCATCACATGCAGTCGAAGCCAAGTTATGTTGTCCAGGCAATGGTGCTCCTCTAAAACCGGATTCTAGAAAGCCTCATTCTGTCCGCGTGGAGGTTCGGCTACATAAATATGCCGAACTATGTGGAGACATCATCCCACGTAAGGGCGTTTGTAAACACACTTACCCCCAACCCACGTTTCTCTTACCGTTAGTTTCCGTAGGCTTTCGACATCCATGTTGTAAAGTGGTTCATCCAATACTACCCAGTCGGCATACGCGCCCACGTCAATGACACCAGCCTTGTTTTCCAGAAAAGCACCGTAGGCGGGGTTTATAGTGAAGCCCTGCAATGCGTCATGCATGGTGATCGTCTCTTCGGGATACCAGCCTTCCTTGCCACCACTGGGGTCAAGACCTGTTCGGGGATTGCGTCGCGCGACAGCCGCGTACATGCCCTCGAAGATGTTGGCTGGGGTATACGCTCCGAACATGTAAACTTACATAATGGCGCTCAGATGTGGCTAAACAGAAGGTATAGGTGTGTAAATAATTACTGGTTGTGAACATATCACCCGAATTACAATGCTGAAAGCTTCTTTCTTGATCGTTGATCGCCTAGCTTTTTTGTTGCTGCTTCAAGTAACTAAGCCTCTCGCATCGCGCATCCTCGTCCCAATCTCACCCACGTCACCTCTCTCTGTCCTACGGCTCGTAATTACTGCCCTCGTCCTCGCTATCCTGGATCACCTTCTCTCCGCCGCCTTGACCGCCGTCGTCCTTTCCACCCTCATCCTCTTCATCCTGGCTGTCCGGAATCACAAGGTCACTATCCGGAACCGCGATATCGGGAGTTGCAACATCGCTGTCTGGAATCAAGATGTTGCCATCGGCATCGCCGTTCCCGTCACTGTTGAGCTCCGAGTCCATCATGTCCACGTCACCAGGGCGGTGAGTATCTGGAAACTCGTAGTCTCCTTGGTCAATCTCCAGGAATATCATATAAGCTTCTCGCCTAACGATGGTCGTGCGGTCGCGAACCTTGATCTTCCGCTTGTCATTATGCTCAGTCCATTCGGTGTTAGGCAGGTTGGTGTCCCGACAGAGAGCGTAGTAATGACCAGAGTCAGTGCCAGTACCGTCATGGCATACCACGGTCTGCACTCGGTATCCTTGTTTCCCCAACGCGCCTCCATCTACTTTCAACTTATCCATGGGATAGAGCACCTCTTCCTGGTTTTTCGCAACCCAGCCAGTCGGACTGCCATCATCGACGAACATAAACCGTTTGATCTGGACTATCATGCGGTTAGGAAAGCTTTGTGGGAAGACAGCGTCCTCCTGCTCGCCCTTCTTAGTCAAGTGGCAACTGCAGAGGCTGTTGACTTCATTGCCCGCGTCGATAGGTTGGAACTCTCCGAATTGAAGAAGGCTCTCAAGCTTTAGGTTACTGTTTAGCCCACTTGGAATGGAGACGGCTATCGGGCACTGCCTATCATGCCCTACCACTCTCATCGCGGAGCAAATTTTGCAGCGTACGTTGCGGTACAGTTCAATGGGTCGAAAAACTTCGAGGATATCTTGACAGAACTTGTCGCTGAGGAGGGCGAAAAGCTCCGCAGGATCTTGTTGGACGCAATTCATTCGGCTGAACTTCTGCCAGAGCGGATTTGAGGATGGCACGGCAGCTATATGATCGATGTCAATCCAAAATTGCTGTAGGCAGTTGACGGACGTCTTCAACTCCCCATCAGCAACCGCAAGTACTAGGTTCTTGAAGTTCCTCTCGGCTGAAGTCAGCTTCTCCAGCTTCTCCTTAGGCATGTCCCGCAGCATGTTGGTGAAAGCGGGAGTCTTTGCGAATGCCTGGAATAGTGCGTTTTGGTAGCATGTATTGCCGCCGTTGAAGAGTCCAGTCTGGGTGCCTTCATCGTGTTCCTCCTGTGCGTACTTGCTTATATCAAAACCTCCATGGCCCTTGCCCACGTTGGGTGGTGTAGGCGGGGGTCCGCCGGGTGGTCCTGAAGGATGTTGAGGTCCAGCAGGTGTTGCTGATGGCAGATATCCATCGAGGCAGGGGCCCCATCTCTTGAGTATGTCACGGATCCGTGCAAGCGTATCTCCGGAAATATGTGCCTCATCTTGATGTGCGTTGACGAATTTGGTGTCTTCGTCAAACTGTGATCGCGATAGCGGCTTGCTTGCAGAACCTTCAACGTTGAGACCTTCGTTGTTGTCTTCGTTAGGTCCTTCAACGTTGAGACCTTCGTTGTTGTCTTCGTTAGGTCCTTCTAGCAGACTAGCGGCTGCCTCCTCTTCTTCTTCCTCTTCCTCTTCATTTTCGTCATCAGCTCCTTTCGAGAACGCAGCTGCCTTCTTGGAGACTCGAGTTGTCTTGTAGCTCTTAGGCCAGTCAAGCTTGCGCAGACCCCGGTAGACTGTAAGAACGTCCCAGTGCTTGTTTTTTGACGGGATTTCGCGCAGAGCCTGAATCTGAAGCTGTGTTGAATGCGAGTCTGTAGGGTAGTTCGTCTTCCCACGGTTGATGATCCATGGCTCAGTCGTTATAGTGCGTATTGAATCGTCGTACTGGTCAAGGGAGGTTGGGTATTTGTTCTTCCAGCCAGTAAACATCTTCACGCCAGGTTCATCTCGGCGTCCAACTGACCAACGGAGTGGATGACGCGAAAAGATGGTCATGTAGACCCCAATCCATTCACCCTTCCCTCCGTTGAGTTTGAAGAACAAAACTACACATGTAAGACACAATGTCTGCCAAGATTCATCTTCGTGATCAGAAAAGAAGTCACACTTCTCGTCCACTCCTCGCAGTCGATGCTCCATTTGCGCCGCTAGAAACTCCCAATCGTAGTCGTGAAACATGTGTTCAGGGTTCCAAAGCCATGGCGCGCCTGGCAAGCCGTTGAACGATTTGCCTCGGAGAAAGGGTATCCCGCTTGGATTAATGGTCTTGTCGGCTTGAATTGTCTCGAAGAGCTGGTTCAGACGTCGGATGTCTGATTCTTCTGTATGCGTTGGCCGCACAAGCTTCCAAGCTCTCCATTTGTAGGCGCACAAGCTCTTTTTGTCGAAGGAAAGATTGTAAAGACCTTTCTCCATCATGGAGTCGTACTCAAGGAACCAGTTGTTGGGTGTTTTTGCTGCTTCCCGCATCCGCGATTCCTTGGTGTATGGAATAACATTGCGTATCCTAGCGCAATGGTCGTAAGCGCACTCGATCTTGCGCAGCTGCTCTTCGTTGCCTGTCTCGCATGCTCGCATAGCCTCTCCGAGGAGCCCTAGAGCTAGGGGTATGTCCGTATGTTTGAGGCGGTTATAGAATTCTGCAGTGAGTCCAACATTCTCAACGTGGTGTACGAAGTATGACCCATTTCTATCCTTGTATAGAGGATTGATAGCGTCAATGGACTCCCGAAGCATCCTCCCAGTCCCAGCTTCAAATGTGCGACGCGCAAAGTATATGTCATCATAGCTAGCTCCAAATACACAATTCTTGACGAGATAGTCTGACATCGCGTGGCGCTGGGGAAGAGACAGACCATCTTCAAATGCTCTCAAAGCCTGCTGGCGTACCCTTCCAGCAATGCGAGAGTCTGCAGAAAGTGGAGATAGGAAATGGCTGAGACATATCAGTCGACCATCATCGTGCCAGCCCATGGCTGAACACGTCTGAAGTTTGAGACAGATCATGCAGTAGTGAGCCGCTTTAGATCTGTGTGCAGGATTGGTACCGCAGCTGCAGTATGTTTGCAGGCTGAGAATTTGCTTCTTGCTGTGGCTCAACTCGTCCAAGGATATGCCCAGCTCTGTAACCGTTCTAAGGATTCCTCGGTTGGAAATGTACATTTCGTATGCGCGTTGCAGAGCCATAGCTAATGCAAAGGATGGGAGGGAAGAGTAGAAATCAGGAACAGTGCCTTCGATGGCAGCCCTTAACCATTGGCTCACGGAAACTTTCCCTAATAGCCGTGAGACGACAAACAAGGGACGCCCGCTTAACGGCCCAGCACGATTCGTCAATCTGGAGCTGGAGTCTCTGTCGGGCCGAGCCAGATCGCGGGCTGCTTGTTGAAAGTTTGCACTGCTGCCAATATAACCAAAGAACTCTTCGCAGATGTGATTGACGAGTCTCATCATGCGTGAAACTGGCATTTTCGATTCAGGAGGAATGACTTCCTCTAAAGGAGTGATCGGTCTAATACCCCACCAAGGAGGCACGTCCGGAAGGTCATTGAGGAACCCGCTCGGGTAGGTCTCCTCGTCGCCGCGGAGAAGCATACGCAGCCATGCGCTTTCACGTGTATTTCCGGCGCTGTTCTGTATGAAGGTAGGCGCGATGAATTCCCATCCGACATACGGGATTGCTCCTTCGTAGCTCCTGTACAACGGGTTGACCACTGGTGAGATACAGTATGCAAAATGCGAGACAGAGTCAGACTGGAATATCGGTCGGAGGTCGCGGAAGTCGAACTTGCCGTCCCGTAGAACGCTCATGGACATGAGTTCAAGCATTTGTCGAACCTTAGGTACCGAGGTCCTCCATATTGGCTGGAACTCGGGAAAGTCAACTGCGTCGATGTGGAAAGGTAACTTGTTCAATAGACGACACGCCTCCTGGGCGACTCTCTTTGCTTCGGATTCTGAAGGACAGACATTGATATCCAATGGGCCACCCATGACCCAGTATTTGTATGGATGAGGGACAAAGGCGCCCTTTGCATTCATCTTGGTCAGGGAGTGGGCCATCTCTGGAAATATGTACGTGTATTCCCGTTCTTCTTCATTCGGCTGTTGCGCATCGTTCCATAGGCGAATTTCCCATGTTGGGATGACCTTGACCCAGCCATCTATAGCTTTTGTGATGGTGTCTTTGTTCCTGTAGCTGTACTGGGATCTTGACTGGTCGCCTTGGGGATCGAACGTGACAGTGACATCCTTGATCTTTACCAGGGCCTTAAAGTCCCGGTTAGGTGCGTCCGGGAGCTCTCCGAGTGGTGTGACGCCACTGTGTGTGATCGTGAGTTCGGTTGGGCGCACTTCTAACTTGACCTTCAATCCTGGAGGCTCTTTAAGGGCATGAAGCCAGGCGTTGAGGTTGCGAGTCTCCGGGGTGGATATGAGGCGTAATTGTTCTGTCATTCCGACGTCGACTTCAGCCTGTGTGTCTTTCGTGTTGTTGTTGGAAACCATCGTCTGAATCGCGCGACGGTTGTGGCGTGTGCGCCGCTTCTTGCCCTCGAGATTGATGTCGTTGCGGGCGACACGTTTAACGCCGCTGGTAGTAACGCCAGGAGGAGGCTTGTAGTTATCGCCATCGTCAATTTGCTGTTGGGCGTCCGCGGGCTTTGCCCTCTTGTTCTTGTGGGCTGGTTTTTGGACTGGCCTGAGGGCTGATTTGCGTGTTGGTTGGCGAGCAGGAAGGATATCCTCATCGCTTTCATCCTCGAGTTGTTGAACGTCTACATCACTGTCGTCGTGAAGGCTTTGGACATAATCATCGCTCTCGTCACCGAGTGACTGGGCGTCGGTCTCTGGATGGTCACCCGCCGTGGTCGTGGGCGTTGCGTCTACCTTGGGAGGTCGCCGGCTTCTCAGCGAACGCGATGCCATACTATGTGTTGTCAGCATGTATACTAAGAGAAGTTATGCGCAAAAGCTTACGCTGAAGAGGCGGACAGGTTGTGTTGGAGATCGGCTAGGCTCCAGATCGGTGAGGCGCGACGTGCTCTTAAATCTTGTAGGCAAATTGTCAGAGCTTTTGTCTGTTTGTGGGAAAACGATTTGTCAATTTTGCGGGAAAACGTTTGTGCGCAGCAGCCACCCGTCGTGCGTTTGCTAGCTCTTGGCGTGAGTTTAGAAGTTTTCTCCGCGACATTCCCTCGCATCACCACACCCTTCCAACACCATAACCGCCATTCCTGGCGTGCCGCACGATTCCTAAAATGCCAGCCATGTCGAACGAAGAGAGATACCAGGCCGCTAGCGAGATCTTCGATGTCGACCCCGAACAGTGTATTGCGCAAGCAAAGAAAAAACCTCCCAGGTTTATGACATATCCATCGTACTATATCATCGAGAACTCCCCTCCTAATTGCCTGCGCCGAGGATGACTGGAAGGAGGCAGAATATTGGCGATTGTTCGCAGAGGATATGTACGAAAAAGGCTTGTTCCGGGTATGTCAGTGTCTAGACAGCATTCGAGGTTCACACTCAACGTACAAGGCAGGCAACACACCAAAACGACACAGAAATTGCTTAAGGTGCTAGCTGCTGGTGCGCGAGGAGCTAGATGACAGTTGCAAGGAAAGCTCATTGACTCTCTCACTGGCATGACTGATGCAGAGAGAGATGAGATGCTGGACGAGGACGAGGACGAGGACGAGGACGAAGAGAAAGAGCGGGCGAAGGAGGTTCTTAAGAAGAAGGAGATGGAGATGGAGAAGGAGAAGGAGAAGGAGAAGGAGAAAGAGAAGGCTGACATTGGAGCTGTGGTGGCTGCCCGCAAGGACACACTCGAGCCTCCTCGCGCGCTCCCGCTCCGGTCAAAGGGGGGCGCTGCCAACGCTCACGAGTTCACCAAGTCACTGGGAAGGTCAAGCGGCAAGACGCTCATCGCGAAGTGGAAGGCAGAGATGGCCAAGTCCGGGTCGGCGAAGGGTGACAAGATATGAGGTATAATGCGCCGGCTGCCCCACCGTCCCCAGCCCTGGTACAGGAAGGCACGAACTTCGAAGGAGCTCGTATTTGGTGTTGCCCGCACTGACCACCCCGCCAAAATGCAATCCCACATACCACATGTTCGGAACTGGCCTGCGGGGCTGAGAGGGAGCTGAAGCAGATAGCTCCTTGAAAGATAGGATAAAAAGACGAGACATTCGTTCAGAACGAATAACGATTGGTCTAAGTTACAATTTACACCTTTTCTTACCCCATAATTTGTACTACGTGCCTATGAAAAGCGCTGCAACATCCTCGAGAAACCTTGTGAACCTGCCACTCTTTTGGATGTGGGCCGTACGTAGCGTGCCGTTACTAGAGACGGATGCGATTCAACTCACTTCCTTGGGTTTGTTGCCATGGTTCCGTACATGGTCCCGATGCTGCCCACAAGGCCAACTCCCAGGACGAGCCACGGGTTCGCGCTCATCAAGCGGAAACTCCAGCCGTTCATGTGTAGAGTGCGCGCCGCAATGCCGATGATTCCTACACCAAGCCCAGTGTGCATGAAGGTGTCGTTGAGGTATGCGCGCTCGAACGGCGGCATGCCGCCATCGTCGCGGGTCTCGCGGTTGAAGATGAAGTTGATGCCGAGGAGAGTTGCGCCAAAGATGCCAGCTCCATACATCAGCCGCTGGCGCAGATCGCCCTGCGCGGCGGGGTTGTACGCAGCCTGCTGGTAAGAGCGGCGAAATGCCTGGCGGAACTTGGAGACATGTTGCGACGATGCGACCGACGGCGCCTTTGGGGAGAAGAAGTGCGGATGCTGCTTCAGTGGCGTGTTGTGGAAGGCGCGGACAGTAATGCTCGGTGTTGATTTTGTTGCAGCCTGTGTGAGCGTCGCCGTCACGGCAAATGGTCGCCGAAGGAGGAACGCCATGATGCGAGAGTGTGTCGACGACAGTGGTGTTGGCGATGTCGATGTGGGCCTCGGGCGAAGTAACTATATATGACGTGTGACGGTGGAAAGCTCGAGAATAAGTCGCGCCAAGCCTTTTATCTCCGTGATCCGTCCATGGTTGATGATCGAACGGCGGACGACCCTTCGACACCATTCCAGCCTCGAAACCGGAGGTACTAGTGGACATACCACTATCCATTGCTCAGTCGTCTACATCATACGATCGTGAACCCAGTCGTGGCCGTATCGACCTCTGCAACCCACCAAAGCCGCACGTCCATACTGCGGCAATCATCATGAATCTACTCACGGTCGCTCCGGCTCCTTGATGAGAAGGCAGAACACTGCCAAAAAAAAGCTTGTCCGGACAAATAAGCCGCTTAGGACTGTAGGTGTGTAGCGCTCAGCACAAACACGGTTTTCTGTGTAAAGCAAACCTTGGAAATGTTCTCCACTCTCCCCGTAACACGTCTTAGGTTTGCAGGTTATAAGACCCATACTTTATTGAACCGTCAGAATGTATCAACGCGTTTCTTCGGTCTCATTGGCCGCTATGCCTGATGTTCACCATGTGTGTCCCGTGGTAACAGGTAAGGAACCACATACGACCAAAGTTATTGTACTCATGTTCCACGGTTTACCAGTCACCGTTCCTATCGAATTTTAGCATGTTCGTTAGCCATACGGAAAATCAGTATATAAAGAAGCCATTCTTACCGCTTTTTTTGTTGCTATTCCACTTCCAACAACAGTTGAAGACACATTATCACCTTTACTCGACAGTCTAACAAAATCACCTTTTCAGCATGTATATCAAGACTCTACTCACCGGCTTTGCTATCATGGCTTGGCTGAGCCTCATGAATCCTACCGCAGCTACCTCTACCATGTCTGCTTCATCAACCAGTATCGACTTCAACACCCTCCTCGATGGCTCACTTGGCTTTTTTCCCTCCACTTGGCTAGTATCCAAAGCTGCCCTGCTCGAGCTCAACAATGCAGATGTCGAGAAACGGGCACTAACGGCACCATCGGCATCAACCGAGCTTCCTTCCCCTGAACCGTCCTCACTTGACCGCACACCAAAAGAAAACGGCGCTGTGATGGCTACCTTCATCAGCGGGATGCTCGTTCCAGCTTTTTTCAATGTCAAGGACAATGGCATGGCCGGTGGTATATGTCGATCGTTGATGACAAGTGCGGGCAGTATGACTGCGGCCGTTATCGGACAAGAGGCCGCCAAAGACATCTACGGAAACAACAGCACAAACTCCCAATTCGAACAAGGTGTCATCCCAGGTTCCTTCATTGGCAGCGTTATCGGCAATGGCGCAGGACACGCGCTATCGCGAACGCTTTGCAAGAGAATCTTGCCCGAATTCGGACCATGGTTGAAGAGCGTTGACGGTCCCAAGGCCACAACAGCGAAATTACTCACCGAGGCACTTCCACAGATTCTCACCAAACAATTGGAAGGTTTGGGTGTTCAGCCAGCGCGAGCTTTGAGCTTCGCCACTGAGTTAACTGATACAATCAAAATCGCTGATACCATGACGCTTAGTGACGCCTTCAAGTTTCTGGAGCAGCAAACGGTCTCCACAGCGGCCGAACTTGCCACCGTTTCTCGACCCGTCTTGGATGCGATGGCTCAGCTTACGTCTGCCAGCGTGGAAGCTCTTCAGGACATCGCACCCTCCGTGCCTTTGCCTCAACCTCCTACTCCTAATATACCAACTGTCCCAGAGCCTATTGTGCCACCTTCCGCCCCGGGTGTACCTGCACCTCCTGCTCCGGCACCTCCTGCTCCTGGCGTCCCTCTGCCTCCTCTGCCTGTACCTCAGGCTCCTATTGCATCTTCCTCGCTCTCGACTATCGTAGGTCATATCTCCCAGGCCAATCAGGTAGCCCAGCAGGTCACTGGCGCAATGAGAGTTGCCGAGGATCTTCGAGCGGCAACTGATAGTCTACGCAATGGTGCTCAGAAAGCCAGTGACTTCGTAAGACAGGGTCTTCACGAAGAGGCAAAGGCCGCTTTTGACGGTGCTTCCTCTGCGGCTAAAAGTGTCGTCTCTGATCTCTTCCACTTGATCCCTTTGCCTGGCAGTCCGGAAGCTCACCATACGAAGCATGTCACAAAGACACATTGGAAGACGAAGACGAAGACGAAGACGCATACAGTGCCAGCCACGCGTGAAGTTGAAAAGACCAAGTACAAGTACGTGACTGTAACAGCCACTTCGTCGGTCACAAAGACAACAGTGGCTACGACGACGATCACGGCCTCTACCACCAAGACAAGAATGACCACAAGCACGAAGACAGCGAGGACAACCGAACCAAAGACCAAAACAGTCACGACTATCTCAACAACATCCACTACAACACAATTGGTATATGGAATGCCAACTAACAAGCCACAATCTACAGCCCACTGCGAATGCAGTCTCGGTTCTTGCTCAATTGTCGGGCCAAATCAGCCCCCAGGTTCACATTGTGCGTGTAGTCTTGGTAGCTGTTCAATTGTGCCCGACGTCCCCGCTGGATGGACACGAATTCAAGGGACAAGAAAGCCTACGCCAACTCCAAAACCACGGCCAGCCTCACACTGCGATTTGCACCCTTGGCGTCAGTCCGATTGTCCGTGGTAGTTGTTCGATTCTGCCTGACGTTTCGCCTGGATGGACACCGATCGAAGGAACAAGAAAACCTGCGCGAACCCCAGTAGCACGGAGTTAGAGCGCAAAAAAGCAAAGGCTAAGCTTCAATTACACCTACAGTAAAGTTTTTGTTACAAGATTTTGCATAGTTTTTAGAAATCTGCGTACTTTGGCCTGCTTCTATCGTTCTGTAGTTGGATGTGTACTAGCGTGGAGAGTAGAAGATAGAATAAGATGGATTGATAAATCTATCTACAGTGGAATATTTGGAACATTACTGTTCTCGCAAGAATCGTAACATTGATCTCGCGCTTCAAATAGAGCAAAACAATGGAGAGACGTGAAGGAGTGATTGTCTACCTGTAGCTTCGTTAGCTCTGCGGACGTCCAAGGTAAATCACCCGAAAGTTGTTGTGAACCTTGTATTATAAGCACGACAAGTGATATGGTGCCCGACTGTCTCTCCAAGGTCATCGATTGATTTTCAACATCTGGGCGGATCAAGCGGCTCATACACTGTTAAGTGACTTGTTGCGCCTATCTATACAATTCTGTGCGGGCTACATTTAGTAAGCCCTGAATAGATCAACAGCAACGGCACCTGTGAGCTGTTCTAGCTAGATTGTTATGACGCACGGACTCCAAGTGAAAGTGGAAGGCGCAGGACGGCCGCCTGCACCTTCTTCCTCTCACTTTCTAGGACTTCCAAGAACGCCCACCTCACCTACCTCATATTGACAAGCAGTATGTCGCAAGGTCCACCCAAAAATCAGAGTCACAGCGAGACTCGCAACGAAGTCGTGCCGCAACAGCAGCATAGCGACTTCCCTGGGGCCTCGTACATGTTCCCACTCGACATGTCGACCCCAGGTGCATTTCACACCTCGTCGTTTGGGGCAGCAACTCCTTCGTACTTACCACCGGTTCCCAATGTGTTCTCAAGCCCTTTCGTCGGCTTTGCGCCACAGCATCCAAACACCCTACACCCGTATCTAGCTCAGTTCTCGGGAAGGAGCCTACCGGCGATGACACCGACGAAGGCGACGGCGAATGACAGCAAGGACCAAAGATCTCAACCCAACGCGGAGGGCGAATTGCCGAAAGTGTACACCCCTATCCCCGATAGACGACCACTGTGGCCCAACTATGCACCGGGAACATTCACGCAATCAGAACCAAAACATAGCCGCCTCCCTTCGAACGACGTCGCCCGGAAAGCGCCACGCAAATCCGCATCAAGCAGCCCTGCTCACGTTACCTCGCTGCGAACCTCAACTGCCAACTCGAAGCCAGCGCAGAGACGGAAAGATAAACAAGAGCATCGTCTAAGAAGGGACTCCGCTTTACTGGCAGATCATGAACAGACTGCTCAGAGCGGCACGCCTAGGGTTGCGAAGTCTGTAGCGGCTACAAGCAGGAGCATACCGACCCAGAGCCTATCATCGCTCAAGGACTCAGTAACCCCCAAGACACAGAAAGGCCATCTCCCGTCATCAGCACGCAGTCGGCGGTTCATATCAGACAATGGAGATGATGAAGTGAACAAAGAAGAAGATGGAGAAGACGATGATGACGACCTACCGCTTCGAAAGCTGTTTGAAAAAGGACATGCCAGGACTCCGATCCGTGGACAAGAGGCGGCGGCACGTATGAAGAAGGCATCTAACGGGCCTCGTGAACTCCAGCTTCATTCCAGAGCGCAGCCGCGATACGATTATTTAGTGCCGGATGAACTGAGAGGAGTCCAGCGAGCACTCGGCGACGACAATTGGACGGACTACTTAATCTTGATGGAAAAGAGGCTCATGGGGGAGGTGACAGAAGTTGACTTTGTTGTGCAGTCAAAGGCCATCTTCATGGTCTTCGACGTCAAGACCCGGACAAGGCTCGAGAAGCAAATCGCCAATACCGTCGTCCTGCCAGTAATTGAGCAACACAAGGAGCACGATGTAGTACTTGTAGACGGATGATGTATATGAAGGTGGAGAGAAACAAGTGTAAGGGATAATGACTCAGCAGCGGTGGACACAAGGCAGAAGGCGTGGATGTCATCGTCGACGGGGTTGTAAGGCTAGATAGCACAGCATGCTACTCAATGAAGCCAAAGTGTTTGATCGACAAGAGACAAGGTGACAAATATAACTGGCTACTCCACTTCGCGCAGCCTCACTCGCCAATCTGCACCTCCTTAGGGTCGGACGCACTCACGGGTACTGCAACGGAATTGGATACATGACGCCGGGACATGGGTCGATTCAGGGTGCAATATGGTCAGCATGCAAGATGATGAGCGATCGGCCCGAAGGCCAGCAGAAGCGTGCGCGAGAAAGTGAAGACGCACGCCCAGACAAGTAGTCAGTCTCGTGGCTTTTAGGGGTCGATGCGCGCAAGGACGTGGTGGATACGAATGGCTGCTGCAAACGTCAAGATGTCGAAATTTATGTTTCAGCTTGCCCGCAAAGAGGCAGACATGGGCGTACCATGCGCCATTCACTGGCTACTCCACTTGCAGAGTGACGTAGGTGAGCGCCGCTAGTCTCATGCAGGGTCCGGTAGCACCGTTGAACTTCAGAAATTCGTCAAGAGACCAGCAGCCGTGCCGGGGAGGAGCTGGGAGCCGCCATTGCTGTCAGGCGCTCGACATCATGTAATCAAGGGCATGTCCCTGTTGCGGCGGGCATTCATTGGGCGTGCTTGGGTAGTTTCGCGCGCTCTTCCAAGGCCCGAAGAGGGCGTTGCATCGTGCCCTCAACGTCTGCAATGCCTTGGACTGGATCATGCCGGGCGTCCGGCGGCGTGGCCACCATTGCTGAATCGTCTTCGCGCAAGTAGTTTGTTGATTAGTACGTGGCCGCCGCCGGAATTGAAAATCGTATGCATAAGACGCCTTTGCTGGAAGACGTGCTGCTTTGGAACTCTTCTTCCTCCACACGCGCCGCACTTGCCCGCCATACTGTCCTGAGCACTAAACGACTATCGAGATCTACAACCCGCCGCGGCTCACTTGGAAGATCCGGCCCAACCGCAGCACGGAGACAGGCGCCCTACTGGCCACGAGTTCCTGCAGCAGCAAGATTGAATACTCAGCTTCACGCACAGCTCTGAACAACCCTTGCAACGAGCTAGGGCCTGCTGCGAGAAGATTCCGAAGCGACGCGACATCACGACAGCGGCGTCATACCTCCAATCGAAGCAACTGACGGCACGCCCCGCGGACCCTGGGAAGCACCGTTTGCTGGGAAAGGCTTAAGACAGATCGCACCGAGATTGGCTGGAGCACTCGCGCAACATGCAGTTCCACAACTCGTCGAACCGTGGAGAGGAGCGTGGCAGGAAGAGGGTGCCGGTGATTGAGGTAAGCAGCTGTTCCTTTGTGTCTGTTGCCGTGCACCGCGTTGCGAAGAGATTCGAGGCGGTAGGCGGTCCAAGGCCCAATCTGCGGCATCATTTCGCGTACAGAGGCGGTCCAGCTTGGATGCGACGTCAGGTAATGAAGACAATCGTCATATGGTATACGCTCGGACCACCCCTGCGTCATCACACTTCTCTCTTGTTCTGGCGACAAGCCAAGCTCCTGCCTGCCCATGCACGACGTTTCTTTTCATTTCTTCCCAACCAGTCGCCTTCCCAAACTCCTCGACCCCTCCTCCACGACCTTCTCCCGCCGCACTACCGCTTAACTCTGTCTCGGAGTTGGTTGCACGCGGCCGCTCGACGACTCTTTCCGTTTGAGCCCCAGATACCCCGCCCTCACATTTCACACGGCTTTCCAATCCACCACCTTGACGACACCCACTAAACATGGCCGCGATACAGAACTTTAAGAACTTCCTGCGCCACGGCAAGCAGGCCCGCCAGCCCGCCGAGCCCACCACCAATGTCTCCAATGTCCACGCACAGTCGCAGCAGCAGCGACACCATGCACCCGACCCCGTCCACCATGGCATATCAGAGCCCATCATGGCCCCGAAGCAGCAGCAGCATGGTAACGTTCCCCATGGCGACTACTCGGTCGGCGCAGGCGCAGGAGACAACCGAAACGTTGCGGCCCAAGCCGGCGCCGCGGCAGACCGTGCAGCCCAAGACAAGCAAAAGATGAACGCAGCAGCCCAGGGCAAGGGCGTGGACCCGTCAGTGCTTGAGCGCATCGTTGCAGAGGAGCGCGAGGCCAAGGGCAAGATGCCCCGCTACCCCGGCCTCGAGCGCTGGAACCTGATCGAGAAGATGGGCGACGGCGCCTTCAGCAATGTGTACCGCGCACGCGACTCCCATGGACAATGGGGTGAGGTTGCCATCAAGGTTGTTCGCAAGTTTGAGATGAACTCCCAGCAGGTCAGTACCGCCCGCACTCTTGCCCTCACCTGCCCATTTCCTCGTGTCGTCATCCCTTCCCGACCGCATCACCTCACACAGTCTCGGTGTTTTTGAGCGTTACCAACATGTGGCCTGCTGTAGGACAAACATGTGCATCCGGATTTCAAAACGCCAAAAGCTGCCGAGGTGCGCAATCCCCCATACCAAAATTCTTGCGCCCCCCCAGCAGCCTCAGCCTTACCCCTGGCCACATAAATACGGCAAGTACTGACGTAATGCTACAGAGAGCAAACATCCTCAAGGAAGTACAGATTATGCGCCAACTGGACCACCCCAACATCGTAAAGCTCATCGACTTCTCCGAGGCCAAGCAGTACTATTACATCATCCTCGAGCTATGCCCCGGAGGTGAGCTGTTCCACCAAATCGTGCGTCTAACCTACTTTTCCGAGGACTTGTCACGGCACACCATCATTCAGGTTGCCAAGGCTCTGCAGTACCTCCACGAAGAGGCAGGCGTCGTTCACCGGTTCGTACCCCGTTTCACACTGCCAAGCTTACACCTCACTGACGTCACATGACAGAGATATCAAGCCAGAGAATCTGCTATTCTATCCCATTCCTTTTGTCCCAACCCGCAACCCAAAGCACCAGAGGCCCTGATGATGAAGACACAGGCCGAGCGAGGGTGGAGTACGTTAAGGGTCAAGGTGCCGGAAGGTATTGGTGTGATCAAGATCGCCGACTTTGGCCTTAGCAAGGTCATTTGGGACAGCCAGACCATGACGCCATGTGGTACCGTTGGCTACACTGCGCCCGAAATCGTCAAGGATGAGCGCTACTCCAAGAGTGTTGACATGTGGGCGTTGGGCTGTGTGCTCTACACCCTGCTCTGCGGTTTCCCTCCATTCTACGATGAATCGATCCAGACTTTGACAGAAAAGGTCGCCCGCGGACAATACACCTTCCTGTCGCCATGGTGGGACGATATCTCCAAATCGGCTCAGGATCTTGTCTCGCATCTGCTTACCGTTGATCCCGAGAAGCGATACGATATCAACCAGTTCCTCGACCACCCCTGGATACGTGGAGCAGACGAGCCTACCTTCTCCGCTCACGACGCACCGCCACTTGCCACTCCTGCCGCAAGGAAAACGGAGCGACTTCAGCCAGACTTCAGCCACCTCGAATCACCTGGTGCAAGGCGGCAGGACTTCCGATCTCCCGGTGCTGTCAACTTGCGGGAGGTTTTCGATGTCAGCTACGCCGTGCACCGACAGGAAGAAGAGGGCAAGCGGAGAAAGAACTTCAAGCAAGGTTACCGCGGCGCCAACGCTATTAGTTCGCTCAACGCTCTCGACGAGAACGAAGATGATGATGAATTCAGTACCGAGGCCGTCCCATACGACTCCTCGCAGCAACATCCACCAGCGAAGCTTCCCAAGTCCCAAGGCAATGATGTATCAGCCATGGAGCAGAAGATGCGCAATACCACCCTGTCAGCAGCAGCTCAAGCAAGGCAACCAAGACAACAAGAGCGTGGTTACGGCCAACATTCGCCTGCCGTTGCTGCCGCGGCTAAGCGCCAAGTGAAGAACAAGGGGGCATTCGAACTCAGCCTTGAAGGCGCTACCCTACTCGGCCGCCGGGGCAAGAAGACGGAGCCGAGCTCACTACGAGAGTCCATCTCGGCAGGTGGGATATGACAATCATCAAGTTTGGCGAAAGACTGGTAAGGTGTACCACGAGCATGATCACGATGGCGTTTTGTTTTCCTTTGACCAGTCGCCCCCCTCCCTTGGGAGATTACGTTTACAGGGGCGATGATTTTTCACCTTTTTCTTGTTCTGTGCACCCCCCCTCTCCCCTTCATGGCATAGCTTACGGTACTTGTCTCCTGAATTGGAGACAACTGAACGGAACGGACGAGTGGATGTCGAGTAGAGGGCAAGGTGCATACATGCATAAGACGCATGTACATCCAGCGCTGGTAGTTTGAAATGATAAAACGCTCTGAAAAAGCTTCTCGTGTTGCAAGGCCTACTTGCTACCTAATCATGTACCTGACGTCAATTCTGTTCTGATCTAGAACCACACAATGCATGTTTTCCTTCCTTCACGATGAATGGATACGAATAAACAAACACCAACAACATGACTTTCTCAAACCAAATCACAATCAGCAGCACGTATTGTTTGAATATTTTGAATTGTCATATTAAGTAAATCTATCGCAATGCCAAGCAAGCGAATGTACACTGATGCATTTACACAGTAGTAAAACAAAAAGGGTTTCAACATAACAAACATGCCAGTCTACCGCTTCGGCGCCGGCCCGCTAGCACTCGTAAGCGGCAGCATGCCCGTGCCAGGGGTGACGGGTGTCTGCGTTCCCGGCGTAGGCGCTGTGGACGGGACATTACTTCTGTTGTGTGCCATGTGTGCTTTGACAAGGTGGCCGGCGCATAGTGCGCTGTTCAAACTCAATTCACCCGCAAGTACGCCTGCGGCAATGACGCGAGCTAGTTGTCTTGCATTGTCGCCGGGTGAGGTTTGGTGTGCGCCACGTACACCGAGGAGGTCGAGCATGGCAGATTGGGGCTCGAGGATTGTGCCGCCACCGATAGTGCCGACTTCGATTGAGGGCATGGAGACGGAGATTTGGAGGTTGCCGTTCACACTGGAATGACTGTTAGTGAGATTGTATGTAGAATAGGGACGGCTACATACTTGTTCATGATGGTAATGCAGTTGGCAGATTCGACAACTTGAGCTGGATCCTGCCCGGTAGCAAGGAAGATTGCAGCTACAATGTTGGCTGCGTGAGCATTGAATCCACCCATGGCACCGGCCATGGCACTACCGATCAGGTTCTTGGAAATGTTCATCTGCACTAGATCTTCAACCTCGCACTTGAGTACGCTGTTGACGACTTTGCCAGGAATAGTGGCCTCGGCGACGACACCCTTGCCACGGCCATCGATCCAGTTGATTGCTGCGGCTTTCTTGTCGGTACAGTAGTTTCCAGACACAGTGACCACTCTCATGTCGTCGAAGCCACAGTCATTAGCCATGACGTTCAAAGCATGTTCAACACCCTTGGAAATCATGTTCATGCCCATGGCGTCGCCCGTAGTAGCACGGAAACGAACATAGATGTTGGTTCCTGCGATAGCGCTCTTCATTGACCGGAGTCGTGCGAAGCGCGATGTTGAGTTGAATGCGTCCTTCATGGTCTTTTGGCCTTCATCCGAATCCAGCCAATTTTTAGCAGCACCGGCACGGGTCAACGAGTCGAAGCCAATGCAAGGCCCACGGGTCATGCCGTCTCCAGTTACTACAGTTATCGCACCTCCACCAGCATTGATAGCCTTGGCACCTCTCGATGTTGATGCGACAAGCACACCTTCGGTGGTAGCCATCGGTAAGAAGTAGTTCTGCCCATCGACGAGTATAGGCCCGGCCACACCAAGAGGCAGGGGTAAGTAGCCCACTACGTTTTCGCAGCAAGCGCCGTGTACAAGGTCGTAGTTGTAATCCTTGTATGGGAGGAGAGATCGTTCCAGTAATGTCGATGTCTCGCGTGTAGCATGTGTGCGTGCAACGAGACCTCGTCGAATCTTGACCGCACGAGTCTTGTCACCAAGTGTCTTCTCAAGAGCATATCCAGGGATTTTACCCTTGACACTAAGCTCAATCAACTCCTCGTCAGTGAGCGAAGGAGCGTTTTTCTCCTTCAGTCTCTGCTCCAGGAATTCCATGGGACGGTTAGGCTGCCTTTGCTGCTCCTCTGACGGACCGGTAGGAGTATCTGAGCTAAGGTATTGTGGAACTGCGGATGGCTGTTGAGGTGTAATCTGAGCGAGTGGTTGAAGTGGTGCACGACGGCCATTTTGATCCTCGGGCCCGGGGGTACGAGGAGGCGTAGGCATATACATGGAAGGCGTACGAGAAGGCGCGAGAGAAGGAGCACCATCTTGAACCTCTGACGGCGAAGGAGGCTCAAGCGGCTTGTGGGGCTCCTTGATGGTCCATCGAGCAGCATTGAAGAGGTAGCCGTTAAGAACTACGCTCATGACAAGAGCGGCAATGATCCATTTGCTAAGAAAAGGATCTTCCATTGCTCTTGAGAACGCCGTCAACAATGTGAGTACTGATATTGGCACCAAAGGTGGAGTCGCCATCCACTGTGGGCTCAGCATAGTGGACTGATGGGTAGTTGAGCTCGTACTTGATGGGCATCAAGACAGTGACAATGGACCGATGTTCCTGCGCTCTTTGCTTGCTCGCGAATGTGGTCAAGCCCACTACCAGCAACCTTGAACGGATCCAGAGGCGGTGTCGCGCCAACACCGGAAACATGAGCCACTTTGCCTGGTGTAAGGCCAAAGCGGAAAGTAGCAACATTGAGAACGTTGACCAGGACGAAGCCAGCAACCATGAGAACCTTGAACTTGGGCACAGTAATCTTCTTGCCGAATACTGTCGTGGTGGAGCTGCTGCGAAGCTGGACATCCCTGTCATTCGGCCAGTCGTTGTTTCGGGCAACGGTCTCGGCCACCTTGCCGTCGACACCATCATCCTCCAGGGCTCTGCGGAGAGCCACGTGACGCTTGATGCGATTGATCTCGAGCTTGATGGTGAGAATGGCAGTGTAGAAAGTCAGGAGCATGAGAGAGTCAAAGAGAAGGATCCATGCTCCGAGGAAGCAGAATTGGCGGAGACCACCCTGAATACCAGACATGGCTCCCGCGACCAGAATGAGGATCTCAAAGAAGTAGTCACGAACAATCTCGAAACCAGTCCTTTTGATGGCAATCTGCACGGCAGACTGAATGGTAAGAGCCTCGCCGCGGTTGTTCTCTTCCGTGGCGCGGCGTGCGTCCATGGAGGCAGAAAGCACGGCTTTGGTAAGAACGATGGGCTTCTCGAATCCAATGATGACTACCAAGAACGGGAGACCTTCGGAAAGGAGAATCATGTTGATGGGCACGCCGAGGTAGAGGGTAATGGCGAGGGCGAATAGGAACGCGAAAGCTGATTGGAGCAACACAGCTGTGGCAAGCCAGAAGTTGGAACCAAGGCGCCTCATGGCGAGGAAGAGCGAAACAAATGTCAGATGCATGGCCAGGTATCCCAAAGCCATGATGACGATGTCGCCGGTGTCAGCATTCTGTAGGTACTGTCAGCAGGTTGCGCATGCAAGAGTGGGAGGTGACTGCAAAGTGCCAGAAGGTAGCGTTTTCAGAGTACAAGTTCTCAACAATGGGGTTCAGACAGGGATAACTGTATGATAATATCTCATCCTTTTACGCGGGGGAAGTACGGGGCAGGAGTAGGAGGAGCATACCTTGAGCAAGTCGACAAACGAGGTCCAAGACTCGAGGACCCAGTTGCGAATACCTCCCGGGGTGTTGCCGTTCTTGGAGGCGCGCATCATCCACTTCTTGTCCTCGCGCGTGCCCTCTTTGTCCGAGCCCTGGCTGTCGGCGGCGTCAGCTGGCGCAGGCATCTCCTGCATGGCGAGCAGGAAGTCGGCAGCCTCGGAGTAGGGGACGGAGAAGGCGAGCGAGGTGTCGTGAGAGAGAGTGGAGAAGGAGCTCGAGGAGCTGGGTAGGAGTTTGGCGGAGACATTGGCGGGGAGGGCGTTTTGCGAAGGTGCCGAGTTGAGGGTGCTGGTCTCGGGGAAGACGAGGGTAACGAGAGCGAACTCTTGCTGGTCCGTGGGGGCACTGGCGCTGGCGCTGGTACGGCCCTGTGCGGCTTCCCACTGCCACGACGTCTCCTCGCCAATCCTCAGGTTCTTGCTGCCCGCCAGCAGCGTCTGGAAGTCGACGCGGCCCGGCACAGCATCCGAGTCCCTCTCCAGCAGGCCCTTGTCCAGCACGCCGAGGTACGAGTAGCTGGCGACAAAGGCAATCGTCACAATGGTGTGGATGGGGTGCGTGCATGCCTTCTTGGACACGGCGAGGAGGATCGGGGAGACATTGCGGTCGTACCAGCCGGGACTGGTTTTTTTGGAGTCGGCGGACGCCTGCCAGCGACTGGTGAGATATCCGAGCATTGTGCAGCTGAGGCTCTGCGGCACTGAAGTTGATTCAGCGGGGCCGTTGGGGGAGAGGGCGACGGAGAGGGAGAGAGAGATTTTCTACGGGCTGCTGCGTAGCATTGAGGGGAGGGACGCGGAGGTGTGGCTGTGCGCGATTACGGATTATGGATTACGACGGCGGCGCGACGGCGTGCACCGCAGATGGCAAAAGGGCAGACGACTGCAGCTGCAGGAGGGAGAGACAGTGGGCAGAAACTCCCTCAGCAGCGATATGTTGATATGTTGAGTAGCGTAGCCCCTTCCCAACGGGTGCGTGCTCTCCTCCGCAACTTTTTGGACAGCGCTAGCGCCTTCACCGCCTTGAAACCCACGCGCCGCATCTTCTGCTTCGACTGCGGCTTTGTCGTCGACAACGGAGCACGGAGCTGGCACCCGCAGCACGCGACAGCGACCGCTGTTCTGCAGCGCACGATATCACACCCAACGTGTCGCATTGTCTTTCTACGACGGCACGCGCATTCATTCCATCGGAGCTCTGGACGTGGCTGCTGCGCCACACATGACGCCGGTCGGAGCTGGTCGGCGCTGGTCGGCCTGCGCTCCAATCAGACAGGCCGATCTTCAGGAGGCGCCCTCTGCCGGCAGCGGCATTTGCTGGTTTGCTGGAATGGGAAAATGCACCACATCCGACGATAAGCAGATAAGGCGCGTCGCTCTCATCACCGCCGGACAGCCTTGCACTCTATCCACGAACGCCTATAGAATGCACACCCTGATGATAACACCAGTCCCACACTCGCCTTCTCACGCAGCACACTTGTCCGACATGGCCACATCACCGCCAGTAATCTCCCTCACAAACTCCTTGTCCGGCCTGTACAGCATAACATGAAAGTGCTCTACCGCATGCACACTCTTCAGACTCTTCCAGTTCTTGAACCACACAAATTCCTTGGTCTTTTGCCCAAACACACGCTGCACATACGCCTCAATCTCCCTCCGTGACTCTGGCGTCGCCAGCCCAGTCTCTGCATCATCCTCAAGCTCAAACTTTGTCCACACAACTAGATGCACAATGTCTGCATCGATGCCGTATGGCCAGTCGTTGTACAAAATCTTCGTGTCCGAAGCGTCCTGGAAAGGTGCCGCGCTCGGCGTCATGTTGTCCCAACGTAACCTCACATTGAGCATAAAGTTCATAATACTGCCATGTTCCTTCTCCAGTCGATGCGTAAACTGCCGATACCGCCTGAGTTGACTCGGTCTCCTCTGAAACTTGTCGACGCGGTCAATTCCTGGGAGTCGTTCCACGTCAGACAACTGTCACAGTAATCTCGCGTGGATAATCACATACTGACAAGCTCTTTGACCTCTTCCCACGTCAACACCTGATAATCCTCGTCCGGCGTGCCGATAATCTTCTTGTCCTTCTCACTAATGTCTCGAAGAAAATCAGGACATGACGTCGGCCATTGATCGCGTGGGATGTTGACGCGCCAAAAAGGCACCGGTTCTTCGTGCGGCATCGTGGGGTTCAAGAGGCGAGATACCCGCTGTAATGATCTCTTGGCGATGCTATGGTGATAGATTAGTCGTGCGTTACGAGACGACTGTTAAGTCAAGGATGGCAGCTGGGTCATGGATGGCAGATTGATGGCAGGATAGCATTGGCTGTGGGACCGAATCATTGTTTGAAGTTTAGCGTGCATGTTTCAACTTTGCGCGCTATCGAGAAGCATCGTGCAAACCTTCGCTGCAGTGCACATCTCCCGCTGCAGCTGCCATGTTCTGGTACTTCTTGTCTGCAAACATTGCCAGCTGTGCATGCCCGCTGAATTTGACAATGTAATCCGACGTACACTACAATACGAACACGCTGCCCTACATCCACGGCTAATTTCGGCACCTCACCGCCTGCCATGCCTGCCGTCTCATGGCGATCTACCGCACCAGGCTATCCCAGGTGCTTACGCCGCCGATTGGCCGCCTCTCCCGCACGTACAGACCACATCGAATGATAGAGGACCAACAGCTCTGTTCGACCCAGGTTGTGCATTTAACATGAGAAACTTGCTTGCGATCCGAGCGGGGATGGAATGTCACATCACGTCGGCTGTAAAGTACTAGTCACCTGGTCAGGTAGGGGTACACATGCAATGCTGTAGGTATACAGGTTATTTCTTCATCACATATGTTTCCTTCATCACGCCTCGTGCCCTTGATTCGCTTCTTGACGACAAACGCGCCTTGACGAGCTGCGTCTTTTGCTTCACTTCCACTCATTAATCCTATTCTCTAAACCAATCATCTACTCTTCTCGACCTTCTCTCATCTTCTCTCTCCTCACCCACCACTTCCTTCAAGACGAGATTCATCATAGCGAAAACATCCCGAGTCCTTACATTCGTGTAATTACACAAGCCTGGCGCTTACGACAAGCTCACACAACGCCTGGGGTGGTGCAAAGCTTAGTCTGGCTACACAAACCACGAGAACACCCGCCTCCACGAGAACAACGCCTCAGGCAGACACCATCACCTCCACCCTCGATCATTCCTCAGCCACGAGAAGGGCACCCCCGCACGAAACACCCCAATGGCCGTCCAAGACCCCAACTTCTGGCGCCGCTTCAGCACCGCCGTGCACCAAGACGACGTCCAAAAAGGCACTCCGCACCTCAAGCACTCGTACGTCGACTCCTCTCCTAGACCCATATCCTCCGCCCCCATGTCGCCCACCTCGCAGTGCCAACTCTTCACACCCACCTCGCCCGTCTTCGCGCCCTCGGCACTGCGTTCCGCGCAGGTATCCACGCCGCCTCCCGCACTCACGCGAGACGCGGTGTGGAACGATAGCGAGCAGCCCACGCGGCAGCCCAGCAAGCTGAAGAAAAGCCCTTCGCGAGCATCCACTCGCCCGCTCTTACATCAGCACCAGCGCAACACCTCCTCGCTGCAACTCACCCCTCCACTTCCACTTCCACTCCCACAGCCCAATGCCCCCTTCCGCACACACTCCTCCGGCCTGCGTTCTCCCTCCCTCATATCCCTCTCCGGCCGCCCGCGCGAAGTCTTCAGGACGTGGACGACGATTACAGGCCCGGCTAACCATGGTGCGTGCAGCGGGTCGTGGCTCGCGAGCCAGAAGAAGAAGAGCAGGCAGCGCACGTGGCTGTGTTGGTGTTTTTGGCTGGGCCTGATGGGCCTGGTGGCGGGTGTTGTTACGGCCGTGTTGATTTTGAGACGGGAGGGGATCTTGAAGTTTTGATCAAAGGCGTGCGTGGGTGGGATATGAGGAAAACACGCATGTGTGAAAGGGGAGGGGGGGGGACTGGATTGCTTGACGCGCGCATATTGGCCTGGCGTATTGGTGTCGGACTGATTGATGCATGATGCTTACTTTTGCATGCTCGACGAGGTTGTCGGACGAGGCTGGAGTTGGCTTGGGTCCGCTGTATATACGTATTTTCTTTCTTTCGCACTCTTCTTAGATGATACCAGGCTAGCGCCATGCACTCGTATTCAATCTCAGTTTGTCTTCTACGTAGTGCAAGAGAACCTTGCGCACGACTCCCGGCTACAAATGATCAAGACTGGGTATCCTCAAATAATGCATTATGACAAACTACCTGAAAACTCGTCAGCGAGACAATCGCTACCCAAGTGACAAGATATACCTATGAGCTTTAGTATTGAACGCCTCACGCCTGCTTGGTCGCTGATCGGCCTCACACCCATTATGTAGAGCGGAGCTCCATCGTGCCGTTCACGGACCATTCGAATCCAGTGCCGGCATGGTAAGACGCACGAAATGGCGAAGTCGACGAGTCGCCATCGTTGCGGACGGTACCGCCGTGTTTGATTCCTTCGCATCCTCAATCATTGCCTCGTGTCTACCATCCCTCTCAACGCTTCCCAGAGTTTCGGCTTCCACCACACGTGCCTTGCGCTTCAGTCCGCTTAGGCCCTCTTCGCCGCGCCCGCTGGTGGTGTCGGACTCCTGCTCATACTCCTCTCATCACGGCCTCTCTCCTTCAGCCACTTGCGCGTACACATGTCCAATTCGCGATCCAGCTCAGCCGAGGGTTCCTTGCGATGGATAAAGTTGCAGAAGCCGCCGCGGACACAGCCCTCGCCGCTATTAAGACGACAACATGCTTCGCGGAAATCGGTGACGGGCGAGAGTTCGCAGTAGATGGGGCGGCCAGCATACCAGCGGCTGTTCAAGGCGTCGCAGGCCTTTTGCGAGTCCTCCTCATACTTGAAGCGGACGTAGACGTTGCCGATGAGATCTGGGCGAGTTAGCATACAGTCGGAACGTGAGCACTGCGCACTACTTACGGTCATTGTTGTTGTCGCATACGACAAGCTCTTCCACCAGTCCATACTGGCACAGTTCGCACCAAATGTCCTCGTAGAAGGCGTCAAAGTGCATCTGCATCTGCTGCGGGTTCATCTTGTTCTTGGGGTCGTAGGCCGGGTTTTGGTACAAGTTGGGCAACAGGATGGTCTGCGAGTACGAGGGCTTGACGTGTTTGCGCGAGCAGCGGTCGCCGTGACGGCAGGCGCCGATTTTGTAGTAGAAGGAGCAGTTGACCTTGTCCTGCTCCGTACCGAAGATGGAGGCGAGGTAGTTGGCCATGGTTGCAGTGTGTGTGATCGCGCGTATGTGATTGAGGAGTCGGAACGATGGCCGTGGCTGTGGCGGATGTTGGTCGTGTCGAAGTCGCGAGGCCGAGAAAAGTCGCGGTCCACGGATGCAGTCGCGATGAGCTAGCGTGCAAGTGTCAGTGCCAAGGAATGTTCGAGAGCCGCCACGCCAGACTGCTTACATCAGTGCTCCGTCCAGCAACAACCGTCTTTGTCTTTGGCCATCGGACCACAGGCTCCACGAAAGCTCCCTCTTGCGCTCGGGTCTATACGTGCCAGAGCCAACTTATTCCATTGCACTCAAGCTTGCGACACAACTGCTGGCACCACGTAGCTTGTTAACCACCACCATCACATTGACCTGGGCGACTTTTTGACATCACTCTTCACCATAGTCTGCAAGTAGCACGCAACGCAGTAATCCACGATGGCCGACGTCACCAGTTACTGCAATGATTACTGCGTGCTGTGGCCTACCATGCTGAGTATCATCTACGGAGTAAAGTCAAGTCGGTTATGCTGTCCAACTTCAAGGTTGTTTTAGCTCTTCACAACATAATGACTAGCCATTGAGTCTATCTGGGCTTGTATGTAGCATAGCAGTTGCTCTATAATAGTAACTTAAGTCAACACAGAGCGCGCACGAATTGTTGCATCACCTGGTGACATATGGAATGTACTTGACGCGAATCTTCTTCCCAAGTGAGAATCAAAACAAGTAACCATGGAATACTTGAACGCCGCACGAACACGGTGGAGCGAACCATGAAGTCTGGGAGCAAGCCCAAGAGGCAACGAGGCACCTTCGATACACACCACTTACTTGGCGGAGCAGACGCTTGCGCAAAGTGAAAGTTACATTTGCGATGCGACCTTTCGTGGGCAAGGCATATGATAAGGGTTCTGCAAAGTGTTTTGTACTGGCGAGTCGTCCGACGGCTTGTTCCTCAGCACACGGGCCTGTAATCTCACCCCATGGTTCGGCAGGACGTTAAAGATCTTCGATGCGCCATGCTCCGCACTACCGAGCCACTGAAACAAGACGCGGAAACGGTTGAGCATCTGGATGCTTCTCCGAGCGAGTCGCTGCAGGACATGGATGGCATTGAAGAAACGCGATATAAACAAACTGTGCGGGTCTGGGTCGTTGTTGAAGAGTCAAATATAGAGACTGGACGTCGAGCGCCTATCTGGTCGTACGCAAGACCATGTTGTACAATCGGAACAGGGCAATGGGCTCCAATCATGTCGTTAGCACCAAGTCTTGGCGTGAGCTAGACGCCCAATCCCGCACGCGAACGTTGCGGGATCTGAAACATCCACTTCGACTTCACTTTCCCATTCACCTGCGGAAACTTCTTTGTTCTCGAAGCGCCTGGTCGGCCGACAATCACCTGTCATTCCCTTGTGCAGACCTGGCTCCCTTACGTCTTGGTGCTCGAGCCGTACTCGCCTTGCCATCCTCGTGACGCGTTGTGCTCCTCTGGCCGCACGTTTGCCTCCGACAGTATGAGCGGCAGGTCGTCGTTGACTCCCTGTATATTCTCGCGGTGCGAAAGGGAGATCAACATACCTTACGATCTAGTCGAGGCCTAGCTGCCGTGAATGTGTCGTAGATCCACGGCACGCGTCGCCTGAAATGCATCTCATCTTACAGGCTAGGGCAATCTTACCCTGCCTTGGGAACATTTGATTGATGCCCATGGCCAGGGCGAGACCTATTGCGCCCATTTCGCGGGAGGCTGCAGAAAATTGCGCGCTACGCTGCGACGGTGCTGCGGGTCTGGAAGGAGTACCGGCGGCTACAGTGTAGGTCCGACGTTGAAACGCAGATCCAACACCCATACATCAGGCTGCAGATGCTTGAATGCGGAGCTCGCGTGGGGTCGCGCTGCGTTTCGACACCTTGTGTGTCGGCGTCTCTATTGGCTCCTGGCTCTTCACTTTTGGCTTCCAGGCTCAAGAAATTGTTACTCAACGGTGAAGCGCGTGTGTGTCGCACTACCATCTTCATCCGCCTGATAAAGGGCCATGGCCGCGCAGATACAGGTTCGTGCTCGTTATCTGGCTGTGCCGATTCGCTTCTTCTCGCTTCTTTACTCTTTTCCTTTCTGGTGCTGGTGAGCGCAGGCCGCGGCGTTGTGAATATTCGAACAGCACAATAGCATTGTCACCTTCACCTAGGTGAATACAGACCAGCCGCTCAATTTCAAGGATCACACTGTGTACGCTCAATGAGCTCGTCGTCAAGGAAAATTTCCCACTTATAACAGCCTTTATATTCTTTTCCCAACCTTTTTCTTTCTCTTTACAAGATCCTTCTCGGACACTCGAGCAAATACCAGTAGCATCAGCTCTCCAGCAACTGCCAGCTATCAATCACCGAGCTCCATCCGCACCGCAGGACGGACCGCAACCATTTCCAACCAACTATCTACCCCTCACACCAACACATACAGCATGTCGCGCGTTCTGCAGACAATCGTCGCGGCACTTGCTGTCGTACCGATCGCTCAGGGCCACACATGGATCGAGCAACTGCGCAATGTCAACGACAAAGGCCAATATGTCGGCGAGTACGGTTATCCCCGCGGCATGGTCGCCAAGACCGACCCGGGGTATAACGGCTTCAGTATGAATTGGCTGATGCCTGATGGTGATGTCTTCATACGCAACGACACTATTCTTTGCCACAAAGATCAACGCCAACAGAAGCAGTCCTCTGACAAGTATCCTCGTCTGCAAGCTGTTCCCGGAGGCTTTATTGCCATGCGCTACATGGAAAACGGGCACGTCACTAAGCCCCAAAACCAGATAGGCAAGCCAGCGCACGCCGGCACGGTCTTCGTCTACGGTACCACACAACCAAAGGAGGACGAGAAGCTTGTCGATGTTCTTTACTGGACAGAGGATGGCAAGGGTGGAGACGGCCGCGGTACTCTCATCGCTACCAACAATTACGATGACGGGCGGTGCTACGAGACCAACGAGACTCCTGAGTACAAACAGCGCGCTAAAGAGGTTCCCAACTATGCTATGGGTCAAGGTGACGATGGTCCGGGTACCATGCCTTTGTTCTGCGAGACCAACGTACAGCTCCCCAAGACAGCCGACGTGGGCAAGCCCTACACTTTGTATTGGGTTTGGCAGTGGAACACAGCTCCTGGCATTGATCCTGGCCTTCCGAAGGGCAAGGACGAGTACTACAGCACCTGTATTGATGTTGACGTCGCTTCAGCGGATGTTGCATTGGCTGCCGATGCTGAGCCGAAGTTTGCTCTTGGTCAGCAAGACGCCATGGCTAAGGCTGTATCTGACTTTGCCTCTCGCACTGCTGCCATGACGGACGCTCTCAAGGGTGAAGTTGGCCCCATCTTTGGAGGAGGCAACCAGACTTCCGCACCATCTGCTCCTGTTGCTGGCGTTCCCTCTCAACCACCTGCGCCTGCGCCTGCACCTTCACGGGCACCGGCGCCTTCATCCCCAGCTCCCCCACTGTCAGGTCAACCACCTCGTGCTTCCGGTCCAGCTGGCATACCCACACTCACTCGGCGTCCCGGTGCCGCTCCATCAAACCCCCCTGGTGGCGACAATGTGGTCACAGTGACAGACACTGTCTTCATCACCATGACTGCCTCTGAGACTGGAGCACCGCCTTCCACCATGGTCACCTCCAAGCGCGCCGTCTCATCTGCCAAGTCACAGGCCCCTCCGGCAGCTGGCATCACTACTTCAGCCGCAAAGTCGAGCCCCGCTGGCGTCGCACCCCCGGGTTCCGCAGCGCCAACGAAGCTCCCCGGCTTCGACATGTCCAACCCTCGTGGCGCCAAGTTCCGCAATATGTTCTAAGTGAACGTCTTCGCGCCTCTTTGGGATTTCTTTGTTCATATCATCGTCTGTGTTTCCTTGCTTGTACATGTTATCGATACCCCATTCCCTTGTGGCAGGCCACGAGCGCAAGCATAAGTTTCTGATAAGAGGGCATCGTCATTGATTGGGTCATGATTGCATAGTTTGGCGTTTTAGTATGGATGAAAACGATGGGAGATACCCCTGCATAGCATAGCGAATAGGCGTTTGGGTTTTGGTTTTGCGATCGGCGCATCGATGAAGTGGGAATTGAAGATTCTGTCACAATGTTGTGTTTTTTGCGTGAATGATTAAAGTATGAACTTGTGAGTGAACTATCATTGTGTGCACACACTTGTGATCTTATTGTCATGAGTATGTAACTTAATCACATGTCGTGTCTAGAGTACTATCAGTGAAAGAACATTGTGTGTCCACGTGTCTTTGAGCCCGTCTGTCAACCTGTGCATTCCCCATGTCACAAGGCTCTCATGATGGATGCGCTGCAAGCAGCACCGTCATTGCTAGGCCTATAACAGTCTCTGAAATAACACCTAGACGATAGTCGGGATGCTCTCATCGACATCAACCATCGTCTATCTAACCTTCTTGGTCACCTCGTCAACACTCTTTTCTCCCGCACTACTCAGCAAGCTCCCCAACGTGATCCCACCCGTCAAAGTCAACCAAACATTCGCCCACACCCCAATCGCCATACTCATATTATAATGGCTATCCAACTTATAATGCTGGTACGCGCCAATGCCCGTCGTGATATGATGGAACACCGTCGCAGCGACCACAGCTTTCGCATACGGCAAGGCGCCGCTAGACTTCGAAGTCCCAGCCGCTGGCACAGCATTCGTGAAGGAAACGAGGATCAAGGCAAGCGTAATCAGACACCAGCCGTCGTTGCGCACGTTGTAGAGCTCGAGGTCGTTGGGTGCGAGGTTGGCCTGCGAGGGTGGGCGGAACCAGCCGACGACCATGATGGGGTCGTAGATCCGGCAGAGGCCGCGGAGGCCGTACCAGAATGCTGTGCCGTAGGCGTAGGCATGGAAGATCTGGTGGATGGTGGTGAGTTGCCGGTATGTCCTGTGCGAGAAAGAGTACTTACTGTGGAATTTATAGTAGCCATGGTGTGCTGAATTGCAGGGGTTGTTCAGAGCTCAGGTCGAGGAAGGCAGTCAGTAGCTATAGCGATGGCGTTGGAGTTTGGAGAGCCTGACGCAAGGACGGGTCCTATCTTTAAACAAAATGACTGCATCCTTGTGGTGCTCCCTCGGGTCAACATGGAAAAAGCATCTGCGAAGCCGCGTTACATGCAACGTCATCATGAAAGCTCCATCAGCTGCTTTGGTGTTGTGGAGCGCGATAGGCTATGCATGGAGCTATGACCCCCGGATCTGAGATCCGATTGCGGGGGGATCGATCGCGACGTGATTAGATGAAGTGGGGCGCCAATGCATATGATACGAGAGTGTTGTTATTGTCGCCTTGTCGCTGGTATTATAGAGAACGGGCATGAGACAGCTGTACGGGATGTCAAAAATTTCAAAGTCTAGGCTTGTTCGAATCTTTCCCCGATGCATCTACCGAGAGGGTTGAAGGCCATTCATACTTGCGATCAATTGTGTCTGGATATGGTTTGACTGGTGCTATCTTCACACGGATGTTCACATCAGCTCACTTTCGAATTTGTGCCTGGAATCCTTGGTAATGTAACTCCGCGTCAGCAGAAGAGTCTCTCGATTCACCTCTCACATCTTCGCCTCTGAACCGCTGACCTTGGCCATCACGAAAGCCCCCACGCCTTCCGCGAACACGGTGCCCTTACCGTCCTCTACCCAAGCCCTCGTTTCGATCCAGCGTCCTTTTTCCTTTACAAGCTTCGCCCTACACAGCAATACACACGGTGTAGTCACCGCTTGCTTGTACTTGACGTGCAAGTCTGACGTCGCACATGTGTACTGATACACATATGATATGAGTGTGCCCATGACCTGGTCCAATAGCGTCGCCGTGACACCGCCATGCAAGCGATTTGTACCGCCATCGACGTCGGTGCCCAGCGATACGAGTACAATCGCTTCAGGTGCGTCTGGGTCATCTACCTGGAACGTCCTCTCCGTCTTTGCGCTCTGGCGCAATGCTTCGGCTTCCGCATTGCTGGGCACAGGCGGCTGGTGGATCGGCGCATGCGGGCTTCCTGTAAAGACATCGGCGCCGGGCGCTCTTCTGTGGCCTTTGCCGGGCTTGTAGAGCGACAGGAAAGCGCGCATGGCGTCGTCGGTGAAGAGCGTCCGCGTGAAGAAGGTATTCGATACCCCTTGGCGCACCTCCGGGATTTGCCGCTTGGAGATATGCGTGACCGAGGGGTCAGAGAGAAGCGCATTGCACCATTCGTGCGCGGTGAAGTCCTGGAGGTGCTCGACCTTGTCGGGTATTTGGGGGCTCATCGTGCGTGGTGGCACTGGTAGCGACAAGGTTGGCAAATCTTGTTTAAGCGACACAATGGGATTTTGAAATGAAAAACCATTGTGGATAGTGGTATTGTCGCATCAGCAATACATGTGCAGCCGACGGCGCGTCGTGCGTTTTGAGGGGTACAAGTTCCGAGGTTGTCAAGACTTTGGATCGACGAGAGCCCGGACTTAAGACGGAGAGAATGCGGTATGGAATGCCATCTCAAGTAGCGTCAACACTTCCCGTATGAGATCACGAGCATGGCAACATTTCGTTCACAATTCGCACATTGAAAGGATATGTGTCTACCGATTAGTCCTTGTGAAACATGAGAGACCAATCATACGAACGTGGCTATCTAACGCGCCTTCCTGGTCGTACACCTGGTCCGTGATCTCTTTCGACTCATTCATACTCATCACTTTAAGAACGTCAGGATAGAGATTTAAACCGGCACTGCTTATTGTCTAGGACTGCTGCTTCAGCTTTTCGTCCCTTTCAATATGGCAGCAGATTCCAAATTTCATGCATTGGTGATCGGCGCTTCTGGTATCATTGGCTGGTCAGTCGTCGACCAACTACTTCAGCCGTATCCGTCTTCTTCCCCATTCCAGAAAGTCACGGCACTCGTGAACAGGCCACTAGAACTTCGGGACTCTTTCTGGTCAACAGGGGCAGCTGACAGACCTGAATTGGCACTTGTATCTGGAGTCGATCTGCTTTGCGGCGACGCGGAATTTGAAGATCTGTTGAAGGAGAAGGTCCCTGATTTTAGGAATGTCAGCCATGTTTACTACTTCGGTAAGACTCAACAAGGCCTCTTTTGGCCAACAGGAAAGCTAACCACACTCGTTGCAGCTTTCAAAGGAGACGCAGACTACAAAAGAGAAGTTGAAGTCAACGTCGGTATGATGCGCCGCGTAGTTCTTGCCATTAAGAACCTTTCGCCCAAGTTCAAGTTTTTCGTGTACCCAGGCGGTACCAGAGTCTGTCACCCTTTTTCCAATTTCGCTGCCAATTCTGATAGCAGTCATAGGGCTACGGCATATACGAACCAAACGGTGTCTTTGCCGCCCCACTCATCGAAGAAATGGCCGACAACCTCCCAGAAGCCTGCATTGAAACAGTAGCCTATCCTCACTACCGTACCATGCTCACCAGTGAATCTGCTGGACAATCTTGGACATGGTGTGAGCTCGTCCCCGATGCCATCATCGGCTTCACCCCAAACGGGTCTGCCTTTTCACTAGTAGGACACTGGGCCGTATATCTGTGCGTTTATGCACATGTTCACGGGGAAGGTGCTGAAGTACCGTTCCCTGGTACAATGGCCGGCTACGATAGTTTGTACACGGAATCTAGTGCAGAGTTGTTGGCGCGTGTGGCTATTCATGCGTCGCTTCATCCGGAGCAGTTTCGCGAGAGGATCTTTAACGTAGCCGATACTGAGAAGCCAGGGTCTATGAGGGAACGTTGGCCTCAAATTGCAAGTTGTTTTGGATTGAAAGGGGTTGAGCCTCTGATGACAGCATGCATGAAGCCTAGTCACTTCATAAAAGAGCATGCGAGCAAGCTGAAGGAGATCGGTGTGAAAGGTGTAGACATTTGGAATACTGAGCAGCTGGATAGCTACGGGTATTGGTTGACATTCGATCGGCATTTGAGCTTGAAGAGATTGAGGGATGCAGGATTTGAGGAGGTGAGAAGCCCGGAGAATGGATGGTGGACAACTTTTGAGATGTTTAGAAAGGCAGGCATGATAACTTGAGGCATTCAAAGACATGTTCGGATGATAGTTAAGACAGAGTGTTGCATTTCCATGTGCTTGAACGTGTACCAGCCTCAGTTGCGAGATATATCATTTCCTTTGTATACATACCAACAGGAGACATGGCCCTGGGCAATTGAACAATGACTCTTCATCAAAACAATTGTTCGAGGCGAGATGATGGTCTGTCAACAGTGGCGCCATGATTACTCCATGCGAGGACGCTTGGCCTCGAATTCGGTGGCATCAGCGGCTATTCCATTATTGGAAGTGGTTTCGAGGCCATGCTTGCTTGCGGCTGTGGATGATGGTAGCTTTGCACCGTTCTCGTTTAGGCAGATTGAAGCTATCTGGTTATTAGTTTCAAGCTGGGGCCATCTATTAGAAGTAAAACTCACGTGTAGATGCTTTCACACGAGAGTCTAATGCAGAAGTACGTACCAAAATGTCCCAACACACCTTCTCCATAGCCTACTCAGAGTAGTGATTTCGATCGACTTGCCAGCGCATTCCCTTTCGGCCCATGTTGCCACAGCCTTCACGGTTCATCATGGCGGCGAGCAAGCCACGGATATATTCTTGCCGCTCCTCGTCGCTGGTCGGTACTGTAGGATCCGGACTGGGGCATGACCACGTAGCTGCTGAATCATGGACTGCCTGCACAGCATCGTTGCGGTTGCTGAAGCTTAGCAAGATACTTGCGTTCTCTGGGAGTGCTGAAGGAGGAAGCTTTCTTGGTGCAACTGCGGTCTTGACATACGATCTCTTCAAGACCGATCGCAGTAGTGGATTTGATGCAGCTGCCGGAAGTGCAACTGTTGTATCGGGTCCAGCTATAGATGATATAATTGGTGCGATTGCACCAGAAGAAAGTTTCTTTATCTCAGAAAGAGCCGAGCCGACACCATTGTTGATAGACGGAGCATTGACTGCTCTAGGAGCGTTCTGAGAGGTGTGGGATGAAGGATGAACCACGACGGCTGCCGCTTCGACAGGCATATAATTTTGATTCGATGATTGCTGTGTCTCGACTGATGATTGTCAATTGCGGCCCTGAGGTGTATTTTGGGTCAAAAACTTACATCTACGTCCAAGAGCGGCGTCCACCATTGGTTTGAGGATAGCCTCCAGAGCGACCGCAGTCAAATTGAGTTGTTCCATGATGGCCTTGACTTTTCTAGAGTCCTATAAGTATAGGTTAGGGATCAGTGACGTACCTGGGTCCCAGTAGTTAGTCTTAGTCGATCGCAGTAGCTTGTTCATATGCGAAGTAGAGGCATTATACGTCACTGTATCAGGTCGGAGAGAGCGAGGAGACTTTTGTATCTCCACCCTGTGAGAGCTGTGAAATGTGATGGTAGCTATTCACTCCTTACAGTCTTTAGGTATACGTTCTTCTCTTGAATGCGGTCCAGCCGATGCGGTATTCACAGACTGTTGAATACTGCTGAACTATAAGCTCTTCTCCAATGTTAAGTAGCGAATGAACTATTATACATACGCTGCAGTGCAACAATCGCGGGCGTGAGTGCTTCCTTCTTGGCACGTTCAAGGTATACATTGGGTCATTCGCAGTCTTAGAGAAAAGCGACTGTAACTAAATCTGACTAGAGGCCTTGCTTCAGTGCAAGATCTATGCTTATGAGCGGATTTGCACCGCGGCAACAGGTTGTCCTTTGGATGTCAACCTGTGTTAGCTTCTTTTTACGTTGATTGCTATGCGGGCCAATGCCTATTAGAAGAAAACCACCCGAATAGAGCGAACGATTGAAACCCGGAACGCCAGAGTAAAGGACCATGATTATTCAAAAAAATTCATTCGTGTGCTTCCGTCCTGCAAATCACACTGGGGGTATCTTTTAAAAGTGTGACGTGTCGCTGGTATTAATGTTCACACCGCTTCTCGATCGAAGTCGATACATGTGTCCTTCGCTATATTGCATGCGCATCAGGACCTGCACGAGGCTCAGGCCAATCATTGCTCCGCTTGTGCGATAACTGGGAGCTCTGTGAGCCGCTAGCTTCGTTTTCTTCTACCGTGACTTTGGTAGTCTTCATGATACCTGCACATTTGCCCTCCTCCTCCTGTAGAATAGCGCGATCACTGTCGCTATCATTGTCCAGGACTGATTCGCCAGGAATGCGACTGTGATATGCCTTGCTACTTTGGAACGTGCTCATCCGTATGTTGCCACTGGTGGAGTGCCCATAGCCGTAGCCATATTGCGGCTTTGATTGCGAGTTCTGTAGTGTAGAAGGAACGATGCGTTGGAAAAGATGATCGAAGGCCTTGCGTAGGGGAGGTAAAGCAGCGATAAGTATGCCGGTTGAGCACTCGGCTGATGACCAAATGCCTAAATTTACCGCGTCCCATGTCGGATCCATGGTGTCGGTGATGGCTTTGAGCTCTACGGTCTTGAAGATGGAACAAATCGTCGCCCTGTAAGCGCGAAAAGTTAGCCTTTACAGTCTCGAAAGTTGACGTCTGGATGCCATGCTGTCCTGTTGGGTACACTTACGGTATAGAGAGGAGAAAGACAATGCGGATGCCCAACTGTGTCTTCCTCGATAATTGCACCTTTGATAGATATATGAGTGGTGCGGCCATATAAACAACATCAGTAATGATATTGGAGATGCCTTGCGTGTACGAAAGCTCCAGTGTGCCTCGAGCCCAGCACTTGCGCGGTTCGTAAGCAAAATTCCAGTTGGCTTCGAGCGGACTGCAACCAAACAAGGTCAAGACTGGCGCAAGAAATCCCAGGGCAGTCACCATGAGGATAGAAAGCCAAACGATTATTTGGTAGACCTTGGAGAAGTTGAGCACCAAGAGCCATGCGCAGATTGACCACTTGAGTACTGCGACTGCAATAATGTTGATCACTTGTGAGATCCAAAGGTAGTATGAATATCTTGCAATATTTGGAAGCACTGTAGGATCCATGATGTGTCGGCCAAGACCAGCATCGACCACGATATGGTTCGTACATGTGGCTGTGATGTTGAGTGCCTGTTCCTGTCAGCCCCTGGCGCGCATCTCATGGGAAGATCACTTACAGTGGCAATGATCAACAGGTAGTCAGACAACATGAATCTGCGCGACTTCATAAGACCATAGACAACTCTCCAGATAACGAAAATAGTGCTGATGATCATGAGCGTCCAACTGGGGATGAGGATCTTCAGTCGCTGATTCGGCCATTCTTGTGGTGCCACGTCTGCCATCGCGAGCGGTATGATTGGAATACTGTCCAGCACAAAATTAACGATTCGCCAGAAGTTTTGGCTCAGTGATAGCCTTTTGGACTACATGAGTTTCTTGTCTGTATGTTAAATTACTCGCCTCGATCAGCTCAGGCGCTCCGTTCTCGAAGCAAGCTACCGGCGCCGCCACTGTGAAGCGAACTCGGGGCAACGCTGCCATAGCATCTCACACTGCTATAGTGCATCTTCCCGTGAAAGAACCGCTTGTCAAATGATCTTGCATAAGCTTGATTAAGGCCCCACACAGACGGGGCATGGCATCCATTGGTACGGAACAGCCGCAGGTGGGGCAGCACGAGTCGAATCTATACTAGGTCTGTCGCACCACCAGAGATCTTACAATGCGCTTCCTGGCGATCTGGCAACGCGGAGTACATTATGATCATCGCTCCTAAATGTAGCTAGGAATAAGGTCTGTTCTGATGCCGTATCGACGGGTCACAGCACGCGACAGTGAAGGATGAAGAATATGATGGGGAAGACTTTTGTGAAGGGAGGATAAACGGACGGCTTTTCTTTCGGCGCGATATGCTATGCGTGCGTGTAATCGAACCTGTCTGAGCATGTTCTCGGTGAAGTAGCACCGGCATTCAGGGACCTGGGTAGGCGACAGGCGGGAGAATGCCAAGTCGCTACCGAACTAAGCCTCACACGTGCTGCAAGTGTCGGGTCCCGTCTCCGGGGAGGGTCGTCCGAAACATTCTCAAACGAAGAGCGATCAGGTCGCCCACTGCACCAGAACAACGACGTATGTCGCAGAACGTGTGTGGCACCTGCAGATTCAGCCCTTGTCACGCCAACCTGGACCTGCCTTCTCAATGTCGTTTGAACTTCAAGTCGCGCAGTCATGCGCAGGGTACGCCGGTATGACTTCGAAGCACCGAGAAGCCAGTAGGAATGCCGGAGGCAAATGTCCCCATTCGAGACCCTAACGATCCGACCTGGCCCAACACCCAACAATCCTCAAAGACACAACTGGGCAAAACAAGGAAGAGTTGGGAAGAACCCCACCAGAAAAGGCTCCAGAGCCGAGCCGTGTGATGAGAGCACTACGAAGGGCCGAACATGATCTGACTTCGACAAGACGTGTTCCCGAGGTCGCTTCGACTTGCTCCTTCATAGCTCGGGATGCGAGGCACGATCAGTGGCCAAAGCTTCGTCGCACCTGGCGTAATGTTCCCTGTCATGATACCCGATGCTGACCTTTGGCGCAAGAATGGGGGACGCGATTTGATGTAAGATTGCATAGATGCAGATGCAAACACGGACTCATCTGCACGAGTGAAGTTGCCGAACCCGAGGATGCAGACTAGGCAAGCATTTCGTGGCGATGATCAGGCCCTCATTGAGCACAAACGCCGGCCTGATTGGCTTCTGGAAGCATAATGATCTGCAGAATCCCTGGCAGTGCCTTGCGCCTTGCGAGATTGCAAGGGCGCTTTTGCGGTCTCATCGATAAAAGTCCTGCAAGAACTGTAGCAGTGCACATTGTGCGTGTTGTAGAATGACCTACCTCGAGAGACGTAGGTACTCGCCGGAAGTACACCTTAGCGCAGAGGGTAAGACTGTCAAGTTTACAAATGCTTGCGGGAGAGTAGCGCAAACTCAGTTGCTATGGCGAGCGGGCCATTCTCTTCCCGCTTCCTGTTTCTCAGGGTCTGCATCCAGGCATCCTTGTACCTGCCAAGGCGCCGAGTGACATTGTCAATGGACTAGATGCTAGGTGTTGTGGCCAACCACATACATCCTGTTAAAAGATCCCTCTCTCAAAGACCGTACCTTCTGTAGACGACCGGCGTTATCTGACTCGCGACTGTGCATCGACTGTCTTATCTGGTTAAGCCCTCGCATTGCAGGCATTCGGAAGTATCCACCTTGCCACACTTGACCTCCGCGAACCAGGCTGAAAATTCTTAATCTATATTCCATCGATCTTTATGGTCTGATAGGCATGCTGGCCGCCAGTCATGCTGTTCCGCGTCCCTTCTAGATTCTGCGGAATGCCTAACGGAAAAATTACGCGGCCGGCCCCTACAGCATTTGACGCCGTACCGCGTTCCTTCGCCTCATTGCCGCTACCGTAATTGGACCCATCATGCTAATGAAATTAGCTGGGGCATCGAACTGCCGGCTATTTTCACGTTGCCTGCAAAGCAGTCGACCAATGTCAAGTCGTTGTAAAGCTGTATAAAACCTCTAGTGGCCGAATTTCTTAATATCCGTCACAAGTATCCCAGTTTACTCTCGTTAAAAGTCTTCCCCTGGGTACCAAGAATGGCCGTGTTTTCCCGTGTCGCGTGCGTCGCTCAGCTGCTATGCGTTGCCCTGTCGCCAGCTCTTGCAGCTTCGTTGGCACAAGAATACGACTATGTGATTGTTGGAGGTGGCATAACAGGTCTAGTGGTGGCTAACCGATTGAGCGAGGATAGAAGTAGTATGTTGATGTCCCAAAGTCTCTGGCAAGCACCTGTTGACATCTACGCAGAATCCATCCTCGTCATCGAAAGCGGCGAGTCTGTTGACAATGATGGCACCATGATCCCGTATAAGGCCAATGATCTTACAGCCTCCGCTGGTCTTCTCTGGAATGGCATCAACTCTAAGCCAGAGCCTGCTCTTGGAAACGCCAGCTACCCTGTGCTCGTTGCTAAGGTGCTTGGAGGAGGATCGGTCATCAACGGAATGGTGTACGATCGTGGCTCAGCTGCCGACTACGACGCGTGGGAGGCCCTTGGAAACAAAGGCTGGGGATGGAACGGCATGGAACCATACTTCAAGAAAGGCACGACATTTCAGCCTCCTTCCGAGAAGGTTGCTGATGATTTCAACATCACTTGGGATCCCAGCACATATGGCAGTGGTCCTTTGACTGTTAGCATCACAGACAACCAGTACGATGATATTAAGGACTACTGGGCGGCATGGAAAGCTACTGGTGTCCACGTCCCGATCGACGGTAACAATGGTGAGGCTTATGGCCCTTCGTGGTATGCCAACACCATGGATGCGAAGACAGGGCGACGAGCCCATGCGCGCTATGCGTACATCGACCCTATCACCTCCCGTACCAATCTCAAGATTCTCACAGGAAACACCGCGCAAAAGATTGTGTTCGACAACAGAGAGAAGCCTATGGCCAGGGGTGTTGAGATCACTTGCGCCGCCACGGGTAAGACGTCTACCGTCTACGCCAAAAAAGAGGTTGTGCTTGCCGCAGGTGCAATCCAGACTCCAAAGCTTCTACAGCTGAGTGGTGTCGGACCCAAGGCTGTACTTGAGGCCGCTGGCGTAAAGGTCCGCGTTGAGCTTGATGCTGTGGGCTCGAACTTCCAAGATCACCCTTATGCCACCGTCATCTTCAACACCACTACGACCACCTTTCCCAACCAGAACTCTCTGATGACCAACGCCACTTTCAACGCCAGCGCTTGGGAGCAGTATGTGCAGCACAAGACTGGGCCATATACATATGCTCGCGGGAATGCTCTTGCTTTCATCTCCCTGCCTGACATGACCAACGATACAAACGCCATAGTCAGCAGCCTGAAGGGCCAAAATGCTGAAAGCTACTTGCCAGCTGTGTACAAGGGCAACACAAAGCTGCTGAAAGGGTTTGCTCGCCAACGCGAAGCAATCGCAAGCATTTTCAAGCGCCGCGACGCTGCTGTCACCGAATTCCCCGTCCCTGCCGATGGTACTTTTGGCCTCGTTGGCGTAGAGAAGCCTCTGTCTCGTGGTACTGTCTACCTGAATGCCTCTAACCCGACTGGCCCGCCAGAGGTAACCCACAACGCTTTTGTCAATCCCATCGATCGCACTATCATGGCTATTGGCCTCCGCTTCTTCCGCACTGTCTGGGCACGTCCTGAGCTCAGCCGCTTCAAGATCTCTGAAACAGTGCCTGGTGCGAGGTACACTACCGACAAGGAGATTTACGATGCTCTACTTGCCCAGGCTTCGTTGTCACCCACACTTGCTCACCCAGCAGGTTCTTGTCCCATGATGCCTGAGCATGCTGGAGGCTGTGTCAACGACAAGTTGATGGTCTATGGAACTCAACATCTGTCCATCGTTGATGCTTCTATCATCCCCATCATCCCCTCTTGCCATCTCCAGGCGACTATGTACGGTATTGGTGAGAAGGCTGCAGACATTCTGAAGGCACGATAGCGGCTGTCGCCAAACGCTCAATACCGATACTTGGTGAGTCACTGTATATATTCAATAATTAATTCGTTCCACCAATGTCCATTCTGGTCTTGATTGGTATTATTCTCGCCGCTCGCTGTACCTGGGGACTAACCTTGACCACGACTTAGCCACGCTATCAGGACCTCTCTACTACTACGGTACTCGGCCGTGCGTACATGTCTACTCGCTGAGATGACATGTATCTGTATTGCAGACGCTTAGCTACACTCGATCGAAATTCTGTTCATTTTCTGAGGAAATCGTGTGAAATTCAAGAAAGGATGAGCCGCGTGAGTGTGAGCCCTCTGCAGATGTCGCTAACTGCATTGGGCGAAACAGCTCTTATGTCCGAAGCTAGCAGAACGGGAAAAACCTTATCACCTGGAAATAGTGGCGACAACTTTTGCTTGTGTACAACATACATGATTTCCTGCTTCTATGCACATCGACTTTGTCTTGTATTTCGTCCCCGGTATAATTAGATTGAGTCTTTAATCGCATTTTTGGCGATGGGCACCAATCATGGTGCGCTCGATTCTGAGGGCGCTATTCCCAGGCAAAGCGATTCGAGGCCACCGCCAAGCCCTCGCGATGACACAATCGAACAGACTGTCGAAGAAAGAGAGGATTCGGATGCAGAAAAGAAGCAGCCGCAGTACGAGCCTGTGCTCGCGAGAGTGCTCACAAGGAGATCTGCGGCATCTTCTTGGATCGACCCTGGCCCACCACCAGACGGAGGAATGACAGCCTGGATACAAGTTTTCTGCACCCATCTTACCATTTTCACCACTTTTGGCTTCTTCACGTCATTCGGTGTGTATCAAACGTACTATGAAAACACGCTCGGAATAGAGCCTTCAACGATATCATGGATCGGCTCCATTCAAGTCTTCCTCCTGTTCGGCATTGGCACGTTTTACGGGCCGAGCCACAGACGCCGGCCTCTTTCGACCAGTATACATAGCCGGCGCTGTGTTTCAACTCATTGGCATCTTCACAATGGCTGAATCGACGAAACTGTGGCACTTATTCTTGTCGCAAGCGATCTGCCTCGGTATCGCGAATGGGCCTGCAGTTCTGCCCGGCCATGGCACTGGTATCGACATACTTTTGCCAAAAGACGCGCTTTCGCGCCTTGGGATTACTGCGCTAGGCTCATGCACTGGAAGGCGTTATATTTCCCCGTCATTGCCCAGCAATGCCTCCCACGCATTGGATTTCCCTGGACGATTCGCATTATTGGTTTTATAATGCTCGTCCTGAACATTATCACCATCTCGCTGTACCGCACACGTTTACCTCCGCGCAAAACTGGACCGCTCGTAGACTGGGAATCTTTTAAGGATGCGCCGTACTCGCTCTACTGCGCCGGCATGTTCTTCGCTTTCTGGGGCCTTTATTTTGCATTCTTCTACATCGGATCTTATGCACGCAACGTTTTGGGCGCCAGCTACCAGCAGTCCATCAACTTGTTGCTTGTGCAGGTATGCATGGGCTTCCTTTTCCGATTGCTGCCGACATACTACGCAGACAAGGTCGGAAGTCTCAACGTGCTCATCCCCTTCGCATTCGTTTGCGGAATCATGATGTTTGCTTGGACTGGCATACACACCGTAGGGACTTTGTATGTGTTTGCGGTCATTTACGGATCTGGCAGTGCTGTGATTCAAGCTCTATGGCCAGCAATCATTGGTTCGATGAACCGTACGCCGGATTTGAAAAAGACTGGTGTGCGTATGGGGATGGCATTCACTATCGTCAGTTTCTCCAGTTTTACTGGGCCACCTCTTGCTGGTGCTTTGATTCAAATCAACCATGGAAGCTACACTTACGCAAATATCTGGGCAGGCTCTTCGTTCTTCGTCGGAGGAGCATTGCTCGTAGCAACCAGGGTGTCACTTGTGGGATGGAACTGGAGAGCGCGCATATAGTTCTTTCGCACACCATCCACTCAACATGAGCCTGTCCTCACGGCCAACAGGCAGCCAAAGATCGTGTAATTTGCTCGCCAGCCTCGTTAGTGATGTAAAGTGACACAATCTCAGGCTTCAGTCTACAACTCCACAAGCGCGCATCTAACATAAAGCGGGCACTAGCTGAAGTTTATTGGGGTCTAGATTATATTTCAGATACTCCGTGAGCAAAACAAGGCTCGGAAACGAGCAAAGTGAACGATTAAGTGATGAATTGCTACTTCATCACAAAGGTCCACTAAACGGAGACGATGGAAATACGTATTCTACTCATGCTCATGAAGATTAAAGAGCATACACTCAGTCATCGACCTGTGACGCATAATATGTCGTAAGCCATAGGGTTGCAGTGACCAGCCAGGCTTTGCGGCTCGACGCTTAAGGGGTCGAAGACATAACGCCAAGAGAATCGGATGGCATTTTGGTGGTGCCAGCGATTTCGATCTGGTTATACGATGGTACCAGGACACCGCAGCCTTGAGCGTGGCGTGTGAATTTGCCGATTGCTTCACCAACGACAAAGTCGACGGCTTTGCTCGTGTGCATACCGAGTAGCCCCATGGATTGTAGGTAGCGGATTGCGCCCTTATGCATGGCTCTCTTGGTGATGATTGCAGGTGCACGACCGACGCAGAATCGAATGTAGACCGTCAAATGCTGGCTTTCGGTATCGGCTGTGCATTCGATTTTCATGTAGCGGGTTTTTGCGTCGTTTCGGAGTGATTTGAGCCATGTCCCGTTGCTGTTAGCGAGCAGCTCATTAAGTACCATCATGTAGTGATAATCGACATGCACGTCGAACATGACTTCTTCGATGGTATCTTCATGGTCGCACTCGGCACGGCAGGTGCACGTAATGTTGTGCCCGCATTCGAAACAGTCTACATCTGGTAGATCGTACTCGACCAGCCTGCGGCAAACAAACTGGATGACGTTGCTTGGACAGAAGGCTCGAATGCGGAGCAAGAGCGTTATGTCGAATAAGACATCTTCGTCGCAGCCGTTGTTCTCATGATCCCATGAAATGAGCAGAAGCTTCGGGGCATTGCAGTAGTCCTCAGCTTTGGGATAGAATGTTGTCACGTAGGACTGAACATCCTCAAGCTTGATTCGGATGCTGGAACCACGAAGCCACAGGACGCGGTACTCGGACCGAATCTGCTTACACGACTGCGCGAGGCCCACAAATGTGCGGCCGCTTGGGCTGTGTGCAGTTGCAGCGGTTGGCTCTTGTCTGGATCTGGTGATTACGGGTGGTACCCTTCCGTCACTTTCGAATTCGGCCTCGGCGGCGAAATGGTAGATGCGATTGCGCAACTCTGAATTCAGCTTAGCATATCTTCGTGATCTAGGGGATGCAACTTCACTCACCAGGAGGTAGCTCAAGCAATCGGCATCGTAGTGGCTCAGCGCTCTGTTCTTCAGCCTTCTGCTCTTTGTTGGCCATCTTCTTGCTGAGCATGTGGCTTTTGGTCTTTGCGCGGCTAGAGTAAATTGGTCAGTATGGCAATGATCCCATTCGTAGTTACTTACGTGGTGACGGGCATTGTGATGTCCTGAAGAGCTGAACGGCGGGTGGGTAGGGAGGGACAGGCAGTGGTTGAGATGCTTGATGCTGGAAGTTTGCCGCGATGCGTACAAGCTGTGCTGTACTGCACTGCGCGATATGTTTGTTTGTTGCAGCAGGAAGCGAGGGAAAGCGCGCATAGAGGCAATCGCGCCAAGGCGCACGTGGTAACACGAAGGACGCGAGTTCCCGTGACCTGGATGACACTTCCTGACATGCAGTTGCACTTGCGCGATGGGGAAAAAGGAACTCGAAGGACTCAGAGAGCGTCAGATGGCTTAGAAAAAACAAACATGAACAGCAAAATCGACAACCTTCATGCATCTTGGGTGTATAACATCGAGAGTTTTACATTACGCTCTATAGCGACTATTTGCCCCTTTTCATTAATCGTCTAGTATTTCAACAGCAGCCGATCCGGGTGCGCTTAGTTCAATGCACCCTTCTCGTTCTTCTCGTCTCGAACAATCGTCGTCTCGACGTTCTCCACATCGTCTTCCTTCTTGTTACCGATGTAGGCACTCTCCTTGAGGTTGTTCATAGCGTCCTCCTCACGATCGGTCTTGCGGAAGGTCAAGTAGAAACCGACACCACCAACCATTGCGACGACAGCAACAGAGCCGTAGTTCCATACCAAGAGAGGATCTTCTGAGAGAGAAACGAAAGCTTGACCAAGAGCGGCAGATACGGCCGAGGTGGATAGAGCGATGGCCTGGATGGTGGACTTCATGTTGTTGGGAGCCTTGGTATACGCGTACTCGAGCTTAGTGATCGAAGCGAGCACCTCAGACATACCGATGAGGCCGTACGGGAAGACCTGGACCCAGACGGAGATATCGGCGCTGCAGTCCTTGCGTGTCTTGCTAAGCTTGTTGATGTTCTTTCCGCATGGTGACATGCTATAGATGTACCACTGAATGACGCAGGCAGATACCATGGCGAACGAAGACAGAGCAAAACCGGCAGTGATCTTCTTGATCGGCGTGAAGTTGACACCCATCTTTCGGAGAGCGGGGTAAACACCGAAATCCATGATGGGAATGACGATAATGATGAAGATGGGGTTGAGCTTGGAGACGATGTCGTTCGGAGTCTTGCCGAGCTTCATAGTGTTGGCCTGAGATACGAGATTGTTGGTCATTTGGTTGTACGCCAACCTGCACAAAAAATGATTAGCAAACATTCCAAAACGAGAAACTTACGTGTCTGTTGTACTCGAAAGCGTCCTATCTCGATGTCCCCTTTAGGGGCTATCTTCGATGCAACAGCTTTCGAGAGACAACATACAGCTTGCAGTAGGGGTATCATACCTAGTATAGCGGGTACCACAAGAAAACCTTGCAAGCAATAACACCACGACGGACCTCGTCGACCCAAGCATCGTCAAAGGTCATCCAGGTGGGCGGGGTCTCGCCATTAGCGCGGATTGTGCTAGGCTTAACTCTCTCCCAGAAGCCCTCATCTTTGAAGCAGTTCTTCTTGGTGCTCTTCTTGAACGCAAGGCGAATGAGCTTGGCAGCTCTTCCCATGACAGATCCAGTTGGTGGCGACAGCTTGTAGTGCTTCTTGAAGAAGAGCAACATAAGCGGGCAGAGCAAGTAGCAGATCGTAGGCAGTGTGTATGATAGCCAAAATCCAACAAAATCTGATGTGGAGTTAGTATAAATTGAGCTCATCGCTCGTGTTGCCAGCTACTTACGCTCAGAGTAGACCATAGCCAAAGATCCGGTAAGCGAACCGCAGTTGATCAAGAAGTAGAAGTAAATGTAGATACGAGCTGTGGTAGTCGCGGGATCAACGATCTCCTTGTTACCGTTCTTCCTCACGCGGACGTATGCCTTTTGGTCCTTGTATTGTTCTGCAATGAGAGGCGAGATGTTCGACTTGAAGCCGCCAGTTCCGATGCCCATGATGACGAGACCGACCGAGAAGATGGCAATAGCAGTATCGGGCTTGGTGATGACCTGGGGAATCGCCGAGAAGATAAGGAGGATGTGACCGATGATAGCGATGATATTGGCGTACTGGATCGTAAGATAGCGACCAAAGTACTCATCGGCCAACCATGCGCCACCAAGAGGGGTAATGTAGGACCAAAACTGGTTGACTGCAAGATATTAGCTATGTGGAGCGCTCCTGGACAGTCCGACTTACACATGGTAAGACCCGTAGACGCTCTTTGTCCCATGTCAAGCGCACCAGAACCTGGCTTCTTCAGGAAACCGGCACCAGTTCGCGAACCCGGAGGAAGGGGCTTTTGAATGAAGTTCACGACTAGCACATGGTCAGTACTGAAGCTCATGATGCTTATTTACGGTTTACATACAGACAGCACTTGTTCCATAGTAACTGAAGCGCTCAACGAATTCGACCATAGCGACAGTCCATGCCTGCCACGGGATCGAACCAGCTACACGGGGTAGCGTCGCCCACTCTTCTTCGGTAGGGAACGGTCCGAGAAGGGTGGTGTTCTCATCGCTGAGCGAGTTCGAGGAGCTGGCATCGAGGGGGATGGGGTCGAAGACCGTTGCACCTTTGGTAACCTCCAGACTGGTCTTGACATTGGTAGTGGCAGCCATTGTGACGGTTGCTCAAGGGCAATCAATCAAGCGTCACGGACAGATAGGAAGAGCACCTACGATCCTCGAGGCAGACGGCACCCCTCCTCATATAGTATTGGTGTTAGCATCCAGACCAGATATGGATGTGAGTGGCACAAGGATTGCACGCGACAGTGTTGTGCTTCTGCGTTTGACGGTCTCGAACATTACTCGTTCGGGTCTCGTTATCGCGACATCGAAACTGCATTGATTGGTCTAAGCATGGCGAAGTTGTGCCTAGTCCCTTCGAAGGATTGCTTTACGATGCTTCGGTACAGCTACCGCAAGTAAGCGTGATCTTTAGAGTTCCAAGCCCATGGTTCAAAGTCAGGCCTACCAGGTTAGGTTGAGATAGGGAGGAGATTCGAAATGCGCCCGCCAATCCTAAGGATTAATCCCAGCCCCGCCGCCACGGTGCTTCGGCCAAAAGTTCGAAAAAGACATGCCAAGTAGATGCTAAGATTGAAAAGATAACGTCGTGGATGCTTTCATGCAGCCGACGGCGTGGCAGCGCGCTTGGTCGCAGTTGCCCAGGCTGGGCCAAGGCCCTCTTCATTGCGCCTGCCTTTTTGGGCACATGCTAACGGCGGGCCAAGGCCACACGTAGGATTGGTTTGTTCCATCACGATATCGCCTTCCTGCAATTGAGTAGGTCGTGTGTGCGGCGTAGTTAGGTGGCGTTCGTTGGAGTTGCTGAAGGGACATCTGGAGCTTCGGCGGTTGATTTGCGCGAAGTGGCATGTCACGCGAAATTTGCTCATTGGCTGCTCGGTCAGTTCACTTAAACTTCAACAACGAGACGACAGGACAAATGTTACCCAAAAATATGCTATTCCTGTAGATCCAATATCTCCGGCAACAACTACGAATACCGGCAAACAGAAGGCGGGTCACGATCTTGCCCTGGTCGATGCATGCCCATGCGTCAACCTAATGCGGTTTCTGCAGCCAACAACTACCGACGGACTGGTGAAGAAACGCTCTAGAAGCGACGACCCTGAAACTCTGGTACAAACTCATCTGCTTCAAAGCGAAGATGATATTCGCTCGACATAGCGGGCATGCCTTGATTTGCGAGAGCATAAGAAGGTGTTGGTGGGACAGGTGTGCTGTGTTGGTAGGGTGCGTGGAAGCTGCCATTGACCTGATGAGGTGCTGGTATATCGGCTCCATACTCTCGGTAGGACTGACCGTATGCACCATACTGATAAGGCGGCGGGAAGCTTTGATTGCCTAGCACTTGTGAAGGCATGCCGTTATGCTGGAAGGGCTGACCGAATGGACCAGGCTGATGTGGAGGTGCCGGGAAACCACCCCGGCCCATGTTGTTCGATATACTGTTGCCGTACATATAGGGCTGGCTTACTGGGCCATTTGGGAAGCCACCGTGGTTCGGGATGTATGAAGACTGCTCACTGTGCTCCAACATAGGTCTGATACCCCACTGCGGATACACACGCAGCCTGGCATTCTTCTTCGAATGAGAAGGGTCTATCAGGCCGTGATTTCCGAACTGGGGACGTGGCGGGAGCTGATGGACAGGAACAGGCAGGTTACCGCCAAGCTCGCTCGCAGGACGGTTCTCCACACCCGTGACTCCCAAACGCTCCGGCACAGAAGTCAGCTCCTTCTTCGATACCGCTTCGTCGACAGTATGCTCCTGGGTGTCGTTTTGGGGCGACTTCATTGGCTCGAAAGCATCATGCTCGCTCTGCTTGTCACCCTGGCGCCAGTGAGACTTGCGCGTCTTCTTCTTCTTATGTTTGAAGCTATCTTCAGGGCGCACATCGTCACTGCACAGTCAGCTGGTATCCTGGTTACGGAAGATCAGTTTCCTTACTCTATCGCCAGTCTCCCGCAATAGACGTATATTTCTTGATCCTCTGGCTTCTTGACCTTCTGACGGACATGATCGGGATGTGGATCTTTATCCAAAGTTGCCAGCGGGTATGATCCATGGTTGAGTGCGTGTCGCACAAGGACGCCGACACACCAAGGCCACTTGGTCCGGATCCATCCGAAGTCTTTGATTTCAGCCCGTGTCAGGATGTCTTTATTAATGAGAAGGAGACGGATCCGCTCCACTGTGGAGTCGAAATCCTCGTAGACTGGCTGGAAGACATGGCGTTAGCAATGACTGCGACTGGCGCACGTACAACACAAGATTACCTACCAGTTTATCAACGCTCTGCTCCGCATTCTTCGCCGCTTGTCGCCAGTATCTGGCAGGCTTTCCGTAGGCGTCTATAAGGAGAGGTATGAGCTCCTCCTCTACCCATATGGTATACTCGAGCTGGGCTTTTACCGCGGCGTACTTGGCCGGCATCGCTACGTTGGTGAGTTCGGGTTTAGGATATTGGTTGAGAAGATTGGAAAAGGTGGTTGGTAAATGGAAGGGGAGAGGTAAAGGTAAGGCAAAGAGATGATGTATAGGTGAGGGTGGGGCCCCTGACGTACCGCGCGCTCGTGACGACGCCCGGGCTTGCAGCATTCACTCTACGGAACACCCTCGGCGGACGGTTATAGGCGGACATATAATTTGGCACCGGTAGCAGCGGCCGAGACTACAATATAAGCACACTCCAACACATCACCCGCTACCTTACACCTCGTGGCCCTGAGGTCACTATGCTATTGGGATGGTCACAGGAATGATCATCCAAATTCCGCCAAGAGACGAGACATGATCTACCGTGCCCAAATACAGGAGATCGTGGTAGCTACGCTGCGTCTTTGTACTATAGTCAATGACCTGATGTTCAGTCTGGCATGGCCTCAGTTCATTATTGACCCGTTCGTCAGAGGGTCTGGAAGACAACACCGGACTATCAAACAAGTGTCATAACTTCAAGAGTGATGCAAGGAGGTACTTGGAACACTATCGACCCATTTCCCAAAGGGTCCAGAAGACGACACTAGACTATTGACTAGATGTCATGAATGCAATCATGATGCGAGGAGGTACTCAGTACATTAGAATATCCGCGCGTCCGTCTAAAAATCTGGGCACAATATGCACTTCCACTTGTTCTGAAAGTTATAATATAATACACATTATCGCTCGAACTATCCCAGACTTCTAGCCTTCTATCCAGACCTCTGTCAAATCTAAAATATCTTATCCTGACGTTCTTCAATCACGCCATCTAGTGGTGATTAAGCCACGCTCCGCTGCTCAAAAGGTGACGCCACCTCCTGGTGCTGCACCACCACCCCTAGAAAGACGATGATTGCCAGGAGCGCCAAAGAACTTGCCACCTGGAGAGCCACGGGGTGGACCCTTGCCTTTGGTGGTTTGACCAGGAGGAGATGACGGGGAGGTAGCAGGGTCGTTCCTGAGTGAATGTTAGTGCCTTTATGTCCACATTGCTAAGAAATTGATCAACTTACCAAGCTGGAAAGCGAATACGCGGGAAGTTAGGATCATCTATATGTAGCTGCCGGCCAGTCCGCTGAAAGTGCTCCCGGCGAGCCTCATGAACCGTCTGCTCATAGGCCTGCATGACAGAGACAGCAGGGGCCGTCGGAGGCAGCATGATACCACCGTGACGCTGGTAGTGACGGTACAACAGCATCTCGACCATCGAATGGTTCTGGCGGATTGTCTCCATAGCAGGGTGACCAAGCTCCCTGTTGGCGATACGCAGGACGAGCTCGTGGATGAGGCGCGAATCGCGGTCGAACGCGTCCTGTCAAATGTCAGTGCGCAAATGAAAGTGAAAAGGGGTGGTACGCACAATGGTCTCGGACCAGTAGACGGCGTTGTCGACATCTGGGAGGAAGTCGTTGTTTGGCACCGCGCGGCCGGCTTGGTTGTAGACGGTGAAGGCCCATCGGCAGAACGGATGCACGGACAATCCAGCAAATCGCTGCAGATCCGTCACAGGCCCATTTCTCGGCTGGATCACCGTCGGAATAGGTTGATGGCCCTGAGGAGGCGATGTTGGACCATCGGGGTAGGCCTCACGAGAGTGTTGAAGAGAGTTACCTTCGCCGACGAGTGCAAGGGAGACGTTACGACCGTGGGCAGGGCGGTTGTTGTAGGGGTGCGGAGGGCGGTTGGGGCCGGAGCCAGACATCTCGAATTTAGAAGGCCGAGTTGAGGGCTTTTGGATGGTGGTGGGAGAAGAGAAAGTGGACTTTACCTGAGGGAGTACAATTTATATACACTAGAGGCGGGAAAAGACCTGCGGTGAACGCGACTTGCGGATCCTCCTTCACCTTCAATGTGACGACAGATCGCGCCGAAAGCAAACGCACAGTCTTATTCTCTTACTCACTGACAAGTGGGTACGAGGTGATTGTAGCTTGATATTGGACGTTAGGGCGGATTAATGCGCCTTTTGTATGCAGCGAATAGACGAACGGATATGTCAGGGGATATGCCGGACTGTTCAAGTGATCTCGAGCAAACAGCTGGAGTAAAGTCGCGACGGGTTGCGTGATACTCGGCTTGACAAAAGGACAATTCAGGAGGATCTCGTGACTCTCTCACTGGTATGAAGCTGTCGCGATGATGCAAAAGTTGAGCGACTGCCATTTGCCTCGGCCGTGAGGGCAGTGAGGCTACCTCATGCAAATTGACGACTCGATAAGTTGACGATACAATATCTTAGGCTTACCTAACATGAACAGGGTACTATCAGGAGCCAATACCCAGCTGCTATTTGACGTACGCCGGCTCGACTCAATACTCAAACCTTGCAGCTCTCTGACCAGACGCAACACCTGCCTCACCTCTCGCATGCGCGTCCGCATCTTTATGTTCAACTAATTTCAGCGGGCGATACTCAGCTGTCCACATTTGCTCACGAATCCATTCTTCCAAGTCGGTGTCGTTGTCTGGAATACCCTTCTCTTGCGCCAACCCGTCCTCGACAGCTTTCTTGATGACGTTTCTGGCGATTTTAACGCTGATTTCGCGCACATCTTCCACGTCAGGGAGTAAGCCAGCACCGGTGTCGTTGAGAACAGGTGCGGCAGAGGCGAGTGCCTGAACGGCAGCAACGAGCATTGCGGATGTCATGAGGCGTGTACGACTAAGGACGGCGCCGAGGCCGATGACAGGGAATGTTACCGAGTTGTTGCATTCAGCTATAGCAGTGTTAGTCGATAGATGAAGTACATGGAGCAACCGATGCTTACAGATATCGTACTCTTTGCCATTGTGCTTGACAGGTGGGAACGGGGAGCCAGTAGCGACTAGCACTTTACCGTCGGTCCAGTCGTACAAGTCCTGCGGCTTTGCTTCATGTAGTCGAGTCGGGTTAGATAGCGGGAAGATGATTGGACGCTCGACATGCTTCGACATTTCTCGAACAACGTCCTCGGAAAATGCGCCAGGCTTGGTTGATGTGCCAATTAGAACATGGGGCTTCACTCCCTTGACTACCGAGAGAAGATCTTGATGCTCTTTCCCCTCCCACTCCTTGTCATTTCGTGCGTACGGTGCTTGTGCAGGGGTGAGTTGGTCCTTCTTGCCCTGGAGTAAGAGGCCGGGCTTGTCAACGCACCTCAATACAGTCAGTATCATCAAATGCATATGTCGGGACGCTGCACTTACCATATTTGCTGTCCTGCTTCTGTGGTTGATTTGCCGGTATTTTGTGCGATAGCGTCTTTGATCTGATCTGCAATACCAGTACCGGCAGAGCCCGAGCCAAACATAACGAAGCGAGCATCCTCCCATTTGGTGCCGCTCACCTTGAAGGCGGCCATGATAGCTGCCAGTGTCACGCATCCCGTTCCTTGGACATCGTCATTGAAGCATGCGATCTGAGGCGTGTATTTGTCGAGGATTCTACGCGCGTTGTTCAGGCCGAAGTCTTCAAAGTGTATGTATGCCTTGGGATAGCGCTTCCTGCACGCTGACACGAATTTGTCGATAAACTTGTCGTACTCTTCGCCTCGTACTCTTTGCCGCCGCTGGCCGAGGTAGAGATCGTCTTCAAGTAGATCCTTGTTCTGTCTTCTCTTAGCAAGATATGGATGTCTGTGGAATATAGACCCACGTCAGTACCACAGTCGAGCACGACTGGCAAAGTCCGCGACGGATGTATCCCAGCACACAGTGTGTATATGACCAGCTTTGCCACACTGATCAAGATGGCGCCTACTCCTTGATCGCCGATACCTAGAATCTGTTCTCCGTCGCTCACGACTATCAAGTCTATGTCTTCAGCATTGCCCCACTGGTTGATATCGTCGTCGACGCGGTCTGCGTCGCCAATATTCAGGAAGCAGCCTTCGGGTCTTCGGAAGAGCCTCGAGTAGTTGGCTATCGCGTCACCCTCGGTTGGGGTGTAGATGACGGAGAACATTTCCTTCAAGTGGTCGAGTATGAGCTTCCACGGGGTCAGCTATGCTCGTCACATATTGGGACACTTATTAAGTCCATACTCTGTAGTAGAGCACTTCATTTTGCTCTTTCAAGCTGGTCATGAAAGTGTTTTTGGCGAGGTCGTTCGGGCGCGAGCTGTATTGGGCGTATGCCCGCTTTACTTGTTCGTCGAGCGTCTGAATGTTGGTGGGCAGCAGGCCGTGTAGTTTGAAGGTATCGCGCTCTTCTTTGGTGAAGGCTGAGCCCTTGTTGAAGTACGGTGTTCGTAACAGTGCATTGCCCTGGATTTGATCAGTAGGCTGGTTTGTCTCGGGACCTTTTCATGCACACTTACAGTCAATGTTGTCTCTTGAGCGCCAGATGTTGAAAGAGGCAGATGGCCAAATTTTTGGTTCTTTTGCTGCTTCGAATTAAAAGACATGTTAGTATCTCAGGTCAGTGTAGGGAACAAAAGCCTCCAAAGCTTGCTGTTTCTTCTGCTCCACCTAAGAGAGCCGTGGTGAGCTGGGTGCATGCGCGTCGCGCGGTTCGGCATGATGACGTCGGAGCCCACGCGCTTCCAGTTCATCCTGTAATAGACACCGCGAGCGAACACAAATCACCAGTCTTCTACAACGCGATCACTACCTTAGCAGAATAAAAACCTCGAACGCACAGCGATATTGAGTAACTGAGTATGTGAGCGCGTAAGGTTGTGGTGCAGTCAAGCATCTCGCAAGCACGCAGCGCCCCGCACTGAGATTGCCACGCATCTGGCTGGAATAGGTCCAACACCCGCTGAGCACACACCATCGCAACCTCAGCTTCGCCAAACATGATAACTTGGTTGAAGACGGAATGTATCCGGCAAAAGCCTTAAATAAGTCGAGTTGGCTTTCCAAGAGTCGCGAACCAATGAGGTTGACACCACCCAAGCCTTTGCAGGGCTTCAACAAGGAGAACCATAGGATTGGACAGATGTCTTTCATTGTTAAATGATCAAGTCTGCAAATGTATCCCCACACCTTTGTGTAAAGAGACATTTTGCCTTTTGCGGCTGCCTCGATGGTGCAGCCTTCCTGAATCCAGCACTGTTGCATTCTTTGTTGGCCAATTGCTGTGCAGCTGAAATAATTGCCATCATCGCATATTTATTCACAACATTATCTCATACAGGCGATAAATTTCTCCATATGACACTACAGCATGTATAGATCATCGTTCTACGCGTCCACAATAAAGTTGCCCAGGAGCCCGCATCCCCATGCGCTTCCTAGACAACTCGACTTCCTCGAAGATTTTGACAGCGATGGAGGCTTGTACCGACAGGGCTCACGACAAGAATCCCGCGATTTCACAGATACCGAAGATGATGACGAGAACATCGCAGACGTAAAGCGCGAATATGAGCTCTTGATCCGAAGAGGGTGGACATACTCGGTAAGGTTATGGCTATTTGATAGTTGAGATGTATACTCAAAGCATATAGGTCGCCATGGTGGTCACTACGATTTTCCTTGCAAAAGTTTGCCCGCTCTCGGGACTCGCCGCAGTCACTCTTCTGTTCCTCGTCACATATCCTCAGAGCGATGTTTATTACGCCATCGGTGACCTGCTACCATGGAGCAAGGTGCCCGAGGATGTAAAAACTGCCCTGCATCGACGACCAAGCTTCATATGTGAGTCTGATAGCCTCTACCTCGCTGTCACCTAAAATAAGTGCTAACACTATACAGACGTCCACAATAGTCAAGGTACGCAAACTTCAGCAGCGTGGCAGGTCCCGTATAATCAATATTTCACTGACGTCTCTATAGCTGCTCGTGCCGGTATTCACCCTGACATGGACCCCCATCGCCGCTTTGAAGAATCCTTGACGCACGCTGCACGTCTCGTCATGCGCCAGCTCTCTGAGTCCATTAAGTCAATCGTGTCCTATACGCTAAGATATATTCTCCTTCAAGCTGGATTGCAGCTCCATGTCACCATTGCGCAGCACCTCGGTGCTCTCTTCCGCGCTGGTGAAGACGTCACCGGCTTCTTCCCGCGCTACGTAGCAAATATGATGTCGATGCAGAACCTATTTCGCCCCGATGGCTTCGCAGACTTCACCAGCAACCGAGTGTCTACGATCAAGTGGTGGTACGGTTGGATCAGCAGTCTTACTCGGGACCTCATATGGTACTTGCCAAAATACTTGGTGACAGGTTTCGGCAGGTTGCTGGTAAAATCTGTTGCTATACTCGAAGGGATCGTTGCGAGCGAACACTTGGCTGAAGATGTGAAAGAAAAAATCCAGCAATTCCTGGGGTAGTTGAAAACAGGCTTGTCATGTTTGCTGGGAGATGACTGTGGCGCTGCGTTGGCACCGCGACCATAGCGAAAGGTGAATTGAACAATCGTGAAGGGAGATTTGCTATGTTGACGTTCACCCATAAATGTGTCTCTTTTCGCTGTCCTGTGATCATGTCTCACAAACTTCAATACACATTCTCTGTAATAACTCCCCTCGTATCTACTCATCGCACTCGTATGCGCTTCTTCTTAACAGCACAATGAAGCCATTCATCATCGCCACGACTCTGATCCTCCTCCCTTTCGCAGCAGCTCATTCATGGGTCCACTGCATAGATCACGACAACAAAGACATCCTCGAATGGATGAAGGCCAACGCAACCAAATACGGAAAGGAAATGATTATCGACCCCCTAATGCCCTGGTACGCTCATCTCTGCCACGGCTGGCCACGCTTCAAGCAGAACCCCGGCGACTGGGTTGACGAAACCATCACCTACCTATGGGATCTTGAAGGCGCAGCCGGCAAAAAGGATATACATGCATGTCACCCAGATCAACGTAACCCGACGTACCACTTAATCGCCCCCGACGCCAAACTTCCGCATCACAGTAATTCCGCGCCCATGGCTACAGCAACGGCAGGCGCTAGCATAAAACTCATGTTCGGCGGCAACGGACACTCGCGCGGGTCCAGTGCCGGCGGGAAAGGCGATCCCGGAAAAGTAGCGATTTACTGGGCCGGCGAGAAGGAAAAGGAACTTGTTAATGTCAGTGAACTAACGCCAGATACTCTGGTCCAGGAAAATGGATTCAGCGACGAGAGCTTCGCATTTCCTGCGGATTTGAATGTGTGGACGCCCCCTCAGGGGCTGTTTGATAAGGGAAATTGGCAAACTTTACGGTTGTAAGTATAGTTGTTCTGTGAAAAGTGAGAATGCTAACACTGTTGGCAGACCGGAATGCATGGAGAAGGGGAGACATATGATGGTTTGGGTGTGGTCGTTTGGTGGAAAGGCGAGATTCAGCACCTGTTTCGATGTTATGATTAAGTGAACGAGGGCAGAACAAGACATGGCGAATGTTGAAATGGTAGTTCTTGGTATTTCTGCGAATGTATTTAATGCTCCGCGCGGACCATGAATGCACTTTTTGAGGTTTGTCCGGGACTTGCGCGGCCTTGCTCTGCGGCAAGTCTCATCGACGACGACATCATGCCGGACAATTGAACATCAAGCACAATACAAACACCACGATTCTTTGGAACATTGAAATAATATTTTGTAGCATGAGATTGAGCCGAGACTACTTCGCATTTGGTCGATGCTTGACACCACCAGAAAATGCATCCATGTCTGGCAACAAGAAGACGATAAGTAATGACGATCGACACCATTACCAGCATTATCCCAAGCCATTCTTGATGCACGGGCTGAAGTCTCAGCTCCTAGATGCTCTCCCTCGCATCAATCTCCCATTTCAGAAACCTGAGGTTGTTTTTGTAGAGCTCATCCTCCAAGTGGTCTCCACCGATGGCATAGTCCAGCAGCTTCCTGGCGAGAAAATCATCCTGACCTCGCAAAAAGCGGCAGAACTCCGCATAGTCTCTGCTCAGAACAAACCGAGCGAATGCTTCAGTCATGCTGAAATATCGTGAGTGTGCGAGGCTGTCAATATCCTTGATGGATGGGCTAACGATGGACGAGAGGGTCGAAGAGAGTGCGCTGGTGTTGACTGATTCATCAAGTGTAGCCAGATAAGCGAACACAATCGTGTTCTCAATCTTCTTAGACTTGAAGGAATTGCTGATGGCTTCTTCCTGCTCCGTACTCATGCGAATGTCCCCTAGGATGATGAGAGCCCTGCTTCCTAGACACGCGAGATCGACATGGTATGTACTGGTACGACTTGTGTGCGGATCGTCCCGCGCTGTAACCCGAATAAGGTCGATCTTGTGTGCTGGACGTTGCTTCTCCGAGACCAAGTGCCGATTGAGGTAAGCGGTAAAGTGTTCTCGAAGGTTATGAGTCGCCGTGGGTACGTGATCGGATAGGACGGCAACGACGACATCGGTTGTAAGCTCCTGATTGCTCCCAGTGCTCGTGTCTTCTGCAGCCCCAGTCCGGGCGATGAATGCTTTAGCGAGGTCCGTGCCAAAGAGGTGCGCTAGCTTGTCATCGCCAAACACATAACGTTGGTAGTCCTTGACGGGAAATGGGAACTTCACGCCATCTCCTCCAGAAATTTTGTGAAGCGAGAAGACATCGCAGACCATCGAATCGTGTGTAGGTATGAGACTTTGATGACCATGTTTTGGAAGAACATTGCGGGAATTTGAAGTGTTCCTCGATGGGCTTGGCGAAGGCTACTGTGGGCATGCAGAGAAGGGGGCTGTGTAAAGCATGCCAAGCAAGGCAACTTGCCTGCCCACAGACAAGAGGTATTCAAATGAGAAAATGCCTCACTGTACGTCATGGCTAGAGCGGTCTTCAGATCGTTTCTTAATAAGACCTGCCATCACCCGTGTCATTGAACTAGCGCTAGCCACGTTATATGACAGCGGCTTTCGGCTATCCCTTCGCAAAAGTGCATCAAAGGCCGAGCTCTGATACCGGCAGGATCTTATATAATCGGAAAGACTTCAGCAAGCCTTCACATTCGACAATTGGTATATGACCATACGTAAGCGCTGGTGTCCCATGAAGCACCAGTAGCGGTATATCAAGCTAGTGTACGGAGCAAATTGAATTGAATCGCACTAGCTGACAGATATGATGATCGTGGGGTGTGCTCGAACAGTCCAGAATTGAAAGCAGGGTCAAATGAGGGGAACTAAGTCCAAAGGGCCGAAGAAGAAGCGAGCGCGAACAAGCTATAGTATTAGTTGTTGTCGAACGTGAAATTGTCGTGATATGCTAAGACTGCTAAGCATGTATGTACGAAGCTTGGGACTTTGTAACACCCGGTTGTGGTGTCGTGCGAACACTACAATTGTAGGCGCGCCTTGTACCAATTCTCGATAGCAACCTGGGAGCTGCTCTTTGCGCCATGGATCATGATGTCAGATATTTGCGCAACGTGTGCCTCTTTCGCGCCTTTAAGAAACACGACACGGCTTGGATCACCTCCACCCTGAGCCCAACCTCTCTTCATTTGAATTTCTAGTTCTTTGATGGAATCAGCAAGCAACTCATAGCCCCCGTACGAGACGAAGACATCGCTGACTATGCGATGCATGTCATTCCACCAGGATGCATCATTCTTGCAAGCTTCCGTATATGCATCGCCGGACACCGAACCTGGATCGGATTCTGGATCATTCTTGTTGGCTTTGCCGAGGAACATGGCTGACCATTTACGAAGAGCAAGAGGCGACATCAAGTCCAATGCGATGTTATCGAAGCTGGAGTAATCAGTGCTAAAGCCAGCCCAAGGACTGTACAGAAGCATGCCAGCAAGTGGCTGTTCGAGCCTAACCGCGGTCACTTCTGGATGCGGGTGCAGGAGGTGAGAAATCAAAGCCAAGCCCAGGTTTCCCCCAGCCGAATCGCCTGATAAGAATATGTCCGAGGGGTTGCGACCTGTGTTGGTGATGAGGTGCGATAAGACAGCCGAGGCTTCCTTCAGTTGCGTTGGATATGTGGCCTCGGGCGCAAGCGTGTAGGCAACAACAAGCACCGCAATAGACCGACATCTGGTAGTCTGACTATTGAGATCTGACAACAGTCGCAACAAGTATCTGGGAATCCCTTCGTTCATTGGCTGCGTATACCCCCCGCCATGGAAATAGAGGATGACAGTATCGGCATCCGATGCGCCTATCCAATGCGCTTCAACGCTGCCGGCATGTAAGATGTCAACGTTGATAGTGTTGGGCGCCACGGCGCGTTTCTTGCACAAGGCGACATAAGCCGCAGTTGTGCTAGGAAGCAGGTATCGCGATTGAGGTATCGTAATGTGTTCGAGCGCACATCGGGTGACAGCGTTTAAAACGTCATTTGTAAGCGCGGTACAGCGGACCGATCGGAATGGGTATGTAAGTGCATGGACGATAGCTGAAAGTACTGCCTACTGTGTTAATGATTGTAGACATCGGGTAACATGGTGGTGTATGACCCACCCATGCGACTCAACAGCGGTGCGACATCGAAGAATCCAGATGACCGTGACTGAGACATGGTTCCGGGGACTTTGGGGAGAAGTCTTGACTTACAAGTCGAAAGATACACAGGCGGTCCGGATTTTATAGAGGACACCACGTGGGGCTGAAGTATGGTGGCCTAAACAAATACTGAAGTCGGTTGGTGAGACGAGGCCACGAGTTGCTGCCCGGACACGGCAAGCTCCCGGGAGTCTTGGTGGTCGCCAAGTCTACCGAGATCTATGGTACATCCATCCGTGAATCGCACTTTTCAGCATCATTTACATCTTGGAGACACTGGCATGCGACTAGGAAAGAGATCGATTGGGCCATAGCGGTCATATTTCAGCGCGCTGCATGGACGTTCAATTATTGGTGGACAAGTTGGTAAGAACAAAGCCCCGACAAGGACATCTGTTTCCCACCACAGACTTCGCGTTACTCCCAGCTGCCTGATGTCGTGCCAACGCGTGCCAAATGGCGATCTAATCTCTGTACGTGATGGTTTTCATTCTCAAGAACTCTTCGATGCCCCAGTTGCCATTGAATCTCCCAAACCCACTGGCCTTTGCGCCGCCATGCGGCAAACTCCACTCGTCGTGGACCGTCATAGAATTGATGTGGATGGCTCTGCTCAAAAGTCAGTATGAGCTGCGCACTTCATGTTCACACCCTGCGCTGCGACTCACCCGCTCTCGATTTGCTTAGCAATGCGCAATCCTCGGGCCAGATTCTCCGTGAAGACCGCACCAGAAAGACCGTAATCGGTATCGTTCGCGATTTCAACCGCTTCCTGATCGTCCGAGATTTCGACAATCGAGACCGAAGGGCCAAAAGATTCGGTGTAGAAGAGGTCCATCTCCTTTGTCACGCTGTCAACGATTACAGGTCGCATATGCGTATCAAACTCTTCCTGCTTCGTGTGGTCTCCATGGACCACCCGAGCACCTGCTTTGACTGCCTCGGAGATCAGTCGCTTGTTCCTTTCGACACCTACAGCCGCTACAAGCACAGGGGCAGGCTTGTCGCCGCCAAATATATTCTCGACAGCCTCTTTGAACGCTGCAACGAACTTCGACTTGATGTCCTTGTGTACCAGGATTCGCTCTGAGCTCATACAGATCTGACCAGAGTGCAGGAAGGCTCCGAGTGCGCATTGAGTCGCAGCATTCTTCAGCTCTGCATCATCTAGTACGATTGCACTCGCCTTGCCACCAAGTTCCATCAGGACAGGCTTGAGGTTCTTGCCTGCTTGGCCTGCGATGATGCGACCCACACGGGGTCGAGCCTGTGGTTCCAAAAAGGTAAGTCAATAAAGGTCGTTGATGGTACGGATCTCGTGTACATTACCTGTAAAACTTAATCTTTTTAATGCAACGATGCTCGATGAGCGCTGTAGTGACTTGAGCAGCGTCTTCTGCACGGTGGAAGAGTACACTCAACACGCCGGCAGGGAGACCGGCCTCAGTGAGCACGTTGCCAATCGCCCACCATGTCCGAGGGCAAAATTCTGATCCCTTGAAGATAACACAGCATCCGGCAGCCAATGGGTACAGAATTGACCGCATACCAAGTACATAAGGAGCATTCCTAGTGCTCAGATTAGCTTCTGCTCAGAAAAATGTCATTAACACAGCAGTCTCACCATGGCGCAATAGCCAGCACGGTCCCCAATCGGGCTCCTTCACGATCAATGCACTGGTTCCCTCTTGTTCGCATGTAGGGAATCGAGCCCCATGACCGGTGCTCAGTCTTTCCCGCAACATCGCGCAGCATATCAGCGCATTTCGGCACGTTGAAGCCATTAGCAAATTGTGATGCCGCCCCGGTCTCAATCTTCATGTATTCAGCCAGCTCTTCAGCACGTGCATCAACAATGTCTGCCGCCTTCATGAAGATGGCTCGCTTGGTCGCAGGCTTGGTCTTCGACCAGTCTGAAAGCGCAGCTTGTGCAGCCGATGTGGCCGCGCTGACCTCATCCAGCGAAGCTGATGAAGATAGCCATACCTCCTTCTGAGTCGTAGGTGATGTTACCGAGAATGTGGTCTTTGTCGTGACCTCTTTGCCATTGATCAATAGCGGGACCGTGTAGCTTAGGTCTGGCTTCACGCCGGTTCTGTCACACATTTTGTATACAGTGTTGGTGAGTATGTACTGTTATTTTCTGCAGACACTAGATGTTTTTAGTCGATGACGTCAACGTACCTCGGGTATTTTAGGCGGTGGTGGCAGGTCATCTGAATAGGGGAAGGCGCAGTAAATTAACTGCCAATTGACTGTAAATCGATTGCTGTCTGATTGCTAATCGATTGCTAATTAATTGAAGAGATAGATACTTTGAATTTCGAAGGTATACATCCCTTCCTCAACCCGCAAGTGGGCCGGAGGGATTCTGGCTGGGGGGGGGGGGGGCCTACCCCTCCCCCTCTCGCCCTTCGGGACTCACGAAACTCACGTTACCTAAGTATTTTAAAGTAAGTAAGATTTTCTAAAACCAATTGTGAATTAATTGACAATTAATTCACTGCGCGTTCCCTATTAGGGCTAGGGCATGCCATGTCTGGGCGCGGGCATGGTCAGATGGCCTGCTTCCTGCTTCAGGCGAAGGACCCTAAATCTCAAAGATCCCAAAGCATGAGGTTACTTTTCCTGTGCTGGTTTTATTCGTATCCCAGCTTCGGTAGTCAAGATCTATCAAGTTCGAATAATGACAAGTATCAGGGCCTGTAGAAAATCCCCGCCCCGCGGCAACTCCCCAGCCGCAATCGTTGGTGGGGGGTTGTGGGGTGCCTGATCGATCTAAGGTTTTACCAACCTAGATCTTCGAGCACCTGTAAACGTCTATATAACATAAGAAAAGCTTCACATCTTTAATAGATGGGGAGTTAGTTGAAGTCTGCTAAGCATGCAAGACAACCTTCGTCGAACGCTTTGTCCTTGGCCCTTCTCTCATGGGTCGACCGCAGTAAAGTAACATATGCGGCCCTATTGTCATGTCCTGCAATTGACATAGCAGACTATACAGAGGGATGCAAAATGTCAGTGCTTAAGAGAGCGAGAAACACGGGATGAATCTTTCTTCTTTGTCTTCTCGTTATCTGATATGTATTACTCACCGCGATGCTGGTCCAGATTTCATGGAGATGTACCTCTTGCTCACACGCAAAGATCAACCTTAGATGGCTGTTAATCTCTCCCGCGCAATGTATAAGTACTTTGGGTACTTAAGGTCAGTTTATCATGGCTTGAGCTAGCATATCTACCACAAGTCTACACATCTTTCTGATTGTGTAGCACCAGCAAATGCAAAATCCCCGCTCGACAAAATAGGTAGACACATAGCCTGCATGTGTAGTATCATTGCTTCAGACAGAGATACCGATACGTGTGTCTTTCGTGTTCGACAACTTCATGTTGTTCACGTCTTCACTGTCACCAACAGTCCCACAAAGCATGAAGTTCATGTCCCTGTCGTGGCGCATGTTCCTGTTACAGGTTTCACCAAGTTTCAGCTCGGGAACACACATGCGGTCTCTTTATGATCCGCTTGTTCGCTTCTTCTGCTTAAGGCCCTTTAATTTTGTCAAATCTCTACTTTGTAGCTCGTTTTGCAAAGGTGCACATGTGGTTGCTCAACGCTTAGCAGACCACAAAAAGATGTCGTTGTCGAGTCGCATAACAAGCTACTGAGCTTAATCTCATAAGGCCTAAGTTATGAAGCGTTTCCTACGCTCCATTGACTTAGATGTTCTGAAAATTGCTAAAATCCAGCAGGTCTCTCTCGAACCTCTGCAGCTCCATTGCTTCCAAGGCTGTCGCGCATCTCCATGACAATTGTAACGATACAGTTTGCTTAGAACTTCGAATTCCACAGACTGATCTAGTACTGTATTTTAGCAAGTTTGGGGTCGCTCCAGTGCCAGTTTTCCCAATGAGATCTCCAAGACTACCTACCTGCAGGACTAACGCCGGCTAGATATACCAAGGTCGCGATGAGCGGACATGACGCCATAAAATTTGTGCAAAGCTCAAGATTCCGAACGGGCCGCCGGATTGATCAGACGCATGCCTCGCGGCCAACGTCGGTGCACGGGCATAGCATCGTGACATATGCCTCAGGCGTTCAGGCGGCGACGACCCGACCCAGTGACTATAACAGAATTATCATATGTTATCACAAACAGCAAACGACATCCGCCCTGGGTTCCGGTGAGAGGGCGAGTAAGTTAGCGTCACGATCGCTGCCCCATATCGCTCCCCACCAACTGCAAAGCCTGCAGATGTTTCACCATCTCTTGAAGAACTCGACTCTGAAGGGGACATTGTTCGTCGGTTGCGGTATCTTCACGTATCTGAGCGACATAAGGTTCAGCACCGGAGGCAGACTACACTGTGCTATCCCACCGTAGCCATTGCTCGAGCATCCTTCATTCACCAGCGCGAAACAAGCCATCTCCACTAGGTCCTGGGAGAGGACGTGATGCAGACATTCAGCCTGTGCCGCAAGCGATCTTGCGGATCATAAGACTGATATTAAGCCGTTCCCTCGAGCCCATGTTGGCGCTTGACCTCCTAGGCTGGCAGTGGCCACCAGAACATGGAGCCTGGTCTATATGGAACGGAGCAAGGACACGACAGAGGCTATCAGCGAAACCATGCAGTCAGCTGCTCATGTCATTTCTCGGTGGTTTGACATGGCTGCACCAATACCACACTTCTCCGACCCTCCATGAACCGTTGGCAGGGGCAGTGACCCGCACAAGGGGCGGGAGCAATGAGCTGATGCAACATGACCCGGGGAAGCTCGAGGACATACAGAAGGAAGGACATGGGGCCTTGTTGTGCTGTCAATCATAAACACCGGATCTATGTGGATACGCGCCGTCCATCTCGGATCTCAACAATTCTCCTGATGCAGGCTCTCAGCTCCGAACAGCGAAGCAATCAAGACTGAATAACATCGCTATTGACTCACATGATTCCGGGCGTCAAGGACTCTCGCCTCGTTGCTATCGGAAACGTCCAAGGAAGGAGGCCGCAACCGACATGTTGCTCCATTTTCTCCTGAAGCCCCCCGGAGAAGTTGGTCATGACTATTGGAGTCCGCGAATCTGAAACCCGCCTTTCGAGTTTGCACAAGCAGCATCGCCCATCCATCCCCTGACCGAAGCTTTCTCAAGTACCTAGGTCATCAAACCTGTTGTAGCATCCCTGTGATGTTTGATCGTCTTCCACACAGGTTCCTAGGCTCAAATATCCTCAGTCTGCTGTCGCAGAAACTTGGCCAGTACTCCAGCACCATTATGATAGCCTTTTATGTGAATTGGCATTGTTTCTGCGCCAGAGCAAATGTGTGTAATATGTCACCTCTGAATTATACGGGGCTGTGTAAAGTTGAAAGTTTTCGACATCCCAACCGCTCAAATCTACTGCAAAGTCCCAACAGATCTATTCAACGCGTATCAAGGCAGTTCATAGGGTGCGGAGTCTCCTTTCTCTATCGAACATATCAGACCTTTACAAACACCCTTTCGTCACGTGGGAAAGCATTGGGACTGAGTTCCTGACCAACCATGACCACGCTGTCCCATTCGGCAGGGTACCTATATCAGCTTCGCATATAGACTATATGTCCCGCCACAGATTCAAAAATGGGGTCTTTCCCAAGACCCAATTGGCCCAGTTTCACTCATCATCTTCTTGCCCAGCCAATGAAGATTTTTCACAAAATGTAGACGAGCTGCCGTCTCATGCGCATCATCAGCGATCACAACTGGAAGCCTCTGTTTCGGCAAACTTTGAGGCGAGACATAGCGACGTTTCTAAGCTTGGAGCGCTTTTCCAAACACATACGACCGACCACGTACCCGGTTGCTGGTTGTTTGCCTCCGGCCATGATAAAGGCAGAGGAGTTGGGCGAGCGGTAGTGGTCTGTCAGCGCGGGAGAAAAGCTCCCCGGGGATTATGTGCCTTTGCTATACGTCTCCACGTCGCTTCGAACGGCCCCAGGCATACTCTTTGTGCGGGTACGTACATCATGGTGCGTTGCTATAGCATCTTGCAGCTGGTGTTGTGGCTAGTCTTCTTCCTACCAAAGGAATGCATGAAGACACCCTCGAGCAAGGTGTTCCGCACACAACAGGCATCAAATATTGACCGCGATTTCCCGATCGCCTCACTCGCCAAGAAATTATGTACGTGTAGAAATCGCCACTGCCATACAGCCGATCAGCATGTCCGAAATTCCAATATGATCATCTACGCAGACGACACCCGCTGTGGGAAGCCGCGGAGATATGTTTGCCAAACCTAGTCTGACTTCGGTAACCGGAAAAAGCAATCGAGTGAATTCCTACCCACGGCGGCGGGGCCGTTGTCCAGCTTGCGGTTTACTTGTCAACCAACCCTGTACTGATGGCCACGTTGACCTTAGTGACGAACAGACACACCACTGCTCATCGCAGCATGCATACACCATGCCGAAGCGGTCTTTGTTGAACACCAACGACCTAATCCGCGAGGCCATTGCAGCGCGGCCAAGCTGCGTATCGACGGTTCTGGTCAACTCGGCAAACCAGGTACATCTGCAGGCTCTTCGCAACCAACAGCTCCTCTACAAAATAGATACACGCCACTGATCTGCAGCGTGAAAAAACAGGTTGCTGGCATGCGGTGTGTGCAGGATCAATTTATGTGTCGCTGACCCTGACGCCAGCTCATCCCGGGTAATACAGAGGCGAATTTCCCGCATGCGCATGGTGTTGGCAGGCGATGAGCGAAGGGTGTTCTTATGCGCACTGGTGATGTCTATGTGAATCGTGACGAGGTACCTCGCTTGTTCATTTCTAGGAGGATGTAGTATAATGAGGCTTCGGATTTGAGGAGGATAAAAACAGACATAGACATGACGACGAAGAGACCCGAGAGAGGTAAACAGGCCACGCTCATCTGTAGAGTATGAGAAGACGCTTTGTATAGAACGAGGACATACCGCGGATGTGACTTATTTAGTCTGCATCTTAGAATTGCATTCAGTACCCATCGCAACAGCACCTCGCTACCGTAAGAGCCGTGGGTCTACACAACTTTTGCCTAGCAGCAACCGTCCAAATACCCAGCATCTACGCGCAAATGCAGCCGATTCAAGTCCCCAACCCACCATCACTCGCCAGAAAAGAGCGGTAAAGGCACATCACGCATGACGCAGCGCCCACAAACCACCCGCCCCGTCCCTGTGCATTACGTACACCTGAGGCATCTTGGCTGCGACAGCCCTACGAGACATCCATCCTGAGGATCAGATCATAATTCAGGCATCTGAGACTTGTGTTACGACTCCAACCTCGCGGTTTCAGCGGGGCTCTCCCGCTGTTTCAGATATCTCATCGACGTTCCTGCGCACAGCGTCAGGTATATATGGCTTCGAGAAGGGCGATTATGCGCCTAAGGTTGTGGATGATGTGTGAAGAATGTATTTGGAATCGTGAGTGTGGCGTGGCACGAGGTGGGTTTTGCGAGCAGAGCTTGCGGCGCAATGCCACGCTTGTTGTTGGTATTTGTTATTAAGTATATGGATTATGCCATTACAAGCCGGCGTATTACAATCGTATGGCTCTAAATAAGCGTTGATAGAAGGTTGACCAACACATTTGACACTGGTAACATGTGGAAGAAAGCGAGGCGCATTATTCGCGCATACATAAAGAAAATGCATGAAAAAACACTTTACCGCCAATGACGTGTATTTGACATAGGAAATGTACTTGTATAAACGACAAACGAACATGACACCGAAAAGTTCTCCGCCCTGTGCTCTGTGTTTGGGGTATCTTTTTTTGCCCTTTGCGTCTCCCAAACTCTCCGTCATCCTGTAGACACGCGCTTGAGATGCATGACAAATCATCGATTGTTGCCTATGCCCAATACCATGCCGTCCGTCTCTTTGTTTATGCTCGACCAAAAGTGTGCTCGAAACCTGCCCCGTGTGTCCCAACGCCGTCAACAATGCTATTCCAAGACATCCTATTCGCTGCGAGCTTCCGTCGTTGGGAGATGTAGTGTGTTCGATGAGAAATGCTTTCGTATGCAGCTAATATTGTGTTTTCGAGCGAACTTGTATCGAACCAAGAAGGGTATACCGTGAGTTATTCGTCGATACGTCGTGAGATTTTGAACAAGAGGAAGAACAAGAAGAAGAAGAAGAAAGGTACACGAGTGATTAAATGCATGTAGTCTCCCACAAAATGTGTGCCTCAGATATTAAAAGATCGGGTTGAAGAGAGCTGTGAGCCAGCACAGCCTCTCGTTTGTCCCATAGGGTTGAACATGCCTTGAAGAGAAAACGCGCGTCTCGGAGTTCACCACGCGCGAAGGCTTTCGAATTGGCCAGCTAGGCCTTCGCACTGGCGATCGACTTGTTGTTCGGCTAGTCACTGGTAGCTTTGGTCGGGATCGCTGGGGCCGGCGCCGAGTTGCGACGAGGTATAGCCACTTTGATGTTGTTCTTGATCATCTTCTTCGGCGCCCTCGACTGCATCCATTTCCGAAGCCTTTTCTCTACACGCAGCTGGTGAAAAGCCGCTCCCGACTTTCGAGGAAATGATGCGCCATCGATCGTTTTCGTACTCTGTCATAGCGTTGCGAAGTTTCAGGACCTGTTGTGCCGATTACGGTTAGCACATCCGATGTTTGAAGGCTGGCAACGCACGACGTCGCGTGTTTCACGACGCCGTTACAAAAGGTGAACTCACCATCTCATCTGTCCATACCGTGGTCTTTGCTTTGAGCTTCGTGCAGTAGCGGACCTGCAAGGTACCCGAGCTGCGCCCTGGAAAGAAGTCTGCGATCTGTTTCCAAGTGAGGTTCTTCTTCTCCTTCAAGTCGACTAGGAGCTGATCGTCTTCGGGCGTGAACTTGAGCTTTGGACCCCGCGGTCGCGCTGCTGGTGGGGGCATCCCCTCTTGTCCCACCACGCTAGGAGGGCCATGATGCTGGGCGGGTGAGGGAGGAGCGCCCTCCATCGGTTGATGACGCTTATTGCGATGTTGGTTGGGCAGGTGGTGATGATGCGTAGGAGGAAGAGCAGAGTGCGGGGATTGCGGCGGTTGATACTGCTGAAGGGAGTATCCCTGGCCAGGGTGACCGAGTGAGACGCTTCCTGTTGCTTGTGCGTACGGATTGAGTTGCTGCTCTAGAGTCGGAAGCTCTTGCTGTTGCAAGTGCTGGTCCTCTTGATGACTGCGCTTGCGCGAAATCGGCTGGTGCGAGGCTTGCGGGTAGCCCACGTTGTAGGAAGATGGCGACTGTTGAGACATGGAGTGATGGCGCAACATGTGCGGTTGATGTAGTGACGGGTGTGTCTCGATATCTGTGTATGCGGGATGGTGGGCAGCGCCAGCATGTTGGAGCGTTTGAGACGGATGTGGCTGCAGGAAGGAGTGGTGGTGGTAACCCGGAGGCAGTCCGCCATGGGGATGGAGTACATTTTGATGCTCGACGTTTGACGTCGGAATGTGATGTTCTTCCCCGGCATCGCCTGGTACGCTGTAGTCGAGGAAAGGGCCTCGATAGGGACTCGCCAGTGTTGCGAATACGCATGGAGACTACCAGAGCTAGCTTGCTCTGGCAGGCCGCCGTAGTGAGACCTGAGCCAGAAAAAGAGTGCCTAGTTTGAGTTGGTGTGTCGAACGAAGGTGGTTGTATCGCACGTGTTTGGGATATTCGAATTCTGTTATATTGACAAATGGTGGAGCAAGAAGAGCCGGGAGAAACGCGCCATCAGTCGAAGTCTTATCGCGTGTGTTAAGCGTCGGGATGTGGGCTATAGCCTTGTAAAAACTAACCTAAAAGTTATGTTCGGCTGGGGACACTGGATGGGATATAAGATGTTCGCGCGTAGTGGTCCAAGGCATTAAAATTTAGGGCACTACGTCCCTTCAAAAAGCCCGGCCCTGTGCGATTGCCACACGGACACAGACACCAAGCATGGTGGGCTCTGGGTCATCCCCACGAGACGGTCTCTGTTCCTGAAGAGCACGGAACAAGCTTAGTAGGGAAGGCCCGGGTCGAATTCTACGTCAAGCATAATGCGGTGATCATGACAGGGAGGGGGTCCCCGGCACAAGATCTGGACGAGTAGCAAGGTCCATTACGCCAGTGCAATGCCGTGGACTCGTGTTGTGAGTGGCTGCTGAGGCAAAATGAAATTGGCATGAGGGTACTTGCACTGGGCGTCGAGTGGCCAGCAGGCGACGGGGTCCATCCCATCGTAGACCTATTTCTAGAATACCACCAGAAAGATCTCCAACGCCGTTGCAGGCTCTGCAGCACGGATCCTGGCGAAGCGTGGTGGCCAGGAGATGTGCATGAGAACAATCTGAACAGGCTAGGAAAGGCGCGCCGAGCGTACAACTAGGGCAAATGCCCAAACGGGAGCTGCCACCAGCCCAAGCATGCCAGATTGATGAGCCTGCGGACAGCCAGGTTCGCGGACAGAGGAGGTTGGTTTCTGCTTTGCCAGCGTGTGAGGTAAGCTTGAGGTCGCCTGATGCCATGACTGAGCAGCGCAACCGCATCTCATGGCATATGGCGGGTTGTGCCTCACCGTGAACTCGTTCATGCCTGGAAGAGCCTTACCCGTCGATGGCTCTCTCGAGGCATGATGCTGCGTGCTTCTCGCGCGGTACTCGGATCTGGACATAGTAAATGCCGGCAGAGGAAGCAGGCCTGCCGTAGCACCCGCCATGTAAGCAGTGGTCCGGGTACAGACATGCCTCACTCATGGTTCCTCTAACGCATAGGCATGATGGCCTCAGATTGGCTCATGCATGGGTCGTTTCAAGGTATACACGAGATCCCTGTCTATATGCGGTTCGTCATCCCCGTGAGAGAAGATCGCCCAGCCACAAGAATCTTCCGAGCCCTGTCCAGATGACGCAGCAGCATGCACTGCAGAGGCAACGGGTGCACGGAGGGAAGCGCGCACATGCTGTGGCAAAGCAGGATCAAGTGCGCCGCTGCAGAAGGCATCGACAGCCACGTACTGTACCTGAGACACGAGTAGATGAGCAATGCTCGCGACCGGAAGGGCTATGCGCATGTCGGTGTGGATGGTGGGAGAGGCGAAGGAAGCGAGCGGCGCCATGACATGAACGACAGCGGCAATGAGGTCGGCCCTCGATTGAAGGTAGGCCCGCTAGACTCGGGAGCGACCCACGGCTCGATAGCGACAGCTTCTTGGCACCTGTTTTCCCCTAGGGACGTGCCTGTGATCTGCCCGCCCCCGAACCTCGCATTCATCTCATCTCTCGACTGCAGCAGCGGGTTGAGGGCGAGTGTTGCTGGTGGCGCATCGCATTCGCGATACAGTATGTGGCCGTGGCCTGACGGCCTGCAGCATGCAAGCCATCCTCCTCAACGAACATTAGTCGACCAGCAAGCTCAACACCAAGCGGTCCTTCACGTGACCATGACAAAGAATGGCGCAAGACTAGGCAATAATGTACCAGGGAGTCCCTGCAAACGTCGCAGTCGCTTCGGGCGAGTATGACCTCAAGTTTGCAGAGTGTGACTCTGCCAGGCCTCGCAGCTAACCATGCCCGTCCGCCGTCCTCAAGTACTCGACCAACCTTCGGAATTAGCCTGAATGATGGCCGAGCAATAGCCCGCGCCCATAGGTCTGACCGGTCATAGAAAGCAGTCCATGCTTCAATACTCCCCCACAAGCCGCGCAAACGCGTCGCGACGTGTTCTCCGAATCACACGCGTCCTGGGTACACCCAGGTCCCAGAAAGAGAATTCTTGCCGTGTTATAACGAGCATCCTGGAGCAGCAAGATGCGTCGATATTGTTCTCGGTGTGGCTGTCAACGACAACAGTATCGCGCGTGGAGCGGCAGATCCAACCTCCAGCTTTCTTGTATGTTTTGACTGCGCCCATACATCTGGTTCGGGAAAGTAGCCGATGGTTCGCTTAGGACGTTGACCGTTGCACAAGGGAATCTCGAAATCGATGCGCTAACAACCGATGATCGCACGAGGATAACGTCGATCCTTTCTCCCAACGTGCCACGCCTTGAGCGAACGGGTATACAAGCGGCATGCGGACGGCAAGTGCCACACGACGATGCTGCTGCTCGCCCAAGTCGACCCCAGGACGGGAGCTTGCAGCAGACGATAGTTGCAGGACGGTAACCTGTTGAAACGTTTGGCGCGAACTGCTGCAGATAGCCGAAACAAGAGGGTGAACCCAAGAGCAGGCTATGTCGGCCAATAGTATTTGTCGATCAGCTAACGTACTTCCCACTTCCCTCCCAGAACGCACTTGTCAAGGGTTTACTACCGTTTCCGGACTCGTTAGGATGGCCACATCCTGTCCACAACGGGACCTCGCTACGGACGATTGGCGTACCATCGGAAAGGAGAATGGAGAAAAACGAAAAGAAACATCAAGAAACCTTGCCACCTGACCGATGGGCTGATTATCTTGATCAAACGAAAAGCCGGCATGTGCCTCGCGTGCACGCAGTACCCCACTGCCAAGGACCACGATCGAGGACACCAAGAGGTACGGGCGGATGCCTGCAGAAGCTCTGTAATGCTCGATCGACAGACGGCCGTTGGTATGATAAAGCGGGAGTGTTGCGCTAAATCCTAAAAGACGCGGTTTGTGGTCATGAGTCGCTCAGTACTTTCCACCGAAATGCTCCTTCGCATACTGTTCGCATGCCTAGCGGGCAAGCAAGTCAGCTCGTGACCCTTTGGACGACTTGGAGATTTACTGGACAGGTCATACTTTTGCAGGCTTTCCGACCTTCTGGCCAATGACCTTCCACTTGTTCGCGTCGTACTCTTTGATGGCAGCAAGCAGGGCAGCACTCTTCTTACTTGTCAGTCACAGCGACGCTGAACGACGGATGGATACTCACTTCGTCCTCGGCGAACTCTGCGTAGTGCATGTCCTGTCTGGGTGAGCATGCGCGGTGAGTCGGACAGCACTCTGTGGTTGCGCCTACCTTGTACCAGTGCTTTTTCACACTTCCCTCGGTGCGTTGCGGAAAGGTCTGTCATTGCGCGATTGGTCAGCGATTGTTTTTCTCATACTCGAATTTGATGGATTTGATGAATCCGTACTTTTGCAATCTCGCTCCAGCTGTTGCCCGCATCTCTCATCTGTTTCAGTCTGAGCTCTTCAGCTGGCGTCCACGGCGTGTTTGTCCGGCTCTTTTTCAATTTTGGTTCTTGTGCAGCGGTATCAACATCAGCTGCTGGGGGCGCAGCACTGGTTGCATGCGCATCGGCGCCCCCAGCAGAGCTCGACATGCCTTCTGGCGGCTGATTCAGCGTCACCGACTTGCGCTTTCGGTTCGCGGTAGGTGTCAGTGGAGGAGGTGGTGGGGCACTGCTCTGCGACTCTTGACCTGCCGTGGTGACGGATGGGGCTGGCTGCAAGCTTGGCAGCTCAGTTGAGGCAGGATGCTGGGGAGTGGGCTGGGGAGGTGTTGCGATGGGCGAGGGTTTTAGATTGCGCCTAGCAGAGGGTGAAGAGCTGTGCAAACGGAAGGTACAAGGTCAGCGGGCAGGGCTGGGCAGGAGCGACTCGGGGCAACAGGCGAGGTGAAGGGGCAGAATACTTTGGAGAAACTCACGACATGGCGGCAGATGGGCGTGTTTTGGCGTGGACCAGGCGGACAGCAACACGAAGCAGCTTCACGGGTGAGACTGGGTGCCGCTATACAGCGTGGTGTCATGCTCGTATAATGCAGGCTTCAGGATTGCACTCAAGAGGTACGACGGGCAGAGTAGAGACGGTAGATCATGATGATATTCAGGTAGGCAGCTGGCCTGCTGCTGCCAGTGCCGATCAAGTACGGGGGATACAAAGAAGGTCAGGTTCGCAGGCTGACGAGCGAATGGGAGGACAGCAGCGGCACGGGTGTGGAGGACGACGACGATGCAGTGAGGTTAAGCGGGCAAAGGCTAGCGGGGACACTTGTACAGGTACTTGGCCGGAGGTGTAGAGCGCGGGCAAGGTCGCTGTCGAGGACGTCGTGGCAAGTACCCGGTACGAAGGCGACGTGCGAGCAAGAAGCGGGGTAGCAGGCTAGGTGGCTTTGAGGTCATGGAGAAGGCGAGACGTCCAACCTGGAATGTGGCCAAGTGCGCGTGACAGCGTCGTGCATGACTACATGGCGTGTACGCATCAAAGCTGAAGATGCAGCGGCCCCAAAGCAGCCACGACAGCCACGACAGCCACGACGGACGGGGAGCCGTGCCCAGAGACACGCACTCGCTACACGCGCACCGCGCACCTCCCACTGCCAGCACTTGCGGGCGACATACCACAGTACACCACGATCGACTCTTGGAGTGGCCCTTGTCGCGCGGCCTTCGGACGGGCGCTGCGGGCGTGGGTGTGGCCATGATGATGTTCACAAGACATAGCGGGGTAGGTACTGGCCCGGTCGCTCTTTCCTCTGTGCGGTCGCGCCTTTCCCGCAGCGTGCGTGATTGACCGATCATGGCGAAAGTCACGACTACCTCGACGACGACCCTGAAGCCACTGTGCTACCCAGAGTGACCACGTCAACAAGACTCGTCAATCTATCTTCCCCCCCGTTCCGCCCTGCCCACCAATAGCCTCACCCCGTTGTAGAGTGTCGCCATTTAGCCCGCCTCTGATGCTGCGGGCACCTCACCATCCCTGCCCATTCCCCGCGAAAGCCTGCGCTGCGCCTGTAGACTACCTCCTGCAGCTTGTCAACTACGACGGAGAGTAATCCAGGATACCTATCCAATCGCCCCAAGCTTCACACAGTATCGCTCGGCCGCTGACAATGACGAGCACTGGAGTCGCAAGTCCAGCGGGATGATGTAGCCCTCCGTCACGGGGCGACGCAGCCTTTTCAATGCCTCGTGTCCGCCTCGCGCTGCTCTCCACCTGTTTCTGCGGCTGATGCAGCGCCAGTATCAGTATCAGCCTCAAGCGTTTGATCGAACCGGCTCTGCCCCAGACCGCCCAGTCGCAGCGCCCATGAACCGCCAAGATCTCGGCCTGAGAAGCGCCTTATCAGGTTGATGCTTCATGGCGGATATGACGCTTCCGAGTGTGTACTCGTTTCGCCCGTCTCACAGCGTCGACCATGACCTAGTCACCCGCAACATATTGCGCGTCCTCGCACAGCGAACTTCCATCTGCACACTTGCTTCTCTACCGCGCTGCGCGCGTTGATGCTCTGGCGTGCTGATGGCACGCGAGACGTAATTCACTGTGGGCTGTGCCGATTGCCGAATCTGGAGAAAACCGACGCACTGTTCCTTCCCGCAGCCTGTCACGTTACGTTTGCAGTTAGCGCCCGCACGCTCTGGAGCTGTGGGTGGAGCTTGTTTCCAGGCTCTCCAAACACTGTCAAACCTCTCGCTTCGTCAAGTCTGAGGCACGTTCCGTTCTCTGACGCCCCCAGTTTTGAAACTGGCTCCTTAGCGCCCAAAACAGCTGCAAAACTCATGCAACCTGCTCTAGAGCCTCAAGCATTGCGGCGGTCAGATCGAATTCAAACTAACGTCCCATCCTCTTCCGGCTTAACATGTCTCGCGTCAGGGTTCTTCTAAACATTTTGCCATCCAAGCCCGCTGTCACCCATGGCGCCCATCACAATCGGAACTGCAGTAACTGCGGTTTGAAAACGTTGCCAACATCAGATCCGCCCCTCCAATCACCCATGCCCTGTGCGCTGCAGTGAACGACCCGTTTCTTGTCATCGGCCAAACTTTATATTCTGTCGGATGCCCCAAGTTTCGAGGCTACAACCGCACTTGTTCAATCGGCTTCAGTCTTTTGTTTTCTTTTAGCAGCCTTGTAATACTTTCGTTTATTCCCACTGGTTTGGGCTGCCTTACATTCCTTAATCAACATTGCTGAGCAATTCCTCGTGTATATCCAAACACTTTGATAATACTTTCTTTTCCGAGCCAGCCTCGAAGACTACCGACGAACATCCCTAGCGGACACGATCATCTCACGATACTTGACGGCAATACTCAAACGATCACCACCCCAATAAACAACAACACCAACACCACCTAAACCAGACCCAAACGACCTCCACAATGCTTCACCATCAGCCCCAGATCCTCTCTCCTCTTCCAGAGATGAACTCGCAGTCCCCGGACCCTTCCAGCCTTCGTGCTCGCAAGATGTCTGCTGGAGGCAACAGGTCTTGGTCTGAAGAAGAGGTAAGATCATTGTAGCCTTCGCTTCATTGTAACTCGAATTAACATGTCTCTAGGAGAACTATCTGCTTCAGACCCGCATGCAGAAGATGCCTTACAAGCACATTGCTGCACATCTCAAGAAGACTGAGCTTGCATGCCGCCTGCACTTCCACCAGCTTTCCCACGGTAGCCACCGCCGCAAGCGCACCTCGTCTGTTTCTTCCGCCACCTCCTGCAGCTCCAACGGTACCTCTCCGGCCTATGCCATGGCTATCGACCACGACGCGTACTCGCAGTCTTCCCGTCACAGCTCCCCGATGAGCTACAACGGTAGCCCGCACATTAGGGCCGGGTCCGTCACTGCTTCCCCTGGACGTGCTCAGCACAAGATTCTCCTGCCCAAGCCGCGCACCCTCACCCCTCAGGGATCTCCCGAACCCTTCAACGGCCTGCGCATTAACACCGAGGTCGCTCATCAGCCCAAGGTTGTCGACACTGACCGCCTCCGCTCCATTTACGAGGCCCGCCGCAACCAATTCTGGGCCACGGTCGCCGCCGACTACGGTGCTGATGTCTCGCCAGCGCAACTCGAGGAGATCTGGCGCAACGGCTCTGCTGGTGTTCGTCCTCCTACCCCCGACGCGTCCCCAGACGGCAGCATCATGCACAACCCCATGCTCAAGCCTTCGCCTTTCCAGTATGCGTCCCCTGCCCACAGCGAGCCGGCCAAGCACTACAGCCCCATGAACCCAATGGGCCAGCACTCTTTCTCGGCGTCGGAGCGCTTGCCATATATGCTGCCAATGCCCGTGCCGTCTACTGGCCGCCAAAGGTCCGGCACCTGGAGCTCGGCGCCGCGCGACAACATGCCCATCGCCAGCCTCCTCAACGATGACAGAAAATAGGTGCTTCTATATTAGGCCATTGCACGACTCTTCCAATTCTTACTCTCTTTCACTCTTCTTCAGCGAATGTGCCCTACAGTGGTTGCCTCGTGGTTATGCGCGACAAATGTTGTTCCACACAATTTTTAGTTTGGTGCTCTATTCAGTTTTTTTCCTCTACTCTATCTACAATCAAGTATCGCTTTAGCATGTACCCTTACCTCACAAAGAGACAGTCAAAACGCGTCTCGCAAATTAATTCAAAGAACTCTTTTCTGATCTGACCCTGCATGAATATTGTTCCTACTGGTTTTGTTTTGGTGGTGTTTGATGTCTGCATCGCGCTATCCTGATGGAGATATCTCCGTTTAGCGAATCTGGAGCAATAGCTTGGCTCGTCCCTGATTGACTTCGCATTCGCATCTCGCCGATATTGGTTCTCGCGCTGACATTCTCAGGCCAACAAACAATAAACATTATTTTCGAATATGCGACCCGTTTGCCCTCGGAAGTTACTTGAGAAATCACGTCGTGCACGCACGCCTTTTCCGCACGTTCTCGTATCCTCCGCCACACCCGATCGGAAACTATGAGATCTTGACAGCCGGCTGCCCGAACGTTGACCCGTCCACCGTTTCTCACGCACTAGCGTCCCTCCACTTTTTTCTTCGCGCGAAGCTATCCCGATCCTGACCTGCTGCAGACTTGAAACATCAACGTCTGCAGGATTTGTCACCGCGATGCGAGGACTTCACATCGTGGCGGTGAAGGATGGTTGATCAAATTCTGGCGCCAATGGACCTTATCTAATTCTGAGTCAGATGACGAGTTTTGGCCTAAGGCAGCATGGATGTGGATGGACGATTGTATTGAAATGGAGCAGGACAGGGGTCGTAAGTTTCACGAGGCGTTCGCGGTCCGGTGAACACTCTACACAATCTTTTCACACCCTTCCACACCCAGCAAAGACTTCCACGCCGCAATATATCCTAAACTCAAAGCCCACCGGCCTCCACTCCAGCATGCTCAGGCCCGGCGCTGCGGCACTAACGGCGCATCTCCCGCTGACTTGCATGCCTCCCCATCCTCGCACCGCTTTCCCTTTCCTTGCATCCAACGCATGAATACCCACCGGACCGTGTCAAACCCACGCTCCCCATGCTCACGTCTAATCGCCAACGCGCCCCCCCCATCCATGGCATGTAATCTCCATATGCCGCGCATTAACACGATCTACGCGCTAGCATTGTTCGTGGGTGTTGGTACGACGGCGGCATGAACGGTCTGAGATGAGGATTGGAATTCGGTGGCCAGTGAATGGTCCGTTGCGCTGTGAGCCGGGTCTCGGGGTCGCCGTGGCCGTGGGGTCGGAACCACTCCGAAGACACTGTCAGCATAAAGGAGGCGTGACGTCGGTCGACATGCAGCCTCTCTTCTCAGAGGATTGTGTACCTTGGGGGTATGGGTTCTGGAAGGATGGAAGCCCGGAGATGGATGTGCTGGGTTGGTGTTGTCGACCAGTGGGTTCTGCTCGCCTTATGCAGGTAGAGACTCGGGTGTAATCATGGCTGACGATGCGTTGGCGAATGTGAATCTCGTGAATTGGGGCAGAGTCGGGTGTTGGCTAAGTTGGCAGCGGAGGAAGCGGTCTGCTCGAGTCGAGGGAGCTGCCTGCAGCAAGAACTGCTTGGGAACTTCCCCACGTAGTCTCAGTTGACTTTGTAAAGCTGTTTGATGGACATTCAATGTCCATTGATGTGTATAGTTTGTTCACAGATGTGTAGCTCTGCTCCCGTACAACTCACTTGATCGTTCGATAGGGCAGTAGATATATGGAGAGGACAGCAACTCTGAATTCAAGCAACCCTCTTAGTCTTCGTGTGCTGCCGAAAGCAACTGAACCAGACTATCTTGAATGCTCACGATCAGACCGCGTCCTTTCAGGATCCTGTTTGCCCTTCGTTCCGGGCACTCGTCTCCCACTCTGTTCAATATCATCCCTCAACTCCTCAATCTCCCCCGAAGAATACACGCCTCGTTCACTATACTCTGCGTCCATCCTCTGCATCAACTCTTCCCCAGGCAGCAAAATACTCCTATCAATGGCCAGCGGCAGCCCACGATGTCGACCTCTCACCATGACAAACAACAACACAACTTTACTCAAACTCGCAAAATCTCCACACAGACTGTAGTCTTTGCCAGGCACGCCAGTACTGAGACCCACAGTGCCGTATGCAGACGTGACTTCGAAAAGGACAGAGAATTCACTAAAGCCAGGATCGCCGCGGACGATATGCCCCCGCTCGATGATGCATATCAAGAAGAAAGCGAAGAACTGGAACCAGATATCGTACGCGAGTTGCTTCTGTAAATGTGATGCAATCCCCGCCGCGCTGCTGTCGTGCTCTTGTAGCCCAATCGACCGCTCTTCGTACGTGTTCGTCTTGCGCAGCGTAAGCACGAGCGGATAGCTGGAGATGTACATGATGATGAGATACGCGACGAGGCAGGCTGGCGCAAGCGACGAGAAGGAGATGATGTAAGCGCCCGAGGTTCGCAGACCAGTGGCCTGGAATAAGCCGTCGAGGATGCGTGTGCCGGTAGGAATGGATTCGACGTCTGGTATGCCGATGTTCAAGATCTCGAAGCACAGCCAGGCTGTGATGTCGATGCTGATTTGGATGAAGAGCAGATACCACGTCTCTCTACTCGGAAACAAGTACAAAAAACACCTCCGTGGATGCTGCAACAAGAAATCCAGGGTATTCTGGAAGCGCGACCCCTTCGGACTCATTTTCTTCATGAGCCAGATTGTCAGCCGCAGGAAGATGGGGAATTGCGTCTGGCCCAGAAACGCCAGCGAGCCGGCGACGAGCAGGATGAAGGGCTTGCCGCTGAAGGGAATGAAGTTCGCGTTGAGGATGTTGAGCCCGCCGTTTGCGAATTCTGTAACGGTGGCAAAGAATGCCCACCATCCTGGGTTCACGCCGCCTGGCTGCGCGTCTCGGAGTATGGCTTTGGTTGAGCTGCGGTATGCATATGGGACGAGGAAGATGGTGCCCATTGTGTACCAGAATATCTGGTAGCCGACGAGGATGAAGAGTAGGGCCTGGAGAGCGCGATATTCGACGCCACCCAGCTCGAGGCGATCGTGTTCACTGAGCTCCATGAAGCGGCCTTTGGAGTCTAGATGAGGCTTGAAGCTCAAGTAGCCGTGATGTTCGGGCTTCAATTCGCTGGTGAAACGGTCGAAGAGGCGGGAGAAGAGACTGCGGGCTAATTTTGTCTCCCAGGGCGTTGGGACGAAGCCGAATCCAGACTGATGGTGGAAAGTGCGCCTTCTGGAGAGTGGTTGTATCTTAGGCGATCGCTCCCTATGTCTCTGCTTGCCCCGATTTGTCTGGCCGAGTTCTATGGCTGGTATGGGGCTACTGCTACTCGTACTAGCCCCTTGATGGATCCGATTACTTTCTTCAATATCTTGCACGAGTCGTCGCATAGTATGCGAATGCTTAACAACATCGGCCATTTTCTTGCGGAACAGTGCTCGCCGTATGAGCACAACCCAGGCCGATACAAAGGGGATACTTCCCAGTATCATCAGGACGCATAATACTGCTTGCTGGAAGCCCGACAGGTCGCCTAGATTCACAGAGTTGAGACCTGCATTTTGTCAATATTGTGACATCAGGCTTTCTATTACAGTACATACCAGTCGTCGACATCGCACTGGTACATAGGAACAACGCATCCATATACGTTAAATGAGCTTTTCCATACTCTTTTGGCCCATGTGCAATGCCTGCTCCATATACAATGACGGATGAGATTGCAATGACAATGATGAAGTACAACATATGTGCCCTGCAGAGTAGAGTGCGCAATCAGCATATGCCCATCGAAAAACGCGACTTTTGCTTACCGATAAAAGTTCAAAGTGAACATCTCTCTCCGAAGATACTTCAAGAAATCATTCTTCGCCTTGCGCGGATCTCGCAATTCATCAATCGGATCTGTCATTGTCCAAACTCATAGACCTTCAGGTCGCGTCAATCTGCTACGGAACAGCGCAGGCGCAACACGACATTGGCAAACACCAGGAATTGAGAGTCATATCGCACCGAGATACCGGATAGTTGTGGATTGAACATCCCAGTCCGTAGAGACGTGGTTGAGGCAGTGCATTATCCGTTGTCTCAAATGACATCATCGCGTCGTCCAAGCCCAATCGGCGCGCAGCGATTAACTTGGCTTTCGCGATGTTCAGGTCCGCGACGTTGTTTATTGGCTAGAAACAGAAAAAACATGGATAAGCGTGCAGACAAAGGGCCTTCTTAGGTCTTGTAGTTGCGCCAGCGATGCGTGATAACGTTCTTGGTCTGCGAAGGCAGGAGTTTGTTGTGGAATTGGAATTCAAGGCTCTGTGGTTCCATGCTGCTTGAGATGTACATAAGCATTTTGACTTCTTCTATGCGTCTCCATTTACTTCTGGTCTAAAGTCAAGTAGGCCAATCCAGAGCATACAGAAGATGTACTTGAGAGAAGCCTTTTTAAATACTTTTGAGAATAAGTTTTGTATATAGCAGGCCATTTTCTAGAAAGCATAAGCACTCTAACGCTGGCATTCATTATGCAGCGCGTATGTTCTCATTAAAACTCCTCCGCTCGCACCAGTAAAACTTTTGAACATACGCAGACAGAAAGTCGAAATCGTAACGTTTCTGAACAGAGAACGCGGTAGCATCGCCCGATTTAAATGGCGTTTACAGTGTCGATAACTTGTTACGTCCCTCCCCAGCTAGTCCCGTTGGCTCCAATGCCAGAAGTCCCGAGATTCGAACTGTAGCGCCTGAAGCCGACACCCATGCCGATCGGTACAGAGGATTGTCTCTTTACAACATGTCTTCGACCCACTTGAGAATGGCTCCTGGCAGTCGTTAATCCATTTGAGCCTTGTCTCCATCTACCATGACCGTCCTCATCGTCGTCTGCATCGTCATCAGACAACATAGCAGCACTCGATCGTGTACTCGTTAGAGTCAGGAGGTTTGCGGGTTCGCCGAAATCCGACTCTGACTGCGCTGCGTCGTAGTCACTGAACTGGTCTTGGCGTGTTGGTGGTTGCTCCTCGTCGCGAATTATCCTTGGCTCAATTGCTTCTTCGACCTTCGATTCGGCATCGTCTCCGAATCCTTTTCCTTCCACGAGATAGTAGGTGGGTATACATGTAAGGAGTGCGACCGCAGACAATGTCCAGAATGGCACGATGATATACCCGCGCTTCACGCCGAAGGTGAACAAGCCACCACCAACGGCAGGACCGGCAGCTCGACCCACTGCCGAAATGCTTGTCGCAACACCATTGATTGTGCCAAGTACGCGCAGACTCGATGCGCTATTTGTGATCATGATGGTTGAGGTAGGAAAGGCAAAAGTTCCACCAATACCGCGGACCATTAGCAACGCAGTCATGACGACCTGTTTGGTGATGGGGTCAGATATGAGCGTGACAAAGGGCGTAACAAAATACACGAATGGAAAAATGGAGAACGCAATCCGAAGGCAACGTAAGACGCCAAGGTAGCGAGCGACTGGTGGGAAGAGCACAAATTGCCAGGTGACTGAAGCGACGGCAAATATTGTGAATATAGCACCAATACGTCTCGAGTCGATACCAAAGCCGCCTGCAAACTTCAACGGAAGTTGGACATTTGGATCATCGCGTGACTGTGTTGGGTGATGCATCAAGACGGGCAACAGCTACGGGGGGTCAATGACTTCCTGCCGTGGATATCACGAAGCTTACCTGGTCATAAGCAAGTGTGTAGAATGCGAGAAGAGCGTATACTACCAAGTTGAGAGTTGTCTGATAAGTCAGGACGTCTCGAATCCTTGGTGAGCCCTCCTTGATGATCTCAGAAGCAACACCTTCAGTGGCTACTGTCTCTGGGGTCGCCTTCTGCCGACCCATGAGAGGCTCGCGTTCTTCGGTAGCATTATCGTTTGCTGCAACTGGGCGAAACGTTTTGCGAAAGAAGGCAGTGAGTCTGGCGCCGGTCCTCAGTCCGAGGTCTTGATGATGCTTTTTGCTTGCCAAGGTTTCTTCGAGGAACAGCCAGCCAACCAAAATCCCAATAGCAAAGATGACAGCAGCCGCTAGATTCGGAAGAAGGTATGGGAAGCGCTCAAGCAAAGCGTCTCCTCGTGGCTTTCGTGGATCTACGTGGAGAGGGTTCGACAAGGCTCCTCCAAATGTGGGACCGATCACGGCGCCAATCGTGTACACCAGAGGCATGACAGAGAAGGCACGCGGTTGCAATTCTTTCCACGGGCATAGCTCAGCGACCATGGTCCGAAGCAGACCAACGTTGCCATTGCCGAGACCTTCAAGCGCACGCGCAATCAATGCCATTGGTAGATTTGTACTGAAACCCCACAAAAGCATGGTCCACATAGTATTGAACAGACCCAGTAGTACTATCGGTTTTCGTCCATATTTGTCTGAAGCTGCCCCCCAGAGCAGGCCGGTGGAGGCTTGGCATATAGAAAAGATGGCCGAAGCAGCTCCTGCCCAGCGAGCAATGTCGTTCTCGGGGATGCCAAAGGACTCCATCATTTCGGGGAGGTATGGGAAGACTGAGGTGAGCGCGATGGGTTCGGCGAAGCGACATATTGCTGTTGGTGAAGTTAGCGACATGCTGCATTGTGAATGTGGTTGCCGTACAGAGGATGACCAGTTGCCTTACTGGCAGCCGGCGTTCTGTCATGATGTTGTAAGTCTGGGTAGACACATGCTAGGCCCTGGGCTCTATAGGAAGAGCGCAGAGGAGCATATGTCGTAGAAAGTGGCTGCAGCTTCGCGTCTTGAGTCGAGTCGGCGTTGGCCTGCTCGGTCGGTGAACCCCCGCAGTGACGGCTAGCGGCACAGCCTGGTCATGCGCCCTTTCCGAGTCATCATCTTCACTCTGCGGTGTGCTTTATTCCGAACTCCGATTTTCGAGTTTCTGCGATGAGCGACGAGGCCTGATGTCGCGTCCTGGAAGCAATCATCGTGTCAAGATTGGTTGCGACACGCGTCGCTTAGCTACGCGCGATGCAGGGACTCGTGAACGACGAAGCCAAAGCACGACACTACGCCTCCACAAAGTGTTGCGACAAGAGCTCTATTACTCCTGAATGATTGGAGGAGTGAAGAATGCGGTCATCAACTTCCCTAGCGAGCTGTACATCGCCTTGGTATGGGCTGCCATACAAGCCAATCGGTCAAGTTGGAGACGGCTGGCTTATGAAGCAATTGTGAGTTTATGCAGCTGTTCGACCATATCATCTTAACCGTCTCCTCTCGCATTGGTCAATTCTTTTGGGATTTCACCGAAGTGCTGCCAACAAGAAGCGTGGTAACACGCCCTATAACGGCCCAGAACAGCCACAGTCCTTAAAGAGTCGGATGACTCGTATCTTCCCACCTACATCCGAAGTCGCTTAGGACTAAATCAGTATCACGGTATGGTACAATCCGCTTCCTAGTCAGCTGCTTCTTCACGGTCATGGCATAATATCTCGATTCTTTACGTCCAATTCTCTACCCCCTCCAAGGTCTTCCCGGCTTCCCACTCGCACTCCCACCCCCCCGTGGCCTCCAACTTTTTAACCAACCCGTCAACTTCTCCTCAAAAATCCTGCGACTCACCTCACCACCCGGCACTGTCAACCCCGTGGTCCTAAAATCATAGCAATGCTGCGCATTCTCAATCACATAGCCCCCGGCGCGGGACAAGCTGCGCCACGGATCGAACTCGCCGTTAGACCAATATGTGTTTGAGGGCCGAATCGACCACCCGCCGAAGATGCGATTCGTGCGCGCGACGTCTGGCCAGGAAGGGAAGATGTCGGGTGAAGCGGTGGGGAATTGGCGATGGCAGATGGAGCGCCAATGTGTTAGGGAGTTGTATTTAGAAACGAGTTGGCGGGGACCGAGATTTGCGGATTGGAAGAAGCCTGATATACCATTGATCAGTACATGAAGCCGGAATCGTAAGTCATATCTCATCATCGACTCACCCCACTGCGTACAAAACTGCCACGTCCAACTAATCATCTGCGGGTCCGTAAACTTCCTGTCCAAATCGCATTTGCCCTCCACATCATCGCGCCCACTACACTCCGTCTCAAGATACCGGTTCACATTCCCCACAAACCACGGATACGTCGCCCACCGCTCTACCACCCATTTGGCCCCCTTGATGCCGCTCCACCCCTGCGCGCCTGCGACCACGGGCTTCATACCATCCGCGTCCGTCTCGATCCAATCGCAAAACCGGCGGAATCCCAGTACACCCCCTTCAACCCCATAGCTCATCCACGCCGCCGTAATCGTCGTCAGCGCATCCGCAAACGTCGCGTGTGTATTCCGCTCTGCGCCTTTCCCCAGAAACATCACCTTCAACCCCTCCGCCGCTGTGGCATTCGCACTATCCAACACCCCATCGATCCACCGCACCGCCGCCCGCACATCCCGCGAGCAATTTCCAAACCCATATCGCTGCAAGCCTTGCCACATGGGCTCGTAGTAGTTACTCTGGTCGATGGTCGCTTGTACAGGCGCCGACGACGCCCACGCCGCCGCGATCGTGGACGGGTATTTGTTGCGCATAAACGCCGCGCGCATGCCCGGGTAACTCCCACCGACCATGACCCAAGGCGTCTTATCCGGCGTCAATGTATAATTAATCCCCCTATCCCTCAGACTGAATTGCTTAGCGAAGCGGTCGACGTCCGCGAGACTCTGCTCCGTGTTCAGAAACACAAAGTCCTCCGGGGGAGTGTTGACATCCACGGGCGTCGGCGACGAGTTTCCGTAAAACCTGTGTTCCCAGACAATTCCAATTCCATTGTACTTCTCGACGAGTTGCCGGAAGAAACTTGTGGGGTCTTGCAGGCGGTAGAGCGCGTTGGTGCTGGCGTCGGATTCGCCGACGTCGTAGAGGAATACGGGTGAGCCGGGCTTGTAGGCGCGGGACGAGACCCAGTAGCGGTTGTAGAACGTGCCGTGGTAGGAAGTGGCTTGGTTTTTGGAGGCGGCGAAGGCGTCGGTGGGGAGTTCGACGTATTCGGGTACGATTTGCTCTGGGGGCGGTTGGGTTGAGGCGGAATGGAGGCTGGCTGTGCTGACTTTCAAGGACAACTTCTTTGCCTCGATGAAGGACGGAATGTTGGTGGGTGGGGTATCAATAGGAGTGCCGTCGGGGTTGAGACCCATGTCCGCAAGAAGCGCGAAAGAGCGCGCGAATGCGTTGTTCATTGCGGCTGCGGTGTGCAAGAAAAGCACTAGGAGCGATACTGGCGGGCGCATCTTGAGACAACCTACTCCAGTACAAACCAGAAACCAAAGAGAAGAGAAATACCGGACTAGATGGGGAGCGAGGCGGATGTGTAGCAGCCTCAGCATACCGAACACTAGAACTAGACTACACTGCACAGGATCAAGAAGACGGCACAAGCCAACCATCAAGATACGATCAGCGTCACCCAAATCTATATAAAAAGCCCAGCAGTCAACACATCATCCCGGCAAATATCATCTCTCGCTCGGTGCCTTTGTCGCCTTCACTCGTACCAGTATATTGTTGCCGCAAACTGAAACGCACTTTCCCAATAACTCCCGCCACCAAGCTTTGCGTGCAGATTAAGATCTTGAGCTTGTTTCTGCCATGCATGCTGCCAAGCTAGTCTAGACCAGGGTGACATGTGCGTCTCGCTAGGTCTTAATATCGGCGGATACTTTGGGTAATCTGAACTGCCCGGGGATCTGGGCGATGTGAACATGTGGCATCGTTGGCGGAAAGAAACGAGGTCAGATATAGGCAAGGACATGCGTCTGAGAAGATCCGGGTCAGGTTATTTTTGGTTACGTCGCAATATCTGCTTCTGAAGACAACGGTTTGAGGATTCGATCTAGATCTCCAGACCAAGCTCTTATATTCGTGCTTGTGCGGGCTAATACCCTGCTTTCTCTATGCTCCGCTCCTCTTCATTACATTAACCAGCCGTGACTTAAAACATGATCGTACATTTCCTATTCCTTGTAACCTAGCTCCCCGTGTGAGCCGCTTCATTTCTATAAATTACCCCCACCAGCCTGCGGTCCCACACGTGAGCGTTTGCCCTGACTCCAAGTCGAATTTCAAGATTCCGCCGTCGTCCTAGTGGCATTCGATACGAACGCCATGCAAGTGGGGCAAAGCGGGGTCGCTTTCTGAGTGTTTCGGTCGCACCTAATGTCCAGATTCACTGATGGCCCATGTGGCCATGTCCGTTTGTAACGCTTGGATACGCCAAGTCAGGCCAGTGCACATGACTAGAAACCCCAGAGTTGTCTAGATGCGGTTGGCCATTGTGACCTGCATCTTGAGAGCCGCCGTCTCGACCACCAAGTGCCATCAGCGTTGTTGCTGTATTGAGATACTCGCCGGGCTGGCTCATGGGATGCGGCTGCATATAAGTCCGCGCCCATTGCCGCCAATCTTGCTGTGGGTAAGCAGTGGTCGCATATGTTGGCTGGCTACCGTTTGTGCTGTGTGCGTGTGTATTAGGATATCCGTAACTATCCCCAGATTGTGGTGTGCCGCTTGACGCCGCCGCCAATGCAGCCACATGGGTTGTCGTCATTCCCTGATCGTCATTGCTGTACGTCTGTTGATGGTCGAATGCATTGTTTGTCTGCTGAGGCACTGCAATTGGATTCCCAATGCTATAGGGATGTGCTGGGCCTACGGGCATCGAGCTGTAGGTGGGCGAAGATGATGTAAGAGCAGGATCGGTGTGTGCGGCTGTGGAGTATCCTTCTCGGTAGACACTAGCGTCATATACCGGTGTCGCGTTTGTTGAATGTTGGGGTGCTTGGAGCGCTACCCGCGCGAGTGATTCGGTCGCAGTCCGCTTCACGATGCCGTCGTTAATATTAACCAGTAATTGCTCGACGATCCCAACAACCGCAGCCTTCAGGTTATCTCCGGAATCTGATCTGTGTTAGCAAGGCTTGAAAGGCGTAGCAGACGGTAGGTATAGTAGTATACTTACTCAGAAAGTGGTCGCATTCGCCCAAGACATTGACCCAAACCTCCATGTCGCCCCTGAGCTTTTTCATGTCGTTGGGAGATAGCTGTTCTTTGCGCATAGCTGAGATGTGTAATGTGGTAAACATGGCTGCAATGTACACAACAGTATTGATCCACGGTATGTCCAGACTTTTGTTCACCATGAGCGTGTTACAATTCTGCACCATCTTCTGCGACGCATCGAGACACTTGTCTAGATTCGACTCCATGATGGCGGGATCCTGTGAGCGGCACACTGCTGGGTGATGCAAGTGCAATTGGTAGGCTTGGAACCAGTATTCCAAATACAAAGAAAAGATCTGATCGTCCGGAGACGCATGCGCGGGATCCCGTAGCTCGTAGGGCAATTCTTCCCTCCACTTCTGGATGCGAGCTTCGAGAAGCTTCAGTCTTTCGACGTATGTTGTTGATGAGGACCGCACAGAGTAGATTGTCTTGTACAGGTCGATATCATGGACCGTGTACTTTGCGATCTGGATGCCCACTTGGAACGAGCACTGGTGGAAGGGATCCAGATGCGCCTCCTCTTCTGGCAAACAATCCTTCATCGGTTCGGGAAATTCGACATCAATGTCCTCGTTACTGATAGGCATTGGCCTGCCCAGCTTACCGTTTAAATTGACCAGAATGGCAGTGAGTGCCCAGAAGATGCGCTTCCTCATTTCAATCTCAAGATTGGAGAGCTTTGCAGCACCGTCAGCCCAATTCTTGACTGAGCGGTGGAGGCCAAGTTCGAGCGCAAAGAGATAGGTGATGGAAGTCATGATCCAAGCGGGACCCGGTTTTGGAAAGTTGCGCAGGTGGTGACAGATCATGGTCAAGGCTTGGATGTCTTGCAGTTCGTGGTGTCCAAGTAGCAACTGTTTGTAGAAGCTCATGGCATAGGCGTAGTGCCGGTGCGACTCGTCGAGGAGGGCGCTTTGCGCGCTGTTTCTTGCTGCTATCTGGTACTGAATCGTGGCAAGCATCATGTGGATCATGACGATCTGGGGCGGGGTGGGCTTGAAATTTGGATCGTTTCCAAACTTCCAGACCAGCTCCATGAAGGCGGGCTTATGGACGAGCATGACGTACGGATTGAGCGAGCGCAAGTACCATGTGGCGTAGTCGTTGAGCGATTTGTACGGCGGCAGGGGAACTGGATCGACGTGGTCCTCTCCAAGGGCGAGTCTGGCCAGTGCCGAGTAGGACATGACAGAGGAATTGTATGCAGCTTCATCCTTTATGTAGTCGGTGATGTCGATATCGGTGCCAAAGATGGAGAGCGAGGTGCCCCTAATGTGGCTCAGTGGATGGTCTCCGGTACCTACACCCAGATAGTTGTCGCCGATCGAGCCACGCTTGAACGAGGGTAGCGGGCGGAACTCGGGCTTCTCTGGTGCGCCTGCAGGCATGTAGCCAGGTAGAGGCGATGCGCTGGCTCGTCGCTGGGGGTCTGGCCAGCTCTGGCTATCGTTTGCGCGCGTGGGAGTCCATTGTGGAGGTTGCAGGCCCGTGTACGCGGGAAGTGCGCGAGGCTCGATGTTGTTTTCCTTGAGCTGGTCCTGGAGGTCTGCGATTTGCCTGCGCAGGTACGCATTCTCAGACTCCATGGCCTCGGCGTGGCCGCGCACTGTGGCGCGTCCGGTGATGCGATCCGTGGTCTGACATGGGGTCCTGTTCTGCTCGCACGGCGTGCAGCCTTCCGGTCGGCCATCGCAGCGAATCTTGCGGATCTGTGGTGAAGGAGCGGGTCAGCTGATGTTGCATGCGACGCGCCGCGCGAACCAGTCGCGTCGAGGTGGCGGCAGGAGCAAACGACGCGCAGAGAGTTGGTGCGGCGAGGGAAGACACAACAGATGGATTGCGATGCTCTGTGTACACACAAAGACACAACCATCTCTCAAAGGGAAGGAAAGTCTCCATCTCTTATTTGGAAGCACTCCGGTCTCGCATTCGGGTACGTACCTTGCATCGGTCGCACGCCTGTCCGGTGCGCTTCGAGTCGGCCAGCTTCCGCTTCACCGACGTGGAGAAGTCGTTGTTCGCAACAGGCTGCGGCGGGCTCGTCGACACGCCGTGCTCGATGCGCTGGATCTTGTGGACGAGGGTCGGTTCGTCCTCAGAGGCCCGCTTGGGGGCCATTGTGGTTGCAACGGGCGGCGGTATCTTCCGCACACAAACGACCGCTGGCACGGTCGGGGCAGGCTGGTGGCTTGGATACGGGGCGCGCCTAACGCTGTCTGTGAACCTTGACACTCATGGCATGCACCCCAGAGAACGCGCGCAGGAAGGCTTCGTCGGGTCGTCGTAACACCACAGCGGCCGGTGTTGTTGTGCAATGGCAGAGGGACTCGTAGAAGTTTGGTAAGAAGCTATGGACTGATGCGCGATGTACGGCACGAGCTCGAGCAACGCACTGAAAGAGTGCTGGCGTTCGGCGAGATTCCACCTCAACTTCCGGCTCGCGCTTCATTGGCCGCCGCCCGTCTGCAAACCTTGGACGTCCAGACCGCTGTCATGGAGATTCATGGTCTCAGGAACGACAGCCTGACATGCTCGGCCAACCGCAACGATCGCCGCCTCGACTGCCACATGATTCGCCCTGCGCATCCGATCTTGCCAGCTCCGAGGCTCGTTTAGAACCATTGCAGACCCTTGGCACCCCGCTACGTTCCCAATCAGGCATCGCGATGAAGGCTTCTTACTCCAAACTGCGGAGACGACGCAAACGTTACTTCGGCCGTATGCGAACTGTGCGCCATCCTGCCACTCAAAGTCCCATAGCCGCACTGCTAAGCCACCGGCACACGTCCACGGCGCACCGCAGGGCTCAACCAGACCCGACGATACACGACCGCCGACGAGGGAAAAAGCAATCTGCAGGTCTAGGTCTCCCCAAAAAACGACAACAGCTCACCTCCAGCGTCTGTGCTCTGCACATCACCACACCACTTTCAACCACACCATCACGTCTAGCGCAGCCGATCTCCCTGCAGCGCCATGGCCCATGTGCGGACCTTCACCCTCCCGCATTATGAGGCTTATCCTGTCCATGTAGCCCTGTTCAAGGACGTCAAGAATCCAAGTTATCTAAAGAGTCAGTTGCTGGAAGCCAACCCGGCATTCGACTATGCCTTTCTGGACGCCGCCATGGTAGGTAATATTGCTACCCTGTGGCGCTTCTGGAGAAATTAGTGTTAATCTCATCTCTGTTGCGCCTTGCACAACAATGAAGCACGCCTTGGCATTGCCTGGTGGTCACATGCGGCGGCTAACGACCGACCCCAGATCCTGTCTCCAACCCACCTCCTATCCACAACCTTCATTACCATCCACGCACTCTGCACGCACCGCCAAAAGACTCGCACGCCTCACTCTGAGTTGGTTTTTCGTCTGTCGCCCAACAATAATATTGGCGAGTCGTACAAGAAATTTGGCATCAGCGACACCACGACCCACCTCATTGCTGTCAAGCTGCCACTAAAGTCTTCAGACGCTGAGGCCAAGGAGTGGCTCGTTGATGGTGAAATCACAAACGAAAGCGTAAGTCAGCATCTAGGAAGTGTAGTCGAGGGCACCAGTGTCGAAATTAGTGAAAAGGGTGAGGAACTGGGGCAGTGGTGCGATATCGACAAGATCAGAAAGGTATACAAGCTCGGTGATGGATCGGCTAAGAAGGGCAAGAAGGGGGCGGCTGTGAATGGCGATGGCGCAGAAAAAGAGGGCGAGAAGAAGCAGATGGAGGTGGTGATATTGGGGACGATCGCCCTGAAAGGCTCGTGAAAGACTAGCAAGGGGGAAACGATGGACCCAGAAATGCATCACCACGTAGATCGAAACACAAGATGAAATAACGTCTCCAATCCCACTATGCTACATGGCTTCTCGCCTTCAGAATCTAGATATCGACCATTCTATCGGGACAGGTACTCAGGCTTGAGGAAGTCAGCCATGTCCTTGGGCTTGGGGTAGAGGTTCTCGGCGTGGTGGTGGTCGTGTCCGTGCGCGTCGTCGGCAGGGCCAACGTAGTGCATCTTGTAGGTAGAACCACACTCCATGCAGCGAGACTGGGGCTCCTCGCGGGTGAGGGTGATCCAGAGAACGTTGTGGGAGTCAGCAGGGAAGCCGGTGCAGCCCACGTACTGCTCGTTACCAGCAGAGTTGACAACAATGGGGTCCTCTGGGGTGCCTACAATTCGTCAGCCATGGTCCTTCATATTTCTAGACTCTCTGCTGCTACATACCGAGACGGCTGGCGTCCAATGGCCTCATGTCGAAGATGTCAATGCCCTGCATCTTTCCGAGGATTTCGAGACGCTCAAGACCGGTGGCTTGCTCGGCATCGGTAGGAATGGTACCGGGCTGCGCACCAGGGGGAAGAAGGTCGGCCTCAGTCTTGATCTCTGTAGTTGTGCTTGTCAGCGAATGACGCTGTCGCGATAGCTGTGGCCGGCTGATGTTCGGCCGCAAAAATATCGAGGTTGGCGCAACATACCGTCAAGCTTCTTGTGGCCCTCGAGGATGCTGGGCGGGTTGCCGGACTGGCTGGCCGCCTTTTCCGCGGCAGACTTGTCGTTCACATCGCCTACAAGCATGTCAATGGTAGGTCGTACGATAGCTGCTGGAGCGACCTACGGCGGACGAAAGTGGTGGTGAAAGTGCGGCGGGCGATGGCGCGGGGGGCCACTCGTCGTGCGGCGGCGACGGCAGAGCGCTGCAGAAACATGGCGACAGCAATTGGGGTAGAGCGGAGAGGGGTGACGGAGTGGACGGGCTTGGTGGTGCGTTGACGTTCTGTCGAATGATACAGACGAGGTCGCGATCTTGGCATTTTGCTTAGGTAAGTGAGGAAGCCCCAATGCGACCCGCGGCTGCATCACCTTCACCGACGTTGGCTCGCAAATACATGCGCAGGTTGACTTGCAGCAATGCTGCCTAGGCTATTTCCTGGTTTTAAAAAAAGGTACTTTGAGAAGTTGTTTGCCTTGTAGTGCTTATCCTGGATCCACACAAGCTTCTTGATCTCTCTACTCATCCGCAGCACTAACTCCCCTACACGCACATCATGTCCTTCAAGCCAGCGCTCGTTGTTGTTGACATGCAGGAGGACTTCTGCCCGCCTGTGAGTTTCGCAAAACTTTGCCTGGCAGGCGCATTGGCTAACGAGAACAGCATGGATCTCTAGCAGTCACAGGCGGTCGCGATATCGTCGCAATCATCAACGAATTACTGTCCCTACCTTTCACGGTCAAGGTCGCAACCAAGGACTTCCACCCCCAAGACCACATCTCCTTTGCGTCGAACCACCCTGCGCCAAACAACAAGCCTTTCGTGTCGAAAGCTACAATCACAAACCCATACAATCCCGACGAGTCACAGGAGACACAACTATGGCCAGACCACTGCGTTCAGGGCACGAAAGGCGCAGAGCTGCTTCCAGAGCTGAACGTGAGCAAGATTGACCACATCATAGAGAAGGGCCAAGACAGGCGCGTTGAGATGTATTCTGCCTTTGCCGACCCCTTCAAGAACCCTCGCGTCACTGAAAGCGACCTGGCAAAGACTCTGCGAGATGCGCGTGTGACAGATGTCTTCGTTGTGGGGCTGGCAGCGGACTACTGTGTGAAGTGCACAGCAATCGACTCTGCAAACGAGGGCTTCAACACGTGGGTCATTGGCGAGGCCACCAAAGCTGTAGACCCATCTTCACTTGAGGCTGTGCATCAAGCGTACGAGAAGGTTGGTGTCTCGGTGATCGACAAGGATGCTGTGCAAGTCGAAAGGGTCAGGGAGCTGGCTGGAGTAGCACGCGGGGAATAAGTAAACACGGCGCACTTCGGAGCAGCCTTCCGGACAGTGTCAGCCTCGAGTCCACAGATTTGTATGGCTATCATGGATGAGCGTGTTTGATTTGCCGTCTGTTGATGGCGGTCCTATTATGATGTAGTTGTGCAGGTACGTTGTTGCGCAAGGACCCAATGCCGAGAGCTCCGCCTTGCTCACGCGGGGCAGCAACTGAAATGGTCCCGCCTTCTGCAAGATTCGCGCATTAGTCACATGGAGACGCAGGTATTTCAGATTCGATGTCTTTGGTAGCTTCTTAAAGTCCAGCTTTCGTTGTACCAGTGAAGTCGAGTGCCGTCCGCTGCAGTCAGCTTCTGCCTTACGTAGGCGGGGTACTAAATTTGTAAAGGCCCAGTCGTCATCGCTCGGCGCGGAACTCACATCGCGCATCGCCGGACAACCTGTTTACACCTGTCGTTCGTGCCCGTGCTGCCTGTCGCCAGCATTTCTTCTCAGCCTGGTAGCCGTCTTCAGTTTTGCTGACTACGGATCCACACGCTGAAGACTCACCATGCCACATATTCCTGGAGTTCGCCATGGGCGCAAGAACTCGCTGACAACAAGTGCGTCCCGCCCTGCTTCCGGTCGTACCGCTCCAGGTACACAGCCCGCCCGAAGCCGCAGTTACTGATCCGCTCTTGTCATTGTGTAGGCAGCCGAGGCTCTTCCATGGACGAGACGCGACACGGTGGTGACGAAGTCAACAGAGAGGACGAGACAGTCATGGACGAGGCCCAGGGCAGCAGTACGTTGCAACGCCCCAAAGCAGAGCAGCGTAGGCAGCCTGGCTAACATGTATCCAAGTGCTCTCACACATCATATCGCAGCTGCGACCCGGCGCAGACCTCAGTCGAGTGACATTGCCCACCTTCATTCTCGAGCCGCGGTCCATGCTCGAGCGTATAACAAAGTGTGTTGGCGCAGATACACGGCATAGAAATGACGGTGGCTAACGGGAGACAGTTTCATGGCACATCCTGAGACTATGCTGCCCCTCACCAAGATCGAGGATCCAGTGCAGCGATTTGTCGCCGTGACCAAGTTTTACCTCAGTGGCTGGCACATCAAACCTCCGTATGCCATCTCATACATTCGCACTACCCACAAGCGCCTGCTGATGATTACGTAGGGGTGTGAAGAAGCCGCTGAACCCAATCCTCGGAGAGATATTCACCGGATACTGGGAGTACCCAGACGGTACAAAAGGATACTATGTCTCAGAGCAGACGTCACATCATCCACCCAAGTCCAGCTACTTCTTCATGGCTCCAGAGCACCACATCCGCATCGATGGCTGTCTGAAACCCAGGAGTAAGTTCTTGGGCAATTCCGCTGCAAGTTTAATGGAGGGCATTGCTGTCTTGAGATTGCTCAACACAGGCGAGCGCTTGTAAGAAATCTTCGTTGTTCTCTGGGTGGTGGAAATGCTGAACTGTATAGTTTCGTCACACAACCGAACATGTACGCACGAGGCATCCTATTCGGCACAATGAAGTACGAACTGGGAGACCACGCATACATACGGTGTCCAGAAACCGGAATGTCGGCCGATCTCGAGTTCAAGACAAGGGGCTACTTCAGTGGCACCTACAACGCAATTGGCGGCTACATCAAAGATGCCAACGGCAAGAACCTCTATGAGTTTTCGGGGCTCTGGAACGAGGAGATGTACATCAAGGATCTGACTGTGAGTGCAGAAGTTTCAGCAAGTAAACATGAGGTCGCTAATAATGTCCAGACTGGAAAGAAAGAACTCCTTTTTGATGCATCACACGCAAAACACAGCCCGCCACTGGCTCGGCCTCTTGAGGAGCAAGATGAACGCGAATCCCAGAGGCTATGGCACGATGTCACTGAAGCTGTAAAGCGGAGAGACCAGGATGTAGCGACTGATGCAAAGGCAAAGGTTGAGGAAAGACAGCGGGAGGAAGCAGCGAAGCGTAACAGTGAGGGCATCGACTGGAGTCCACAGTTATTCCGCAGGGTGCAGGCTGGTCGTGGTGGGCCTGAAGAAGGCGAAGAGGATTTGGAGTGGATCATCAACGCCAAAGTGTGAGTCGCATCCTTGGCCGACCATGCCAGCATACACTAACATTGAACAGTGATGGCAAGACTCCCGACGAGTTGGTCAAACAAATACTGCAAATCCACGCAATACTTCCTGGACAGAAACCGGAGCGACAGTTCAATATCCCTATTCGATCGAGCACTCAGCATTCCAGCACCGAACCCACTGACCATCAATCAATCCCTCAACAGCCAACACCACAGCAGGCAACCCCTCAGGAAGCCACATCACCGCAACCTGCTGTGCAGCAGACCGCTTCACAGGACTCTGTACAGCCAACCTCTTTCCAGCCTGTACCGGTACCTGCTTCCCAGAATCCTCAAGAGGGTGTTGGTCAATCCATCAGCGCCGGAGGCGTGGCGCATCTCGAACCCACTCGATCAGTCGCGAAGAACACATTCCCAACCGACCCAACGAATCCATCCGTGGTACCCATGGGAAAGCCAAGATCACAACCAGATTTCATCTCGGACAGCACAAAGGCAAAGCTCGATGCAGAGCTACCGCCTAGCAAGTTGCTGAACTCGAACCCGGCAAAAGAGCCACACAGGGACGATATGCTGCGACGGAAAGACAGCGAGACACACGAGGACGATGAGTTTGTTGACGCGCAATCATAGGTTCATGTGCGTACAATTGCTCGTCTCTTCTTTTCTTGTCTTGGACTGCGTGGTTGCATGCATAAGATTGGCTTACATACCCGTATTTGAGATATCTTAATGTCAAAAGACTAGTTTGATTCGTGATAAATGCTGCTAGGAATGTGTCACCTCATGAGAACACCCCTCTCCAATTTTGAATTTTTTTGGCTACCTTGCGAGCTGCAGTAAGGATTTCGTTGTCGACGTACTGCAGGGCACGAAGTCTGGCCCGAACGCCAGACCTCGAGCCGGCCTAGCGCTTCCACATTTAGGCACGGATATAACGTCCTACATCCTATCCCGTAAGTTTTCTCCTAACTTGCGGTGAGGACTACTATTGTTTCCTTCTCACCAAGTCCAAAACGTCCAAGGCTGCCATCTCGCTTGCGCTCAATTCCCGCAGCACAGACCGTGTCTGCCTAAGCAGCACCTAGCTATGTGCTAGAACATAAAGGCCACCCACCACCAAACATCACATCATTTCGTCCAATACACATTTCTCACAATGGGCTTTGACTGCTACTGCGCCCTATGCTCCGGCCCGCTGGGCATTTACAGCATCAAACTCGGCTCCGCTAAGCTGAAGCATCTTGCGAAAAGGCGCAAGCGGGTGGAGAATAAGAGGAGGAGGCTCAGGGGTGAGGATGTGGTGCATGAGGATTCAAAGGAGTGGAAAGAGGCGGAGAAGAGGGAGTTTGGTGGGGATGAAGATTTGATAGAGGGGCATGGAGGTGGGGACGGCGTGGAAGAGGGCGGGAGGTGGAGGCAATGGAGAGAATGATGGGGAGGGGAATCTGGAAGAGGGGCACGAGGGTATGATGGAGTTGAGTTTCGGTAGTGGGGATGGAGGTGGAGATAATGGAGGGAATGACTGGGACGAGGGTGTCGGAGACATGGAAGGGACTGTGGGAGACGATGTGGAAGAGATGGAAGAGATCATCGAAGAGACATTGGAAGAGGGATCTCAAGACGGGGGATCTGATCAGGGAAGTGCTTCCGCAGATGAGAACGAGAACGACGACGATGACGATGACGAGGCCGACTTAGAAGACGATGAGAGCCTCGCCAGCGACGAGGACTTCTCTGACCACTGGTCCCAGGCATCCGAACTGCAACAACGCGGCTTCACCTTTCGTGATAGCACCGAAGACGAAACTAGCAGCATGTTCAGCTACTACGAAAAGCAGTCCTACGACCCAGGCAAGCTCAGCCGAGAGGACGTCCAGTGGTTAGATCGCAGCCGGGTCTTAGCGCTCAATAGAGAACTGGAAGGCCGGAAGAAGGCGTTCTTGAGTGGTAGAGGCCGGTATAATGATTATGTGAGATGGTCGCTTACTGGTCATGCGTTGATGGAAAGCTAACAGGGCTTTCCACAGTTTGACTTTAAAGTCCAATCTCTAGGGCCCGATCCAAGAGATACAGATGAGAGCACGCATTGCACATATCACGCCTACGAACCTGAGAAGGAAGTTCCCTCCTTCCCTGTTCATGAAGCATGTTTCAAAATCCTGACAGAATGCTTCGCCACAGAGAAGAGGCAGAAAGTCGACAAAGACGTCTTGTACGCAGTCATGCAGCAAAACATGGAGAGTATGGCCAGGAAATTGAGTCTTGACTATGGTACGATCGAGGGCGCAGATCAGTTCTGGGAGTGCATCGCTGGTGAGGAGTGGGTCGCTATGGATCCGGCGACGAAACCTGGGATCGAAGACGTTGTGAAGAGCATGCTGCCTGCTCAGCTATTTGACCGACCCGCTGCACAGTCGCGTAGTCTGGCGCACAAGGTGTGCGATGATCCTCTCGCGACACTCCCATATGACGTCCTACATGGGGTCTTTGCGCATCTTTCGCTCAAGGATACGCTCTCGCTTATGAAAGCTTCATGGCATGTTCTCGAATCCACTCGCGACGCGACGTTCTGGAGACTGATGATTCGGGTACACATCACGGATTTCTTTTGGGAACTCAAGGAGTTGTTCAAGACCACCACGTTCCCCGAAACGTTTGATTGGAAAGGCATGTTTCAATGGCTTGATCAAACCACTAGAGGCAGTTTCGCTATGGAAGGCCCGATGATGGCGATCGCTAATCGTCGCCGCATTTGGAATGTGTGCCAACAACTGGCACCACTATACTACGAGAAGCTAGAGGCTGAAGCATACATTGACCCTCCCGACGCTGATGCTGAAGCTATCATGATGAATGCAAAGGTCTATCACTCAGCTGTCACCATGTTTCCTATACCCGCGGAGACGAGACCGGCCACAACACAGTTCATTCGATCGTGGTCGGAAATCAGTTACCGGGCTTGCGACTTCGACACCTACTGGAGCGGAGAATACGGGCATCTGATCGGTATCAGCGTGGACTTTGGTTCTGAGAAGCGCGTCTTTGGTAGCACCGAAGGCGCGCCTGGTCAAAGTCTGCACATAGCCGCAGAGGATTGGATCAAAGAGATTATGGTCTCGTCTCGGCCAATACATGAGCGTGGAAAGTTTGATAGGGAGAATGGGGAGGATGTGGGTCCGAAGGATGCGCGTAGTGCTGGGCCGTCGATGATTCAGGGCATGGATGTGAGTTTTTACTTGACGTGGGCAGAACGAGTACAAAGTGGCTAGGTGCTGACGATACAGGTTTATCTGAGTTCTGGGGCACGCAAGAGTGTGCACCCAGGCAATAATGGTACTAATAATCGTTCGTTTGCCGTGCTACCTGGCATGCACATCATCGGTTTAACGGGCGAATTCTCACATGTGAGTTCTCTCTCTGCCCTTCTCCTATATTACTAACATGCGCCCCAGAACGGCGGTATAAGCAAACTCGGCCTCCTACAAGCCCCCGATCCAGCTCTCCCGCCTACACCAAGCTTTTTGTGCTACAGCCCATTCCAAACCTACCTCTGGACCGGCAGCGGCGAAAGCACTTGGCGCTCCATCACCGGCGGAGAGCCCGTCTGGTCTCACCCGCATTTCACCGTCTTCACATTTCCAGCTCCGACGTTTGCCATCGAACCAGCATTCCTTCATCCAGACGATCTACCGCACAGCGTTTTGCTCTTCGCTGCCCAAGATCCCTCAGGATACTCTCGCTTGCAGCGCATCTCCGCCATACAGATTCCCGATGAGCACAGCAATGAAAGCATCATAGGCTTGGCAGCTTTCCAACCTGATACAAGGTGGAATCCTCCCGGCGTTCCTCGCGCTAAGCACGGGCATAATTGGCACATTGGTAGCAAAGGACCTGTGTCAGCAATGATGGGCGAGAAGTGGTCAGAGGTCGAGACCTTTGAAGATTTGAAGCTGTGGGACAGTATTGAGCACTATGCAGAGGAGTATATGCGGCATTTTGATATCGATGGGGCCGGTGGGGAAGTTGTGGTAGAGGTGCATGTCACGAAGGATCGCAGGAGCTTGCGGCTTGTTACCAATCGGAGAAGAGAAGGGCAGTTCGGTGAGAAGAGTGAGGGGAAGGAGTGGGAAGACGGTAAGGTCGCGGGAGAAGGAGAGATGATCATCGGAGTGACGGCATGTTTCGGGAGACTGAGCGGTTGGAGTCCGACTGCGAAGATGTGGAGTCATTGGGGCATGACTGATTTGGGAGTCGTTCTAACCAAAACCGAAAGGAAGTGAAGTGCTACTCGCCACCCATGAATCATATCATAGATTTGCTTTCAAACTCCTCCTCTGATCCCATTCCCAATACTCGCCCGTAAACCTCGTCTTCTCCCACGCTTCGTAGATCTTCTTCTTCTCATCCGCGGTCTCGCTCTGGCACATCTTCTCCCACACTTCCAATTGCTCTTGGAACCCAGGGTTCGGGCAACACACGGGGCGGCCTTCGACTAGTTGGGCCAGCGCGGTTGATGCGTCTATATTATATTTCCACATCAGATACGCAACCACCAGCGTCGCGGATCTTGATTTGCCCATGGCGCAATGAACAAACACGCCACCACCAGTTCCCTCCTCTTCTTGCTTCCTTCCATCTGTCGTACCCTGTCTTTTCTGGTCCACCTCTTTCAAAGCTCGATCCATATACTTTACGCACTCCTCGAAATGCTGCAACAAGTTCTCGTTCGGATGATCATCGGCCCTGATGTGCAGATGCTCCAGCTGCAAGTCTGGAAAACGCTCTTTCAGCGCAGGATCGTAGTCTATAACGGAGAGAACGTGTGTTATACCGGCGGCGCGGATTAGGTCGGTTTGATAGAGAGCGTAGAGGCCGCCGATGAAGAGCTTTCCGCAGCGAGGGACTTGGTCCACCCAGCCCATACCTGTGTGTGAAGTACTGCCGTGGATGAGGTAGGACATGCGCAGAGATTGGTTTGTTTGTTTGCTGTTGTGTATGTGTTTCAGTTGGCAGAAGGACGTTGTGGAAGATGTTGCGAAGTGCCGAGGTCCAGCCTCGAGATCATTTGAAGCGGCACTACACTACCGATGCGACTGCGACAATCTATTTTCGACATTGAGACATCACTTTCTGCTTCACGTTTCAGGAAAGCAGATTCAGGTAGCATAACTCGTGATACATAGACTTCCCAGTGAAGGTATCGGGGAAGTCAGAAACCACGCTAGACAAATTAGCGCCAATGCCGTGTGAGGTCACAACTTCCGTCGTTTTTACCACGCGTCTTCATCAACAACCTGAAGAAAAAGCGACTGGTGCGGTTACCTAAGGGAATAAAGTCGTTCACATTCACCACGGCTTTCGAACAGATTAACACAGAAAACTGCTACGAGGATTACGGACGATCTTCCGTCACTGCCCAATCGGCTTTTCACATCGCCCTCCACAATGCGTTTACTGTCCTTGTTTTTCATGCATCAAAAGTGACACGTCTTTTCGGGATAAGATGTGCATACAACCGGGAGCAAGCAGCAGCATATGTAGCACAAGCTTTGTACCACAGCCATGCGCACCATGGGAAAGACCCTCAAGTGCCTTCACATTCTCTCAGATTCCTTTAAATGCTGTTAATATATGCCCAAGTTATTTCAAACTGTCGTGATCTTCGCTTGTCATCATGACGTGGATTGGCGGACGTACAGTCTGTACCGTTGTAGTGGAAGTGAAGGACGACAAGGTATAAACGGCTAGCTGCAGCTGGCGCGCGTTGGAGCAAACAACAAGAAGTTTGGAAAATAACAATTCTCCGGGATCTCCTCCTTCAACTCTTCCTTCGCTTGTTGGCGACTAAACTGCAACAGGCACCATGCCACTGAAACCTGTGCACATTGCGCAGCCGCCCTTCTTCTACGCGGCAGGAAACACACCGGCAGTATGCCTGACACAGAATCTCCCGCCTGAGAAGGATGCCGCTCTACTTCTCCTAGGTTGCGGGGATATCCGGAACCTCCTGTTTACCGTGTACAGTGGAACAGGCATCAGTAAGCACAGCGCCACATGGACTTATTACAGTTTGCTAACCTCCAACACAGATTCTAGAAAGTTAGACTTCACGTGTTGCGACCTGGAGGCGGAGATCATTGCTCGAAACGTTCTCGCTCTGAGCCTCATTCTCGACGACACAGAAGGCAACCATGTTTTGCAGCTATGGAACATCTACTACCACGTCTTCATCGACGCCGAATCCTTCGATCTCCTGCAGACTCAGGCTGAGAAGCTTCTGGGGTTCGCTACATCTGTGGAGACCTGGGAGAGCAGCCCTTACGGCAAACTTCTGCGCTTCTGCGACCGCATGACGTTCGACAATGTCATCAAGCTCTGGAAACTCAGTGCCATGAAGCCGTCCGACCAAACAAAATACAAGGAAGTGCAAGACATTGTAAAAGCCCAGTGGGGTGCGGCCAAGCGGATCCAGGAACGCAATACTGGCCAGGGCGGCTTCAAGCTAGACGGTCTACGTGCAGCCGCACCTTTGCTAAGGGAGGCAATCGCCGAGGCTTCCAACTCTTACAAGGCCTTTTGGCAAAGCGGCATTTGCTTCGAGAACAAGAAAGCAATCATGAGGTCTCCCATCGCTAATCCAACTTTTGCGTGTCTGCGCAGTGGCCTCACGCTTCACTACGGTACGAACCCCCTCTGGGGCTTTCACCTTAGCCTAGATCATGCAAGGCTGTCCGCAGATTCCCCGCTGTACCATGTCAGCGAAAAGACTTCACGTCTAGCAGTGCCAAACGAGCTACGGATAGTTCTTGCGCAATTCGAAGCGTGGTGTGCTTCCCTGCGAAGCTCGACATCCAAATGGACCATTCGTTATGTCCATTGTGATGCACTGGCATGCTGTCATGTCCTCCAACACCGTCTTTCCAACAGCAGACCACAAGCTAGCCACTGGTACAGATCAGGCTGGGAGCACATGGCCCTCGAATTGGACTCTGCGGATTACGATGAGCACGGAACAGGTCCCACCTCGTTTGATGTTATCGACACGTCCAATCTAATGGATCATCTGGGTAGTTTAAATGTGCTCTCAGCGGCCGCACCGCTGCTCGTTCCCGGACCCTCCTCGATAATTCGGACGGAGATGCTATTACCACGAGAAAAAGACGTGGGTGCATCCGCAAAGACACTGCTCAGCGGTGATCTGCCAACGATGGCGATCCTGCTTGGATTGAAACCTGTGCAATACTGGGCTAATTCTACAGCGACTTGGCATGTCAACGAGTCCATGCTGCAGAGCTTTTCTAGCGATAACAATATCATCCAGGCGCTATCTCGACATGTCGTGCTATGGAGGCGCGCTGACCTTAAAAAAGTTCATTACGATGCAGCTGAACTTGCTTCTGTTATCTACAAGGCCTATCTTGAGATGTTCTCCGACGAGAGCTGGGCGCGCAAGTTCGAAATACTCAGCATTACGGACGATGCTCAGAAGATCAAACAACTCCACTCATACGAGGTCTATTCGCGCGCAGGTCTCGCCGTGATACTAGGCTTCATCAAGCGGGTGAACGCGACAGATTGGCATCCTTTCATCGACAAACTGGTGGGACTCATTCTGGATGATCGCACACTCAACATGGGGCCTCATCATTTCCAATCCTTATTTGCACATCTCGAGATCTTTGGGCTATATCCCCTTGATCGTCACCCTGGGTATGAGAAGCACCTTGCTGCCGGTCCGTTTCGCAAGTGGCTAGATATGCCGACAGTCGTATGCGTTACTCTGGTGGTTCCGCACCATGCTGTCGCGATGTTTGACGATCTTCTGAAAGGTTACGGCACTCCACTATGTCACTTACAACTACAATCTTCAGTCGCACGCGCAGAGTCTATCTACCCCGACATTCAGCTTGGGTTTGGCACGTTGACTCTATCTGGAACACCGTATACCGCCGATTACACCGTCGCTATTCAGAATGACGACAAAGGATACAAAGGCAAATCTCCTCTGATCGTCTCAGCCATGGTTTCTACTGGGTCTCTGATTGATCAGGGCGACCCAGCATGTCGTGTCGTGTTTGGGCTGAAGAGTACGCCTGCGAGTCTGGCCATGTGTGGCGCGAAGCTGGGCATGATGTTGCATTTGCACAAATCGTCCGTCGGCCAGAACGATGTTTTCGTCACAAGATATCGTCCCAATATGACAGGGCATGCATCCATGCAGCATGCAGTAGTTTCTTCAAAGGTGACTGGTAAGCCAATCACATTCTACTCTTATCTCAAAGGGTATGCTAACCTTGTGTAGAGAACGATGTAGCTGTGGTCGTGCAGCCACGCCTCGGCACTGTCACGGCAAAGGCGACGGCCCTGCGCATTCGCTGTGGTATCAAGTCGCCCATCGGTCAAAACGCTCTGCAGAATGCAGCGAAAGTCGAGTGCAAGCTATTAAATCCCTTCACCATGGTCCTGAAGATCGGCGATACCTTCCACTATAAAATCGACCTACCTCTGCCAATCGATGCAACCCAAGGCCGAACTAGGGTTGCACGAACATCGTTATGGATAGAGTATGAAGCGCCTGTCACAACTCCGGAACTGCTCGCCCCTCGGCCAGACTCCATGTTCCTAGTTATGCGAGACGCTCAGTCACGTCCCGTCCTTGATCACATTCACTACGTCGTACCTGACTGCCTTCCCAAGCTATATGTTGGAAACTCGAACTCTCACGCGCAGTGGATGACGATGTGCACTTCCATCGCGGCTACCATGTCCGTCACTGAGGTGGCGATGCAAGAGAAGGCTTCGTCGTGCGACATCACCAATAAGCCTGGACGTCTGGGCGTCAAGGAATCAATCTACATGATGATCATGCACATCTTTGGACTTTTCGACAAAGAGCGCTCGTACATGTTCGGCCTGCACGGAGCTTCGGGCGAGATCGCCTTGGTGTTCGTGGACGCAGTGCGCATGGATGTGTCTAACCAGACCGTCTTTCTTGATGCAGCTATCATTCAACTACACGCAAAAACCGGCCCGGACATCGCTCGGTCTACTTCAAGCCTATACGGTCAAACCGTGATAGTTCTTACTGCTGACAAAAACGAAGTCCCGTTCTGGCTTCACCTTCTACCTACCTTTGCTGAGCGATGCCGTACATGGGAGCACAAGAGTTTTTGCGAATACAGGGTCGAGGGAGCACACATACCGCTTTCCACCCAGCTCAACGAGCAAATCATGTGCTCATGTGGCATGGGCATCTTCCCTAACGGCTATCTCAAGCATCTCAAACCGTTCCAAGCTCTCAAGAAACACGCTGTGCGAGCCGCTATCCCGGTAATCTATTCGTCGCCAATTAGTCCCGATACTGGTACATTACCTCCTTCGTTCACCAACACCATCAAGCCGAAGCCTACAGCGCCTCCCAGTACCTCGACGCCTGCTGCTACGAAGCCTCGCGTCGAGAATTTGGATGCAAAGAGAGCGTCATGCTTTCAATGCATGGGGAAGGAGGGCAAAGGAGGCGCGCCTCTGTTGAGCTGTAGTGGATGCAAGTTCGCGCGATACTGCTCGAAGGCGTGCCAGGTCAAGAACTGGAAGGAGGAGCACAAGCATTTGTGCGGGCAGCTGAAGAGTGGGAGTAGTTGATGGTGATGGCACAATTTGGCCTGGAGACTTTTGGGCTGGTTGAACGGTGTTCGTATCCTAGAAAGAGCAGCTGTTGGTCATGCTTGCTGCTGCGCGACGTAGTACGCTTAGACACTATGAAGTAATTGCTCAAAGAAAGATAGCCTAATCTCTACGTATGAATACCTCTACTACAATCTCGGCAATCTTTATCGATGTACAACAAGAGGTCTGTCATAGTGCACGCAAGATGTGATACTAAGCTCTTCATAAGGGTAATATTCAATCTGATTCGCATATGGCTCCGCACAACGGCGGGTACATGTTCCCAAAACCACCGATGAACCCTTTGGGCACTCCACTATCCCATGACATGTAAGGTGGCTCCGATGAGCAGGTTCATCTTAACGACCTCAGCCTATTTCTGGGCTGTTTTGACATGGAACTTCCACATGTGCTCCGCTAGCTTCTTACTGGTGCGGAAATGGACACCGCAGTCCCAGCAATTGTAGCCACTGCCCTCAACTGGAGTGTAGAACTCAAGATGGTCCTTGATGAAATGATCTTCCCAAGGTTTTCCGTATTTGAACATCTTCGTGGCACCCGGTGGACAGTGTGGGCAGCGAAACTCGGTGTACTGGTGACCTGCCTTGGGGACAGTAGCGTTGTTGGGTTCTCCTCCTGGCGGCGAGGTCGAGTGAGTTAGTTCTCCAAGGGCAGTCTCTAGTAATAAATTAAATCAGCGCCTCGGCTGTGGGTCACGAAGGATACGTACCGATGGCGAGGAGCCTTCCTTCAAACTTTTCCATATTGGCTGTCTGGTCATCGACCTTTCTGCCTAGGCTCTGGAGACCGTTGACGATCGCCGTAAAAGTTTTGAATGACCATAAGGGGTAGTTCTCGGCAGTGCTCATTTTTGGAGATGTCGTAGTGATGGCTAAAATGAAAAAGGCTGCTGTTTGTGTCGAGTAAGCTGGTATGACTTGTCTTGAAGGTTACAAGACAGAATCGCCGTGGATCTATGGTCTTGCAAGGTCATCTTTATGGGAGGCACAAAGCACAGCAGGCGATGCACAAACGTTCGACCGTGACCGATCCTGTGGCAGAAGTAAAGAAATTGTGACAATTTTCAACAATAGGGGACATTTCTTCGCAAACTATAGTCAGGCGCCGTAGTCCCTCAAGCTGGTACAATTATGTGTCCCGGTTATGTTTGAGTCGTAGAATTAGGGTTGCCTGTGCCAAATCTCGATACCATAGGTAGGTAGTTTGCGGCGCTATATCAGCACAGCCACCCCTTTGGAATCTATCTTATTCCACAAACAAAATCTGATGACCATTTCACCTTCAAGGCAGGTTAAGAGGGCGTCAGACCGGCTCCCAACATGCACTGGTCCGCGGTGACGCGCATCATTAGGCACCTGGGCATACTTGACCAGAGTGCGTAATTGTACGGTTGTGGCACATGCAACTGCCAGAATTTATTGAACCAAGGGACCTTCTTTAGACCTGTGGTTTTGTTGGCCCCTCAGGGACCTTGCAACTGAATGTTCAGAATTTCGACCCATGCGCTTGCTTAATCACCTGCGGGCAATTTGAGCAGGATCGCACATCTACATCGTATTGGATTACTTTCAAGGTCCATGACAAAATTTGCCCTACGCACCCCATATCGTTCGCCATCACGCCCACGGCGTGCAATAGGTAGCCACAAATCGTATTGTTCAGGCCGCAAATCCCACGAGCAAGGCAAGCATCAAGTGAACACTGCCTCCTTACTCAAGGACGACGACCTGACCATCATTGAGGTGACTCGTGACGCTTGAGCTTTGCGCACGAAATGTCGTGGAAAAGTGCAGCATTTTGGAAAATGTGACAAATTCCGACTGGTTTCGCGATTGTAGCTAAGGTATTTTGGATCGCGGGGCACAGATGAATACGAACATGGAGCATACAACCACCTTCTCATCGGTATTTAGATTCTTGCATCCACTTGGTTAGCGACGCGAGTGTGGAGCAGCGCCAGCTTGCGTGGGGGCAAGCACCGGGGTAGGCTCGCGTGTGCGTCCAGCGCTGACACTCCTGCGCCCAGATTTGGCAGTAACCACGAGCCTAAATGTGTGATAATGAAGGTGAATTTCTCAGAAATGAGCCCAGCACCAAGCTGGACCCATGGCAGGCCTGTGGCTAGGTCTGCAAGCTCCGTCCGATCACCTACCCGTTCCCCACGCAGGCAGCTAATGCATCTATGTTGGCCCGTGCTTGCGCTGGACTGAGCAACAACTTTGTCTTAGACAAATCATGAGCTGTCAAACTTAGTTCATGACGAGTGATCCTTCACTTACACGTTCCGCGCGAAAACACGCGTGCACAGAAGTTTCTGAACGCTAAGGTCACTCGATTCTGCGTCCTGAACACAAAACTAGTTTTCGGCGAAATTTTATCGAGTCCTTGATGTCACAAGTAGGAACACGGATAGGGAAGAGGCGGGATACAGGAACATGCATGCATAAGTTCACGTAAGCGGCTGAGCGTGGCGAGGTGCGCCAAGGCGTCATTTCCCCGCGGATGAGCTTGTTTCTTGACCAGAAGTGCAAGGCTGAAGACTCTGGTCCCAATGAAGTGACATTCTCTCAACCGGTCAATTTGAATATGTTTCATTATACGTACGATAGTGTTCTATTACGCATGTAGGTCTTCCACACGAGAGATCATGCCTAGCGTCTGAACATCTGAACTGCTGGCCCCAGATTTACCAGCACCCCGCTATCTCAACGCCCCACACTGCGATCGATTCCGTGACAGTATACAGCAAGCTTCGATTTGAGGCAAGCTGTGAGCTAAGTTCGCACCCTTGTCGCGTGAACATCCCACACGTGCTTCATGAATGCCTTCTTGTCGCGATGGTAGTCGTTACAGCAGCGGTATCCGATGAAATCATCGCCCTCAACTTGGTGGGTGTAGAAATAATGCATTTCCCATTTCGTGCCGTATTTGTACGTGATTGATGCATTCGGGTCATAGCCAGGACATCGGCGCTGCTGGTACGGACCACGATCTGCGCGTCGGTTGCTGGCTACCGCCGCCCCTGCAGGTGGCTGGACGGATCGGACCATGTGAGTCTCTACTGCTATGTCAGCTCCGCGCCGTCGTCGTTTTCCCTCAGCATCACGTACCTAGGGCCTGGATCCTTGCTGCGTGGTCGTTGACCGTGGGCTGGAGGGTACCGTACACGAAGTTCCACAATGTGACGACTTGCTGATACCAAGGTCGCGGCTCTATGATGGCGTCCATTGTTGGCGTTGTTATTGAATTGGCGATGTGCACAAGTGGTGAATGGTCGATGTCGTATCTGGAGAGATCAGTCAGTAGCTCATCACATGAGACAAAGACATGCTCACTAGGGAAGTTGTCTTCTAGCAGGCGTTAGGATGCTTCAAAATTGAATGAATGGCGCCTGTCTTATACACTTTTTGCATCCTGTTCATGATGAGTATGTGCGTCTTTTCACCCAGCTCGTGACCCAGATGTGGCAACCGCTAAGCAATTGTAAACATTGGAGTTTCATGCTATATAATTCTTGTGTTTGCTCAAGCCAGCTCATCAATTATATTGTCAAGGAACGGTGTTTCCTCGGCAGTATCAAAATCTGGGGTTTGCAGGGGTACGGAGTGCTTGAATGTGAACTGTGGCGCTAATAGTGGGCCATGCCAGCGGAATGACAGGGTTCGTTTCATTCATAAAATCGGCAAATTAAATTAAAAGTGCGTTTGACGGGATCGTGTGCGTCCTAAACATATAGGAGATGGGTGCTCTGGAGTCGAGTTCGGAGAATTCGCCAACGGGTAAGAAGCGTCTAAAGCGAAACGGTTGATCACCGGCAGACCACGACTGATTTGGTCCACTGCCGCCTCTATGTATTCAATTCTTCTTCCCTTTTAGGTTGAGTTTTGCTGGGGTGGTGCCTGGAATACGAAGACGACGAGCAGAGAATCAGCACAGGCAAGCCGTGAAGTCAGCCCCATAAAGATTAATGATCGGCTTCGAAAAATCTGCAAGAGCAGTGTTCACTGTCTCGCATTATTCATTTCCTGCATTATTCGCAATAGCGAAGTCGATTGCAGTGTCGAATCAAAAGACTGTCAATGGTGCGTCTATCAAAATAGAGAATGCAGGCACAAGTGTGGGGGATTTTCCATCATGAACATCATTGGGTCCAGTCGGTAGCTTAAGCAAGAGCAGAGCTGCTATCCTTGGAATCAATCAACCCGGATTCACTGTATGCCGCACGCCAGATTATATATTAAACGGAAGAGCTCAGCCGGTGGTGCATGGTATTTCCCGCGAATCACAGCATTACCGGGGTCCGAAGGCGAGATGTGATCGGATTCTCAATTGACGGTGGAACATTGGACCTGCGTCGACGTGGGATGGGTCCCGTGAACCAGGGTTCGCCTCGGATTGAACCTTCTCAATATAGACATGTTCTTTCGCCAGCTAGCTATCTTCGTCGCATCCCAAGTGTGTATACGAGTGTCTCCACTCAACTTCGATGTCATGTTTAAACGCTTGTGGTGACGTCCCGCACCCTACAGACGCAGTTTGAAGCAAATTCGGAATCTTTCGGAGCAAAGTTAAAGCTTCCGTGATATCCTACTCCTGTCATATCGCCGAGGTTAAGGCCTCCACGGGCGGGCTTCTTGCAAAGGAATGAACCAATCGCAGCATATCGCGTAGTCCTCCCTATGCAAATCCAGGTGCCTACCTGTCATGTGCTACATTTCCAACACCGGATGGAAATGTCGCACGCCGAAGGCGACACGGCCCCGAGCTCGAGCAAGCTCGAAGCGATGTCGGAAAACAGGTTCTTCACCCCTGATCAAGCGCGAGAACAGCCTGCAAACGATTAACTATGACGTGGGGCTATGCTTCACTACACGGCGCATTGCAACCACAACCAAGACATTGTGCATACAGATCTTGAGCTTAGTTTGACGTATCACTCCTTCAACGCGTTGCCGCCGCGGATCGGCGCCAGCCTGCAAATGGGTATTGCTACAGGGGAGGCGTAACTGATGGCCAGTTTGCTACTTACCATCCTTCACAGCAAGCACACTGCCTTCTCTACATCGTAGATCTGCACCTCACATCTGTCCAGGTGATCAGATCCAACAGGCCGACAAACCTCCCTTTACCTGCACAGGCTGCTAATTTCGGCTCTCGATGATAAACAATAATGCCGTCTCTTGTACACAGAGCGAGTCTTCGTAACAATAATACCACCAGCCCGTCTTCTGCGTAAACAACCACCCACCCATCTGCGATGCATTTGCAGCCTACAGGAATTCACCCATACACACAGGAATTCGCCTATATTCTCTTCTCGATAATACCACCTTCTCACAGTACCTTCTCTTACAGCTAGGCTTAGTCTTAGTGGCGGATTCCACATCTCAATTCCAACCCACATCATCCCAGTCGATCCGGTCCGAACAGTAACACAAATTAATCGCCTTCCATCTGCGCCGACTAAACACTACCCCTCTGCGATGCGTTTTGCACACGCATCTTCCCACTTGTAATCCTGCTGCTAATGCGTGCTCAGCACAACTAAACCGCAACACTTATCCACTCCAAGCAAAAATCCGCACATTAAATTCCAGCGCGCGTAAGGAAAAAAAAAAAAAAAAAAAAACCTCCCCACAAAGGAAAATAACCCCCGAAGCTCCGACGCTGACGGGACGCGAAGCCAGCATCTGACGTAAGACGGCTGATCGCCTGTTGGATTTCATCACGAAATCTTACGGTGAGAACTGACTTACCCGTTGTTGGATCCGCATTTCGATCCGAACCTTATCTTAAGAGATGAGATGAGATGAGATAAGATGAGATGAGAGGGTCTAGTAAGCCAGGGTCTATCTACAACAGGAAACGGCCCTTTTGGTAAGCAGACTACGGACTACACGTCTGCAGTGCGATTGTAGACAACAGGCGATTGTCCGTGTTCCACAATGAGACCGACTCGATCTCTTCCGAAAAGAAAAGTTATGGAACTCGGTAGTCAACGATACTTGCTTATTCCAGTCGAGCCAGCATGGACCAACAATTTAGGCGGCATTAAAAAAGGAAAATGACAAGGATCAAAGCGAGAGAAGGTGTATCAGAAATCTTGCATTGTCCATATCATGTCCACAGTCCCCGTTCCAAAACTCAGCAGCTATGCAAAGGAATGTCGACGAAACAACCATGCTCCTCGACTGATTGTCCATCATGCTATTAACCCCAGACTCAAAGAGATATGTAAGTGCTCAACAATATGCAAGAAATGAACCCTTTCCCCACTTCTGACTATGCACATCGGACTCCTCTTTTCCACAAAAAAAAAGACAAACACACGCATACCATCAGACAGGCAGGGAAAACACCGAGTGGGATATCCAAAGGACAGACAGACATGAAAGCATGAAACGCAAACGCAGGAAGCTAAAGTGACGAGGGTTGGAAGACGCGCTTAAAGGGCGCAAAGACCAAGAATCGCAACTACAATGGCGAGCGCAGAGCCGCTGACGCGGCTGAGGCTGGGCTCGACAGTGGTTGCGGCACCGGTGCTGCTGCCGCTACCGCCCTGCGAGAAGCCTTGCTGTGCGCCGCCGCCGCCGACGGTCTGTTCTCCGCCGGAAGAACCTCCATCTGAAGATGGCGGGGATCCTCCTGGAACTTGAGCGGCCTCGGTGGCTTCAGCACGGTTACCGCCTCCTGGGTTTCCACCAGGAACCATGGCTACTGACTGAGTGGGCTGCGAGGATCCGGACTTGGGTGCCTCGCCAGGGTCTTCACCGGTACCCATCAGGGAACCGAGGATAACTTGGTTGTTGGTGATGGCGACAGTGTTGTTGGTGCCGGCCTTGTCGGTGTACTCGTAGACCTTGTCACCAGACTTCTTGATTCCAGATGGCGCGTCGTAGCATTGCACGGTGACCTCCTGGAAGCGGGCAAAGTAGTATCCATTCTGCATGTAAGGGGAGTTCCAGTCAATCTCGCCACCAGCCCACTCAATGGTACCCTTCTCGTTGCTGGACAAACCGGCAGGCCAGAGGGACAGCATGATACGGGAAGGCGTCTGGGGATAGTCGAAACGTCCAGATGTCTGGTTCCAGGTGTTTTTGCGTTCCAGTGTGCGCAGGTCCTTGCCGTCGATAGACCAGGTGAGGCTGTCTTGCTTCCAGTCGAGGCAGTATTCGTGCATGGTCGATGCTGTGTTGCCGCTGGAGATTGTGAGGTTGCCGCCATTGTTGTCTGCATGCGTTAGTCATGTCTTGCAGCGAGTCGCACATGTCACGTACAGTTGGTTACGCCCTGGGAGTAGAAGTTGGACTGCACGTGGCCAGTGTCGACACCGACCCACTCAAAGTCGATCTCGTCCTTGACGTCGGACATGAGAATGAAGGCAGTGACGACACCCTTGCCCTGAGCGGTGGTGAGCTTGGAGCAAATCTTGCCGTACCAGACATAGTGCGTGGACGCGAGCAGAGTGCCGACGGTGCCTTGGGCCATGGTCAGGAGGGTCGACTTCTGGCCGCTGCTGGGGTCCGTGTAGATGGCGGGGGTGCCCTGCGACTGCCAGTTGATCTTGGAGGCATCGCCGAGGTACTTGTCGATGGACTGGACATCGTCGAGGGTGTCGAGCGAGTAGGTGCCGGACTTGCACACGGGGCCGGGCACGCAAGAGTCGAACGAGTGCGACATGAGCGGGTCGCAGCCGCCGAGGCAGAAGGCGCCTACACCGCAGTCGCCATATACTGTGCCTGGTTAGCAGCGCGCTCGCAGTGGTGTTGGTGGAATGTACGCACGCGAGCAGCAGGGCGTGTCCTGGGGGCAGTGGTTGTCCTTGGTGCACTTTGCGGCGAGGGCAGAGCCAGCAAGTGTTGCAGCGGCGAAGACGGCAGCAATGGCGTGTCGAACCATGTTGGCGGTGGTTTTCGCAGCGTCGGGATGTCGTGTAAGGGTGCTAAGTGCGGAGTGCAGCTGTCAGAAGCCCCGCGACCAAGTGAGTGGTGGTAGAGGGCAGCACAGTCGCAGTCAACTATCGCACGTCGCAGGAGGCCGCAACTTCCCGGCAACGTCACTGAAACGGGAGGCACGATCTGAGGAGGGAGCCGGGATCGAGCGCAGCGAGTGACAAGGCTGGGCAATCAACTTGGTTTGTTTGTTGGCACCCCTGGAATGTCTTCGAGTAGCGAGCGTGTGGGGTGTATTATTAAAGCAAGCTGCTGGTTAGTAGCGAGAGGATACTCCAACAAAGGAGGGAAACAGCGCGGTAAAAGAGGAGGGAGCGTCGACGGGCATGAGACAACTAGGTCAAGGGGAACACGAGATGCCATCCAATCCAGGTGAATCGGCAGCCGCGCTAGGCTAGGCTCGGAAGGACGTGTGCCGGGGAGAGTCCCTGTTAGAAACACGGCAAAATCGCAAAATGCCTGCTGTGCCGCATGCGGATTGAATAAACATCTCACTGATCAACGCGGCTGCAAGGCTTCGAGCAGGGATGCAGCGCAGTCTCGCCGACACCGCACACAAACATGCAGAATCGCATCCACGACGACAGCAACATTTTCACCGCGTCTGCCCTGCATCGCCACCTGCGTCTGCTGGTCTCTTCTAGCGCGGCGCCAGCGTCCCAATCGATAAAGCCCCCAAAGGTATTTTTGGGTCGCACCAGCCGCTCACTGCAGGGTCCACCATCTCCACGTGCTCCCTTCCCCAAAGCATCCGGGGAATGCTGAATCGTGCCACACGACTACCACTCGCAAGGCATTGCGCGACGTCACAATCGCCTTGTTTGCATTCCAGAGACATGGGCGAGGTCGAACCTTAGCCCGTATCGCTGTGGCGCCTTTGGTGTTGCTGCTGCCCCTGAGCGCGGCACAGCGGCAGCCTAGTGCGAACAAGCCGGCGCCATCGGTAGACGTCACTGTACGAGGAGGTATACGAAGGCAAAACCATGCCTTTACACGAGAACGTCTTTGAGACAGAAACACAAGTCGCACAAAAAACTGCAGTTATAAACAAATCATTACCATCGCGCCTTCTTCCTTCTGTGCCTCTCCAAATAGTCCTTTTCCGTTTCCTTTTCCAAACCTTGCTCGTGCTCTTACAATCAAACTCATTCCCCCTCTTCAACCCCCTTCACAAAGTTCTATCGCATAGTCCAAAGGACACATAACATGTCATTTCTCCAAGATTATTAAGCTCTTCTTTCTCTCTTTTTTTAAAAAAAAGAGAGAAACACTCCCCCAGCCCTTTTCCTACTTTCCTACATCCTCAAAATCTCCACCAACGTCCCATTCCTGCCCGCCTCCCTCCCACACGTCCCACACCGCGCCGCCACATACGCCCACTCAAACCGCCCCGTCTGCTCCGACTGCACTTTCGCCGCCGTACTCATACACACCTGCCGCGCCCGACACCCCGTGTTGCACGTCAACGTCACGGAGCCTGTCAAACTTCATCAGCTCGAGAATAATGTCGATGGGAAAGCGAGATTACCCATTTCCTCGTGTTCATACTCGTGCGCGAGTTGCTGCATGTCGTCGTAGTTGTCGAATTGGCCTTCGGGAGCGAGGGTTGCGGGGCGCGAGCGCGTGGGGCATGTGTGGCAGGAGGGAACGGGGCAGATCCAGTGGAAGGTGTAGGTTGGGGAGGAGGAGGAGCAGGGGGATGGGGATATGAGCGTAGTTGAGCCGGAGGTATGAGAGGAAAATGTTTGTGCTGGGGATAGAGATGGAGTCATGGTATTTTTTTGGTTGATGTGGTGGGTATGAAGAAATTTGGGGGCAGGAAGAAAGAGTGGAAGAGTTGTTTTGATGAGGCTGGAGGTGATGGACGGTTGACGTGATGTGCACTGTCGCTTCGGAGTGGCTTCACGTCGGCATATCAAAGAAAGGTTGTTAACATCACAGACTATGGTCAAGCTTCGTCGAATCACCAGTGAAATCCTGGTCCGGGGATATGCATTACTGTCACCTCCCCAAGCTGTCCTTCACTTCCGCTCACGACTCCATCTAGTGTTGCTTGTTCGCATACAGCTTGACATAGCGAATATGCTCGTTGCCCTGCGAGTCTTCATACCTCTCGCTGACAATCTTGTACCCGCCAATCTTGGGCCACACCTTTGTCCAGCAAGCCCAGTACACCACTCCAAGCAGCAAAACACCCACACCAACCACGGGGAACACAATCCATGGATAGCCCTCAGCGTTGCGATCACCATCCGGAGGAATAAATGGCACGAGCGCGAGGAAAACGTTCGCCAGCAAGTAGATGACAGAAATCGGAAGGAACGTGTGCCATGGTGACGACCATTGCTCGCTCTTCTTGAATTGCAGGTAAATCAGTCCAGCGGCGACGAATCCGTTGATCCAGGCGCCAGGGTACGTGTACAGATCCGTGATGAAGTTGTACGCAGGGCCAGCTGGAGGTGCGACAAGCACGATGACGGTGATGAGCCAGTGCAGGAAGAGTGCTGGCGCAGGTGCGTTGAATGGCTTCATCGAAGCCCAGAAGCGAGACCAGGGCAGAAGACCTTCCTTTGCAAATTCCTGGTTCAGGCGGGCGTGTGCGAAACTGACGGCGAGGACGTTGCCCAAGTTACTCAGTGCGACAAAGGCGGGTAAGCTGCGTGCGCCGGCGCTGTTGCCAAAGACGTTGCGGAAAAAGAGACCTGCGACGATAACTTCGCTCTTTGCAAGATCCGACTTGGGAATGGCGGCAAAGTATGCGACGTTCACGAGGACGTAGAGAATGGTGGTTCCTCCGATGGCTAGGGGAGCAGACCAAGCCAATGTCTTTTTGGGGTTGCGGATCTCGCCGAGGACGTAGTTGGCATTCTCCCATCCTTTGTATGAGTACACGATGCGGAGCAACGCCTGGCAGTATCCATAAGCTCCGCCACCGCCATATCCGTCACCGATCTCGAGGGCAAATGCATTGTCAAAGTTGTGCGGTTGATCAATCTTAAGATGGCCAGCTAGCGCAGCAAAGCCGGAGAAGACGATGAAGAAGAGAATGAAGACCTTGAAGAATCCGAGCACGGTGAAGAGACGAATGCCCCACTTTGGAGCAACAGAGTGCAGTCCGACCGAGAAGGTAACACAAGCGATGGCAATGCCACGTGCAGCCCATCCGTCGGGTGACTCAGATCCTGAAGCGAAGAGCACATAGCGGCCGAAAGCAAGACTGTTGCCAGAGGAGAACCCAAGCAAAAGCATTTGCGCAGCGAGAACACATGTCGCCATGTACTTGGGGTGACGGTACACACGCTCGAGGTAGTTCTTCTCGCCTCCAGATCGTGGGATGGCAAGGCCAAACTCCATGAATACGGAGAGACCGCAGAAGGTCAGGAAACCGCCGATGATCCATAGGAAGAGAGACACTCCGACCGAGCCAGTAATTGCAAAAATACCAGAGGGAGTAGAAAAGACTATTGCATGTAAGCACCCATCTTTTTCGCAGAGCTGATTTGGACGTACTTCCGGTACCAATCATCTTGTTCAAGATGACGAAGACAGTCGCAGTGTATCCAAGTTTCTGCGATTCATCGTAGACATACGCCTGATCGTCTTGCACGCTTGCGCCATCGTATGTGGGCGGCGACGGCGAGCCTTCAGTGTCGACAGCCCTTACGACCTTGGTGTCGTCGTCATGTTTCGCACTCATCGCGAAGAGTGAAGCACCGCAAAGGATGCTAGTGTTTGTAGGGGCACCAGACGTTGATACAAGGTAGCACTTGCAATTAGCGCTACCGCAATATGTAAGTACTCCTGACGCCAACGGTGCGTCGTACTAAACCAGTGGAGTGGATGGTGGTAAGCTGCACAATCTGCAGCATATACCTGGCGATACAGGGTATTATAGCCCTCCGAGATGGCGTGCTCGAACGATTCTTCGCACCTTCCATGAGGGATATCTCGCGAAGCTTTTCAGGCCCTTGTTCGCCAACGACCATGATTGCGCGATCGCCAGTGCTTTTGACGTTCTGAGCCTTGGGTTACATGGCACCCATACTGGCGGTATTAAAAGCTACAGCTGAGTGGCTGACGCCCGCCTGAAGGGGAAGGTGGAACTTTGGTCTTGGTGAGATATTTCTTGGTATGCCCAGGTTTGTCCGCTGAGCGATGTCGTGATTACTCGGCACAATTAGTTCAGCAGGAAGGATGCTTGGCGTCGTCCAACAATGTTAAGTGTCAAGCAATCGCCGTACTTTGCGATCCTTTGAACACATGGCTTTCTTGTCGTGAGATCTGGATGTGCTCATCGCGTCTTATGGTATCATCCTGTGGCGTGGCCTCAACTGCGCGGCTCCTTCATGTGTCGGTCTTCACGAAACAAACAAGCAACTGCTGATCGCGGTCTTTCTTCCACAACTTCACAAGAGTTAGGCTTATGAAATAAGCGCGGATTTGTGATGCGGTTGGAGTCTTGAAGATGTTGCGCGAAGACGATGCAGGTGGGGCCGACCGTTAGTGAAGGCGCCAACGAGCGCGCTAATGAAGGCGCCAACGTGTGCGGCTCTTGCCATCACATCGTTGCTGAAGTCAGCCTTCATATGCTTAATGTTATTGAACGGACACAATTACATCCCATTGCATCGTCAAAATTTTGAAGGAAGCTTTCCCTGGCGATACAGAATTGCAATATGCGCCTTCTCGAAAACCAAGCCATTGGCCGATCTCGATCACTGAGGCTGAGATGCAACTTGGGTACGCCCGAAATTTGAGAAACCCTTTCAATGTCTCCTCTCATCTTCGAAGACATTCATGAAGAGGCATATCAGGCAGATAATAAGTAACTGCTCTTGACTGTTAAAAGTAGAAATAAGAACATTAACTTAAAGCAGGCAGTACACCTAATACATAGAACGCTTCATTCTTGTCATGACAACAGCCTGCATAGCATCAATTCTGCATAGCCATTACAACCGCCATAACTAATGCTTAGCGCCTCTAATGCCACGCGGTCCACCTTTGCGCGAACGCGCTAGTATTCTCTCACAGGTTCTCGCGAAAGATTTTGCGAAGCAAATGTCTCAACACAACATTGCTATCTGCTTGGTTGAATGTATTGCAAAAGATCTTTCCCGTGCTTTTCATATAAGCTCGTAGCCCCGCCACATCGGGAAATGTTTGGACCCTTTGATTGGTACTTCCGCGGCTTCGACCCTATTGAACAAGATCTACAATGTTGACGTGGGTCTTCCGAACGGCCTATTTGCAGCGTAAGTATGAAGTTTGGAGCCGCGCAGATTGGCTTCATACTTGCTCGCATCGGTCGCATGTTCGTGGAGGTGGCTCGACACCAATGGCGTGGCAAAGAGCATGCCACGCAGCTAGATCATCCTCATCACCATACCACATACGTAGCTCACCTTCCAGTGCACCTTGGTAGCGATCCCAGGCATCAGCTGATGCAGCTTCTCCACGCTGCCAGCCCTCATGTGCTCGCAAACGAGCATAGGATGTAGCTGGTGGCTGGGAGGGATCATACTCAAAGGTCGAGAAAGAGCGGAAAAATGCATCTAGAGGGGTTTCTGGAACTAAATGGTGAACTGGGGAGTCTCGCAAGTGCTGTTCGAGGGCGTGTTCGCTGTTGAATGAGCGGTTGCAGTTGCCACAGCTCAAGGACTGCGTATGTGCTTGAGAGTCTCGTTTGTGTTGTTGAAGAGCCCCAATAGTCAGGAAAGATCGATTACAGCTTGAACAGATAGATTCCATTGGACGACAACTGTTCAATTGATCTATGGAGCAGAAGAGCATAGAAGTTGCGATGTGAGGTGGACTGGTAACTCAAATCGTACCCGCTATGGCAAAAAACAGCTCTAAGTCGTGCAAAGAAGTTTTCGCTGGTGTCTTAGGAGTATCCGACACATAGTTGGAAGCGTCACACAACGTATGCCCAAATTTGCCCGACTCCAGCAGCGACACCGTGGATCTATGCCCTTCCAAAAACGCTGCGTAACGGTTTTCGCCAATATTGGTTGACCATAGTATTTTCTATGCTTACCCCGCCTCTCTGTGACACCAAGGAGTCCTTCGGGGAGAACCTCCGGTGAAGCCATACAGCTGGGAAAGCTAAGTCTAGTTAACGGTGAACTGAAAGATAACATGTGGTGGTTGCATACTTTTGCAACACATACTGCGTCTCAAAATTTTCAGAACAACCTCAATAGATGCGTTTGGGCTTCGTTCCTGTGCCTTTGTTGGGAGCACGAGTGCTGGTCTCTAGAGTTATCCCTGCGTACGTGTGGACCGTAGCGCTGGATCGCTTTGTTGAGCTGTGAACTTCATATGCAGGACCAGCATACATACCAATGACACCCATGAGTCGGTGCAACTCTACCGGAAATTGCAGTAATGGTGCGGTTACTGAGCGGTGAGGCGTTGACAACACGGCTTCTCGACAGTGCCGAAATATGGTGAAGATTCTCAGAGGTTGTCGAAGGCGACTTGTATTGATAGCTCGCTTCTACTTTCACGATTATCAGCCTGTTACGAAATTGGATCGTATCTAGAAGTAAGGGCAGAACTTCTATATATCGACCAAGGCCTCCCAACCGGTGGCCGAGATACGTGATACACAGCATATGTCAACGACGCAAGTCAAGTACTGCCGTGTTTCAGTAGCTCGCACCCACGCCAAATGCAGTGTTTGCGAGCTTCCTGTCTTTCTGAATGACATGCCACTGCGCTATTGCAAGCATTGTCACCGTCAACGATATGCCTCATAGTATTAATAAAGGACAGGCTCTTCCGAGAGATTGAGAGTCTTTCCTCACTTCACTCCCACTCTTTAATTCATTTACGCTGTTGAGATCCCAATTGCACCTACACCTAGATGGGTGCACAGTCCACAACTACACCCGCTAGCGGGCTTGTAAGCTCAACCCTTCTCGAGAAGATTGACAGGCTTTTCGCCTGCAATGCTGGAGAATACGTTGATCTACCCCAATTGGTGGTTGTAGGGGATCAATCCAGTGGCAAGAGTTCAGTACTCGAAGGGGTCACTGGCCTGCCTTTCCCTCGCGATAGTGGATTATGTACTCGCTTCGCAACGCAGATCACGTTTCGCCGTTCGAACGAAGAAAGTATAGTGGCATCCATCATTCCGGCGAAAAGCAGCTCCCAAGAGAGACAAGAAAGGCTCCGAGCATGGAGCACAAGTCCCATGCAATCGCTTGACGCAGATTCGTTTCGCAAGATTATGAACGAGGTGCGTGGTGCGTCCTATAATTTCGCAGATGCTGACAAAAAAGGTAACGTGTGCCATGGAAATCGGATTGAACACGGTTTTCCGAAGATGTTTTACGCCTGGAAGTTTCCGGTCCGTCTCAAGAACACTTCAGCGTCATCGATGTCCCTGGTATTTTCAAGCGAACGACACAAGGAATGACCACCAAAGAAGACATTGCCTTAGTTGACCAGATGGTACACGGCTACATGTCAAATCCGAGGTCCGTTATGCTCATCGTCGTTCCCTGCAATGTTGATATTGCTACCCAAGAAATTCTCGAACGAGCGGAAGATCTCGATCCTGAGGGCATCCGTACCTTAGGCGTTTTGACGAAGCCAGATCTTATTGATCAGGGTGGCGAAGGTGCTGTTGTCGATTTGTTAGAGGAACGAAAACATCGCTTGCGCTTGGGGTGGCATTTGCTTCGCAATCCCGGGCAGTCTGATTTAAATGCTGAGCGATGCCGACACGCAATAGAAGCGGAATTCTTCACCAAAAAGGCGCCCTGGAACAGTCTCGATAAAGAGAAGCTGGGAGTGCAAGCGCTCCGAGTCCGACTACAGGCAATACTCGAGGATCACATTCGTCGGGAATTCCCCAAGGTTGGTCAGAACATGTCACGCAGAATTTCGACGAGACTGATGTTATAGGTCCGATCTGAGCTGTCTCAAAAGCTGAAGATAGCCGAGAAGGATTTACGCCAATTGGGTCCAAAGCGTCAGATGCGCGAGGAACAGTTTCAATATATAGTTGATGTTGCTATTCGATTTCAAACCCTTGTGTCAGACGCACTGCAAGCCGGATATAGTCGGGCAGAGATGTTTGGAAGCAACCCTACTCTTCGGCTCGCTACTCAGGCAATCAATCGAGGGGAGATCTTCGCCAAGGCCTTAGGGAGTCATGGCCATGTATACCAATTCCAACCGGAGAACACGTCCATTCAGAACGGGATCTCGACGCTCACAATGCAAGATCCAGAGGAAGTCGGGGTACGGACGATCAAGGATCATCCAGACATTGAGGATCTTACTTACGTGAATATCTCAGTTTCAGCTCCATCTGGTGCTGACATCATCGATTGGATCCACGAATTGTACCGCGACTCCAGAGGTTTTGAGCTGGGAACATTTGACGCTACTATCCTGGGTGTGATATTGAAGGATCAAGCAGCCAACTGGGGCCGTCTTGCACACGGATACATCAGCGATATGATTGCCTTGGTGCATAATTTCATTGTCGAAGTGCTGCAGCAAATCGCCCCCAGTCGTCGAGTCTCGGATGGCATCAAAAGCTTGCTCTTGGACGACTTGACCAAGATGTATCGAGATGCGATCGACCACACGCAGTTCCTCCTCGACATTGAGCTGAACGGGACTCCTGCTACGTACAATCATTACTTTAATGAGAATCTCCAAAAACGGTACGTCATTTGTTAGCAGACCGTACAGTGCTGATAGACAGGACAGTCGTAATGCACGTCTACACGCAGACCTGGTATCGAAGAGTATCACGGACTGTAAGCATGGAACAGTGGTGCGTTTGGACGACATTGTTCAGAGCCATCCCTTGAGCAATGCTAGACACACCACCCTCGAGATTCATGACATACTGTGTTCTTACTATAAGGTTGCCAGAAAGCGGTTCGCTGATGCGGTACGCATGCAGGTCGCTGACTGTAAGCTCGTGACAGGAGCGAAAACGCCGTTGACTCTGCTCTCTGCCCAGCTCGTTGCAGGGCTTGATCATGAAACATTGGAGGACATTGCCGGTGAAGAGTTGCAGACAAAGTATGAACGGTCGAGACTTGAGAAGGAGATCAGCCTGCTAAGAGAAGGGAAGAAGATCGTTGGTTGAGCCTGCACAAGATCAAACCTAGTTAACTATTTAGTTTCGCTATTTTGAAAACTGCCTTGACTTGTCTGCTCGTCCTAGCGTTCAAGTTCTCGTGGACAGCTTCTCAACAATGATTACCAGTCCCCCATTGTTGCTGCCGTGGTGGTGTTTTAAAACCCAGCCATGGTCTAAGGGATATGAGGTTCATGCGTAAGTAGGAAAAGAATGCGCGCGCCATCCACGTGCTGGCAAGCGTCAGGTATCTGAGGATGGGCAAAGGCGGGGGCGGGTCAACTGTGCAACACAGACTGAAACAGTCTACCAACAGCGTCAGCGATGGCTCGCTTACTTTCTACGCTTGGATGAACTGAGTAAAGCTGTGGGAAGACCCCTGCTTGTCAAACACGTGCGCAAAAACATCAGGGGCGACACTGATATCGGATGTCACTGTACCTAATGTACAATACAGTACACAGCACAATAGCCAATTCGACTTCTTATCACAGACAGCAGCATCCGGTATACCTTCTTACTAATGCCTGCCGCAAGTCCTGATATGGACTCATGGGATTGCCATGTGCATTGTTTCGATCCGGCCAAATACCCTTACAAGACTCCTCGATCCTACACGCCACGACCAGCACCACTGGGCGTACTCCGCCAGAACCTCCTCACGAAGAATGTTATGCTAGTTCAAGCTACCATTGAGCGGGACTTCGCCGGGATCCTAGCGAAACTGGAAGACTGTCGGACAGCTGCCTTCGAATTCCCTGGAATGGTGCGAGGCACCATTTTGGCCGGCCCTGAAATCTTCGCCCTGTCTAATGAGAAGGTGAAGCGAATGCACCTTCTGGGTATTCGTTGTATTCGACTACACGGGTCGTATGGCGGATCAGGTCATGACTTAGGATGGGTGCAAAACGAACTGCAGGCACTGGCGGCACTCAAACCTGTTCGAGAGTACGGCTGGGCTATCTCTGCTCAATTGCCACTTGAGACATGGTCTCACTTGAAACCATTCATTTTGTCAGATCCACACCTGGCTGGAATCACCATCGTGGCTGATCACGTAGCCTGCGCTACTCCTACGGACTATGGAAGCTCGGCATTACAAGATTTCTTAGAACTTCTTGGGTCCGGGAGAGTGTACATCAAGATCTCGGCACTGCACCGTCGCAGCCCATCCGATATCCGCGCGATGGAGCCTGTCGTATGCATGCTTGCGCAAAACGCGCCACAAGCCTTGCTGTGGGGAAGCGATTGGCCACATGTGAACACATCGCACAACGACTTCGAAGAGGGTCCGCTTGAGGGCGCGGACGCATCGCATGAATTGGCTGTTGTTAAGAGCTGGCTGTCGGAGAAGCAAAAGCAGTGTATGCTTGTTGAAAACCCTCGACGTGTTTTCGGTATCTAAACTACATGGACCTATACAGTTGTTTGGAATGATATCGGCACTCTCATTTCAGTTGTGTTTACCCCGCACATGAGAATCGGCCACTGATCATGCACCGCTACCTTAGTCAGGTCTCCGCATTAGATTATGGCAGATTTCGGCCACGTGACCGACGTGACCGAAGTGGCAGGACCCACACACAAGCCTTTGTGGTAAGGCTTATTTACTAGTGAATGAGCTTGGGAGCTACTAGAATGAAGCTTATTACCCCAGATTACCCCAGAGCAAAGCACTCAGAATTGCATTTCGCATTCTGTGTTCTTCGAACGTCATTTCATTCCTTGAATACCCAGGTAGCCAGCAAGGATTCAAGATGACACTTTCTTCTACCAAAGATATGACTCCTGAAGATATTGAAACGAAAGCCGACGCTGCGCAGCGTGTGTGGACCGAGAATGTCGACCCTATCGACAAGCCAGGTACTGTCATCGACACATACAGATCATACCTCCCGGAGTACCGTGATGAGACAGAAAAACGTCTTGTGCGGAAAATTGACAGGCGTCTCCTTCCATTGGTGGTCGTTATCTACCTTTTCAACTACCTCGATCGCAATTCAATCACCCAGGCACGCCTCTATGGGCTGCAGAAAGATACGCATGTCACTGGAGCGGTGTATCAGACCGCTATCTCCATCTTCTCAGCCGGCTACATTGCTATGCAACTGCCATCCGCTATGCTCATGACAAAGCTTCGGCCTTCCAGGTTTCTTGTGAGTCCCAATATGCTTCTACAGCATCTTACAGATGAACCTCAAACTGACATTTCACGCAGCCCTCCTGTATCATTGGCTGGGCTATCGTTAGCGGCTTGACCAGTGCTGCTAATTCGCCTGCAAGTCTCCTGACGGTGCGATTTTTCCTGGGTATGATCGAAGCACCATTCTTTCCGGGCGCAATCTATTTGCTCAGTTGTTGGTACACTAAGCGGGAGCTTGGCATAAGAATGGCGTTGCTTATATGTGGAATACTTCTATCGAACTCTTTTGCCGGCCTTATATCGGCAGGCATCCTGGCGGGTATGCAAGGTGTTGGGCGGCTGGCTGCGTGAGTCGTCCAGTAACATCCTCTGGTATGCCATTATAATACTAACCTTTTTGTGAATAGTTGGCGATGGTTGTTCATTCTAGAAGGGCTTGCCACAGTTGCATTGGTAAGAACAGTTCCTCAAAGTCAGTGATATGCACGAAGTCTAGTCACTAACACATTCGCAATAGGGAATCATCGCCATGATATTCCTTCCAGACTACCCGGCCACCACAAAATGGCTGTCAGAAGCCGAGAGAGTCGTCGCTCAGGGCCGACTTGCTGCAGATGCCGGTAGCGAAGACGTACTAGGCGAAGAAAACGTCAGCATATGGCGCGGAATTGCTCAAGCAACAAAGGACCCAAGGGTGTGGTTATTTGCGTGTCTGCAAATGGCAACAACTGCATCCATATCCTACTCGCACTTCTTCCCGACTTTGATCCAGCAGATCGGATTCAAGAACAGGACTACGGTGCTGCTGTTGACCTCACCGCCGTACCTCTTTGCCTTCGTTTGGGCGCTGAGCTTTGCTACGGTCGCGGACAGGAAACAGAACAGATCAGTCAGTGCTGGCATTTCAGCTATTGTAGCCATGCTAGGCTCAGTTCTCATGATCACCGTACTCAAGAATCCCTGGGCACGGTACGCGTTTACATTCCTTGTATGCGCCGGCACGTTCGGTATCTACTCTACGACCTACACCTGGTTGTCGTCAACAATTCCAAGACCTCCTGTGAAGAGGGCTGCGGCGATCGGAATCGCAAATTCTTGCGCCAACATGGCATCGCTGTTCGCCAACTACTTTTGGCTTGATGAATACGCTCCGGAATTTAGAGCTTCGTGGGGCTGTACTTTGGCTTTCCAAGCGCTAGCCTTCTCCTGTATCGTTGGTCTGCGCTTCATTCTGAGGCGAGGCAACAAACGCTTTGAGAAGATCATTCAGGAGACCGATCCCGATGACAGAGCTGCAATGGCGCAACTGGACGACGATTCGCAGCGGGCGGTGCTCAATGGCTTCCGGTACATTACGTAGGTGGGATCCTTAGTGGTCGAGTAGCGATTATAGAAGCTCGAAAGCGAAGGGATTTACGATCTGAGGACAAATATGTCCAATGGTCGTCGGAAGATTTGAAGACCGGTCCAAGCGGAATGCGAGCGATAATAAATACCTGAGTAGAATCAGATTATATGCATGTCCAACGGACTGATGGCCATTGTGTGTAACAATTGTATTGTGTGCAGCATCTTGCTACAGCGACCAGATTAAAGACATATCGTTCGCTGCCAGAAGCTCTCTAAATGCGAGCGATTGGGAAGGCGTACGTGCTAAGTATCTCGTCGCGGTCTTGGCTTCCACTTCCCTAACGATGAAGACTAACATACCGAACAGCATGCGCCACGACTTTTGCACGAGCTACATGTGCCGAAATGCGATTGGGGCTGTCGGCGGATGTCCGCCGCAAACTAGCGTCGCAACACCCCAAAATTTTAGCGCATCGGACCCCGTCCGAAGTAATCTGGGGAACATCATCCGATTTCACCTTGTTTGAGTCAGGACTCAGGAAGATCTGGAGAAGGGAAGCCGCTGTACAAAATGGACGCCATATACACCTACGATAAATTATCTACACTATTCAATCAATCCCCATCTCCCACCATTCGAATATCTGACCACAACTGCACCAATTCCACAACTACACCGCAACCATGATCACCCAAGATAACCCCTACACCCTCTCCAACCCCTTCCGCACGCGCATCCTCTCCGGCGATGTCTGCGCGGTAATGTCCACCAAACTCGTGCTCAAGAACGAAATGGCCATGCTCATGAAAATGGCCAACATCCACGGCGCATTCATCGACATGGAGCACTCGACGAACGACCTGCACACCGTCGCCCAATTCGTCCTCGCATGCACCTACTGCGGCGTATCCCCCATCGTGCGCGCGCCCAACAAATCACCAGAAAACCTCGCGCGCATCCTGGATGCCGGCGCTGCTGCCGTCGTCATCCCGCACGTGGATTCCCTCGGCGGAAATCAAGGCGCTTGTGCGCGCAGCCAAGTATGCGCCGCTGGGCGACAGAGGGTGCACGAATAACCAGCCGATTCTCAACTTCCAGAAGGTGCCGACGTTCAAGCAGAATGAGTTGCTGAATCGCGAGACCATGCTGATTCCCATGATCGAAACGCCCGCCGCGGTTGAGCTGGTCGACGAGTACCTTGCCGTCGACGGCGTGGATGGCATACTCATCGGTTCAAATGACTTGTGCACAGATATGAGGATTCCAGGACAGTATGACAGTCCGGTGTATCAGGATGCGGTTGTGAAGATTATTGCGGCGGGCAAGAAGGCGGGGAAACCGATTGGCATTGGGGGGATTGGGCCGCGGTTGGATCTGCTGGAGAAGTTCTTTACGATGGGCGCGTCATGGTCGTTGAGTGGGGCGGATATGGCCATGTTGCAGGCGGGGATGCAGAAGTTGGGGAGTACGTATGAGGAGTTGAATGGGAGGGTGAAGGAGGCGAGGGAGAAGATGTAGATACCATTTTTATTTTTAGATCGTTTTCCAAATATCCATCAACTAGTTTTGCAAGCTTTCAACGATCTTGCTTTTCAACCAGTGTTTGAGTGACCTGGTGTCGGATCTGTAAACGACGCATGTATTCATCCACCTAGGCTTCCTTCGAAGCGCGGAACATTTCCGTCTCTCAATACCACCACCCACTCCCGAAGCAGTAACCCGGACCTACTTCACATCATCAACCCGATAAAGTACGGCATCTCATGGATACCCTAGATCCCAATGGTCAAGCTCAAAGTCCTACCATTGCGTCAAAGGCTTACCAGGCCGCGAAGCAGCCTTGGCGTGCGTCAACGGCGACCAATTTTCTAGCAGCGAAGTCCTCGGGACGAAAACATTTCTGAACAGGCACAAGCGATATTGCTGATCTGTGTGTGAACGGGTCGGCCAAGTCCCCCGGCATCTACAGTGGTGTATATGTTATGCATTATTGGGGAATGGCGACGATGTAGTCTGCAGCATGAGGTCTTCCAGGGCTTGCTGGAGTTCAGTAGTCCCGCAGTATGTCCTTTCTGATGCAATTGCAAGTCATCCAGGTGTGTACAAGGCAAATTCCGCCATGCATGACTCCCTGCCAACGGTGCGAGGTTACTGCATGTGACGTGGGTGGGTCCCAGGATACTGCCGGGAGGAAGATACCCCATGGGGGGCTCATATGTGGGTATATGTATGTCAGGGAAGTGTAACCCCGCGATGATCAGCGGAACCACGTTTAGTTGCTGGCTCGAACGTTGATCTGCGCGCGATCCATCCTGGAATCTCGACGACCTTATTCTCTTTGACATCTGAGTCCTGAACAACTAACACTGATACTCGTGCGTGCTTCGTGTTCGGATCTCCTCACTGAGCCAAATCCAGCAATGGACGAAAAGCCCACAGCAGCACGCCTCTCGCGTTCAACCTCGCCATCTCTCCAAAACACCGCTCTACACTCCGAAGCTGCCCGTAAATCCTCCATCACAAGCACAAATGGCAAAACGAAAACCGAAGAAATCGCACGCATCGACGCCCTGGCCACCGCACCCGGTGTGAGCTTGGCATCCTTCGCACATCTCGACGAAAAAGCCATCCTCCGAAAAATGGACCTGCGATTAATCCCCATGCTCGCCCTCCTCTACCTGCTCTCATTCCTGGACCGCGGCAACATAGGAAACGCCAAGATCGAAGGGCTTACAGAAGACCTGGGCATGAGCGGCGCGCAGTACAATTGGTGTTTGACCGTGTTTTTCTTCACGTATGCTGCGTTCGAGGTGCCGTCGAATCTGCTTTTGAAGAAACTGCGGCCGAGTGTGTGGTTGCCGACGATTATGGTGGCGTGGGGGATAGTCATGACGCTGATGGGCATAGTGCAGAATTATCATGGACTGCTCATTGCGAGGATATTCCTCGGGGTGACGGAGGCTGGGCTGTTTCCGGGCGTTGCGTATTATATTACGATGTGGTGAGTATATACAGGCGAGTGTTTTGGGCGCTGTGATACTAAGGTTGATAGGTATGCGAGGCATGAAGCCCAGTTTCGACAAGCGCTGTTTTTCAGTGCTGCGAGTGTGGCGGGCGCGTTCTCCGGGCTACTGGCATATGGCATCGCGCACATGGATGGTGTAGGAAACATCGCCGGGTGGAGATGGATCTTCATTCTTGAGGGGATTCTAACTGTGGTCGTGGCTATTATTGCGTACTTTACACTGTACGACTTTCCTGAGACTGCGACGTTTCTGACCGAAGAGGAGCGAGCATTCGTAGTGTACAGGCTCAAGTACCAAGACTTCAAGGATGAGGGAGAAGGCGGAGCAGTCAGAGTCGCGCAAGATGACAGTTTCCAGTGGAAGTTTGTGAAAGCCGCATTCCTGGACTGGCAGATCTGGACTAACGTATGGGTGTATTGGGGTAAGCTGTCTGATGGCGTTCTCCATTTGTGTCGAATACTGACAAGGACAGGCATCGTTTGCCCCTTGTACGGAATCTCGCTATTCCTTCCTTCAATTATTCGCGGCCTTGGATACACCAGCTCCACAGCGCAACTGTTGACAGTACCAATTTACATCACGGCTTCGGTGCTAGCGGTTGCAGTAGCGTGGTTCAGCGATCGCGTGGGCAAGCGCTACCCATTTATCCTCGTATGCTTGTGCATCATGGCGGTCGGATTTATCATGTGTGTTGCAAGCGCGACCCCAGGAGTTATCTATGCTGGCGTGTTCATCGCTGCATGCGCGTTGTACCCGGCTTTCCCAGGCAACATCACATGGCTCAGCAACAGTGAGTTGAACGACACTCGACTTTGTGGCCTGCCGGCGCTGACTCTCTGTTTAGATCTTGCTGGATCGACCAAACGAGCCACGGGCCAAGCCATCCAGATCGCTGTAGGCAATCTCGCAGGAGGTATGTTTAGTGCTCTCATCCACTCATTCCAGGGTATTGACAGCCCCAGCCATGGCTTCCAACTTCTATCGAGCGGAAGACTCGCCACGTTATATCCTCGGGCATGCGCTCGAACTCGGCTTCATCGGCGCGGGCATCGTGGCGTTGCTGGTGTTGGTGTTCAACTACAAGCGCATCAATAAGAAGCGCGAGAGGCAGATGGCTGAGGGTGCGCATAACGGATACACGCCGGAAGAGCTGGGCGCGTTGGGGGATCGCGCGGTGACGTATCGGTACTTCTTGTAGCAATGTGACGCCAATTCAATAGTCTTGTATTCCCGTCTCGCCAGTCAAGACCTTTTCTTTGCCCTCGCCGTCCGAGTCGAAGTCGCTCTCCATGCTCTCGAACCATGCGTCTTGGAGGTCCCGCTCTTGCTCTGGGTGGTCATATTTGACGTTGCCATCCACGTTCTTGTACTCAAAGTCGTCGTCTCCGCCCCTCAGGAAGCGCTGAGTCATCTCGTCGACCCACCATGCGCGGCCTTCGTCCTTGGTCATGGGAATGTCGTCCTTGTCTTCTTCGAGGATCTGGCCGTCGGGGCCGCGGTTGTATGTGAAAAGCGAGAGGGGATCTGGCTGGGAGAGGGCGTCCTTCTTCGCCTCAGCGCGCCAGAGATCGGATGCGATTTGCCCCGAGGCGCCCTTGCGGCGGCCTTCAGCTTCACGCTCGGCAGCAGTCTGGAAGCGGCGGATGAGGCGGTCGTACAGCAGCGGATCGGCGAGTTCGAGGGACGAGTCGGAGAAGTATTCGGGGTGCACTTCGAGGTACCGCTTTCTTCGGTTCTTGGCGGCCAATCTGGAGGCGCGCTCTTCTTCTTGCTGGCGCGCCTCGAGCGTCGACAGGATCTCGTCTTCCTCCCGCATGGCCAAGTCTTCTGGTACGGGCACAATCTTGTTGGCGTCCGAGAGGCCATTGGAGGTCGCGGGGTTCTGGTCGTCCGAAACATTCGGCGCAGTCGCGGGGCGAAATGCAAGTGGCGCCATGTTGGGTGTCGCAGTCAAATACGGCATGCTCGGATGGTGGGCGAGGAAGCGACTTCAAGCGGGCGAGGAAGCGACTTCAAGCGGGCGAGGAAGCGACTTCAAGCGGGCGAGGAAGCGACTTCAAGCGGGCGAGGAAGCGACTTCAAGCTGTGCGCGAAGCAGGAAGCAGCTCATAGATGGAATTGATAATGACGCCACCCGAGCGCTAGGCCCAGAAGGTGAGACAGGGACCACTCCACCTCCGCCCTAATCATCGGCGTTTCATCCATGCATCAAACCAGTTCGCCAGGAACAGCTGGCTTTCTTGGTGCTTTGCTTTCTATCCTCCCCCGTCGTTCCTTCTTCCGCCCTGTTTTCGTATAGACTGCCCTGCCTTCTGTCTTTCCTCACTTCGCAGGCCGAATTGATCGTGCCGGCTACACGGTCCGCGACTAGAGGAACCCAAGCTCGAGCCGCTGAGGACATCTGTCTCTTTTATATTTGGTTACTGTGCCTTGCGATACCCCTGCTTTTTGTTTACACAAACATTGTTTTATAGAGAAGGAGAGAAGGAAACATCTGGGAAAGAGATAGAAACGGCACCATGTCTTCAAGGCAGAAAACACAGAAAAAGCCCAAGGCTGCAAAGGAAGCGCAGAAGCAGACGGGGCAGCTTCCACCATCAAACGTACTGAAGAACGTCAGCCGTGCAGCAGCAATTCTGTTCCTAGCAGGAATTGCTTCACCAATTTCCCAACTCAACCTGTCGCCAGTCTATGGATCCATTCCAGCATCGTTGCACCATCAGCGGGCCATGACCATCACCGCTGTTGGAGCCCTCATCGCCCGACGAGGATTGAAGAGATACATATCTGCGGACCTGGCACAATACATTGCTGTTGTAGCGTACTGGACTCCAGTAATCCAATTCCTTCTGTTCCCGTACAGCGGAAAGCTGGGCATCGAATACGGCCCGCTCATCCTCGAGTCGCTTACATACTTTCCATTGCTATTTCTATCCATGTACGCTACAGCCGATCTAATGGAGTCGGTCGATCTATCTGAGTTCAATCTACCTTCATCCGTGGGAGAGGCCGCATTGCCCACAGCAGCCTACTTCACCGTCTCAACCGTCGCAAAAACGAGCAGCACTCTTCTCCCTGACCTCATCGGCACGTCGCTCTACTTCACTCGCATCGGGTTCCAGATGCTCATTGCGTCTGCATCTGCGGTTCTCAGCCCTTCTCGCATCATCCTCTTCGCATTCCCCGCAATCTTGCACACGCTCTGGGCCAACCCACATCACATGTCCGATCATGGTTTCCAGCTCGCAAACAGCACACTGTATGCCGCGGAAAATTACACGATTCTTGCCCGTCAGGAGTCGTTGACAGGCTATGTATCCGTCCTTGAGAACAACGCAGATAACGCATTCCGCCTCCTGCGCTGCGATCATTCTCTCCTTGGCGGCGAGTGGCTCGTCACACCCGAAGCCTATCGCAAAGGCCAACGTCGACCTGAATCCATCTTTGCTGTGTTTGTACTCCTTGAAGCCATCCGCCTGGTGAAGCCCATCGATCCCTCGGTCCCTACACTGGACGACTCCCAAAAGTCCGCCCTGAACATCGGCCTGGGCATCGGCACTGCACCAAACGCTATGATCGCACATGGCATCAATACCACCATTGTCGAGATAGATCCCATGGTCCATCACTACGCCACTAAGTACTTCGGCCTCTCGCCAGACCATACCGCAGTGATCAGGGACGCAGTATCCTACGTCGCCCAAAAGTCCGTCTCAAACCCTGCAAGCTTCAACTACATCATCCACGACGTCTTCACCGGCGGTGCAGAGCCCGTCTCCCTCTTCACAACCGAGTTCATGCGCGGGTTGTACAATCTGCTCAAAGACGATGGTGTTGTCGCCATTAACTACGCCGGCGATTTATCACTAGGCTCGACACGCCTGGTGCTCAACACCATCCACGCCATCTTCCCCGCCTGCCGTCTATTCCGAGACCAACCTGCCCCCGAAACCCTCAAACCCGGTGAAGCGGATTTCATCAACATGGTTGTCATTTGCGTCAAGAATGACGGCGGGAAGGGCAAAAAGGCTATTACATTTAGAGAGCCGCTGCAGGAAGACCTCTTGGGTAGTATTGCTCGGCAGAACTTCTTGATGCCTAAGGAGCAGTTGGAGGTCAAGTATGATTATGTGAAGCCTGAGGATGGTGGTAAGACGATGGGCAAGGCTGATGTGGGTGAGCTTGAGAGGTATCACAAGGAGGGCGCGGTGAGCCATTGGAAGATTATGAGACAGGTGTTGCCTGCGGGCGTTTGGGAGATGTGGTGAGCAGCAGATGAAGATACAGGCAAGAATTGGTAAGAGGAGTGTAGTTGGAACTTTTGGATGTTTTTGTACATACTGGTAGTTATTATCTCTATACTTGTACTTTTCCTTTGGCGGGCGAATCAAGAAATCTATTGCATTCTTCATGTTTAAGCCGCCGGCGAGCCTAAAGAGTGTCGGGAAGTTGTGCAACAAATAGAAGTATTAGAGACGTCTTGATGCACTCCTTGTTGATTCCGAGCGGAACACAAATACAGTCACTCATACACCAGCTGGTACTTTGTGCCTTCTCCGAAGGTGTTGAGAACGAATTGTGAGGTTCAAATGTGGAGCAACGTCACAAGCAATTTTCGCACCTTCCTCATCAAGCCAAACCCCGCATCGCGCGCATATGTAGTGCGGCTACCACAGGTATTATAGATCGATAACCACAATCGTGCGCCCTACCAAGAAAGTAACGGTATTTATAAACATGTTCCTGCCAACAGCATAACGTGTAGTATTAACCAACATTCGCAATGCCGTTCGACATCAGCAAAGCCCGCGAGCACTTCCCCGCACTACAGCAAGACCAGGTGTACTTGGACAATGCTGGAGGCAGTCAGGCACTGGGAGAGGTGATTCGTTCGTAAGTCTACATACATTCCCAGTGAACTAGAGATTAACAATAGTGTAGCATGACAGAATACCTGTCCAAAACCAACGTCCAGCTCGGCGCTTCCTACCATACAGGCTCTCAAAGTAACACCAAATACGAAGATGGATATCAAGCCGCAGCAAAATATCTAAATGCTGATCGCAGTGAGATCGGTAAGCTGTATACTTCATCACACTCCCAGCAATGTCTAACAAAGCTCCAGTTCTCGGAGCATCAACCACCCAGCTCTTCATGAACCTCGCCAGCGCGCTCAAATTCAAGGAAGGCGACGAGATCATCTTGACCAAGATGGAGCACGAGACGAATGTCAAGCCTTGGCTGTACATGGCTGAGCGCCTCAAGCTGACGGTCAAGTGGTGGGTATCGTCGAAGGAAGACGGTCTGAAGCTTACGCCGGAGAATCTGAAGCCGTTGCTTTCGTCAAAGGTAAAGTTTGTCGCATGCACCCACGTGTCGAACATTCTGGGTACCATCCATGATGTGCGCGCCATCGCGGATGCCGTGCACGAAGCCGGCGCTTTACTGTGTGTCGACGGCGTGAGCTTTGCGCCACATCGCAAGGTTGACGTGAAGGCGTTTGGGGTCGACTTTTACTCGTTCTCATGGTACAAGGTACGCTGGAATGACCGTTCAAGAAGTCGAGGCTGGCTGCTAACGAATCGTAGGTGTACGGCCCTCACATCGCCGTCTTGTACGCCAGCAACGCCGCCCAAGATCACGTGCAGCCGTTGGCTCACTTCTTCAACCCTACAAAGACTCTCGAGGACAAACTTGGCTTCGCAGGGTCTAACTATGAGTGCGTGCAGGCTATCCCGCAGATCACGAAGTACCTCGATGGCGCTTGGGATGTCATTGCTGAGCATGAAGGCAAGCTGCAGAAGATTCTTCTGGACTTTCTTAATTCGCGTCCGGACGTCACGATCATCGGTTCGACATCAGCGGATTCGAAAGAGCGCGTACCGACAGTTTCATTCACGGCAAAGGGCGTCAACTCAAAGCAGCTCATCGCAGAGGCGGAGAAGATCTCCAACTATGGTTTCAGGTGGGGGCATTTCTACTCAAAGAGGCTGTGCGACGAAGTGCTTGGACTTGAGCCTGAAGGCGTTGTACGTGTCAGTATGGTGCACTACAACACCGAGGAAGAGATCAAGGGTCTGGTTGAGATTTTGAAGAAGATTCTGCCACAGGTTTGATTCCTTTACTGCATTTACACAGCAGCTATTTCCCGGTGCAACATCCTGCTTCGGAGAGACGAAACAAGTCCTTTGACCCCACCTGCACGCCCCTTTTGCCGACTCTTCTGAAACGCCTGCTCAATCTCGTTCAAGCTCTTTCCTCTTGTCTCGGGCATATATAATATGCACATGATTGCCGTCAAAAACGTGCAGCCGCCGAACAAGAAATATGCACCATACGCGCTCTTCGCCAATAACGTTGGTGTTACAAGCGCAACCACGAAATTTGCAACCCAATTCGCGCCGTGTGACATGCTCGTGGCTGTAGCGCGCGTGTGTTGCGGCTGTATCTCCGACGAATAGATCTTAATACCCACGGCCCAGGAGATGCTGAAGATGGCCGCGAAGAGGTAAATGCATACAATGACTACCCAGCGCCCTGCTCCTGAGGATGCATGGACTGCGTTCCCGGCATACAGACTCCCGATAAGAAACATGACAGTCGCCATGCCCAGACCGCCGAAGACGGTGTTGGTGCGACGGCCCCATTTGTCGGCCCACATAGTTGCTGGTATAGTCACGGCGAAAATGACAAGTGCTGAGACGCCGGAAGCGAGGAATTTGGCTTCGTTGGAGGCGAGGCCGGCTTGTTGGAAGAGAATCGGAGCGTACTGAGTATGGAGTTAGCTTGTGTATGATAGGATCGCGGCACAGCAGACGTACGTATAAAACGCCATCGATCCCGCTCAGCTGCTGCATGCCCATGAGGAACATGGCAAGGAACAGCCTTGGTCGCGACTGGGACGAGAACACATCCATGATCTGAGCCTTCTTCTGGCTTCGCCTAGACACATTGGTAGTGTTGCGTTGCAAATTCTCCATCGCAACCCCAATACTTGCAGGCTCAACGAGCGCGGCAGAATCGTCCAGCTGCTCAAGGATCTTCTCCTGGTCTGCCGTAGGTACACCTAGCTTTTCCCACGCCGCAGCCGCCTCTTCAGCCTTTCCATTAACAGTAAGCCAGCGCGGCGAAGGAGGCAGGTAAAACAGCGTCACCGCTGAAAACACAAACGAATAACCCGCCAGCAGAATGAACGGCAAGCGCCACGAAAACGACGACTCCATATTCGTCGTGCCATAGCACGTGAAAAATCCAACCATAAGTCCAGTCGTGATGAGGAGCTGTGGACCAGTTGCGAGCGCACCGCGATGCCGGGCTGGCGATATCTCACAGATGTACCTACTCACCGGATTAGCTCGAATTTCGTATCCATATCTGGAAACTCACACTACCACCGTCCCAAGAAACATCCCCTCCCCCACACCCGCGAGTACCCGCCCCGCAACAAACATGCCCACATGCACACTCGCCGCCTCCACTGCAGCCCCCAGGCCAAAAATCCCGGATCCGATCGCAATGCCGCGCGTGCGCCCCAACCGATCCGCTAGTTTGCCAGCGAAGAAGGAGGAGATGGCGGCGGGGATGAGGATGGAGGAGACGATGAGGCCGTGGATGGTCGGCGATGGGTTGCCGGTGTAGGATGTGAAGGACGGCATCACGGTTACGGGGCCGATGATGCCCGTGTCGTGGCCGAAGAGGAAGCCGCCGAGGGAGCAGAGGAGGGAGGCAGTTATGTAGCCTGGGGGTGAGGGGAGGTTGGCGAAGATGGCCATGGTTGGTAGAGTATATAACTGGCAGACAGGTGGGTGTAGTGTGATTGAGGAAATCCTAGGTAAGACGGGATGATAGGAGATGTATTCCAAGGTTCCGCTGCTCAGATTGTATTTTTCTCGGGATTTGTCTTTTGAGCTGGATCTGTTATGCGTGATGGTGTCTCGCACTGAAATGGTGAGGGGTTAGAAAGTTATTCCCGCGTTTGCATAGTGGCTGTCGGATTGCAAGGTTGGTAAGCATATACGAAATTAGCCATGCGCTGTTTCGCTCATGAAAGCAGTACACCTATTTAAAGGTATCTTCAAAGCTGTCGTAGGTAAGACCCTGCGTCGATAAGCTGGCGGATCCTTTTCCGGTCGTGGTTAGCCTGGAAGAATCTGCATGGGTCCACCGTCATTACACGCGTGTAAATTCAACAAGTTCTGGACTTATCAGACAATAACGTGGAGGGCAATGTTTCTCACGTCACTGCTTATCAACATGGTTCTTTGAGCCCTCGCGAAAGCTCGGCCACCTTGTCCAACATTCCACAATATGCCAACATGGCCTGACCTGACGCATCTTTGTGAACATAATAAGAGGCAGCTTGCTGCGGTGACAGCGGCACGAAAAGACAAAATTGTATAGCTCTTGAGCAAGAATATAAGATGCTTGTGTGGTACTGCGAGAAAGCTTGGGTTTCATTTTTGAGTTACAAGCGAAGTGTATAAAGACGAAAGGATAAACTCAACAACACAGGAAAAAGACTTGTGATCAAGCAGCGACTCTGCTTCAGGAAGAATTCGGTTCTCATATTTTCAAACCGATAACACTCTTGACCTTAGTTACGCTGCCCAGGTGCCTATGAGCTCTCCAAGCCCCCATGGTTCACCATCTTCTCTTCTTGTAACTCTCTTTGACTGGCAACCTTTCGTCATCAAAAAAATGCCTTGGATGAAAACACCGTACACTTTTACCCGTGGCCGTGGTCCTTCAGGAGCAGGTGTAGAGCTTCAAACAAATGTCTCTGGGGTCTGTAGTGTAGGGCTGCGGTCCGTAAAGCCCGCTCTTACGTTAAGGTCTTGTAGCTCGCGCTGTGCGTGTCTTGTTCTGCCTTTCTGCCAAGGCTTGCTCCTTCTCCTTAAGCTCATCTTCTTGATGGGCGACCTTGGTGCCTACATTCCTCTTTTTCGGGCGTGAGGCTTTCGACTTTGTCGAAGTAATACACGCAATGCTGTTGCTCGGTGATGATCTCGTTGAGTTGTTCGCAGCTGCTCGGTGCTTTTGTCGCGGGGCTTCCTCGTTGCGCTCCCGAGACCGCGTCGAGTTCGCGTCGCATCGCGTCACGGGCGACTTTCTTTCACCAGCATGTTGATATTGGCGACGTCAATGGCTGAGATGCTGAAGCCCCGCGCCTGCTGACAAAATCACGTGGAATGTCTTTGTCCTTTAGGGTGTTCACGTGATTACAACCTTGGGGATGCCTCTTTCCATCACATCTGCGCAAAGCAAATCAACGTCGATTATGAGCAGCACAACGAGCGTGAAGAGCTTGGCAGAGACCACCATGCTCGTATAGCAAATACTGCGAACGGCAGCCTGTGCTAATCAATGCGGCCATGCCCCGCCCAGGTTTCTTTCATTGCTCTTCGCTGAAAGAAGAAAATCCGGCCGAGTTCCTAACCCGGACTCACTCATATCGCAAAGTCTTTGTTCATTTCCAAAGGCGTCTAGCTAGGCGAACTCGATACAGACGACTTTGAGTCACATTTCTTGTTCTGTTCATGAGACTCGAATTGTGAAAGAAGCCCTTTGTTCAAACAATGATTGAATTACTGATATAAATTGGAACTTCCGCTGGTCAGTCTTCTCTACTCATCTATCCATTTACCTGTTTACTTGTCTTACAACTATTATCTATCCATCCAGGTTTATTTCCCCGTAAACATGAACACAGATCAATCAACTCTCTTGTGGTCACCCGAAATAGCTTCGCGTTCCAAAAGGCAGGTCTTGCTAGAACAGTGGGGAACAACCGATCCGATTGAAGCATCGAAGAAACAATACCATCCCATCTTAACACCTGTTCCTGCTTTGGAGACATGGACTACCTTGAAACCTACGCTGAAACCGCATGGTCTGACACTTTTTTACCAAGTGCATTCAAGTCCGCCTATCCCATCTATAGCAGAAATGTACGACGGTGTTGCAAAGGACAGCCTCCATCAAGCCAACATGGGCAATCATGGCGTATGCAGACTGGGAGATGCTGTTGTCAAATGCAACTTTGACCCAATTATCTTAGAAGAAGCTGAGACTCTGCTTTTCCTTGCAGAAAAGCGGCCTGAGCTGCGCATACCTACTGTCTTAGCTATCTGGTCGGCTACAAAAGAGAACGGGGACATAGTTTATTGCTTTATGATGAATCTCATCGAAGGCATTCCGCTTAGTCACAACAAGTTTGCAGAACTGTCTATCTACGCACAAGACACTATCTGTGCCAAAGTGTCCTCGCAACTCCGCTACCTCCGCGACCTGCCCTCAGAAGGCTACTACGGCCGACCTTACCGCAAAGGCTGGATACGTGCAACACCATCCCTAGACACAAATACCAGCGGCTTCCTAGCTGTTACAGGGCCGTACGAAACCTACGAAGAATTCTGCGCAGCTATATACCGTGCTCGGCAACTGAAAGACGCTATGTCCAATTCACTTCCAGAGTGGCATCCTACAGACGCAGAATTGACGGCTCGTTTTATATCTACCCTCTCTGGCTGGGCGCCTAACGAACCAAAGTTCACGTGGATAGATCCGCAGATTACCAACATAATTGCGCGGCAGGTTACAGCAGACGACGGAAGCGAAGACTGGGAGGTCTTCCTAATTGATTGGGAGGGCACGGGCTGGTACCCTGCGTGGCTGCAAGGTGTACAACTCAGCGTCCGTGGCGGCATCGCGCTAGTCCACGGCGGAGGAGACTACAGTATCCACAGAGGTCGGGAACCTGTAGATATGATGTTGAAGGACTTCGACCCGAAACCGGATGAGGAGAGGCTTGCGGCGATTCGCAATGACTACTGGAGGTTTTACTAAAATTTCCTAGCTTGGTTGAAGATGCGACTCTTGCGGGCAAGAGAAGCTGCTTTCGCCTACAATGAGTTGTTGAGAACAGACTTTTCCTAATAGATCGACTCGCACACCAACAAGGTAAAACTGATGGTCGCTTGGATTCCTGATCAAGAGTTGGCGTCGGCAAGTCTTTTCAGTGCCTCTGATTTAGTCGTTTTTGAATTGCTTGTAGGTGTTGGACAGTGGGGTTCAGGTGGTTTAATATAGCTAGAATACTCTGTTTCATAGTTGGTTGAATATATCTTGTTTCATATGTCTATCTCATCACTCCAGGCAGTCGTTCGAATAGATCCAATAAAATATCAAAAAATAGGTGCAGCCTATAGCCCTATCGCCTCATAGCCAACATGGAAAGAGCTATGAATGGATTAAGAAATACAACTTTTTGTTGTTACACCAAGTACTAATACACAGCCCTCTTCGCCAGCAACCAACCAAAACGACTCGCTGCAGTGATAAAGCTCCAACATACACTCTACTTCCTCTCCCCTGAGCCACGCCAACATCTCAAAGACCTTGCACTGCCCAAGTAAATGATACCCAGTCCGTGACCTTTACTTTTCTGCCTGCATTTACCTCCGAGCCGTCCCCACGCCGAAATCTGTTGCCGCAATGGAGATCCGCGCCTCCACCTTAGGTGATCCTCGTCCACTGCCCCCCAACACCACCGTGATGAGCGTCCAGAAACGCAAAGAGACTATCCCGCCAACCAATAAAAGTAGCATCAGGATCCAGGCCGTTCGGGGCGGTATGGTTCTTGGCAATCTGCTGAAACATTTTCTCATCACTGAACCAGCCATGTTCTTGGACGGTGAATTCCGGTGATTTGCCAAAACAGTCGTCGATAGCGTGTCGGTGATCATTGTACGAGAATATTATGCCGTAATGGAGTTCGATGCATTTGCCGGCGGTGTGGATGAATAGTAGCTTTACGGGGTTCTCGAAATCTGGCAACCTGGTGGAGACGAGGTGGCCAGGGAGTTGGGGTTCTGAGACGCTGCTGGATGGTATGCCAGGAGCGGCAGGCACACCGGCGGGAAGTTGAGTAGTACTAGTGACCAGATCGGAGTCGTCTGACATGTTGATGTTGGTGGGCTGGAAGTGAGATGAGAGATTTGGGTAGGTAGTTTGATGTGGGATCGATGGGGTAATGGCAGTGGTGAAAAGTGGTTGCTCTAGATATCAGCAAGGTAGTGGAGATGATACGATCGTTTTATGATATGTCGATGAGGTTCGGTTCATGTTTGCAAGACACTGCGAAACTACACATAAGACAAGAACAAAGACATTGCAGAGACATGGCAAATGACCCGGAAATACAGGTGGTTTGGCAACAAACACGCAAAGAGACTGATTCACGACGATGCGATGGGTGTGTCATTTTATGTTGTTACAACGCAGCTTTTTTTATGAGGATCTAAAGTAACTACATACTTGTATGGTCAGAAACCAATAATTGCCTTCTAAGGCGAAAAAAATAGAATAACTCAGAGACAGTCAAACACACCTGTTCATCTCAGAGTTCTGTCGTCCCCTGATCTAATTTGCTCATTAATAACGCTCCTATTATATCACTCGAACCACCCAAAGCAGCAGCAGCAACAAACACAACACAGTTACAATTTGCAAGTAAACATATTTACTTGCTTTTCAAGGCTTTCCAAACGGTCTACTGCTTGTCGTGTCTGTCCGAGACACCCAGATACAGCCTCGTGTCGAATCGACCAGGACGCAGTAGTGCTTGGTCAAGCAAATCTGGCTTGTTCGTAGCACCCGATGACGAGCACACCCTCGCCGCAGTCCCTCACACCGTCAACAAGACTGCCCCCCGTCGCATGCACGTGTAGGCTCTGGGCCTTCGCATGCATGTGCGTCCTCTCCAAGACTGCTTCCCCATTGCATCCATGTGAAGGCTCTGGCCATCACATGCACGTATGTGTTCCGCCCGCGCTCCCCGCGTCCATCAGCCGCTTGTGCCTGCCAAGCCTGCCACACTTCTGGCGTGACGCGCACGCGACGCGACAGGCCCCGCAGTCGGTCAACCCTCGGTCCCGACTTATCTCCAACCAGACGCACTCGCAGCCCACGCGCACCCTCCGGACGACTCTGCCCAGGTGCCTTCATTGCCATTGCTGACGTTGTCCAGACAGGAGGAAGAAATCATGTCCCCCTTGGAACACCTTGAGCAGAGTCGGCCCGATCGCTACTCGTGTTGGACAAAGGCTGTCGTCAGTTTCAGTACCGTAATCTCGGCCCAACTTCTGCAGGCATGGCCGAGGGCGTTATACACCAAAGGTAGGCCGCTGTGCTTGCAGTCCGCATCGAAATGAAGGTTATCACTGTCTACAGACATGTCAATCGAAGTCTGTTCCACCCATGGTTAAACTTTCTCAAAGACCAAATGCCCAGGTAATTGGCATGCATCGGGGCGGAAATTCCCCGGCGGGCATGGGCCTGCACGACTCTTCGCTTATCCGCCAACGACCTCGATCTGGAGTTACCCCAGATGTTTCGTTTTACGCCAAACACACCATCTCATCTATCCCATCGCACGGCTCATAGTAGCGTCTTCGGAATGTTTCCAAACACCAGGTGATCAACGATTACCCCTCCCGCGTTCGGAGAAACTACAACCGAACTGCACCAATAACGGCATTTTGCTAAAGAGCCGGCGGACTGGGGACCTGTCACTAACAGCATTTGGGGCATTTAACCTTTGTCTCAATATGTGCGCGATGCTACATTAGTGGAAGGACAGCTTCGAGAAGATGTTACGCCGGGAATTGGAGAGAAATGATGTCCATGCTTGACATGGATGCATGACAACCGTACATGAAAGGTGGCAACTGATCATCAAACTCGAGCAGAATCCCCAGTTCTATAAGATGGGGGCTACGTCTCCCGGAAACCAAGCACTGGATCGTGCCCATCGGAAGAGCTTGTCCGAAGCTACAACCACTTCAACATGCGCGGTATCCAATCTTTGTGCGCCTTTGGCGCATCGCTGATGGCACTCACTGCCGCCAGTCCCGTTGAGCCCCGCGCGACCACGTACAACAACCCGGTCCTCTGGCAAGATCACCCGGATCTGGACATCTTTCGTGTTGGCGACGTTTTCTACTACTCTTCGTCGTCATTCGCCTTCTCACCAGGTGCTCCGGTCCTGAAATCGTACGATCTGGTAAACTGGACGCCTGTCTCCCACTCAGTGCCCACACTCAACTTTGGCGACAAGTACAACCTTCCTAGCTCCACCAACCGCGCCTATGTAAAGGGAATTTGGGCAAGTACCTTACGCTACCGCAACTCTACCGACACTTTCTACTGGTTGGGTTGCGTTCAGTCTGAGGGCAAGACCTTTGTCTGGGGTTCGAGCGGAAGTAACGCAAAAGGCAACAACGGCGAGGTCTCGGCATGGAACTGGACCGCTCGTGGTACCCTTCCTACCTGCTACTACGACGCTGGACTCTTCATCGATGATGACGATACCATGTACGTTGCGTATGGCAATAAGAACATCATGGTTGCACAACTCAACAAGGACGGGACGGCTGAAGTCAAGAAGCAGCAAGTCTACACGTCGCCAGGTGGCGAATCTATTGAAGGCTCGCGCATGTACAAGAGGAATGGATTCTACTACATCTTCGTTACCAAGCCCGCCGATGATGAATGGGTGTTGAAGGCATCGAGCCCATGGGGACCGTACGAACGTAAAGTCCTCATCGACAGTATTGCTGGTCCCCTTTCCAATGCTGGAAACGCTCACCAAGGCGGTGTCGTTGAGACTAAGGATGGGAAATGGCATTACATGGCCTTCCTGGACTCGTTTCCCGGTGGCCGCATTCCGGTGCTCGCACCGCTCAGCTGGTCTTCAGATGGCTGGCCGACGGTTGAGAGGGTAAACAACGAATGGGGCAAGTCGTACCCAATGCCGGTACAGACAAGCAAGACTGTGCCACCACCAACAGGCCTTGACTCCTTCACGGGCACATCCCTTAGCCACGAGTGGGAATGGAACCATAACCCCGATACCAGCAAATTTGCGCTCGTTGGTGGCTCGGGCGGTCTTCGTCTACGATCTGCCACAGTTACCGGTGACCTCTTCACCGCACGTAACACGTTGACCCACCGCATCCTCGGTGCCAAGTCCTCCGGTACATTCAGAATCGACATCAGCAAGATGGCCGACGGCGATCGCGCAGGTGCCGTTCTCTTCCGCGATGTTGCGGGCTACATTGGTGTTCACAAAGAAGGAAGCACAGCGAAACTCGTCATGGTCAACAACCTGAACCTCAACACTGACTGGACTACCAAGTCCACCGGTACTGTCGCTGCGACTGGACCGACGCTTGCTGCATCTACCACCGATCTTTACCTGCGCATCCAGGCTGACATCACACCGGCGTTTGGCACGAACACGGCGCGACAGGCCACCTTCTGGTACAGCACGGATGGCACGACGTTCACGCAGTTGGGAGGTGGATTTGGGCTGACGAACACTTGGCAATTCTTCACCGGATATCGTTTCGGTGTATTCAACTTCGCCACTAAGGCATTGGGTGGAGAGATCACGGCGAAGAGCTTTGAGCTGAAAAGTCTTTAGTCGTGTTAAATCTTTGTATTGAGCTCATACTGCCAAATTCGAATTATCTCAAGCATGCTCTGTCCCATTCCGGTTAAGACCTCATCAGCATCTTGCAGTTGACTGCATGCTGACATTGTTATCTCAGGCTCTACGGATGCACACACGAATGACACAGTGAAACTTCGCTGTCTGTCTCTGTGACCATAGCGAATGCTTCTGTATAAGCATTGGTGTATGTCAGCTGAGTTGTACAACTGATAGCATGCATATGTCATTCAAGTCGCTTGTTCAATATCACATCACAAGTACGAGCACAAGCTGAATAGCAACCATCACGCGCTGGAAAAGCCGCTGCGCAGCAAACAAGCATGCTTCGTATATTAAGTGCCGTATGCTCCATGCTTTCTATCATTCATCTCAGACATCGATCAAGACGATGGCGCCAGCACCCAACGATCCAGTGTCAGCTACAACGCTTACGCCAGCACTTTGTGGATATTGTCCTAATCCAGCTACTTTCACCTGCTCAGGCTGTAACAACATGCAATACTGTTCAACAGCACAACACCCTCTGCGGCACCTTCCAGAACTTCCAACAGCGACCGAGCGATGATCACTACCGATCGATCTATTTCCCGCCTAATGAGACGCGCCCTCGCTTTATATGGCTGCTTTGGACAGGCACTCGGGGAGGTCAATTTCCCGACAGCGATGACCTTGCACGTTACGTTGCTGGGCAAGCCTCAGGTCGTCTCAGGCTCGAGGAATACCATGGACCCAATCGGTCGTACTCAAACTTCGTAGTCATACAGCATGACGACAACATGTTCAGCAATCGTCAGCCCGCAAACCGGTGCCTTTTGCGCATGATCGGTGCTGAGGCTGATCGTTGGCTTGGAGACTATGTAGCCCACGGATACAAATATCTCTACAGCGACGATCCGGACGCATATGACGCAGCAGACCAAGATCTGGTCACCGATGATTTCCCGTTGATTGCTCTCGATCTGGACACGACGTCTTTGGGGCCCATCGTTGCGTACTTGAAATGGCGTGCACAGACCGAGCTACATGCCTTTCCATTTTGAAAGGGGTCCATGAGCAGACAGACGGTGAACCAGTCTGATGTTTTGTTTCCACCATGGGCTTAGAGCAGCGCCGAAAAACACAAGGCAACAGGAAAGACCGAGCACTAGATCAATCAAGAGCTTTATTTAACATTGGCTGACTGTGTGCATCGTTTAAGCGGGTCCCAGTTCTGAATACTAAACGCAAGATATCGAGAACGGTATAGTATCGTGGGATTGATGCTAATGTCTAGCTAGTCCACGTTGACTGCGCCGTAATTGCGCGAGACTTTCGACTTATCGCAGTATTGCAATGTTCTACACATTATGATCATAATGCAAATCAGTCCGGGGAGGCAAGCGGCCTTCTAGTGGTGTTTGAGCTACCATGGCCCCGCACCTGCGGTTTCCGGAAGCATTTCCGCACGGGACGGCACTCAAGATCACGGACCGGCACTCACGATGTGACCCGGTCCGCTCTCAGCCTCCTCATACATAAATCTCACGAGCCTCTCTTCAACCCCTGCACTCTCAACTCTCAGCTTTCACAACATCCAAACAACAGCTTCACACCACCAAATCTTCACAATGGCATCCTTCAAAGTTGCAGTCTACTTGTACCCGCAAGCTGACCTCCTCGATTTCAGCGGGCCTACAGAGATCTACTCCTACACTCGCCGCGATGGCGGACCCAGCCCATTTGAAATCACTTCCTTTGCGCACCACAACCCAGTCTCTTCGACCAGCTCAGCCTTGACGTACATTCCGAATGCAACTTTCCAGGAGATTGAACGCAAGATCGAGGACTTCGACATACTTGTCATCCCCGGTGCAGGTTTCGATACTATCGAGGAGATGATCAAAAAAGACGAGGCTAAAGAGCTGTTCGCACTGCTTAGGAAGTTCGTCGCAAGCAAGCCCAGGGAAGCATCGGGAAAGCGCATCTTGCAGTCTGTCTGCACTGGCTCGCTTTTGCTCGCTGCGTCTGGTGTACTTGCTGGACGGGATGCGACGACACACCACTTGGGCTTTGATGCGCTCCAGAAGATTGCTGATGATGCGGCCGGTGGCTCTTCCAAGATCAACGTGAAGAAGACGCGCTGGGTCGATGGTGGCAAGAACGAAGCGGGTGTACGAATCATCAATGCTGGAGGTGTGAGCTCTGGTATTGATACGAGCTTGTTCATCGTGGAAGAGCTGGCTGGGAAAGAGCAGGCGGATTGGGCGGCGGAGCTCTCGGAATTTGAGCGGCGATCAAAGGGTTGGAGCGAGTAGAAAACTCGTTTCTGGTATCACGAAGCATGAGTGAGGAATGTGGGTTCGGGGCAACTAAGCATTGGGTTATACCATGTGTATTAGAACTCTAAACATTTAAGATAGTCGATGACACTCTACACCGCCAACATGATGAGATGTCAAAGCATAGCCCAGTTACATCCCAGTTACATGGAACGCTCTTTGATTGAATGAATTTACAAGTGCATGGATTTGGAGTTCGTAGCCGTGGTGAATAAGAAAATTCAAAGAGGGACACTATGTCGTTCGTAAAGTCAGAATTGTACAGTTTCGATCTCTCAATAATCGTCCCAAGAATCAGCAACATCATCCTCCGGTGCCGCGATGCGCTGCACAGTGCCGCGTTGAAAGTCAACAGGCTCGTCTTCGTCCTTCAAAAGATGAGCGGCGGTAGAAGAAGAACGTTGAGCAGAAGCGCCTTGATGTAAGAACAACTCTCCAGCTTGGTTTCTACCATGGCCTTGCTCCGCAAGCTTGACATTTGCTACCAGCGCTGTAGCGCTGGCGGCACGGTTCTTTTCACGTCGCCGCTCTTCGGCTTTAGTATGGTATGGTAGAGCTCCACGCGATTCTGTGGCAGCTACCTGGCGCTGGAATTGGGCAAGTCGTTTCTGTGGAGCGATCTTGAGTGCTACGTTATGATTGTTGCGCCAAGTGTATGTGAGCTTGGATGGAATTTGATCACCGAAAGGCGGGCCAAAGAAGGCTTCCTCGTCCACTTCGTCTTCGTAGCCAGTCTTGTACTCGTAGTCGGACGAAGATCGGTGGTTGTCAAGAGCTACGCGTGCATGAGAGGCTTGACGCTCAGGCAAATTGTTGATGCTGTGCTGCAGTTTGTCTCCTTGGTCGAGCTTTTCGATGTACTTTTGACGCCAGAGTTCGAAGCACTGATAGGCAGCAGAGTACTCCTTGTTGAGAAGGTTGCGCTCTATTTTACTCATAGAAGACAGAAAGGGAGCATTGCGGACTGCCTTTTCGCTCACCTCCGCCCAACGACGGACAGGTGCAGGTTCATCGCCAGAAAGCTCTTTCCACCACGATCCGGTACCACCAACGCCATGAGGCAGCTGTCCACGCCAGTCAGAGTCGTCCTGGTCATCGACATCGTCTTCTGCATGGCCCTCATCGTCTACTCCCAGGATCTGAGCCTCAGCGCAAAAGAGACAGAACTCATAAGCTTCTTGTAGCTTCTGGAAGTTCTTGGTCGCCTTCTCTCGATCCGAATCGATAGCTTTATCCGGGTGTTGCTGCAGTGCAAGTGTTTTGTATGCGGCGCGAATGTCGGCTTCTGTGGCATTGCTCTGGAGACCGAGACGGCGATAGTATTGCTTTCGTTGCATCATCTTGTGTCGGGTTGTGTGAAGTCGGCTCGTAAGTTGATGAGTTGCTTGTTGCAGTAGAAGGTAGACACGATTGTTGTTTGTTATGACTGTAACCGTGCAGATGTGAGGATCACTTTTAATTCTAGTAGATGGTGAATCGGAAGCTGCTACAGTGATCGATGTGTGACTCACAATGTACAATGTTCTGTAATCGGAAGGTCGAGAATCTTCACTATGTGACACCATCAGTCGACCCAAGGGATGAGAGTGGCTCTATCATTCTTGTACACGACCTCATAGCTAGGAAGGTGAAATCAAGCATCTGGAACAGTCCCGGGAAGCATGTATCTCACATGCGCCGACCAGTTATCAGGCTTGGAGAACATGTGGCATGCTCTCACGAGCACGACTTCCCTACGCATCTCCTCTACCCGATTTCTCCTGGCAGTCACGAAGCCGGCCCGCCTCAAATCGACACCAGCCCATATGAGACTGCCAATGCAGTAAGCGAGGCATATCATAGACAGGCCTCCGACAAACACACACCCTTTCACAGCGGCTTTTGTGTACCCGACTCCAGATGTAATAACCTCCTCATATGTCGTACAAAAGTCCCAGGATACGAGGAACCTGTACAGTGGCGTCCAAAGCGATGTATCCTTAACCATCCAGATCACTAAAGCGTTGGCCACGTGAATTACCAATTCAGTTCGCAGACAAACAAAGCCGACACGTGTGATGATTGCAAACCAAGCGCACATGTGGATCCACCACAATTTCAGAGCCTCGATAAACTCTATGTCATCGCCGTAGAGCTTATGAAGCAAGGCGCTGTATGGGCCGGCATCGGTATACTCCCGGATATAGCGAACAGTCAGGTCAATGGCTAGTCTCAGCATTGTGATGTCCGCGACCCGCTTTGCGGTTCTTATCGAGGGTAATGGGACGGTGATGAGTGGAGTGCGGCACATCGGGCAATTTGATATTGCACGTTTTTTCATCTCTCGAAGACACTGGTGGCCTACAATGTGACGGCATGGCTGTAATCGCAGAGGGCGGCATGGTATTTCGTTGGCATCGAGTGGGTCGTCTTTTTCGCCAAACTTGCGCCAACAGGCACAGCAGGGCTCATGAGGGTCGCTGACTGGATCGGCCTTGTACTGCTGAAGGTATTCAGGAATCATGTATATTGGTGGTGGTGGAGCCATTTCGTCCTTTTTTTGGTCCTGATTTTCCTGTAGAGTGGGTGTTCAGATGTATAAGAACAAGCTGCGGAGAGAAAGCGCGCGCGCGAGCATAGAACCTAGGAAAACGTTGCCCAAAAATCTAAACCATGGTACTGGAGTTCGGATATCGGAGGTTCCTAGGAAGGTAGGGGAAACTAGATCAGGACACCGTGCTGGTACCACACTTTGGGTCGTCGAAACTCCCCAGGTCCGCTTTTTACGTCATCTCATCCGGCACTTGTGATGAGTTGGAACAGCAAAGAAGCCTTTTCCCTTGGCCACGGATAGCACATTCTAGATACTGCTGATTCATCAATACTGCTTCCAACGATAGGGACCGCGCGTACATGCGACTCGGTAAGAAAACCGAAGACAGCAGAGAAGTGCTAACCAACGGGTGTCTTTCGATCTTCGTGGCATAGCACAGCGATTTGTACCCAGACAAAGACACCCTCAGATGAGCGCTAAGCCAAGTCATAACCTGTAAAAGGTTGAGAGGAAAGTCATGGAGACCATGATGTGACGACGATCGATCACGAAGGGCCCTAGTCATTGACATTAATAGTATGACATGTCGCTGGACGCACTGAGAGATGAGAGACGGAGCCAAGAACATGTAAGCTAATCGGCGAGAATACTGAAGCTGAACGTGCACTCGTGAGGTAGTTGGAAGTAAATAGCTTTCCGGGACCAAGAGTGCTGATCGGTACTGAGATAGATGCGAGGATAGAGAGGTGTCGTGAAATTCATGAACCGGAAGCAAACCTTTGAAAGATTCGCCTCATTATGTACCATATCCTTGTCCCAAAGCCTCAAGACCTTTTACTGCGGATACCCCTGACCGCCCTCAGCGATATATGCCGACAACCTCGGGAAAAATGATGCGCTGTATTCCGAGTCGACGAATTCCCGGAATTCGTAGATCTTATCCTGGGATTCTGTCATCTTCAGCATGAGGACATATTCGTTGCCGTAATGTCCGACGACAGAGTCCGCGGAACTCTTTGCTTGAATTGCGACTCGGTTGGCGCTCTCGTCAACAAATGTGTCGATGATCGTGACGTTGAAGTTCTTGAAGTAGGGGAGGAATTTCGAGAAGTATTCGTTGTATTCGGTGTTGTTGTATGAAGCTCGGCCCAGTCTATCAGGATAGACGCGTTGGATGCAGTTTTCGGCGCGAGGAGCCAGGATGGCTTCCATGTTCCATTCATTGTACCCCGCGACTACTGCGAGCGCGGTAGTGAGAAGTTTGGAGGTGCTTTGTGATGAAGCCATTGTATTTGAAAAGATCTTAGGGTCTGCTTTCATGGGTTACACAAATGGTGCGGTGCCATGGATATATACCTAAGGCAGAGCACATGCTTACTGATACCTAGGTAATGAGCTGACTGCTGAGTGAGCCAGCCATGTTCTGCATTTAACCGACCCTAGGGTGCCAGGCAATGCTTACACTTTCCGTTAGCCTTCACCTGTACCCCGCAGAGAACTTGATAGAGTAATTAGCTTCTAGAGGAAGGTCACGTCCCGCATGGGAAACTATGTTGTCTAGCTTAGGTTTCATGCGAAAGTGACTGCATGCAGATGTGTACCGATGATATCAGCAGCAAATTACAGACATTTGTATGCCGATCGAGTGCTGCCGTCAATAGATAGCAGGGCGCAACCTTGAATGTCACTGCCCATATTCCCCGAATTAACACCGGAAGACCCATGACGCTCCTCGCTATTATCAGGCGGATAGATAGAGAGCACTTGGCGGACTTCAGCAGCTGATGATTACCGAGGCATAGCGCGACATTTCTGCTGCGTAGAAGCAATCTTTAGTCGCGTTTGATGCACCAAGGCTGCGACGCTGCTGAGTAGCTAAAATTAGTGCTGACGTCACGTGAAGCTAATGTCGGCAGAACTTCAACGGCTTCCACCGATCCCTCCAACCTCGAACGCAATATTATAGGGGGCATTGTCAGTGCTATCATCTGTCGTAAACTCTTGCCCGAACAGTGGACTGAAGTATAAATGATATGCAGCCTCATTGGGTTTCTTGCCTACAAACGTAGAAAACCTTGACTGATTTAGCGCTTTTGCACACAAACTGAATTTCTCGCAGTCTGACATTCGTGGGACGGGAACGTGAAACATGCCGGGCTTGGTGTTGTCGTTCATTGAATTGTTCCTCAACATCATGAACGCCGAGACATTAATCAACCCGCCGCCCGAAGTTTTTATGGAGAAGTGAGCGCAACTTAAAGCCAGGAGCTTCAGGGATCCGGGACATGGAATGTAAAAAAAACAGTGGGGGTAAATTTGGTGTGCCCTTTCGAAGATCAAGGTTTCACATATGCGCACCTGTGCGACACAGGTTTATAGCCCTCGATTTAACTCCAGATTATCGTAATTGTCGCGCCCCGTTCCTGATTGACAAGCTCGCGCAACTTGGTGATGGTCAAGCACTGCAAAGGATATCGCCTTGCCAAGAAAGGAGAATATTTGTTAGGCGTCGTATGCTGTGGATCCTGACGCAATCCTTTGACCGCGCGGCCCGTCCCCGGAGGGCCTGCACAGTGTGCACAGGAGACAAACAAGAGAACATTCGCATCGCCCAGATTCCGCTTCACACATTGTCGAGCGCGGCAGAGAAGAGCACTCTAATCGGTAGTCTCCTAGGGCGTCGATTATTGTTGGAAAGCTTCATGTCCACCAACGTGTCATGGGGCTGGAGGCGTTTGAAAACAACTTTGGCTTCTCCTTGTTTCTCTGGTCTCTCGATCCGATCCAATGGCCGAACGTCTGATGCCCAGGTGGGGTTTGGAAGTCAAATTAAGCAAATGCTCAGTGGTGTAGGATAACCTCACCACCCACAGATCCGGAATAGGCTCGCGGCCGTTCGGTTACCAAGCTTTCGATCTGTCGCTTTCTCGATCGATGGTGATCGGGCTGCCCAGGTGATTGCGGCCACTCATTACCGGATTGTCAGTCAATAATTCTACTCATGCCGACAGCAGTGGAGACAGCATGCAAAAAAAGCCATATGGCAAGGTTGTGACAAGGTTGAGATATAGAGATCGGCCTGAAGCTGCGTAAGCTAGCACTGATCATTGTAAGCTAAGGTGCCATCGCCGACAGGGAACGTACCTGCCTTCAGCCCACTCAATGAGTTGACGCAGGCTTACGCAAAGCAGCAACTCATGGGCCTCCATGTCAGTGTCAGTGTCACCATGACAGCGATAATGCCCGCGCCAGAACCCAAAAAGAGAAATGCTGAGCTCCACATGTGAACACTGATAATAGGGTGGTTCGACAAAACGCGCGCCCTATGTGCCACTGAATGTGTGCGTCGTCTCGCTTTCTTTCGTTGTGCTCTTCCTTTCGCTATCGTGTATTCCCTTTTGTTCAGACACTCATTTGCTTCAAGATGCTGGGCGGTAACAGACAACACTATTACATCGGACTGGCCGTATTCATTGTGTTCGCGTCATTCACGATCTTTCTCTCCCGGCAGGACGACCATGTCCTGTACAACCAGATTGGAAAGGTGCCTTACAAATGTGCATCTACTGGCGTTGATGGGTTTGTTGCACCACTCTTCGCGTTGATGTCTTCTAACATGCGACAGGTCCGCGAAGCCTGCTCTCAGCGATGCCATCTCAGCAGTGTTCGATTCCATAAAACACGATCCCTCAAACCCCGAATACATCGACGGCTCCGGCAAGAAGTTTGTCGCCAACCAAACCATATGGACGAAGCCCTTCGGCAAAAGGCTCCTCATTGTCGATATCGACACCCGTGTCCCCACCGACGAGAACCAGATCCTCAACCCTGCCAAGCTTAACTTTGAAGAGATGGAAATGCGCGGCGGCGGCCTCGTCTCCAACGCAATCATGAACCACTACATGTACGCTATGGTCCATGGCTATGACTACAAATACTACCAAGCGCAATCGATTCCCGACCACTACGACACATGGATCATGCCGCACGCGTTCCGCGACCTCATCGAGGACTACCAGTTCGTTGTTGCCCTGGATGCCGACGTAGTCCTCTCGCACATAGAAGTGCCTCTAGAATGGATGTTCAACCGCTGGGGCATCCAACAGCACACGTCCATGGCACTGCCGTGGGACACTGAAGAGATCAAGAACGGCGTACCGGTCAGCCTGGACAGCAAAGGCCTGCGCGTCCTCAACACAGGCTTCGTCGTAGCCCAGAACTCGCCCACGACTATCGACATGCTCGAGAAGTGGCGCGACTGTACCACGGAAACGCGCTACCACGGCTGCGGTCGCTGGAAGCAAGAGTGGTCGCACGAGCAGCGCGCTTTCTCAGAGTACATCCGGTATGACTACAACTTCACCGCCGAGACGATCGTTCCGATTGATTGCGACGACGCGGTCGGCTGGCCCGGCTTTGCAGCGGACAACCCGCAGAACCCGGGCATTAGCGATTGCTCGGGGAACTTTGTGAGGCATTATACCCTCAGCAAGAGCAAAGTGAAGGATGCCGGAATAATGAGCGTCATGAACCCGCTCGCAAATATCTTGCAGACACAGCTGCTCAAGCAACAGAGCTCTGTGTGGTACAAGGAGCCTGAGAGAGTCGAAGAGGCCAAGGACGAAGACGAGTCAGGGAAGGCAGCCGAGAACACTGAGGAGAGAAACGAAGAGGAAGAGGACGAGGCATTAATATTAGTGGGTCTCGGAAACTAGCCGATAAAACTACTTCACCCTCCATCACGATTTTTACTTCATGTATATACTACACATCTGGGGATAATTCGGTGTTTGGCTACAGAGATACCACTTTTGATAGACATAACACCAAGAAACAAGTCTTCCTTGTTACGAGTCAAGAAACGCGCTGCTGTCAACCCGATCCTGCATTTCGTCAGCAGTTCCACGGCATTCTCACAATCCCTCCCTCTCCTTCATGTCGATCTAATCAGAGAAAGCTATCTTCGTCGCAGAATCACAAAGGGAGAGGTGATCTACACCTCTCCTGCATATGATCAGCAAACTGCGCTGCATTCTCACAATCCTCTCATCGTCATCTTCAAATTGCCACGGTTCGTGACTCCCCGCCAGATCCTGTATCTCATCAGCAATTGCACCGCATTCGATAAATCCCTTGCTTTTCATTATCAGTCCCATCAGAGCTATCTTCGTCTCGCCATCACCCGCTCGATCCGGGCTAATTCCACAAGGACCAACCACAAGACAAGTCGGGCTCGGGTCAAGTGTAATTTGATGTCATCATTGGGAGTGTAGACTACACACGGGAAAGAGAGGGTGTGACGTACCGAAGTGTGATGGATTGAAGAGTGAAGGTAGAAGGCAGGGATGGGAGACTTAGGGGAAGGGAGCGATTAGTCAGCTAGCGCGAGGGGGAATTCGCTGGGCAGGCACGTTCCACACTTGCACATGAACTTGACACGATAAATCTGAAAGTCGAGTATGATGATCTTCATTTACTGAATGTAGTGAGTCGCTAGTAGCGCTTGCGAAGAGTGCGCGCCGGCACTGCGCAGGACATTTCATCCGCGAATATGTCACAGTCGATGACGCATCTCGTTTCCTTCATCCTTATTTCTCACGTCCATCTTCCCTCCTATCGCCTCGTAATTCCTCTATATCTGAGCTCTATCTGATACGTCGACCCTTCATTGCTTCGGTCCTTCATCCTAGCCCCCCAATGCCACCATGCGTCTTGAACCCCATGAGAAAATACAACTGTGCTTCTCGCGTCGAGCATTGAACTTCTTGGTTGTGAAGTTGTACCGACGGCCGCCGTGATGTTGGCGTCGATGTGGATGGGTAAGGGTGTGATGGAGATGACGACGTCGTGGATGAGACCGAGTTCGACCGTGAAGGCGAGTAGTTGGATGTGTTTGACATATTTGCTATCGTCGAAAGGAGAAGTGGCGGTGAAGTTGAGGTGTATTCCAGATATGGAGGCTTTGTTCTGAGGAATGTATTCTTCTATACGCTTTCCGTTCGCAGAATCGCCGATTTATAAAAACTCGGGCCCTTCAGTTGAGGATTGGAGTTGGTTGCAATAGTCGACGTCGGTGTGGAATGAATTGGTTGCGTACTCAAGAGTGTGTAAGCTTTATGAATGCGGAGGTCCCAACTCAAATACCCCCCTCACAATCACACCGTTTCCCACAATCACGCGCCATTCCTACCCCTCTTGAGCGAATATTTCGCTGTTTCATCGCAACAGCACGGCGGAGTGGCGCAGTGCAGTCGTTCAAGTGCGAGTCTGGCTAGCTTGAGGGATTTTGGCTCGATCTGCACGTTTTGGTGCCGAGGATCACCAACTTCCATCCTACGTGTGCCAGTACCATTGTTTGCGACGCCAAAGGCATTCGCGAAATACAAATATCGAGGACCGGTGGCTTTGCTGTTTGCTGTTGTGACATTGCACCATGATGGCGACCTTGATGGTCCCATAGCACGCCATTCGCATGCCATCCTGGTAATGCGCATGGACCGAAAGCATGTCACACAAGCAGCGCGCCTGAGTTGCCAGGAGAAAAACATGTATGATTTTGCGCCTGGAAGTAGCTGGGTATCTATCGAGGCTGATGTGCGCTGAAATGCGGCGACACTATGTAGTAAAAGGTCGGTGGTTGATCACCGAGCTACCGTGTGTCCAAACGCCAAAGCTCGTTCAGGCCGAGGGACGCCGCCCTTCCTGTTGATGTAGTGTTGAAAACCTAGACGCCTTGCTAAGTTACAATCATGATCAACGCTGCTAAAATTTGTACAAAATGCCTCAAACGAAGCAGAGCACTCGCACCGTGCCATCTTCGCTGCCACTAGCGATCCTTGAGTCGCTCACGCCAACGCAAGTGACGGGTCCCGTGTGACCTGCCATTGTGCCTTCATTCTTCCCGGTCCTGGGATCCCAAATCTTGATTGTCTTGTCTTCTGCGCCGCTGACCAGACGCAGCGAGTCAGCCGCCAGCGACCAGATACCTTCGATATGCCCCAGGAAGCGGTGCACCTGTCGACCAGAAGGTACATGCCAGAGTCCGATAGTGCCGTCAAGGGAACCGGTGAGCATGTAAGATGGTGGGTTGGATCGATCAGGGTTATTAGGGAAAAAGGAAGAATCTTCGTGGGAGCCCGACGAGGTGGAACGCTTTAAGAAAGAGAGCTTGCCACTGTCAGAGGCAAGGGATGCTGTGTCGGAAGTATCAGTCCTTCCGTTTCCATTGAATTCATCTTCGTCAATCTCGAATTCATGAGGCAGCGGAAGGACTTGCTGTACTTGACCTGCGTGTCCTTCGTACGTTTTGAGACACATATTAGAGTTGAGATCCCACAGCTTGACCGTCATGTCGTCGGAGGCTGAAAAGAGAGTCCTGGATTGAAGATCGATCTTGACAGAGTTCACCCAGTCAGTGTGGCCAGACAGCCGAGTGCGTGTCTTTTTCTCGAAATCGTGGATGTAAATCGTGTGATCAGAAGACCCAGACGCAAGCATGTTGCCAATATAATGTAAGCCAATGACGCCGTCGCTGTGTGCGATCAGCGTTCTCATCAGTGCGCCAGTGCGCCAATTCCACATTTTGATAGTCTTGTCCAGGCTGCCAGTGACCAATGTGCTCTCTGTGAACTGCAGACATCGGATGCCCTGAGTGTGGCCCTTGAGAGTGCGGATCTCCTCGCCAGTTTTGATGTCCCAGACCTTGACTGTAGCATCGTACGAGCCAGTGATGAGGACCTGATCGTCGAATTGGAGACACATGACTCCATTCTCGTGTCCCTTGAATATTTTCGTAGTGAACTTTCCGTCCTTCCAGTTCTTTCCAACCTTGAAACGATCCTTGTAGACATCTTTCCATGGTCGCTTCTTGGGCTGGTCAAAATAGGTTGCCAGCTGGTCGCGTGTCGAGTCTGTGCCGGTACAAGAGCGCTTGGAGGCCTCGGAGGAAGCATCGGCATCTTCAGGACGGGGACGTTTGGTGCCGGTAGTGGAGCTGGAAGAGTCTGATGTGCGGTCGGCCAAAGTGCTTGGTGGCTCCGTTGCCTTCACAGAGTGTGGAACATCCGTCGAGGTCTCGTTGAGGGCACGGCCGGATGCGCGCAGCTCAATCTTCCTCTTCTCTTTGCGCAGGCGTCGCTGGTCAAGCAGTGGGAGCCCCCAGCCGCACTTGGTGCACTTGCGGTCAATGTGCTGCTCACACATGCGGTGCCAAACGACGTCGTCATCGGCGAGCTGGCGCCATCTCCGACTCACTTGTGCGGCGTTGCATAGCGAGGATGTGTCGAGATAACAGAGGATCTTGAAGCCTAGCTCGGTGGGTAGTGCGCTGAGGAAGTCGATTTTGATGAGGTTGCGGGACCGAGGAAGAGATGAAGGACAGCTGTGGGGAAGCAGCATTGGCGCGAGGATGCCTTGCAGCATGAGGTTCCGGTGGCGGGACGGGGCAGCCTGAGAAGAGCGACCAGACGTTGGCGATGCTCTGCTGGTCGACTTGGGGATTCGCGTTGGAGTTCCTGCAATAGTCAGCGAATGTGCTACGGAGTGATTAAGATGCATGTCGTACATCCTGCAGCTCCTGCATCGACGGCTCGTCTGCTTGCCGTCGACACAGCAG